CAATAAAATTGAAAGAATAAAATAAAATTTTAACAAGACGTCCAATTCCTCCCAACTCAATTTACTCTCAATATTTTTTACCGTTTCAATTCAATTTCATCGCGTTTTTCTGCATTTACACTGAAAAAAGAAGAACAGACATATTTTGTCCAAAAATTGGACATTTTTCTCGTCTTGGTGCCACTTTTCTCACACTTATAGAAGTACATATGACTAACTAGGCAAAAAAAGTTAGAAAAAGAGATGGATGGCGACTAACAATATTCATTAAGCTGAACACTTTTCGTCTTTTTTTCTTACACTATTTCGGAAGAAAACATGAAAAAAATAGGAGACAATTTTCTTTGAACTTTTTTTTAGCTGAGCATCACATTTTTTTACAAACAAATCCCATGGGATTGTTTGCTGAAAGTGAGTATTGTTTGCAGGTTTTTTTTGGAACTCACATCTTTTTTCTCAACTCAACTCATCTCATTTTTAATTTTCTTATCTCGGATTGCATATGTCTCAATTTCCCACCAACATCATCTCAATTTTTTCTGTGAGGTCCCCGATCTTTCTTTTTCTCGTCTACTATTCAACTTTCGCGCCACAATTTTTTGACCCTGAAATTTTCAGAAAACAACAACAAAACTCAAGTGGATTTGCTGGAGCGCTTGAAAATAGGTTGGTTGGTGCTAAAAAAAAATGAAAAATTGCATTGTCCTTATGAATTGTAAAATTGGCTTGTTATTGGCATGTTTTTCTTTTCATTTTTGTGTATTTGTATATGTGTTTTTTTTGGAAGAGAAAATCTCAAATTTCAGAATATGATTAGAATAAGAAAAAGAAGAATAATAAGAATAATACCAAAAAGTCTGAAAAAAAAAAGATTTGGAACGGTTCAAGTTTCAACAAAAAAAAAACTAACATGAGGAAGAGACTTTTGAATTTTTGCAATCTGTTATTCATGTGTGAAATTCGAGAATTATTCCAAGTTTTACATTAGTTGTTTGTTCCAAGAATTTTACGTCTCTTGCATAAAAAATTATGATTCATTCCAAATTTTTCTCCGTAGAGAAAAAGACGTCTGATGTTAAGGTCATTTTCTCGCGAATTTTAAATATTCTTCTCATATTTTTTCCTGCTCACTAGATGTTGATGGTCGAATGGTTCTTGACTAATTTGATTAGTCATTGTAATACTGCAAACATCATAAATTAGTTTTTTTTCTCCGAAGGTTCGGCTCGTAAAAATATAAAATTCATAGGTTTTGGAAAGAACAACAATACGATCAGACATCAAATACCAGAAAAATACTTGAGTTGTGAATGAAGAAGAAAACGTAAATTAGATAACAAAGAAAAACGTTCGGTTGCTCATTTTCAGAACGTTGTTCACTAGATTTGTTGGCTGTAAATTTATTTTGAAGGGAAATTTGAAGTTTCTAAATATGTTTGTCGTTTAGATAATCAGAAAGATTTTTATATTTTTTGATATAACGCACTTAGGCCGAAATCATTTACTTTAGGAGCCGGATGAATTGATTTTTCAAAATATTGGTGCTCTGTAACCTAGATTCACACAAATATGCTGATTTTCGTGAAATTTTTCAAGCGCTTTCACAATGACATACATCAGTCTCTCTGTTTTTTTAAACTAGAATCATATATCAGACCGAATATTACAAATTCTCAGAATATTTAGTTTTTGCCATTTACTCCACCTGTCTCACAATTAAATATGAATACTACAGTTTTGATCTGTACGTGATAAGTGCACATAATATTTTTATTATCAAAATGTGTTCTGTCCGCTTCCTCATTGTTACGTCAAATTAATTTTCATAAAATCAAAAAAAAATCGCTTCCGCTTGAAAGAATTTCAAGATTAATAGATTCAACTATATACATTTTTGGACATCAGAAATATTCCGAAAAAAACTGGTGGTTGAATGAAGAAACGTAATAAGGAATGAGAATGAAGCTGAAAAAATTGATGTTAAACAAAGCGTACTCGAATCTAATTTCCTGCTCAATCGACATCATCTAAAAACCAAAACTCTCATTTTATCTCTTGTTTTTTTTTCTTTTTAAAAATTCTAGTTTTTTTTTTGCTAAAGTCCTGAAGTCATTCGTCAAACTTTGCACCCTTTCATTCACCTTTGGGATTTCTATTTTTCGCAAATGAACAATCCTGCGCAAAAAAGCCCGTTTATTTTTCTTTGTGTGCCATAAAAACCTAACATTTCACTCTTGATGTGTCAAATAAGAAAACGAAGAAGAACAAAAACAAATCACGTTTTCGATTTTTTTTCGTTGTATTTTTTCTGTTCCAGCATAAATCTAGCAGGTGTAAAACTGAACCCGGATGTGACATTGAATTTTTCATTGACAGAGTGAGTTTAGGCTAGAAAACGAGGGAGTTGACTGAACCAATTTCAAAGTTCAAGCAAATATTTCCGGTCTTGCGTTAGCTATTTTCGTCTTTCAAAAATCATTGGTTGCCTGAGGAATTCTCAGGTTTCGTTAAAGTACATCCAATGAATCCTCAAAAAATTCCGTCTGGGAATAAGAAAAAAATTCTTGTGTTTTTCTCATTTCAAAAATGTTGTCTTAAAGTTCTCGAGAATTTTAAAAATCTGTGGTTTTCTGCTCACATAGATTTGTGTCACATTTTCTCGCCAACTTGTCAATGAACATTTTCACAGAATTCACTCATATTCAGAGATGATCTATAACCAAACAAACAAATTATCCTTTTTTTCCAAGAGAAGCTTTTCTCGAATGGATTAATTCTTTTTTTTCACGTATTTGATTTGATGTATATTTGATTCTAAAAATTTACATTCCTATTAATGTTCATATTTCTTGAAAAGGTATTTATTTGTACAAAGTTCAATGTGAAGAACATAAACAAAAATAACGTCGTAATCCTAAATAAATGTTCTTGGTCGCGAAAATCTTTAATAAAGGGTGAGAAAATAGCCGGAGGCAAAATAAATCCGCTCATAAAAGTTTTGCTGTAGTTGTCAGTTTAACCGATTATTGTTGTGTTTTTCCGTTTTCCCCTTATTTTTCATAAGAATTTAGAAACTTTCTAGAGAAAAATATGATACAATTTTGCTAGAATATAATAGAATAGTCATGTACTTTCGCATTTTTAATTTTCTTTTGCTTTTTCTTTTCTTCTCATTTATTAATTTCGTACACATCTAGATATGACTTTTTGCTCATCATTTCAACAAATTTCTCTCACAAATAAGTTCTCTCAACTTCCAGTTTCCAAAAATAAAAAAAGTTCCGGGACAAAATTTCAGACCAAAATGGGCGTGGTTTCAAATTTAGGAGCTAGCCTAGACCATAGGATGAAACACAACAACCAAAAGCTTCTCACTCTCTCTCGCTCATTTTCATCTATTCGTTGTGCTCACAGGGTGGGCGGGATTTTCGAGCCAGAGCTCACTTTTTTCACTTTCTACTTTCAGCATATTGTTCATTTCTGTTCAAGTTTAATGTGATTTATTTTGTTTTCTTTGATAAATATAATTGTTTCGCAGAATTGTTTCGTGATGAGATAGGATTAAGTTTTCTCGTAAAATATGGTTTCATTATTTTTGCACAAATGATCTTCTGGGATGAAATTTTATGCAGAAGTGGTTCGTGAGATTTTTTCGGCGATATTCTGAGTTCCGCCTAATGTTCATATGTTGTCTGTTTTTTTTTTGGAAATGAAACCCAATTACAGTAAGCACATCTCATTTTCTAAGGTCCCGAGAATATCTGGTTCACATTGAAAAATGAATATGTAACGACTTTACAATGTTACCGTTCTAATATGCCGACAAAAAGTTTTTAAAAAGTAAATTCACAAAAAAAACATACATAGGTTCAGACTACATTCTGAATTAAACCCCTCCTATCTTCAAAAATAAAAATATTTTGAAAATATTGTTGCTTTCAAGTCAAGTTACTTTTCTAGCCGATTGAATAATTCTGATCCAAATCTTTATTTTCTAATTTTATTTTTAGGAATCGAATTTTTGTTGGCTTTCCAGTTTTAAAAACTTTTTCGGTCCGTCTTGTGATTATGTATTTTCTTTCGAAACACACAAAAAAGAAAACACTTGTCTATATGCGTTCCATTTTCTTTTTCCGGGTTTCTCTTTTTTCTTTTTCATTTTTTGTTGTTGTTAGGAAGGAGTAAACATTCTAATGGATTCATTCATATTTTCACAACTAAATCAGGCGGAATAAAATGAATCTGAATCTGAAAAGAAAAAACAACATCTCAAAAATTGGTGTTGATAATTATTCGAGAGAAAACTTGCGGTTTTTTCTTCACAAGAAAAACGCAAGTTATTTGTTTGAAAATAAAAGAGCAAAAAACATGGCTAATTAAAATGGCTTGTTTTGGCGCCTTCTTAATTGCTTTCTTTCCGTCCGTCCGCCGTCGCTTTCATTTTTCTCTAGCAAAAATATTGTTGAAAAATTTAAAATTAAAATAAATTTGAATTTGTTTGATCATTGAATTTTGCAAGGTTTCCCACCAAAATTTGTATTTTTAGTAGTTGTGACACATTTTTCAGATTTTTGAGCTTTTTTGTTTCTCTTGGGAGTTCCACTTGTTCACAACTTTGTTTTGTTTTTTCGTTCTTCCAGACACCTTTCGAGTTCCCACAAAATTTCTGAATACATCCAAAGATTCTAAAAACCATATTTTTCCAAACAAAATTCTAATCCATAGGTCTTTTAATCTCAGACTATACTCAGTCTTCTTATTTTCCTCGCCTTCAAAATATATTTGTTTGTTTTTTTCTCTATTTTTTTTCTTGTCGAAACAAACAGACAAGTTGAATATGTCAAAAATGTCTGTCTAATTAAAAAATTGTTTTTTTTATTTCCTTCCAAAATATTACAGCTTCCGTTTATGTGTTGACTCATTTTCATTATTTTCAATTTGTTTCAGAATCTCAATGAACAACAAATAAATAGCGACAAAAACAAATCAAATCAAGAGAAATGGTGAACGAAACGACGTGTAATGACACGAAAGTTGCGTGTCTGAATTTAGGTGAAGCTGCGCTCACCATATCATCAATGTTGACTGTTATGTTGGTGAGTTATTTTTTGCCCGGGTTACCGTAGATCTGTCTCACATCATTTCCAAATCAAATTAAGGTTTTCACCTGTCTCTCACTATTTTCATTATAAAAGTCATGCATATTTCTTTCTCATATTTTTCATTCTGCAAAAAATCAGGTGCATGAATAAAAAATATAATAACAATAAGCAGAAGGTTAACTGGATCATAATAAAGATTTTTTGGAAGAGGTCATTTGATTGATGAATATGAAAAAACAAAGAGTGCGAATTTTGAAAAATAAAATAAAATGAAATGAAAACTAATAACAAGAGGACAAGAAAATATGAAATTTTTTGTAAAAGGAGCAAAAAAACAAAATATCTCTTTTCAGATAATCATATTTGGTAACTTGTTAGTTGTGATAACTGTGTATCGCGATCGCAAGTTACGAATGCAACGTCAAAATTGGTTGATTGTTAGTTTGGCAGTGGCTGATATGTTGGTTGGATTATTAGTAATGCCACTTACACTAACTTATGAAATTCTTGGTGAATGGACGTTAGGAGATTATCTTTGCGAAATTTATTTGGCGCTAGATGTATTGTTTGTCACTGCATCAATTTTGCATATCTGCGCAATTTCGCTTGACCGATATTTTTCAGTCACTGCTCCTTTAACATATCCAGCAACAAGAACACCATTAAGAATGTCAATTTATATAGGTTAGTTTGAAAAATGTTGAAAATTCCAGATGATTTTTGAAATATACTATATTCTAGGCGTCTCTTGGATTGTATCATTAATTATTTGTTTGCCACCAATTTTGGGTTGGAAAGGAGATCGAAAACCAAATGAGTGCACTGTTAGTGAAGAATTGGGATATGTTATCTATTCTTCATTTGGCTCATTTTTCATTCCTGTTATTATACTTGTAATTGTTTATGCAAAAATCTACAGTATAACAATTCGACACAGTCGACAAAGACTGAAGGAAACTGAAAGAAGAGATCATACTTTGAATATGTTGACAATGAAAACTGGAACTAATGGTGAGCAAAACAACATTGTGTGCAAAACTTATTTGCAGTCCCATTTCAGCTCACCCACGTTTTGAATGTCTGATTTAAGAATCTATTTAAAAATGTAGAATTCATTCTTTGACCTTTCATTGAAACAAGGAAGAAAATGGCATCATTTTGTTTGCCAGAAAAAAATGAGAACAGAAAGAAAAACGTGGAAAAATACAGATACTCATTTCCTCTGAATTTTAAAACATCACTCATCAATTATTTAGCGCAAAATTCAATTCATTTCGAAATTTTTTGGCGTTTGCATACTAAATGAATATTTTTTGCAGAACGCTACAATATGGAGTATGAGTTGGAAGATAATTCAGATCCGGCTGATGAAAAAACAACAAACGGACAAACAAACACAGCAACTACAACAAATCGTGATGTTATTAATAAAGTTTGCTGGCAATTAAGAAAAATATCTGAAGAACTTCCAAGACAAGGTGTCAAATTATCATTGGATGCAAATCACAATAGTCCAACAAGCTCAGAATTGGCTAGAAAAATGGAACAAAAAGGGTTTAGTGAAAAGCGAAAAAGAAAGCTGAAGGCAAAAGAAAGACAAGCTACACTTCTTCTTGGAATCATTCTAAGCGCCTTTATTTTGAGTTGGCTACCATTTTTCGTAAGTTATTTATCCAGAAAATATGATCATTTAATATTCACAAATGATTTTTCAGCTCATGTATGTCCTCGGTGCATTTGGCGTAGGAGTAAATGATTTACTCTTCAAAATATTCTTCTGGCTTGGTTACTGTACGTTTTTTTCGAAAAATGTTCGAAATTATTTCTCATATTATTTTTTCAGGTAACTCTGGAATCAATCCGGTTATTTATACAGTTTTCAACCGAGAATTCAAACGAGGACTTTGTAAACAACTTCACAAATTTGAGCGATTTGTTCACCCATTGATGGAATTCTATAAATGAAATGAATTTCTAGCTGAAAATTATGTAAAAATAACTCGGGTCAAACATTTAACTGGCATGATTTGATAAAATGATGTTTCAAAATAAATTCATTAAAATATATAACCCGCTGTTTTTGTTTCAAATTAAAAGTGTATAAATTAACACTGTGAATCGTTAAGTGTTCGATGGCTTCGTCGCATTTTGTTGTTTTTCTTGAAATATCCTTTTCTTGCCGGTGTTGTATCAGACGAAAGATTACTTCCTTGACCCTGGGAAAATATGGATATAACTAACAAATAATTAACTTTTTTCTTGGAACTCACTTCAGACATCCGACGAGACGATGTGCGACTCAATGATTTGTGTTGAAGTTGATGCTCAATTTGTTGATTATAAATATTTGGTGATTTATTGGCTCCACTTGAACTGTCTTCGCTGCCTGCAAAAATGTACTTACTAAATGAGATCAAACAATTTGACATTTCTAAAAAAAAACAACATGCAATTTTTGGTTAATCCGAGATTATAAATGTTCATGGGATAATCCAATTTAAAAATAGCCTTTGACTTTTCTGAAGTTTGTGCTTTCTCTAAAGACCAAAAGCTACAAAGTTCTTATTTTTCAATCCATTTCTTACTTGATGAATTATTGGTAACCAATCTGACTGGCAATTTAACTGATGAATTTGTTCGAGTGGTCTTCTGTGAATTTAATGAATCAGTTGATGATGATGATTGTTTTTGCAGCTGAAAATATGAAAAAAAAATAAGCAAAAAAACATCTAGAAAAAAAAACAATAATTTGATTTACTATGAAATATGAAAAAAAAACAAGTAACAAACCAGAGTTCGTTGACTCGCTTGCCGTGGAAGAATTGTAGGTGCAATAAGATGAGGTGGTGAGTTGCTACGTTTTTTGATTGATATTTTTGAGCGAGCATCTGATGATAATGATTCGGTTGATGACAAATGACTGGAAAAATATGAAAATGTGATGAGCAAACTACATGAAAATATTCTATTAATAGAATATTCTTTTCACATAAATGAATAGAGATGAAAAGATGAAACTAGACTCGTTTTTTGTGCGGCTATGAAAAACATCAGTTACGAAAAACTATGTGTGTGAAAAGCAAAATACACCAAATCAAGAATTCCGGAAAAAAACAAAACACTTGTGAATTTCAAACACGACAAACCTTGCTGTTTCAACATAGGATGAGTTTCTTGGTCCTCTGTTGATGTTGCTGGGAGCGACCAGGATTTTTCTTTCGAAATCGCTTGGAAGAGGAAGATGGATTTGCATATTCTGAAAAAAATGTTGATATACTTTCTCAGTCGATAAATTGTAATAATCCTTGTGAGACAATCATATTTTTTAGAAAACAGATCATTTCTTGAAGAACCTCGTGGTGTTTTCAAAAATGTAAAACACCGTGGGAATGTGCAGTTTGACAAGGAACTTTTTTGGATTTAACCAGAGCATATAAAATTGTACAGATTCTGGATATAAATGTGAAAAGAAACGACTTTTTAATTAAATCTGATTTTTCCACTATAATTCAGCAAAATTTGAACTCTTGGACCACCCATATTCTTTCTCACTAATTAAAACATGACTTATTCATTTTTTTTTCAACATTCGTCATTTTTTGAGATATTGCATGTTTAGAATTTTTGACAATACATAGTTGATTTTACCAACCTTTTGAAATGAGATGGAAGATCCTCTTCTTTCATTTAGCTTCAACTTGTCTCTTTCTCTCGAAATTGCAGTCTCGATAGCTGGAAAAAACACACAATCTATACATAAGGAAAGACACATTTTTCTTACCGTCTGTGGTTTCAGCAGAATCAAATTTAATTTCAGGTGTCACTGTTCGTCTTCCCAATCTGTTCAATAAATCATTGTTTGCACTATTCTGGGTATATTGATGAGTTATTCGTTCACCATCGTATTTCTGAAAATAGTGGAAAATAACACAATTTTTGATCTTTAGAACTAACTGAATATGATCCATTGACACTTGATTGGAGTCTTCTAGCAAGAACAATATTAACACCACCACGAGCTTTCAATGTGTTATCTTCTCGAACTCGAACCAAACCATTTGGAGCTTCCTCACTTTCCTGAAAATAGTTTTCAAAGTTATCTCTGCGTTTTTCGAAGTTCAAATATCACCTTATGCTCCCTGAATATCATCATCGTGCTAGGATTCGATACAGCTACATTCAAACTTGGTGGAAGTTCGTCTAACTCACTCATTGAACTTGCTGCCAACCCTCCGATGTTCTGAATTAGAAATTTCACTTTTTTCAAAATAAACAAACATACATTTAATGAGTTATCATAATGCAAAGCACTTGTACTCGATGATTTTTTGATTTTCTTATTACTACTGGTACTTCCAACTCTTCCATTCCTATTCAGATCTTGTTGTGATTTAGGGCTGAATGCTGAAATGAATTTCTTAGCTTTTTTCCAATTTTCGTAGCGATTCTCGTTGTCTTCATAGGACAATGATGAAAAATCCATCATCGATCGACCTTTTCTGCAAAAAATATAATTTTATCATTGACTTTTATCCAAATTTTTCAAACATACGTAGAATTTCGATTATCAGCGAATCTCTTGTTGTTCAACGTTGAAAACCTCGAACTCTCATTTGGACTTGTCATCGTAGACGCTTTCCTTTGGATTATTTCATGATCTGAAATTTTTCAATAAAACGATTTTCAGCTAATTAAAAAAAACTCACATGATGTGTTGGACGGTTGACGAATTTGGATATTGACATATTCAGGTAGACTTGTACTTCGTATTTTGTTATTTGGGTCATCCGGGATAACTGGAAAATTTTGGTTGTGAAAACTAATGATAAAATAAGAATAATGAAAAACCTTGATTTTCCGGAGGTGTCATGTTCATATAGTCAACTAATGGTTGTTCGAATAAAGAATTGTTTCGAGGTTTCTTGGACTTCCAGTAGTTGATGTTCAGTCTGAAAAAAAAACATTATTGGGAAAACTCAGAATGAATTCATTAAAACTATAGGTCCTGTTCCATTTTACATAATATTTTCTTTCTTCCAATTTCGAAGTTTCCCAAGCTACTCACCTTGACGAAAATAATTCACTAGGATTTGCAGATGTTGATGGTTGATTATTCATCAAATTGAAAATACCACTAATAGTATCTGATAAATGAGATATCGAATCTTGCGCTCGCAATTTACTTCGAATCTGAAAAAAAACCATCATAATCGCAAAGAATTTTCTTTTTCAGTCCTTACATTTGTCATCCAGACGCCTTCTTGTGTTTTTTTCATCATTTTATTCAACGTTCCTTCATCACAAATCGATTTATATTTAGCGAAATATTTGATTGATGGACAGCAAAGTACAAATTCTTCATCGCTGTTATGATGAGGTCGAACTGTCACCAAAAAATTTGGTTCATCAATTGTTATATTGGCTGCAGCGATTTCACAATAAAGTAGAGTTTCTGCAGGCACGCCGTGCACCAAAGCAAGACGATTGTCCTGAAATGTTTTCACATTCCCTTTTTAATGATATAAACACACTCTATATTTTGAAATACTCATATTTCATAATCCTGTTCACTCATCGTGCTTTTCTAAATCTCAAGAAAAAATAACAATTTTCCTCGGACACATTCAAAAAATGAGTCATTTTTCATTCATCTCAATGGCAAACCTATGATTTCGGTCTGTTTTTTCCGAAAAATTTTCCTTCCATTTTTCGAAACTCATTATTTCTTCCAAAAATGTGCAAAATTCTTTGGTCGGAAGTACATACTTCTCCTCATTTCTCTACATTTCCCCCATTTGTTTTCTTCGTTTTTTCTCTCTTTTGTTCACTTCAACTTTCAAATAAGATCAAAAATATTCATAAATTACTCACGTGTAAATGACACCTCACTTCTTTATTCACAAAACTCGCATTTTCTTTTTGATTCGGGAATTTTAGCAGTTGCATATAATGTGTAGTGCCTGAAAAAGGTTTTTTGGATTAAAATGTTTTTTTGTTTTCGAAAATAATTCTTACATTGTCCACCAATATTTTTGAACCACGTTTCCCATTGTAGCAAAGTTTCTGGTAATTGAAAAGCCAAAACAATATTTTGATCCTTGGTCATAATTGTTAAAGTTTGGCTTTTGTTTTTGAGGGTGAAACCTTCAAAAAATATATTTTTCTCTGCAAAAACAATACTTCTTTAACTTACTTTTCTCAAAACCGATATAATTTTGCAAAATGATAGTTTGTTTTATTTTATCTTTCTGTCGATCTTTCTTCTGTTTATAAAGCATAAAAATTGGAGATTCCAGATCACTCTGTTTTTTGCACACAACATATCGAGTCTCCCACTGAAAGAAGCATTTGGGGGGACTTCTGGGAGCGAGAGAAGGATTATGATAATTCCATTGGAAGATACCGAAAAATGGAAGAAGCAATTCAGTATGAGTAAGTTTTTTGTGTTGGTGGATTTCCCCAGCTGGGAATTGTAATTAGGACGCCTTGAAAATGTTTTAAAGCAATTTTTAAAGAAACAATTATAATTATTTGATGTTAAATCACGGCGCGCTTTTCATTACGGAAGACCCAGTTGTAAAAAAAGGAGTAGAGTAGAAAATGTCAAAGACAAAGAGGAAACAAGCGAAAAAAAATGATGAGGTAATGAGGGCATCGGCGAAATTGTTTATACACACAAAAGGGCTGCCACGAAGAATGAGCGTATTGCAATAGAGCGCGTTTTCTCTCCTCTCCAGCAAATTTCACGACGGGTCTTTCGTTCAGGCGACGTAAAGAGCGCACCGTGAAAACAGAACCATGTAGATTTTCTGGTGGTAAATTCAAAATTTAATTTTTCTATAACAAAAGTATCTATGTTGATTTTTTGATAGGAAAAGTTGTGCAACCCTCTGCGGCCTGTTCTCCCACCAATTTAACCAAAAAAAAAAAGCCAAAAACTCAAACCTTTTTCTTTTCAAAATATTTGCAATGTGACTCAATTGACCGTCCATTATTATTCAGCTCAACGCGTTCTTTCATTTTCCATAAACGCTTCTCTTTTTCTCTCATAAACTTTTCATCTGAAAAATTAAAATACGAAGTAAATTCAACAATTAAAAATCGATAAATGATAATGGTTGACCCTGTGTGTGTATGTCAGGGATATCTCTTGACAGCGCGTTGATTTTCCCAAAAAAAGAAGAAAAAAAGACCGGTATTTGGGAGAAAAAATAAATATGAAAAATAAAATATAAAATGAAGTTTAATAATAAAAATATTTATGAAATATATAGAGATAGGAAAGGAATTTGTGTCTCGTATTTCTTGCGTTTTTGGCTGCGATTGGTATTGGCAAAAGTAAAGGTCACTGGGTCTCTTTTTTGTTGAAAACCTTGAGATTAATTGATGGAATAATTCACTTTAACTTCTGTGAAACGATTGAAATGTTGATTTTGAAATATGACAGTGGGAGGCTGGGAACTTTTCCTGATCTGAAAAAATTTCATTGGATAAAGCAATTTATGTTTCTGGTTAGCAAAATTCAACAATTTTATTTTATTTAAGTTGATGGTTGAAAACAGTTCTTAACAACAAGAAATACATTTTTAATTTTTGTAGCTATGTTGCAACTATTTTCTCCCGATAAATGAAAAATTTATAAACTTCAATTTTAATTAAATTATTTATAGAATAAAACATAATTCAGTATAATTTTTTCAACTATAAAACTAATAATGTTCAACTTCACTTTTGACAGCAATTTCATTGTTTTCTAAAAGTGTTCTTTGTTCTTCTTCCATCTCCAATTTTATAATGGAGCATGACTCATGTGACTCTTCCGAATCATCCAAATGAAAAAAAAATATTGCAAATTCGTCATCAAAAAATCCAATTTTGTGGGTCAAACAAAATTGTTTATTCTCAAAGTTATCCGCTTATAGATCCAACACAAAAAACAATTGTGTAGTTCCAGTACTTTTTTGTTCTTTGATCTCATATGTCTCACATATATGTATTTTTGACAAATTATAGAGCGATATTGTAAATTGTGTACCGGGTGCATTCACAATTCCAATTTTTGAATTTGTTTCGGTTCATTTATCGAACGTCAAAATTTGATTGTCTTTTTTATTGTTTTCTTAAACTTCCGCTTTTCTAAAGTTCAAGGTCAACCAAAATCCCGCCTTTTCCTTTTGAAGAATGCAACATTTTTAAATAAAAATTGTATTCAATGTTTCATTTTTTGTTTGATATTTGTGCTTTTCCCCACAAAACGAGCAAAGTTTATATCATGTTAGAACAAAGATGCATAAATCATTGTTGTTGGCAACTTTCCAAACATCTGCAGTTCAAAAGGTTTTTGAAACAAAATAAATGACCCTTTCAAAAAAGTGTGAAACAAGAAGTTGAATTCGTAACCAAAAACATTTGTAACTTTTTTTGTGTTTCTACGTTTTGCTATTTTTTTATTTCAATCTATAACTAGTTTGAAATGGATACAAAAAATGAGAAAAAAATCACAATTGTTTCTCCATTTTACCGTAAGTTATCAAATCTAAAAATAAATTTGAGACAGAGAAAAAAAAAGAGGGCGGGGCTTATAGGTCAAATTAGGTTTTTTTTTAATTTAATATTGAGAGTTCAATAATTTATTGGTCATTTTTAAAGAACAAAAAAAAGTTGATTATGAACTGATGTAATCATTGATATGCGAGCGCTCAGATGTTTATCTTTTTTCTCTTTTTGTCGTCAAATTTTTAATCAAATTTTTCTCAATATTGAAAAAAAAACAAATTTTTTGACCCGTGATTTTATCTAATCTTTATTTTGAACTTTTTGGTCAGTATTTTTTGAGCTATAAGCTCTTTGCTCAACGTGTTATCTTCATAATACGATCAGTTCGAAAAGTTCAAGCACATTAATTACTTTAGTAATAACATTATTTTAAGTTTCCCTCATGACCAATTATGATTTCAGACTGGAGAATGAACCAAAATGAATATGACACAAAATTTGAATATAATCGAATGCCAGAAGAAAATTGGGTTCTTAAGAAAGTTCGAACTTTTGGAACAGCTTTCACATCAGCCGGTGAGTTTTCAAGAAAATAACATTTGGAATTAAACAAAAAAAATTATTTTTCAGGATTTAAAGGAGCGGTAACACGAAGGATTCCTATCGTGAAATGGTTACCAAAGTGAGTTATTGAGTTTGACTTTAACACACACATCGTTAATAGTTCAGAAAAATGTAATCCACATTTGTTATTTAGATATCAAAAATCGAATATCTTGTCTGATATTATAGCTGGTATCACAGTTGGAGTCTACAATGTCCCACAAGCTATGTCATATTCAACATTAGCTGGCCTGCCACCAGTTTACGGGTTATATGCCAGTTTTTTCCCACCATTGCTATATGCCTTTTTCGGAACTAGTAATCATACGAGTATTGGTGAGCTCCTTCATTTTACTTGTCATTTTCTTCAATTTATATTTCAGGAGTCTTCTCAATCACATGTATGATGGTTAACAAATGTATCCAAAAAGTGATGCACTTGGATGATGTTTTTGATGAAGATGCTTTATCACATATAAAAAATATAACGGCTGTTGAAATTGTGACAAGTTTATGTTTGTTGACTGGAATTGTTCAATCTGTTATGGCAATTATTCGTTGTGATAAAATGATGAAATTCCTGTCGAATCCAGCCATTTCAGCAATCACATTTTCATCTTGTTTTTTTGGATTGTTCTCTCAAATACCAAAAATGCTAGGGATCTCAATTCCATCGAGAGATAGTAGATTTTTTAATTTATATTATGTGAGTTTTTATATTTTATCACATTATTTGTGAAAAATGCATATTAAAAAACATTCAGAATATCTATGAAATCATAATGAATCTCCACGAAACAAATATGGCCACTCTCACATTATCGTTGAGTTGTTTATTTTTCCTTCTGGCTATGAAATTATGGGTAGAACCGAAATTGCGAAAATCTTCGTGTGGAAATATTCCATTCCCAACTGAACTGATCACGGTATGTTCAAAATTAAATCTGAAATAACCTGAAACAAATATATTGAAGATCGTTACAACGACTTTCCTCTCATATTACTTTGATTTCGAAAAACGTTTTGGTATCAAAACAATTCACACAGTTCCTCGAGGATTCCCAAAACCGGATGTTCCACGATTTGATATTTGGCAATATATTATCATCGATGCTATTTCTATCGGTGAGTTCAACAACTTTTTGATTGTACTTTGATGCGATGACACGAAAAATTGTCAAGATTGTTTGTTAATTGATAACAAAATTAATTTTTGGGAGGTTCATGATCATAAAATTGTTTTTAAATATATTTTATGATAATTGTAAACTATAAAAATTCCAAGAAGTTTTAAATATCTCAACAAGAAAAAGTTGAATACATTCTAAAATAACCTTTATGAATCTCGAAAAGGTTCGCACATATGTTATTATAAGTTTGCATAAAAAATATATGGGTAGGAAAATCAAACTGTTTTCTGATTCTGAATATGAATATTTTTTCAGCTGTTGTTGCTTATGCGGTCACTATTTCAATGGGTCAAATATTTTCGAAAAAACACAAATATCGAGTAGATTCCAATCAAGAACTTCTTGCTCTTGGAATCGCAAACATTGCTGCATCTTTCTTCTCAGTTTTTCCAACATCAGCGTCACTTTCCAGAACTTTGGTCAATGAAGAATGTGGAGCGAAATCACAGGTATTCAAGTTTCTAATGTTTTGTCAGTAAACTGAATTATTTTTCAGATAGCCTCGTTGATTAGCTGTTTCTGCATTTTCATTGTTATCACATTCATTGGACCACTTCTCGCAAGTCTTCCTTCTTGCGTTTTGGCAACGATTGTAACTGTAGCTGTTAGATCACTTTTGATGAATTGTCGTGATTTGGTGAAACTATGGAAATTCTCAAAACATGATTTTGTTAGTTTTTAAAAAAAAATTAAAATGCAACAAATACTTTTTTTCCTAACAATTTTTCACTTTTTTTTCAGTATATCTGGATTTTCACTGCCTTTGTCACTTTATCAGCGGATATTGCGGAAGGTGTTGCAGCTGGAATTCTTTTTGCAATTTTCACAATTGCGATACAATCTCAACAGTAAGCCTTATCACTGACTCAATTCGACATTTTCAACCAAAAATATTTTCCATTTAGACCATCAATTAAACATCTTGGCCAAGTTCGTCCCAATGATTTCCGTGCGATGAATCATTACGGAGTTGCCAAAGATACCTCATTCCGAATTATCCGTTTTGATGCGCCGCTAATCTTTGCAAATGTTGATAAATTTTTGGATAATGTTCGAGACGCGGCCGCAGACACAAAACATCGAAGTGAGTTTGATTGAATTTGACATATCTTTTTTTCTATTTTTGTAATTGATTTGATATCATTCAATTTTTGAAGAGGGCAGCAATGAATCGGACAATGATGATTGGGGAGCGATTATTTTAGATTGTCATACGTGGATTTATACTGATTCCATGGGTATTGATGCAGTTCAAGAGATTGATGAGGATTTGAAAAATATGAAGATTCTCATTTTGTTTGCAAATCTGAAATGTATGTGGAAAAACAAAGTTTCGTAAAATATTGATCGATTTTCAGCATCTCTCCGACGTCAATATGAAACTGCAGGCCTTCTCAATCATATTTCATATCTTCAATTTTATCCATCGATTCAAGACGCTTTAGAATCTGCTCATCAATTAGTAGCAACTCAGAAATCCTTTTTTGATGTGGAAAAAGTTTGAAACACATTCTTTCATGATTTTTGCTTTTATATGTATATAAGTATTTTTTAATGTTCCCATTTTTGCTCAAAAACATAATCTTGTATTTTTTTACAAAGTGTTCATATCATTATTAACATACAAATAAAAAACATGAAATTTGGCTATTAACTTAAGAAGAAAATTAGAAATTCTTTGAAATTTCATATGCAAAAAATACCCGAAGAAAATCGAGTCTCGGTCTCGTTGAAACTGTTTGATTTCAATTTTGAAAAAAAATTAGATTAATAAAAAAAGAATTAGTAGAATATGGGAAATGAAAAATTGCTAACTTAACTGATTAAGGCATTTAGGGAAGAAGCACCAAGAGAAAAATGAAAAAATGAGCAAAAACGGAACAAAAATTGAGAAAAAGGTATATGACATTGGAGCGATGATCAACTTATTTTGGTGCTGGACTCATTGATCGACGTTGGTTTTCAACGTCACGATCTTTCAAACTTTCCGAAATTCGCTTTTTCAATTCTGTCGGGAAACGATCATAGCAACGTTTGCAAGTTGGCTTCATATCAAATTCATAGAATTTTGTTCTGAAAAACATTCATGAGTTCTTTTCCAACAAGAATAGAATTAGTAGACTAAATTCCAACGATGAATAAAAAAACTCACTTTTGATCCAATTTCTTGTCGCAAAAACTGCACGAGAAACATTTCACACACCAAGTTTTGCCCAATGCTTGGAATACTTCACCACAACATGGTTCTCCACATTTAAAGCAAAGGTTTCCAAATAATTTATGATAATGTTGTTCGCAATATGGAAGACCACGTCTTTCGTAATGTCGATGTCCAAGGAACGGTTTTTCACAAACAGAACATACGAAATGCTGAAAAAATATGAATTTTGCGAGAATAAGTTTCTATGAGAGAAAAGATCTTACCTCAACGTGCCAATGTTTTCCAAGAGCTGCAACAACACGTTCCTCAATCGGTCTGTGACAGGCTCCACAAATTGGAATTCCCATTGTGTCGTGACATCTCAAACAATATAATTCGCCATTCACTTCACGTGATGCGGTTGTCAACTCGTTACTGAAATACAAAAAATGGTTTTTGATATAATTTTAGCTGTGAAAATCAAACTTACTTGCAACGTTTACATTTGAAATGATATGGATGGAAAGAATCTCCTCTGAATTTGATATGTTGTCCGTCGTCGATCATGGCATGACATTTATGACAAACATATCTACCGTGTCCAGCCGCCTTTTCTTGCTCATTACATTCTCGACAAAGAGCTCGTCCAGCATTTCGCAAGAAACCGATATCAGCAAGCTGTCGATTACAAATTTCACAGCAGAAGCATTGTGGATGCCAGCTGGCGTTCATCGCTTTGATCACTCTACCAACGATGAATTCATCTGCAAATATCGATTTATTGCTAGGTTTTCAAAATTTTGATTCGTTTTTTTGAATATTTCAAATTAGAAAAAAAAACTTACTGCATTTTCCACAACACGGTGCGTAGAGAACATGAAAATCGTGTTCGCAATATTTTCTACCTTCGAATTCGAAATAAATACCATCAGGGAAAGGTTCGAAACATTGTGCACATCTGAAAATGTTCTATTAATAGAGTTTTTTTCGACTGAAGGATATTGGATTTATATATTGATTTCAATACAGTTTTTCAATAAAAATGAAAACTTACACAAAACATTCACTATGCCAAACTTGTCCAGATGAATTTACCATTTGATCTTGCATAGAAAAACCATCGTTACATCTAACACAAACCATATTTTCGAAGCCATGAGCAAGCTCGCCGTTGATGTGATGGTCGGAATCCATTCCGCCACACACCATCTAGGTCTAACTGGCGCTGCTTCTACAAATTACACTATGCAAATTTGAAAAAAAAATCAATCAATAATAAAGTTTCAAATAAAATTATAATTACTTATCAGTTCAGTAAGTCTAACAAACAAAAAGTGTAGGAGGAGAAGTAAAAAGTGTAAAAGAAGAATCATCATCAAAAAGAAGAAAAGAGTGGAGCAGAGATTTTGGAGGCGGGCGGACCCACGAAAAAGAAAGCTCGAAAAAAAGGGAGAAGAAAGATACTGGCAAGTATTATGTTAAACGTCAAGAGATCGCAGACATTGGCTAGTTTGTGTAAAAATATCCGTGGTGCTTTTGGGATGAGATGAAGAAACGAAGTGAATGTGAACAACAACACAAAATGTTGTGGGATGCGAATGGCAAGCAGGCAGCCACACTCTAAAGTTTCTCTTTGAGCCCTGGGTGCGAGAAGACTATGATGATTGAGATGATTGAAAGAATTAACGGGGACTGATATAAGATATCTTTATATTCAATTGTGCCTTGAAGTAGGTATACTTGATTAGAAAAATGGAAAACGAAAGTATAGTGGAAAATGATTGTCAATTGGAATATCATTTTGACGCGTGATCTATATGTACTTGTATATGAGATATAGTTTCTTGAAACAGGTTTGAAAACCTCGGGAGCTCTTCGTCTGACGAAATTTGAAAAATCTCTCTTCAAGAAAACTCTTTAGTGTGAAATTTACCACAATTTTGACGTGATTTTTGACTAGAAAGTTATTTTCCAACGCTATCATTGTTTCTGTGAAACAAAACAAATTCTAAAAAATTATTACACAATTCAAAAAAAAACAAAAATGTAAGATAAACATTAGTCATTCAAAAACTTTACAAAACAATATATATATAATTACAAGGTGGAAACAAATCCTAATTAATTAATTTTGGGGTTTTTCTGCTTGGAAATTGCCTAAAAAATTCCGAGAAAAGAGATAGATGGCGCTATAAAATGTATTAAAAAATTCAATATGATGTATTATGAAACTTTGATTTGAAAACAAAACAAAAGAAAAAATAGTACAATTATGGGGAAAAGGAGTAAAAAATAACCCGCAAAAAAGGCATATAGCAAGCCAAAGGAAAAGGAGAAAGAAAACATAAAACATAGAGAGCACACAGTTCTAATAGACATCAGAGAAAAGGAGGAAAAAATGAGAGATTGGAAAAGATATGAGAGACGACAGAATCGCGTGCAAATATAAAAGATATACAATGCAATGCATAGAAATGGGGTCATATTAATATACAAGTATTGTCTATTTCTTATGTTTTTCTTGTTGAATTCGTTGTGGTTGGTTGGAGTTCGCATATTTATTTGTGTGCTCACTACTTTTGAGGTTAATAATGATGATAATATTAATAATGAGAAAAGTTGAGGGAAAATGAGAGAAAACATATGTTTTGAAGATGTGAAGTGCAATGGGACATGTTAGGTTGATTGAGGTTTTTAATTTGATTGCACTTTTCACAGATGTGGTTTTCACAAACCCGATACTGTAGGATTTTTGAGTTTGGACATTTTTACTAGAAAAATATTGGGAAGCGGTGTTTAAAGTGAGAAAACCGTGTCTCTAATAAAAACACAAGTTCGTTAAAAGTATGTATTTATTGATAAAATTCTCAAATTAGAAATTGCTGATACAATTTCATTCCTAAATTTTTCCTGAACTACTCTGTCTCAAAACTACCCCGCTGAAATACCTGAAAAATTCAGAACAGGTACATTTCTAGAAAAATATCGGGAAAAATACTTACTGTTTTATTTTTGGAAACCAAAGAAAACTGTGTTTTGATTCACGAGCAATAATTTTTGATCATGTAGAATATTACAAAAATATGACGTTTTCTCTATGACTCATTTTGTACACATTGTTTAAAAAAATTTCCTTTTTTTTCTTCAAATTTGTACCATTTAAAATTTTCATTCTTCTCAAAAAATAATAGTTTATTTTCAAAAAAATTCGAAAAACTAGATAAAAAATAAGAGATCGGTGGGAAATGACAATAACAGAATGAGAAAAAAATTATAAAAGGACAAAATTATAATCAAAAAAAATCAAGCAAAAATTATTCACAATGAATTTAGGAAGAAGTACTCTCATCTTTTTCTTCTCTTTCAGTTCCAGCCCATAATGGTTTTACAAGTGCGGATAAATTACGATCCATTTCAGAAAAATTGTAGCGTTCATTGATTGTTTTTCCTATCGGATCAGAAGTGCTGAAAATTGAAAATATGATTGATCAACAAGTGCAATCAACTCACAGAAAGTGCAAAAAGCGGATAATAATTGGAATTTAATAATTGAAATTTCGTCGTGCAATAGCTTCAGCTCTAACCGATGCCGCAGACACAACTGATTCTCTGGAATCTGTCGAATTCATTGATTCTTGACTTCCCATTCCATGAACTGGATCAGCTGGATCTTCTTCTCTATGTGCAATTGGCGCCTTTCTTGCACCAAATCTCGCAACAAATTTCTTTCTCATTTCACTTTCTTCACCTTCTTCTTTCAAAGTTGAAGTTGAACTACTTTGACTAATTGCTTCAGTTGTCTTTGATACGATATTTGTTGGTGCTTGAGTTGCTGATGTGAAAAATTGCTGTCTAGCAAGTTGATTTCTCGAAGAATATGGAGATCCTTGTGTTGAAGATGATGGTTGTTGTTGCATCAACTCATGAACAGGATAATATCGTCCTGGGCCACTTGTATTGGCAGCTGCCAAAAATGCTCCTCCTTGTCCAGGTGGAAGTGAAACAGGTGATTCCATATTTTCATAAACACTTCGTTGAGTTGAAGTGATTTTTAATTGATTTGGCGGGATTGGAAGTCCATGAACACCTGGTCCACGAATCGCTTCTTCGTAGGAATAATTCATTGCTCCAGGCTCAAAATACCCACTGGCACTTCTAGGTAACTGATATCCAAATAATAAACTTGCAGATGAATCATCTCCGTGTAACTTGCTCATTGAGCCCATCATATTCCTCTCATAAATAACATCACTTCCCATAACTTCAGCTGGTGTTATCTCCATTTCAATGAAACTTTTCTCATTTCGCAAATATATATCAGCACCTTCTCGATCTTCTGCATAATAACTGTTTTGACTTATTGTATCTTCATCATTATCTTCTTCTTCATCATCCTCATCTTCTTCATGTTCTTGTTGTGAAATAACATATTGTGGAGCATTTCCAAGAAGTGCAAGTCGTTCTTGTTCTTCGAAGTCGTCTAGATCATCATTACCATAAAAATCTTGATGTTCAAGTCGTTGCTCTTGTTGTTGCTCATTATAATTTTGCTTTTGTAATTGTTGAGCCTGTCTCAAAGTAGCAATCTTTTTCCGTCTTGCTAAACTTGGTCGTGCTAATTCATCATCACTCATTATTGCAGCATCATCTTCACTCGATGAAATATTACTATTTCGTTCAATTTCTCTTGTTTCAACACGATCATTAAATGTCACAGATTTGAAAGATCCTCTTGAAGCAATCGACATATTTGAATCTCTTCTTTCTCCAATTGTTGTCTTTTTTGGATTTCCAGAACTCTCAGCTTTCAGTTTTCTAATTGATGTTGGTGTTCTTTTTGGTGTCAATGTCAGTTTGATAGTTGCTGCAGCTTTTTCGGTGGATTTTTCTTTCTGTTTTACTTGAACTTCAACTTCTTCAGTTTCCACAACGATATCAGAATCTTTATCAGTTTTTTCAGCTCCTTCTTTGGCTTTCTTTTTCTTCAATTTTTTCTCTTCTTTCTTTGCCTTTTCTTCAGCTTTTTTCATCTCTTTTTCTCTTTTCTTCAATTCCTTCGCCAATTTTTTTGGGTCCGAACATTCACTTGGTGTCGGTGTCGGTGTCTGACTTCCACTCGCACTTCCCTTTCCACCACCACTATTATCACTCAACAAATCTGTGTCCAATTCTTTGATGCCATCATCAACTGCACCTTTTTTGCCTCCTTTTTTCTGCTTCACAACATCTTTTTGTTTATTGGATACATTTTCCCAATCCGATGTTTTATATCCAGTTCGACCTTGTTCATCTCGATACCAAGCTGGATTTAACAACACACTTTTGGACATTTCATTCGAATCGGTTTTATGAATTTTTGCAGGTTCTTTTGATTCGACTGGAATTTCTTTTTCTTTTTGCATAGCTTCAACTTCTCCACTTATCCGATTTGCAATTGCTTGTTTTAATAACGAATTAGAGCTAACGGCTGGCTTTGAAGTTCTTCTCATTCCACCTCCAGGCATAGACGATTTTGACGGCAGTTGAGCTACTGAAATTGTGAAAATGTCATGCGTTTTGCCAACCGGTGCAGGACAACACTTTTGAAAATATAGAAACAAAAAAAAATAATCTTACCTGGGTCCAGGTGCTGACTCGCTGATGTTTGGGACGGATTTGGAGCTAAGGTCGGCGGTGCTGCGGAGTGAAACTGCGCTTCTCGCATGCTACAAAATGAAAAAATTGTCTTGAGAAAAAAGTATTACTGAAGAAAGTACAAATGGGATTTAGTGAATCCTATCCATCCTCTTTTCCACCCGTCAAATTTCATTATTTTTCTCTCACAAAAAAAACTTACCACAATTGTTCATCTTTACTAATTGGAATATTTCTAACACTTGGCGTATATACACCGGCAACAAATTTACAGCACAAATTCATAGCTATTTATATAAACAAAAGACGTCTTCATAGATCAAAAAAATTGAAAACGTCTGTTTATTTTTTTTCGCTTCGCACCCAAATGTCGTCAGCTGTTTGTTCGAAAAGGGGAAAAAGTCAGATTTTTGAAAATGATATGAATTTGATTTTGCATCTTTTTTCTGCTCCTCTTCCTTCTTCTTTTTTATATATTTTTTTTAGTTGACTAGCTCAATGAGATCATAAAAATGTGCATCGGGAAAAGCTTTTTGAACTTTTTTTCGTGTTCTTTACGAATTTTCAACAAACGGGTGAAAAAGATCTGAATAGAAAAAGGGATGAAAAAGGATAAAGAAGAATTACCTGCGGAGCAGCGGACGGCCACTGGTGGTTGTGGTGCTCGGGCCGGAATTTGCTTGAGATGGATGGTACGCTCCCTGAAAATCACTACTGTAATATAGGTTTGAAACAATATTCTTGTGTTGGTATTTTGACTCAAGTAATTTCCAAATAAAAACACATAATTTTTAAAATCTTGTAACATTTGTTTGCTGATGTGAGGTCAAAAGATGTTATTCATATTCTGAAAAAAAAAGTGTTCAATTTTTGAAACATCTGGATTTCTATGAGAAACAATGATGGGAATATTTAATATAAACTCAAATTATGATTAATTGGAATCATTTAGAAATCTTCAAATTCAAAAATGATATTGATACAATATAAATTGAAATCCAGAGAACCTGAACACTTGCATTTTGAGATCACTTCCCCCTAGTTGCTTAAAGAACTTCAGAAATCTAGTTTTTTTTAAATTTTGATTAAAAAACTCATATGACGTTCGTTTTCTAACAAAATATATCCTTTTTCTCACAATCAATTTTCAAAACAAAAAACAAGGTTTCCGTATTAATCGCATACCTTTACTCCTCACCTGTGATGCACCTCCACCTCCTCCATGTGAATGCCCATGTCCTCCCCCATGTCCACCTTCACCTCCACTTCCGACCATTCCTTGAACCCAATCTGGATATTTATACAAACAACATGATCGAATCTTTTTTGGTAATGCTGGTGGTTCTTCTCTGAAACACGATTTTGACTTACATATGTGCATCTTTGAAAAAAACTGAAATTAAGCGGCACACAGCGAATTATTATTGATATGAATATTTATTATGGCAAAAAAATGTCAAACTAAAAAAATGGTACAAGAAAAAATAATGAAAAAGACAATTCGAAGAATGAAATTAAAAAAATAATACGATCACATTTATCAATATGAAATGTTAACGGGGAAAATAGTTTCAGAAAGTTTCACCGAGAATAAATAATTGTTAAAAAATATTTGTTGATAATAAAGATGAATGTTTTTGTTTTTTAGTTGTTTGTATATACCAGTGTATCTTTTTCAAAAAATACAAATTTCAAATCAGATCAGATCAAATCAAACAGTGTGGTGCACAAAATACAAATCCAAGTGTGGTGGTCAAGACGATGTGGCTGCCATTTTTTGCATTTGTGTTTGAAAATTGTCACTGAAATTGTGTGATAAAGCAAAAAACACACTTGTTTGACTGGAAGAGGTACTCACACTTTTGGTTGTTGTCGTTGTAAGAAAGCGCTGAGAAGATCAATTGGGAATGGGAAGATTATTGTAGAGTTTTTCTCGGCTCTGAAAAATGCAAAAAGATTGAATTTCTAATGTTTTCTCCTTAATATATCAACAAATATAGAAAAATGGCTTTTCGAATTCCATCATGAAATTTATTGAAAAAGAAACTCACGAGATACTGTTGAGCGTTTGCAAATAACGGAGTTGAAGAGCAGATGGACTTTCAGCAATGACTTCAGCAGCTTCTTTCAAAGCTCGGGATGCTTTCTGTTCTCCTTCAGCAACAATAACCTTAAATTCACAATTTAAATCTGGAATAAGTAAATCTGGAAAATCTTCCAGTTTTACAAATCCTTATTTTTCGAGTCAAAACAAATGATTTCAGGCAAAAATTGATATTAACTCTTATGCTGACAATCATTTGAGAACTCTCTTCAAATTATACTATTTTTTTTTGATAAACTTTTTTTTTTGATTTACCTTGGCTCTGGCTTCACGAGCAGCTTCGGCTTCAGCAGCCATGGCACGTTGAAGTTGAACTGGAAGACGGACATCTTTGACTTCGACACGTTCGACTTTCACTCCCCAAGGTTCGGTTGCTTCATCGAGTGTTGTCTAAATTATTTTCATTTATTTATCAGCCAAGCAGGCAAACATCAAGATTTTCTAAAACAAAAACAGTGAGAAAAAACTGACCTGCATTTGATGCGAGATGGCTTCTCGATCAGAAAGCATTTCAGCCAAAGTTTTGGTACCAAGAATATTTCTCAAAGTGGTTTGAGCAAGCAATTTTGTAGATCTTGCTGCGTCTTCGACATTTGTCACAGAGATTGTCGCATTTGAGATTCGGAAATAGACGACAGCGTCGACGGCAACAGTTACAGAATCTTTTGAAAGAATTTCTTGAGGTGGAACTTCGAATGAAAGAACACGTAAATCAACTTTTCGATATGTATCAATGCAAGGAACAATGAAGAAAATACCTGAAAAATATTAAAGAATTTGGAAATATTGAAAAAAAAACTGTTGCAGAATTTTTATTGCAATATTAACAAAAAATTATTCGGATGCATGAAAGTGATTACTTCAGAAAATGAAATCAGGATTTTGAAACATTTTGAAAGCATTCTGACCACGGTGCGCTTTTCTTTACGCAAATACCCGTCGCGAAAAAAATGAAAAAAAAATCATAGTTTTGTGAAAAAGACGCAGAGAAAATGGGGCAGCAAATGCAGCGAGTGTTCGTTTTATCATTAGAGCGCGCTTATCCCTCTTTAGCAGAAAAATTTGACGACGGTCGTTTTGTTTAAGCGACGTAAAGAAAAGCACACCGTGTGAAAATAATCTTATCAATATTTTTTGAATGTAATGAAAGTTTATTTGAAAATTCTAGAACCTAAAATCCAGAGCACATACAATTTTCACATCAATCACCGGATGTTTTTCGCAAGCATTATAATATCCTCTTCAACCTATTTTCTTCATGTTTTCTTAATCTTTATCCCTTAACTAACCAGGTCCTTTTGCTCCACCCGGCATTAGACGACCAAGTCGAAAGATGACAGCTCTCTCGTATTCTTGAACCACCTGCAAAAAAATAATTGATGTTTTTTTGCTCATTTTATATTTGAAAAACACATAAACAAAAACGAACCTTGATGCACATGCATGCTGAAATTGGAAGTGTGAAGAAAATGAGAAGATATGACAAAATTGTCAAAATCCATCCACATACACCGAATTCATTTTGGATGTTTGCTGAAAAAATAACAGCTTTTATTTGGAATTGAACAATTTAACCAGTTTTGCCCTTCTGTTTTTCACAATAATTTGAAAATTAAAACAAAAAAAAAAAGAATTTATTGTAAAAAACCTTCAACATTGAAATAATCCTTTTTCTTGACAGCCGGTAAAATAATCGAAGTTGAGCTTGAAGTCGATTCGCGAGTTTTCATCAAATCTTTATTAGATACAAATTAGAGACAAAAAGTCCAAGTAGATAGCAAAAATATATGTTAGCTGTTAGCTTATAGATCGAATTACATTACAAAAAAGTTTCTCGATTTAAAAAAGAACCGGATATTTTGATCGGATATGCACTTTAACAATTTTTTTGTGTTAGTGTGCGGTTTAAAAGTAAAGTTTTTGTTGTAAAAAGAATGAGATAAAAAATGACGAAAAACAAAAACGTTCTGTTCCAGAAGAGAAAATTGCATTAGCAAATAGGATTGTCTAAGTCTCTATTTCTCTGGAAAAATTTCAAATAGATATTTTTTGGAACGAACGAACACTTTTGTTTTTGACATCTACATATATCTATATTTTCTTCATATTTTTATTTTATTTATTTATAAAAACATGAGAAAAATAAGAATAAAATAATTCTAGAATTTTTTGTTGAAGTGGAAAAACGTTTTTTCGAAAAAAAAATGAGTTGGATAGGAAATGATTTTTTTTTTCTTTTCGTTTTCCACTTTTTTGAAAAGTAGAAAAAATGAAAAGGAAAAGCCGGAAAAATCGAATTATCCACGAATATATTTTATAATGTTGAAAGTGCTTTCATATGTGTTTGGTTGGTTTTGTATTTTCATCTGTTTCAAATTTTTTTCTTGGTTTAAATAAAATTAGGCGAAAAAAACAACTTTTCAATAGAAGGTTGAAAGATCAAATTGAAAATGTTCCAAAGGTTTCGAAAATAAATTAAACAGAATTTCTGCAAGAAAAGTTAGTTAATTTCTCTGAAAAATAGCCCGGAAATTTGATGTAAAATATTCTAGAGGACAATATAATAGCAGACAATGAATGATAAAACAAAAATGAATCTCTGAGCAAATTAGATGAAGGCTAGTTATGCTTCAAAAGGTGATTACTCTCGGATGAGTGATTTTTGTTCAAAAAAGTGATCTCAAAAAATTATCTTATAAATAGTGAGAGAAAGGGGAATTCATAACTGAAAGTTAATTTTGGAAAATTTCAGGTTCAGGTTCAGGTTCAGGTTCTATATTTATATATTCATTGTGTTCTTCAGATTAGAAATACTTTACGTAGAGAAGTAAATACAAATTAGTTAGACTAACTCAACAACTGGAATCCAATCTAAAAGACCTGACAATGTGAAAAAGTTCCAATTCCCAAATCAAATTTTCGAAAATAAAAGAAACAGAAAAGAGAAGACAAACCTTTTTTTGATCTACCCATTAGAAAAATTGGAGTAAAATAGTTTTCCGCATACAACATGATCAAAATGAATTAGTTAAGTAATAAAATAACAAGTAAAGTTAAAATAATATCCACTTTTTGTCGTGTCGTGTTTTGTTTTATTTCTTTCTTTCACATATCCTTTTCAAACAAGCTCCACCAAAAGGAAGGGTAAATTAGATTTTTCATCATTTTGGGAGAAAAAAATTCCATGGTTGTGAAAGAGAGAAAAACAATAGTCTTGTGTGTGTGCAATTTCGAGTAGTTGGTTTGGTTTTCGTTTTCAAAGCGGGAAGAAAAAGGGGAAAAGAAGAATGAAATTTTAAATGAATTGTTTTTGAGGGCACCTTGTTTTACAAGATAAAAAATGGGCGACACTTGGGAAAACACTCACGAACTTTGCATTTTCAAGTTTTCTCTTATGTGAAACATTTGTTTTCCGAAACAAACTTACATGTGAAATCAGGTCCATATTTTTTGTTTTTATTTCCAGTTTTTCTTGCATTATCAGTGTTAATCCGCGGTATAACTGGTGAGAATTTGAATTCTCTTGGTGGCGGCACTGAGAATTTACGCTCAACTGGCTCATCGTGATTATTCATAATTTATGGTGAATCCATCAGTTTTTGTGTATCGTCTTCAAAAGCAGAATTATCAGAAGAAAATGCAACAAAAAAGAAGAAGAAAAAAACAGATGGGGTTAAAAATGAATAAATAGAATCGAGGTTCACGGCGAACACCTCAAAAGTGACAAAAAGGAACGGCGGGAAAACAGGAAATTTGATTACTTTCACACTTATTTTTTACGTTTTTTTTGGCTGTTGTTTGGCAAAGTCTAGAGTTTCAGAAGGGATATAGAATGAATCGCAAAAGACTTGTGTATTCTGGCTGGAACTAGGATTTTGAAATTGATTTCTAAGGATGATCAATATTTTTCTGATTTAAATATTGTGAAATACAGAGAATGAATTGAAAATTCTGGAAAAAATGCATGGTATAAGTTTTCTGAATTTTTTGCATTGGAAATATGAAGAATAGGATTCGACTTATAATTTTTAGAATATCAAGAAATTGACTTCAGAAGTTCATGTCGGTTATTTTAAAATATGTTATCTACCTTTTAAACAATATTCAGAAAAACTCTAGGTTACGGTATTTCTGAAGTTTAAAATTGATTTAACACAACTATATATTAATTTCTCAATTTGTGAAATATAATTGTAAATGGTTTACACTTGGGAAAACTTTTACAAGCTAGCTAGTAAACAACTTTTTTGTGATATTTTTCAATTATCACAACTGACAAATATTCTGAATTTGAATCTAGATTGAAACAATGGGAGAAGGGAAAGTCATCATTGAAAACTATAAACCGTCAAATTCTCGAAGTCTAAATTTTCTAGATTTCTCTGATGTGGAACAACGAAATTAATTTTCAAGAGTCTAAAAAAATCTGCAGAAACATTGCTAACAGCATCAAAACTCAAAAAAGGCATTGCTTTTTTCTTTTACTTCATATCCGCCGAAAAAAAACATGGAGAAAAAGTGTGTCATATGTATCATCTCGAATAAAAAACCTAATAACAATCATATAAAAACATATGTGCTTTACTATAGAGAAATTTTGGGATCTACATATCTGCGCAAGTTTTTTGTCGGTTTGCAGGAAAGGCAAGCAAAAAATCAAGAGAAAGCACAAATAAATTTTATCTCAAAACAAAGAAAACGAGAAATTTATCTTCTTTCCTGGATTCCTGGATTGAGCTTTTTAGAATTCTTCGCCTCATCCATCCATTTATTTATTTATTTATGTTATATATAGGTTTTTCATTCTTATAAACAAAACGATTCTCCGGCTATTCTTCATTTTTCAAACTAAAAAAATCAGAGAAAACTTGTGAAATTTGCCTGTTCAAGAAAAAATGAGAATTTTTGATGAGAAAGAAAAAACGAAGAAAGAAGAATATAGACACTTCATTTCACTCCAGAAGACAGCGAAAAAAAAAACACAGGAACGAAGGAAGAAAAAAATAAAAAGTGGTTTTGTTATTGTTGTGAGAAAAATAAGAAGAGGATTACTGTTTCAAGCAAAAAACAGAATACTACTATAGATCTTCAAGAGAAAAACCTCCCAGTTTTTATTGTAAAAATAATAAACAAGTCATTATCAAATTCTTGTAAGAACATACTAGAACGAGGCTAATAAGAAAAAAACTGAATATATACTAGGATATGCTTTAAAAGTAAAAAAAACATTGAACGGACATAGAAAACAGGAAACTGGATCAGAAAAGTTTTAGTCAGTCCAAATTTATTTATATATTTATTTTCAGAATTTGAGATTTAATATCAAGACTGTATTATTTCCTCTGAAATTATTTAAAGATTCAATTCGAGCACTAGGAACTTGTTTTAATGAATAAAAGTGACAAGTCAACTTACTTCTCCCTAATAAAGTTCTACACTTTTGATTAATATTTTGTTTTGTCTTTCTATAGACAAGTGAAAAAGAATCAATGATATTGTTGTGTGTCAGAAAAATATTATTATGATTATTATTATTATTATTACTATTAGTATTCAAAAAGTATCGGTTCGATGGAGAGAGGGAGTATATGAAAAAATGTGAAAACGAAAAATAAAATGTCTAGAACAGGAAATTTTTCAGCGCGGCGGCTCCTCATTTTTTGACTATTTATTTATTTACGCGCCCCCATACTAGAAAAAAATAGAAAAAAGTAACACCAAAAACAAAAATTTGTCGTTGTTATTTATAGACTTTTTGTGGTTGATTTGGATAATAATTTTTTGATCGTGAAAATAATGAGATGCTTGGAATAGTGATTTTGAATGGGTATTTGGAAAAAATTGAGTTTGAATGTGAAAATTTTCAGAGATTTGCAGCTATTCTCATTTGTATTGAGAAACAATTTTCTTTAGATTTATAGGCTTTAGATCTGAGATAGATTCCTTTTTCTATTTCCTGGCATTTTTTCGACTTTCGAGAAGTCAGAATTTGGCTTTTAACGTTAAGCTCATCAGAAAAAAAGAATTTTGAAATTTCTCATTCTGAAAAATGTATCAGTGACAGTTTTGCTTTATCATAGATTCGAATTGAATAATTATTCTGAACTAGTAATTGAAATTATTATCAAGTTTCAAAAATTTCTAACTGAAAGAAAACGAAACCTATTTCCCTACAAACATTTTTGAAACTTTCATTTTTTAAAAATCAAAAATTTCAGAAATATTGTCTTTAAGAATATAAAGAAGCAGAAACAAATCAAATTTCTCACGAAAATTTATTTCATTAGAAGGAACACCGGATTTTTCGCTATTCTAAAAACAAACTAAAAGTGCATTTTTCTCAAATAATGAAAACAAAAATTCTCTACAGACAAAGTAACCATTTTTCGAGGAAAAAATAACTGGAAAATGTGTTAGTTGTCGACACCGATAAGTGGTAAACAATCGTACTAATATTCAATTTGCCATTTATGAGCTATTGGCTTTGGCCAAAAGTGGGACAAAAAATGAGGAAAAAGTTACAGCCGAATGTGAAACTGGGACGCTTCTTCTCCTTCATTTGTTCCTTGTTTTTGTTGCCTTTCAAGTACTTTATTTTTTTCGGCGTCAAGAGAAAATGAGAAAAAATATAATAATAACAGAGGCAAAAAGGAAAAAAGGATCAACTGTGAAAAATTGACCAAACGTTTTTTGACACTTCGACAACAAAAATGGAAACTTCAAAGACGATACCGGTGAGATTGATATAGAAGAAAAGGCGGAGAAAGTGTTTGTGTAAAAAATGACTTTTAATATAAAATTAAGGATAAGTTTATATAAATTCAAAATATTCCGAAAAAAAACCAAGTGGTATGTTAGTTAACTTCGAACTAAGAAACTTTAAAAAATTTGAATTTCTTTGAGGTTATAGTTTCTATCATAATCAAATAATTAAATAAATTTTTAATCGCCACCAATCTTTCAACATAATTCATTGGATCCTATTTCCAAGAAGATTTTTGAGAATTCTTTTTTGAAAATAAATATAATAATTTTCAAAGTATTCGAAAACATTAACAAAAATCTATTGGCATTTTTGAAATAATTATCTTATTAAAAGTCAGACCTAATCATTTCAACCAAAAAACGGAAACTTCTAGGAAAGCTCTTTTGTAAACCCAACCCAATAATAGAAAAAACATCAAGACGTCTACCAAGTTAGCTTTTTTGTCTAGTAATACCTTCTTCATTCTCATTGCCCGATTTATCTTCATTTCCGCCACCTCCGCCTTTCTCAATGTCTTTTTGTTTTTTCAGCGAATCGCCGTCATCCGAATTAGCAGCCGATATAATAGATGTACTCTTAAAGAAAAAAAGAGGTTTGTGTGAACGAACTTTAGAAAAAGAAAAGAAAAATAGCAAATCAGAAAATTATGAAAGCAAGAAACACTCAATCAAAAATAACCTCTTCAAGATTTTGCAAAGTTCTAGTTGCCATATTTTCAACTTCATCCGAACTTGTTGATAACAAATCATCATCTTTTGAACTTGATGATGTTGCCATCATAGCACCTTCTTGTTGACTGGCACCGGATGCCAAACGAGTTTCCACTTTGACAGAACCATTTGAACTTAGGCTGACCACCGAATTTCTAGCCGATGACATTTCCGAACAAAACTTTCACCAGACAGAATAAGACTAGAAATAGAACTGGTCACCAATCAGAAATGGTGAAACTGGTGAGAATGAAATGAGGAGACACTACTATCAAATGTATAGGGATTCTCGAAAAAAAAGAGGAGAAAAGAAACAACTATTTGTAATCAGAAATGCATTGAATTACAGTGAGAGTGTAAGTGAAATAGTAGGAAGAAAAGAGAGATTCAGAGAAATTAGATGGGGTTTTGGAGTATATGCATATTTTGGTTGATCGGTCAACCAGTACATTGAATTTCCAATGATCGTACTTTTGCATGTTATTTTTGGAACTTTTGGTGGAGGGAGCAAAGAAGAGATGAATGTGAAAGTGAGTCCAAGTCTATTCAAATACTGAGAGAAATGGAATATGGATATGATTTTTGAATTAAAAAACAGTATGAAAAATTTGTGTTTTCGAATTATTCTGGAAAACACAAATGTGATGGAATTACATAAACATTTTGAAAACTTCGAATAATTAAAATCAGGATATAGTTTGAAAATTTGTTTCATCTCACTCTCAATGTAAAATTTTTTTCCTTTCCTACTATTTTTGGTACTCTGAAACTTCTAAAGTTCAAAAAAATAGAGCTAAATAGTACTATTTTCTGTGAAAAAATCTCAACAAAAACAATTTTACTTTGGAATTGATAATTTTGAAATCTGTCTCCATTAATTTCTTCAGTTCTCAAACTCAAGTCAGAATTCTCAAAACATAATTTTATGATTTTCCTGGTTCCAATTTCTTCCTTTTTTTCAACTGAATATTAAATTTTCCCATGAATTTTGAGTAATGTACTTTCGAAAACAAAAATGTTTTGTTTTTTGTTCTATTATTTTTCTTTCCGAATGCTTATTTTTTTTCATTCCAACGTTCCTCATAATTTTTAAAACCACACTTCCAACTGTCATATTACATCTCTTCACCACATTTCTTTCTGTTTTTTCTCTATTTTTTTTTTCAAAAATCTCTTTTCACAACAAAAATATTTTATTTTTCCCACAAATTAGAGATAAAATTCAATTTTTGAATAGATAAATAATGGCGAATGAAAAATTTGCTTCTCTCTAATTAGATAATTGTTTTCGAATGTGTTGTGTTCGCTCACTTTACACCAAAATGTGTATTTTTTGGGCGGCGGTAAAAACACCAACAACACCCGTCGAAAACATCCGCAAAAATGTATACGAAAAAAATTGTTGCGATAATAATATTTAGTTTTTATGTGTGTGTGGTGTGTTGTGGGTATTTGAGAAAAAATATGGGTGGTCTCAATTGAATCAGGTGGATTTTGCTCATTCTAGATAAGAAATGTGGAAAAAATGACATCAGAAATGTCAAGATTCTCACAAAAATTTAAAATTCAAGAAAAATGTTTGAAAAGTTTTCGAAAAGATTAGGTGTTTGGTTTTTGAGTCGCAAGAAGAGTTGAAAACTAGACAGACGAAAAAAAATTGTATTCTAGAAACTGGTTGAAAAAAATTGATAAAATTTTTCAGAAATTTATAGAATCGGAATAGAACTTTAAACCAAGATTTCAAAATTCCAAGAAATGTTCGAAATTTTTGGAATTAGTCAGACTTTCTCAGTCATGGCTTCTGGAACCAACTAACTTGAATATAGAAAATTCTTGTCTTTTTTTTTCTTTAGAAATTCAGACAGTCCTTCTGTTAGATCCAAACTTCATATACAATTTTTGAAAGTCACAAAAAACCAGGAAGAATATAATTATTGTCTTGTTTATGCCTCTAATTCTTCTTCTTTTCTTTTTTTGCTTTTTTCTTCCCTAATACCCTTTTCTGCCCTAAAGATTTTCCAACTTGTCACGCAATTCAGTATTTTTTCTCAACGCACAAACATGTTTCAGCAAAAAAAAGACAACGTTGGTCAATTTCGCGGCGCGTGAATTGATGAATAAAAAAACAGGCGCTTTACATTATTAACCTTTTTTGTGTGTCGATCGCAGAAAATGACTATGTTGCTTTCCCGTTTTCTGCTTTTTCCCCCGAATTTTTAATCAGAATGTGAGACTTTTGGAGTCATAAGAAGGCAAAAAGAGTAAAATGAGACAAAGTCAAAGAATAAGCAAATGTTGCTAGTTTTCTCGTAAATCTCTCACAAATCTTACATTAAGTAAGTCAAATTTGCATTTATTTTTGGAGTTACAAAAAAAAAGCCGATGATTATAATTGTGAGTCAACATGCACTTTCGTTTTCCTAATATATAATTAGCTAAAATTTGTAAATGCTTTCTTTTTTTTGGACAATTTAGTGAATTTGAGGAAAAAAACAGAATAAGAAAAATAAATTTAAAAAAAGACTCACCAGAAAGTAGATCAATTCTTTGTCCATTAAATTTTCCAATCATTTGAGCTGCTTCAAAAATACTTGGAGGTGTTGGTTTTTTAGGATTTCTACGATTCTCAATATCCTGCATTCTTTCTCGAATGCTACGTTTCCGACTCATTGATGATTCTGAAGGTGCGTGTAAACTCGAAGCTGCTGACAATGCTGACAATTTTCGATGATGATGATGATGTGATCCAGCACTTGAACACTCGTCCAAAAGACAACTAGCAACATCCAAATTAGATTCCATTTTAAAGTTTCAGTTTTGATAAAACGATAATTTAGGAGAATAAATTGATTTTTGATTTCGGGATAATTAAAATAGAATAGTAATTAATAATCATAGACAACAACGAACAATGCTCAAAATAAGTGCTGTCAAGGGGTAAGTGAGCTCAAAAAAAACGTGGAGGCGGAGTCTTGTCGCCTGCTCTAATGGCTCAATTCGCACGGATGTGTAGTAGAAAAGGAAGAAAGAAGGGGGGGGGGGGTGAATTTTAGGTGTGTCAGTCAGTTATTTTTTTCTTCTCCCTAACTAAATTGACACTTTAATTGAACTAGGAATGCTTACAAGTTTGTATGTTCCGAAAAAGTTTTTTGGCTCACTTTATTTCTCATTTTCTCTCTTTTATCCTCTAGTTTTTCTCTGAAATGAGTGGAAATTTGAGAAAGAACATCATTTCGGATCAAGTTTCGTCAAGTCGAAAAATGATGAATCTTGAAAAAAACTGTTCGAAATAATGTTTAACCGGAAGGAACTTTTTTCTTTGCAAAACAAAAAAAACCGCCATAGAAAAGAGTCATATCATAAAAAATAATCGGTTTTTTTGAAACTAAAAGATTCATTTTGTTTTTCGATCCGGATAGATGCTTGCTCATTTCAAAAAGAATAAAAGTGCTTCAAATTAGCATAATCAGAACAGAAAAGTCTGTTAAAAAAAAGCAGGAATGAGATTTTTGTTGGTTGAAAATGTGAGAAGGCAATGGTTTAAATGAAGTGGTTTTAGTTGGAGGGTAAGGAAATTAACTTTTGTTTTTTTTTCTTTTTTTTACTACAGTAATTTCTCCAAGAAAAACCATAAATCGGGAAAAAAACGAAGGCGGTTATTAGAAAAAGGCAGCTGCAAAAGTGACATTCGAACATTTTGCTATTCAAAATCTGCAATTTTTCATTTTCAAAAATTGGATTTTTCTATTTCTATTGGAGAATTCTCATCTTTCTGAATAAAAATGACATTTTAACATTTTCATCCTAGGAAAAAAGAAAAATGAAATGAAATTTCACACCTTTCCCATGGTGTCATTTTTGACAGTTTCCTTTATGTTTACCCAATTTCGTCCTGGAAATTTCCAAGAAATGGAAAAAAAAACTTCATATCTTCTCACACAGTTTAAAAATTCTTCGATATATATTTATGGTCATCATCGGCTCTTATTTCATTTAGAATAGGAGAAAAAAAGAACGTTTGTTGTACTCAACGCACAAATTAATTTTTCATGTTTTTCACACATCCGATCGAGTGACCATATACATCTTTTATTTTTTTCCCGTTTTTCTACGAAAAATAACGGGGCAAAAGGGGGGTCCTAAAGAAAGAGTGGTGAAAACGAACGGAAATTTGGATAATTTTTGAAGAACAAGAAAAAAGATGAAAAAAAAGTTAAAATGAGAAAAGTACTTTTTCGTTGAGAACAGTTGAATGAACTTATGTATTGCAACTTTTTTCAGCTGTTCAGCGAAAATTGTATTTTGTTGTTTCAAAATGAGAATAGTGAATCTAAATTGGGTGTCAGACATTGAAAAAAATTGGGTATGTTAGGCTCACAATCAAATTTCACAAAGTTATGGAAAAAATTTAGTTCATATTATTTACAGTGTCTGGAATCGTACTAGGAAAATATTTTTTCCGATGACTAAAAAACCGTATGAGTTTTTAAGAATTACAGAATCTTTCCTATTTTATATTTTTAGAATACTGATCCAAAATGTAGAGAAAAAACCTTTTTTCTAAGTTTTGGGAAATAAAAATCTGATAGTGGTTTTCTGAAGTCAAAAAATTCAAAAACAAATCTCAGACCACGATACATAAACAACAACACTACCAAATTGTGCTTCCAATTTTTGGGATTCTTATCAAATTTTCAAAAACAAAAAGTACTTTTCTCATACCAAAAAAAAACATTAATTCCTACAAGATCCTCTCACGAATAACATAAAACAAATGAAAAAAAGATAGTTTACAAAGAAGACTCTAGTCCATTTTCAAAAAATGCATGTTTATAAACACAGAAAAAAATGAGAAAACAAAAAAAGTACATATTTTTACATCAACGAAATAATACATTCGCGCTACATATTTCTTTGAAAAAATTGAAATGTCCATTATTTTTCAACACTTACCTGTTTGATTAATTGCAATTTTTCGCAATAAATTTTTAAATTACTATTCTGTGTTTGTTACTCACAAAAACCCAAAAATAAAAATGAACTCACGTTTTTTGGGAGCTTTGCCTTTTTTCGGAAAATATCGGATGTTTTCGGTTCTTATACTTGGAGCATCTACAGTCATCGCAATTCGAGCATTGATCTAGATTCAAAAAATTCGTCAATAAGGAAGTTACGAATTTGAAGAGAAAAAATCAATATTGTACACAAAAGCTGGTGTTTGAGATATCAAATTATTTTAGGAAAAAAATATTCAATTTCCTGCGGAAATTTGAAAAATAAATTATTTTCAGAAGACAGATAAAGTTTAAAAATTTTTAAAAAATAAATGAGGGGTGGGGGAAATGAATTAAAGATAACCAATATCAAAAAGTTGACAGTGTAAAAATTTCTTCTGTGAAAACAAGATCTGATACAACTGGAACTAAAAAAATTTGAATATGAAGATTTTGAAAAAAATCAAGTTTTCTCTTTAAAATCCAGTTCTCTTTAAAATCCAGACAGCTTGAAAATCTCAAAATGTAATCCATCAACCAGCGGTAAATTTCTAGATTACACACTTATAATTCATATTTTTTCAGTTTTTGTTTTGATTTCTGGATTTCAAAATTCAGATATTTTTTTTAGCAAAATCAATGTCTCGTTTTATCCTCATCAAACAAAACAACCAAACATTTGGAAATATCAGAATAATTTTTTGTATTCATTATGATTTTTCTAGCCATCACACACATCAATTCCCAAACTTTCTTACCATTCTTGGTTGTGGCGCAGTGGCCAAAATCGAAAGACATAATGAAGTATAAGGTGATGGACTAGCTCCACTCAACGAAGATCTTGTTCCAGATGGTCCACTTATTGATCCAGAAGATTCACCAGGTCCCCATATTGGCGGCTCACTTTGTTGTTGTAATATTTCCGGGTCGAAAGACGATGGTCGTCGCGATGAAAGCGACGGAGGTTCGAGTGGTCCACGAATTTCGAATTCAGATTGATTGTTTGGTGATTATTTGTCACCAAACAATAATGTCCACAAAATAAACCGAATATAATTCTTATTAAAACTAGGAGCTAGTTGGTGTTTTTGTGTGGTGTGAAGGCAAAAATTGACACATTTTGTGATTTTTTGTGTGTTGATTCTCGTGGGACCTGCTCCTCTCCTTCACATTTTTGCGTGCGTTTTTGAGCAACTTTTTCTTCTTTGTCTTTTCGAATGTTTCTTGGTGTGGAGAAGGAAATGATGTGTGTGTGGTGTGTTTCGTTTTTGGTATGGGTTTTTGTTTGATGAGCATGTAGTTTTTAAAGGAACATGGAAATTTTATGAAGAGAGAGAGAAAGAGAGTAGAGTAGAGTTTGAAACTTGTTCTATTTTTTGATCGAATTATACATAAATATGCATGTGAGAGTTATAAGAAAAAGTGTTATGAAAAAAAATATGTCTGAATTTTCAGAATATCTCTGAAAATTCATTTTTTTTTTGGAAGTGTAGGCTGAAAAATTGTAGATTATTCGTGAGGTCAAAAGACATTTCACGAGGGTACAAATGAAACAATTTCTTTTACTAAAAATACTTTCAGTCTGTAACCCAGACACAATTTCAAAATTCAAAGATTTTCATACAAACTTGGTTTCAAAAAATGAAAAACCAAAGAAAATATGGTTTAAACGAATTAGTTCATTTTTTCAAAAATGAATATCGATTTTTTTAAAATGATATTCGAAAAATCGGTGAACTTTAATAAAATGAAAAGCATTCTCGATTAATTTAGAAAATCCGATAGTTTTTTTTTTTGAAAAATGTCGAAAGATGTTTGAGGGAAATAAATCTAACAATAATTTTTTATCAAAATAATATTAGAGAAAGGAAACTCAAAAAAAAAAACAAGCCGAAAAACAATTCTTGAGTTTTGAAAGTTCAACGTCATTCTAGGAGTTGGTCAATAATAACTACGTAGTTCCTGGCATAGCTAGAAAAAAAACTATGTTGCTCTTTTTTGGAAATTTGATACAATTCACAAAACCAGGTGGTGTCAACAGATTAATTTTGAAAGAGTCTGATGTAAATCCAGAAAAAAATCAAGAAATAAAAAAATAAAAAAGAGAAAAGTGCAGATGAGTTAACCTGATAAAAATAGGAAAATGTGTCACTTTTACACAAAACTGGAAGAAGCTTATTTAAAAATCTCTAGTATTGAAAAAAATATATTGAAGAAAAACTTATCACGGCTATAAATTTTTTATGAATCGAGCTTTTTTAGGAAATGTGATGTGAAAAACATGAGAATACATGGATTATTATAATAATTTCTATTGAAGTTTAGAAAAAAACACAGACAGAGATAGTAAAAAGAAGACATATGGATTGGAACGGGAAGAAAAACTACCGGACATGAAAAACATATGTTTCGAATTTTGACAACAAAAATAAAAAACAACGATAATTAGTTTGAAATGTTCAAAGCACAAAAATATTTTGTTGGCTATCAAAAAACAACCAGTGCAGATTTTTCAATGAAAGTATTCAACATAAATTTATGTGAGTTGATTTTTGAGGTTTAAGATACAAAATTTGATGAATGAAAACGTGATTCCAGATATTTATTAAAAACAGCGTGAATTTAACAGAAGTATAGAAACACTTCTAGACTTCGTGCTTGATACTATCGTCTAGTATCCTCACAATTCATAAAATCAAAATCCACATCACGAAAAATGCTGTACTTTACATTTTTTTGCAATAAAAATTCTAAAAGTTCCGACATCTAATTAGAATTCAGCACTTCAAAAAATTATATAATTTTTTTGAAGACCTCCATTACTCTCTTGATTTTGCATAATAAATAGGAGCAATGTTTTGTGTTTGTTTGAGAAAACAAAATTATAATTTTTCCTAACAAAAAAAGAAGAAGGAAAAGAAATCTTTTACGATTTCATAAAAAACTCAACTCTTCATAATTTTTATGAAAAGTTATAAAAACATTTTTGTTTTACATCTGTGTAAAGCAGGTTTTGTGAAAAACACACAAACAATTGAAATGAAATCTACTCACACCGGAAAGAATGAAACCTAATCAAATCTAGACACTCTCAATACAAATGGAGTAACAAAATCTTGACACAAAATGTGTTGTGATTTGGGTTCCAGAAAAAAGTGAAACTAGATGAAGAAAAAAAAGGAAGAGCAGAAGTATGAAAGTGCATGATGATGAGTTGTTTGGCGGAAAACAGCGATCAAATCGGTGCACGCTTCAGCTCACACATGCTTTTTCGATTTTTTAGCATCCAAAAAATAACCCAGAAAACCTGTTACAAAAATCCAAGTAGATAATTTATATAATTGTTAAAGCTCAAGAATTTCTACCAATATCTCGTAAAAAACACATCAAAAGAATAGTAAAAAACTTGGAAATACATATTTTCCGCAATGGGAAACTTGTCAATTATGCAGGTTGCATAATTGAACAATATTTCGCGGAATTTTTCAGAAAAAAAACGTAAAGTGGTGAAAATACCTGTTCCCTAATAAAATATTATTTCAAATCTAATTTTTTTCTCGATTTCTTTGGGCGAGAAATAAAAATAAAGTGAGATATTATGGATGAAAAGTTACTGAATAGCAAACATTGTTAGAATACAATTTCGTTCTGATAGAGATTTTCAAGAAATAAACCATCTTTAGGAGAATTGTCCTGAAAGTTATAAAACCAGAAAGCTTCTATGAACAAAATTCAAAAGCACCAATATTTGAAACATTGAAAAAATAGCTCAAGTTCTTTGAAATAGTTTTGTTCATGGGTTATAAAAACATTTTTCAGTAAAACTGAAATTATTGAACGTTCATCAAATTTAAAATAAATTATGAAAAATTAAATGCATAATTTAGAATTTCTAAATGGCGTACAGTAGTTTTGAACACCTGGAACTCTGCATCTGAAACCGTTCTCAAATTCTGAAGAAACACCTAAAGCAAAAATCCTAACTATGAAACTTTCTTTAGAAAAAAAATAAGAAAAAGGAAAAGTGAAACAGATTTCGTTTCAATTTCAACACACAAAAAAACATGAAAACGGCCCCCCGATTTTCTGTCAAGTGCGCCCAAATTCAATAACCGGTCGGTCGGTCGGAGCACGGACTTTTTTGTGTTGCATCTCCGCCTTTCTTTCCTCTCGTGTGTTTTTGGCGTTTCCATTTTTTGACCCCACTGACATTTCACTTCATGTCAGAGAAAAATATACTTTAACAAAGTGCAAACAAGATTTTTTGTTGGGAGAAGAGTTGATGCGTCAAAATTCGATAAAAACTTGTGATTTTTTTTCAAGAATGCAACAGAATAAGAAAAAAAATAAGAAAAAGTAGACGAAAGAAAAACGGCCGACTGAAAATCAGTGTGTAAAACAAACAAGAGGAAAACAAAAAAGGACATCGGATTGAATTTCATTTTCAGAATTGGATGAAAGAGAAATATAAAAATATGTTTTTTTGGTAGACAATGACGAAAAGATTAAAATTAATGAATGTGTGAACAACCTGTGTCCACATAATACTCACATTTGTTTTGTCTTCGTTTTTTCCCATACTCAAATCCGTTGTTGTGAGAAACACTAACTCAAACTCAATTATGTTTTGTTGAGGATTATTCAATAATTTTGACGCCAAAAACAAGCTTTCAAAAAGTTTGTGCGTCTTTGAAGAGGTGCAGAGAAAAAAAAGGAAATTTTTTAGATTTTCATCAGATATCAGAAATTAATATTAGGAATATCACAGAACTTGACTATTTTGAGAATAATAACATATTCACTTCATAAAATACTGTTTGATTGAGTTGAAAGTTCCCAATCAAAAAAAAAAATTGGAAAAAAATCAATTGTTCCATTGTATGATAATTGAACCAAAAAATAACGCCAAGATAACACTTGTTAAAATTGAATTTAAAGTTAATTTTTGAATATTGTTTTTAAGAGATAGTAAGAGTGAATCAAATAGTAATTTGAGTTCAAATAGATCACCTGTTTTTATTAAGCTCAAGTGTTGAACTCAGCTTTTTGAAAACTTCGTGAAAAAATCAAGTTATCATTTTTTTCCATCGATCATTAAAATCTAATATTTTCCGATGCAAGCTCCCAAAAAACCTGAAATTCTGTAACAATGCCTCCCCCCTTACCCACATGCCCTTTATCAACTAACCTCCAAAAACTTCATTTCCATTTTGAATTGCATATGTTTTGGCAGTGTACTTGTTCAAATCACCTCCTTTGAATTCCGAATTGACAGATTTGTTATCACGAGTTCGTTTTTTTGTCATAAAGACCTGCAAAAATTAAGTAAGTTAGAAATCCTTCTTTTGATTTTTTAATTAACTTTAATAATTATTTTTATATTTTTTGTTAGTTGAAATCAGTTTTTTAACATATTCAAAAATTTGGTGCTCATTAGAAAGAAAATATACAACTGAAATTTTATTTGTTTTTTCAACATGCAAACAACATGCGACTTGTTTAAAAATTCTATTGTCATTTGAAGTTGAGAAAAAGGGAAAATATAGATTGAGGTAGGGAAAATAGAAGTAAGTGAAGTGCACATACTACCGGCTCAAATCCGTGTTGTTCTTGAAACATTCGACGACGAAATGATTCGTGAGCACATCGAAATTGGCGGACAACACGATTTTCAGTGTGTTGAGGAGGAATTGATGCTTCGAGATCAAGATGGTGATGTTCACCAATTGAACCCGATGATGTTGGTTGACGTTTTCCAGAACTTGTACTGAATGATCTGAACAAAACCTTTTCAAAATGAATAAAATTTTTATCGTATGCAATAAGAAACATATTTTTTGAACAATTAAACTCTAAAAATTGTGAAATAATTGAAATGGTAATTGAATTAACGTTCGACAGAAAAAAACATCTGAAATTTAAAAATTAGTATTTTTAGCAAAAAAAAACAATCAGCTCTATGAAAAGTTTTCAACTACTAAAATGATTTTTGCGCTTCACGCGTAGTGTTTTTCGATTTTCTTCGTTGTATTCCGAATTTGTAATATATTACAATCCGTGATTATTGTGACAAATAATTCGTTTTTTAGGTAACCTATTTTTTATGAAACAAGTGTAGATCAGCTCACATCTTATCATAATTTTAAAAGTCTTTTACAACCCACAACCTTTTTTATTTAAAAAATTTCATAAATTTCCGAAGATTTAAATATCGTAGTTAAAATACAATTGCATTTCTGGAAATGTTAACTTTTCTTCAAATTTTCAAATATTTCAGAATGTTGTTTTCCAATACTCTTAAAGATTTCTTATACTTGAAAAATGTCAAAAAAACAAAATTTTCAATTAAAAGAAAACTAGAATGAACATTTTGATTCCATGTTAGACTGCAACTTTAATTCCGGAAGTTACTCTAAAAAGGAGAAATGTTTTAGACTTTGAAGATCAAAAACTATACAAATCTTTGATACTTACATTTCACGCAATAAAGTAACATTTTTGTTGAATACAAAAAAGTATCGAATCACTCACCGCATCAAAGAATTCTTGAAACTTTCTCTATGTTCTTTAACTCCGGATGGAGTTCCAGGAGGAGAAGACGATTTTGAACTCATTTTCTTCACCTTTGCTCTGGAAACTTATTTTTCATATTTACTTTTCCGATGCAACATACCCTTGAAAGGCTGATTCAAAAGGGGACAATGATTCGGATGTTTTTCCGGTAGCAGCAGGTGAAGTTGGAACAGATTGAGGTTTCAATTTATGTTTATCTGTCTATAAATTATGGCTTCTTGTAAAATGTGCGCTTTTCGATAGAACATCACATACCTTTTCCTTCATTTTCGATGAAACCCATGAAGAACTCTCGCCAGCTGCAGTCCAAGACATTTCTAGAAAACCATAAAATTAGAATGAACAAGAAAAGATCGGGCAAAAAAATATGAATTTGTATTTTCAGACGCACACAAAAAATATCTATATTATATTTTTATCATTTTATAACGGAAATGAGACATTTCGGCGAAAAAAATTGAAAAAAAAGTGCGAGACGAGAATGGAAAAAAAAAGGATAATCGTTTAATCAACGCAGGATTTTCATATTCATGTTTGATCGTCTTAACATACATATGACATAGATTTTTTCTCTCTGGTGTAAAACATATTTCTGATTCATAATGAACTTGAGTTACTGATGAAACGAGGAAAATGCGGATTAGGTTTGAATAGACGAAGAAAAGTGCATTTTCAACAAAAAGGTTTTGTTATAAATAACAATAAAATATTTTGATCTTAAAAAGTCATATATATGCTTTGAAATAAAAACGAATTCCAATAAAGAGTATCACCTTACATTGCCAAATTTACATATAAAAACCAAATAAACAAAAATCGGGCTTCATTTTTCTGTAGCCAACAAATACATTCATATAAAAATGAAATATAATATGAAATTTTCCTCTATAGTGATATCCAGATAGAGGGGATTATCATTCAAAGGACATCACAATATCTGGATTAATAAATCTCTCTATTTATCAATGCAAGCAGTTCTGATAATAATCTCTTTCAAATTCAATAACAAATATAAATAAAAACGAAAATGAAAATGAGCAAAAAAAAAGAAAAAAATTTCGACCACGGCAGGACTCGAACCTGCAATCCCCAGATTCGAAGTCTGGTGCCTTATCCATTAGGCCACGCGGCCACATTAACCATCGCATAGAAAATTGTAGACTATGTGAGCGTCTCTGTTTCTCTGCACCCTTTTTTACTTGCTTGGAAAGTATATGTGCAGTAAGAAAAAGAAGAAAGAGGAGAGAAGGGGTTAGAGAAAATTGTCTGTGTTCATTTTTTGTGTTCTTTTTTTCGATAAAACTGTGACATGCGTTTTCATCAGACAAAAATGAATTAAAATTGTTGTCTACTGAAAAGAATAAAAAACTCACAGGCTCAAAACCAGATCCATGTTGTTCTTGGAGCATTCGAAGTCTGAACGAGGCATGACCATTTCGAAAACGACTTTTTGGTGGTTGGACCGGTGGCGGACCACTCATTATGTCTTCTTCACCCGAAAGAGCAACAAGCTGAAAAAAAACAATTTTGGAGAAAAATTGATATTTTTATATATAAAGAATTTATTTTTTGGTCACGAATGAAGAAAAACTCATGAAAAACTATGAACTGCACGAGATTTTATAAAACGATAACTTGGATATTTTATATTGTGTTCATTATGCACTATTGATTATAATACAGATTAACTTGATAAAAACACAGAATATATTTTATCACATGAATTTCCCGCATTTTTGAGACATGACAAAAACTTACACGAGGATATGTTTGACCTACCACAAAAAGTTTCGAAAACTTTGAAACCTAGATATTAGGGTTTAAAAAACTAGATGTGCGATTTTCAGAAAAAGTTTATATTTGTATCTTTCTAATCATTTCTTTATTCAGCTCATGTAATAAAATACAAACTCAGCTGAAATTAAAACATTACGTAGTTTGAAAAATTAAATCGAAGAAATTGAGCACAAACTGTGAATTGTTATTTTTATCAAAAATTGTATTTGTTACTGCTCTAATGATAAGGCGGAACTTGAAAAAACTCTGAAATTTGAACCAAACAATTCGAATCAATAATCAAATAAATTAAACAATTTGAAATCAAGATATGAAAGTATACTCGGGGCATGGATAGATCGAAGAAGACCTAATGAGGATTATCGGGTATGAATAGAAGGGATAAAAAATATGAGAGGAAAAAAATGAAGAAGCCCAAATGTCCAAAAAAAATACAGATACGATTTGTTTTTTTTTCTATTGATTTTCCAGTCACTAACAATTTTGGAACTCAAGTTTTCTTCATATTAAAATCGAGCAATAAAACAAAAAAAGAATGGAGATCTATTTGAGAGAAAAAACAAAAATTGATAGTAGAAGAAAATAAAAATCGGAAATATGTTGATAAAAAAGGATTAGAGAGAAAAAATAGATGTATTCATATTAGAAATTATTAGAAACATGTCATTTTTCCGCCCCAAGAAATTTGTTGAAAAGAATGAAACAAGAGGTTAATAAAACGCACTTTTTCGGTTGTTGATGACTGAATAACTTGAAACAGATGCTCACTTTTTGTTCCAAAAATTTGAACAAAAAACATTTTTTTATATTCAAAAAATTGGAGCAGTGCAGTGCAGAGCCAAAAAAAGTCATACCGATTCAGAAGAAAAACAACAAGTGTATGCACTTTTTGAATAACTATGGGAATGAATTTTTTCCCTCGTTTTGGAATAAAAAATAACCACAAAAATTAAAAAGAAAGTACCTTTCTTCCTGGTTTTCTTGGTGATGTTTTAGCTTCATCTTCATTTGTTGTTGAAAGTTTTCGAACGTGGAGATGAGATGGAGAACCAGGCGGTGAGGTCATTCTGAAATATTGAAAAAAAGTACAAAAATATTAAATGAAAATATGGGAAAGAAATTCAGAAATAATGTTCATGTCTGCCTCAAAACATTTTTAGAGGCTATATAAAACTCTTTTCAAGAAAGAGAATGCTGATTAGAAATTTATAAACGGAGGAAAACTTTTTCAAAAGCTTTTAATTTACTGGATTTTATGAGAACAGAATTTCATATAACTTTAATGGGAAATACGTCATGTTTTTCCAAATTTATCATATGAAAACTCCAAAATCAAAAAAAAATACGTCAAAAATACAAATCTTAATAATTTTCAAAATTTGTATGTTTTCAATATCAAATTGTTATTGTTTTTTCATTTGGAATATCTCAATTTTCCCATAGCACTTTTCTGGCGAGTGTAAAACATTAATGACATTATTGGCGTTGTGGGCGGAAATTGATTCTCTGTTAGTTTTTTTATTTTCATAAAGAAATGTAGAGTAAGTTTTACCCGTATTTTCTTTTGGTATTTAAAAAAATTTGAAAAGAGGTTCGCGGGATAGGCTGAACTCAAAACAAAATAAGAAATTGTCAGAGTCTTTAAGACGTGAAACAACATTTGAAAAATAATTTTCAAAATTCTGATCTCAACTTAACCTACTGAAAATATGTGACGTAATTAATTTCAGGAAAGAAAAAAACTGCTCCTACAAGTAGAGAGAAATCTGCTCCTACATGTATGTGTTATGAGCAAATGTGATATTTTAATAAACAATAAAATTTTTTCTTTCGAATCTTTGATTAAGAAATTTTCTTTAAAATATTTCAGAAATTCAAGTATTTTACGGACGGCTCAAAACAGTTATTATTCACATTCAGTAAATTGGTCAATTTTCGAAATTGATTGAATTTTTCAACATTTTTCACCCAGATCTATTAATTTTATTTTTGGTTGAATTTTCTCTCAAGTTATTCATTTTATTTTTTTGATGATTATGAAAGATTCACAAGATGTACACTTTGCATATAAACTTTTCTCAAAGTTGGAAAAAAAACACTTACCTTGGAGAATTCATTTCGAAAAAGTTGGCTCCGCGTTTCTGAAATTTGAAAAAAGCTCAGATTTGCTTCCAAAATACCAAGAAAAATAACAATAGAAAAAACGACATATATGAGAAATTTTGAGTGAAACAAAGAGGTCAGGAAAAGCAAAAATATATAGGTAAAACAAAAAAAGAAGCTTGAGAGTGACTCAAAAAACGTTTCTTTTTTAAAAATTCAAGTATGTAAAATTATTAAGAAATGATGAATAGCTTGTTGATTAGAGTATCCTCATAATGATCTTTTTATTTATTTTTCAGAAAAAAAAATGAAAAAAAACTCTACGAGACAAAAATGAAGTGAGGATTTTAGAGGATTAATTGAGGGATTTTATCGATTAGGAAAAAGTCAAAAGGAAAATATATCATTTTGTAGGGACAAATATTGAATTTGCATTTCTCTCTAGATATTCCAAAAAAGTTGTGGGACGAATTGAGATAATAAATAAATTGAGCTTTTTCATTTAATGATGGAAAAAAAGAAATCGGAATATGTGAAAAGATTAGATTATCAGTTTTTAATCCTATGTTGAGAGAAAAATATTGAAAAATTTTTGAGAATCAATCAGGAAAGAAACTTTTGGGTGGCATATTAAATATGACAGAAATATAGGGAAAAAAACAAATAGAAAAGAAGCACTTCCGAAATCGGTTAATTTCCGCTATTCTTCTATTACATTTGGAAAAAAAGAGAAAATATGGAGAAAATAAACTTTTGAAACTGGGGTTGGCTGGAAATTCGAATGATTTTGAAGAAATTTAGAGAATAATTTGAGAAATACAAAAATAAAAATATGGTTTGAATTAATCGCTTACTAAAAACGTATGATTCAATCTAATCCGATTGGATGACTAAAAATATCAAAGTACAGAATAACAGCAATAAGTGCTTTTATCTTAAAAAGATATGTTCAAATTGACCGAGAATACGTCAATAGTTAAAAGTTCAATTACAATTGCTGGAAAAAAAACCACACATAAAAAACACAATACTGTCCGCTCGCCGAATGAATGAAACGCGCCCTATCGCACTTTTTTTTTCTGTTGCCCCGATTTTTTTTGTTTTTGAAAAAACGGAAATTTTGATTTTTTTGTGTTTTCAAGTTGTTTTCGAAACTTTTTCAGTTTTTTTTGATTGAAATAGATATTTTTGGGGTAGATTGTTCATTTTAGATGTGATTTGTGTCGTTTTATCAGTTTTTAGTTGTAAAAACGCAATTTTCCAATTTCCAGGATTTTCCAAGACCAAAAAAAGTCGAAAAATTCATATTTTCGATTGAGATTTCGTACTTTTTGTCGTTTCTCGGTAAGTTATTGATACAGTAGAGTGTTTAAAATGTATATTTTTTAGTTTTACAGATTTTCGAAAGTTGCACGATTTTGGCTCAAAATTTCACTGAAAGTCGATTCTGGGTGTCTATTTATGATAAAAAGGCAAAGAAGTACATATGAATAGGCTTGGACAACTTCATCATCAGTGCTGGAGCTGTTTCGATGCGTTTGAAAAAGTATTAGTTGGAGTTTCGAACAATTTTGACAAAAATCGACAGCCGGAAGGAAAAAATCGATTATTTGGTATTAAAGGGGACTGCTGAATATGATCATCGATGTGAGTAGTGAGGTACGTGCTCTTACTGGTTCATTCATTATCTTTTATCAAATTTTTGAAATAATGCGCGAAAAAACATTTCTTCCTATTTCCTTCCTTTTTCGCGCGTAGGTTATGTTTAGGTTTTATACTTAAGAATCAGCAAAGAGAATCACTGATGAGACCTACTTCTTCGCCGACTGATGTTAAGTTTGAAACGGATCTACTGCGTATTTTGATTTAATTCATCCATCTCTCTCTCTTTTTTATCTATTCTCTCAAATGTCTTTTTTTTTGCAATTTTTTTCGGTCACGTATTTGTAAAGCTGGAAGATCTTCCAGGTTTTCAAATCCTTTTTTTCGATCCAAGTTTCATGATTTCAGTCTTGAATTGATTGGAATTCATTTGTTTAGCATCGTTAGAATACTCTCTCAAGAAAATATCCTTTTTTTTATGGAGCCAAATTTCATGATTTCAGTCTCAAAGACTTTAAGCCTAGTTACGATGTTTTCAAAAACAAGACCAAAATTCAAACATCGACCTGCTGTGAACCAACTTTTTATATAAGGTCCTATTGTGCGCACAAAAAAACCCAAATACCAAAATATAAAAAACCCAAAATAACAACCTTCATATCTTTTAAACAAAAAAATTTTATCTTATCCGAGAATACCATTTTTCTTGTACAGATCACCCCAATATATTGTTTACGTTCTTACAAAAAGTCTCTCTTAACTATTTGTTATATTTTTTAATTTTCATGGTTATCGAAAAATCTAGGTTCTGTTCCAGGCTTGAAATTTGATCGGAATACATCAAAACGTTGGTATTGATTTCAATCAAACACATTTCCTTCTTTTGACTTCAAATATATTTTTTGTACCTAATTTTACCAAATTTTCCAAAATTATGTTTCATCCCCCCCTTTCCTCTCACAAATTATTTTTTGACCACCTTTGTTCTCCCATTTTTTCCAAGTGTATATCTCGTTGCTGTGGTAACCAATAAATAAAAACATTCTTCTTTCCAAAAGAATATTTCTATTTTTATATTTAAATTAATTTTTGCACTGTTAGAGACCGACCAAAAAAACAACGAGAAATGAGGATTGATTTACTAAACGCGATGGTAAATTATAATGAGAAGACGATAACATCAATGGGAATGCATTTAGTGAGAAAGGTACGTTTTCTTCCAGAAAAAAAGACAATGAAATTTTAGTTGAATATTCAGATTGGTGTGCCAGGAACATCCGAATTATTTTGTATTGAATGGAATCATAACACTGATTTTATAGTTGTTGGAGGTGCAATGGGAACTTTGAAAATTATCAAAATTGAAGATAATTTCAAAGGTGTTAATAGTTTGTCAGTTAATCAAGCATTAGAAGGGCACAGCTGTAAGTTAAATTTTTCTTGCGAGTTAAAAAATTTGTTTTTGAAGCTTCTGTTATGTGTGCAAGTTGGAATGAGATTTATCAAAAATTGACGACTTCTGATGCAGCTGGACTAATTATTGTTTGGGGACAGCATAATGATAGTTGGTTTGAAGAAATGATCAATAACAGGTAAGAACTTTGTGAAAATTGTGCAAGTGAGTGGTTTGCTTGTATTTTTTCTTTTCCAAAAATTCGAAATAGTTTTTCAATTTTCAAAAATTCAGAAACAAATCAATCGTTGTTGGTATGGGTTGGAACTGTGAGGGTAACAAAATTGCGATTGCATATGCAGATGGTCAAGTTATTGTTGGAACACTGGAAGGAAATCGAATATGGAACAAAGATTTACCAAATGTTCTATGTGCTTGTGAATGGGCACCTGATGGAAATTCCATATTTTTTGGGACTCAAGAAGGTGAACTTCATGTTTATGATGGACAAGGAAACTTTGTGGTTAGTTTATGTTTTTGATGGATGAATTCTTGGTTTTTTTCAGCAAAAAGTTCATTTGATTGGTATGGATTCAATGGAATTGCGAACAGCATTGGAGAGTGAGCTCGTTATTCCGAAAAATGAAGATAGTAATGAAATTAAAAGAAAACCAGATCCTATTATTTGCATCAGATGGTATATTCCACCAATGAGATCAAAAGTTAAGAAAACTGATGGTCCCAAAGCACCGAATAACGCTATAAACAATGAGCCATTTACAAAAGGTCAGTTGTAAGAAAACATATTTTTGGTTTTGAAAATTTGATTAAAAACTAGAAATCAAATTTCATATTTTACAGCTGCCACTAGAATGTTTTCGGATCCTACAACGTTTCATCCATCAAATAATGTTCCTGGTGAACCGGATGATTCAGTAGCGGCACCAAGAATATCTCGAATGACGGCAAGTGATCCGCCTCCAACTGAAATGATGCAACAAATAATTCCCGACAAACCGAGATTATTGATTGCGTTTACACATGGGGTTATCCAGCTTATGAGAAATGAACTAGACACTAGTGAGTTTTTCCAAAAAAAAAAACATTGAAAAAAAAAATTATAAATTCTAAATTTTTTCAAGTATCTTTTGTGTTTCATTGAACATTTTCAGGCCCAATCATTGTTCGTTTTCCGAAATATAAAATAACTTGTGCAAGATGGTCGCCAAACGGAGCATTTGTTGCCGTGACAGGCTATAAAACTGATGAACCGCCTCTAGAACAGTGTTTCATTCATGTTATCACTGCATATGGTCAAGTAAATTTCATTTTCTTGTTTTTTCACAAAAAAATGTTCCCTCAAATTTTCAGATCATAAGTAACAGTCGTATACGAGATACAACAACTCTAACTGGTTTTGCTTGGGATAAAACTGGACTGAAGTTTTCGATAAGTGCTGATGCATTTTGTTGTTTTGGATGTATTCGACCACAATATAAATGGGGTTATATTGGCCATACTGTCATATATATTTATGAAAAAGAAGAGAAAAATACATTTGCTGTAAATTTCTATGAGACAAAGTTGGAAGAATTATTTGTCAAAACAATCAATCGTTTTCAAAATATTGGCTGTCATGAGAATTATTGTATTTTGGTTAATGAACAAGTTGAAGAGGAAAAGAGAACTGTGAGTTTCTTCAAAACTGATTAAAATATGTTATGTTGGATATTTTTAGTATTTCGCTCAACTTTGTAATGGTATTGGAACTGCTCTTGATTTCAAACACACTGAAGTCGAACCCAGATGTGTGGCACTAAATGGATATGCAGCTGTTATTGCAGGTGGTCAACAATATTTCATTTGGCATTTTGTACTTCCAAAATATAATAGTGTTCAAACTGGAATTCATGTTCCTGGAAAAGAAGGTGTTTATAATCTTGAAGAGAATAATTCTGGGCCAAGGAGAGGGGTAAGACAAACATTTTTCTGATAATTTTTGATACACTTTATTTCAGTATGGAAGAACTGCTGATTCGATTTGTGCTTTATCAATGGCGGATAAATATTTTTATGCGGTAACCTCAAAACAATCGAGTAGAAAATAAAATTGTCGATTTTCAGGCTTGCGATTCTGGTGCTTTGTATAAAATTGAGTTGAACGATGGAAATATACTTCAAAGATTGTCTATTGCTCCAAATCTTGATTCAATAAAACTCAATTGCACATTCACACGTCTGGCCACTTTAGGTTAACAGTTTTAAAAATTATGAGAACAAATAGAAATGTTTCAGATAAAAACTTGGTTCTGACAATTTATGACTTCAAAGATAATTCTGTGGTAGAATGGAAGAAGTTGGAGCAAAGAGAAGTTTGGAATTACATTTGGGATGCGGTAGGATTTTCTTCCAATTCAAAAAATCAAATACATATATTTTGTGTTTAGGAAAAAGAGGATATGTTGGCGATGAATGAAAAAGTAAAAATGGTTGTTTTGAAAGGAAATTCATTTGAAGAACCTGTCAATACATCTGGTTATTTATGCTCATTCAAGGGATTGATTGTAAAAACTGTTGCCATTGAAAAGTTCCTACTGAGACCAGAAGCACCAGATAAAAAACATCTTCATGATATTGAGACCAAAGCTTTGAGAGATGTCAAATTGCTTTTAGAACGTATGAAAATTGATGAAGCCACTGAATTTATTGAGAAAAATCCACATCCAAGACTATGGAGATTGTTAGCTGAAGTTGCGTTGAATAAATTGGATGTTGCTACAGCTGAACATGCTTATGTTAAACTTCGAGATTATTCTGGAATAACATTTTGTAAAAAGTTGTTGAACATTCAAAACGGAGAGATACAACGAGCAGAAGTTTTTTCCCATCTTTCAAAATTTGACAAAGCTGAAAAGATATTTTTGCAAAATGATCGACGCGATTTGGCAATTGCAATGTATACAAAAATCAATGATTGGAAACACGTTCTTCAACTTTTGACAGCTGATGATGACGATTCAGTGAGACAAACTGCTTTGAAAAACGTTGGTGATAGTTTGTATGATCATATGAAATATCAAGAAGCTGCTATGGTTTATAAACAAGCTGATTGTCTCGAGCAACGGATAAATTCATTAATAAAGTCAAATTTGTTTGGCGAGTTGGAAGAACTTGCTAGAAATTTACCAGATAATCATCGATTACTTGAAAAAATTGGTGATGCTTTTACATCTCGTGGATTATGTGATCAAGCTGTTGAATGTTACATGAAATGTGGATTGGTTAAAAAAGCATTGGCTGCTTGTATCGAGCTGAATTTTTGGGAAAGAGCAAATGCAATAGCAAAGAGTAATAATTTGGCGGATGTTGATGTTATGTTATCAAAATATGCTGAAGAATTGATTGGGCCAAGTAATGAAAGATCAATGTCAGCATTACAATTGTATCGAAGAGCGGGTAGATTGATGGATGCTGCAAAAATATGTTTTGAGGTTTGTAACTTCTTTTGACAATGAGTTCTGAAAATAATCCCCATATTCCGAATTTCAGATCGCTAAAGATGAAACAATCCGAATGGCTCCATATACTCGTTTGAAACGAATCTATGTTATGGGAGCTTTGTTGATTGAAGAAATGCATGTTCAAAGAAACAAAGGTCGAGAAAAACCATCAGCTGCTCGTGTTCTTGAAGATACTTTAAATGAGGAGATGGAAGTATCAATTGAAGAATCAAGAGTTATTGAAAATGCATGGCGTGGAGCAGAAGCATTTCATCTGATTTGTGTTGCTCATCAACATTTTTATGAAGGTTTGATTACACTTTTCAAATTATGTAGTTGATCTATAACAATATTTTTTTTTGTTTCAGAAAGACCATCTGACGCACTTCGAACTGCTATCATATTAACAGAATATGAAGATATTCTTGATGTTAATGAAATATATTCTATGATGGGTAAGATTTTGATCAGGTAGAGCAAAATTTTTCACAAGAGATGATTTTTGCAGCATTGGCAGCTGCAAACGTTCGACAGTTTTCACTTTGTTCTAAAGCTATGATGAAGCTTGAGGTATGTGAAATGTCAACAGAAGATGAAAAAGAAATGATGAGAGATTTGTCGTTAGAAATGTTTAATATGTAAGTGAATACCATCTCTATGTCCAACAAAAATGTATTTTTTTTTCAGGTTTCCTCCGACTGAATCCCAAGTTTCTAAACTCCAATGTCCTTCTTGCGAAGCATATATCAAAGAATATGATACAACTTGTGGAAGTTGTTTCACAAAGGTCTGTGTTTTTAAAAATCTTATTCTGCAAAAACATTTATATTCATTTTTTGCAGTTTCCGGTGTGTATTGCGACTGGTCGTCCACTTCTCGAACTGCAATTTTGGATTTGTCTAACTTGTAAACATCGTGCATATCAAAAAGAAATCACTAAATTTAGAACGTGCCCATTGTGTCATTCTTCGACATCTTTTTTATAAATTATTTATTGCTAACATTAAGTTAATTGTTAAAAATATATTGGAAAATACACGTTTGATTTGTAGAAAGCACGGGGAAAATATACAGGATTTGAAAAAAATCGGAAAAAAATAGAGAAGGGGGATAGAAAAGATAGACCAAGTAAAAATAAAACGAAGGCTAGGTGATAAAGGGTATAATTATAAGCAAAAAAGCAAAAAATGGGAGTTGTGCTGTATTTCGCAGTTTTCTTTGAGCTGTTTTTGTCTTCTGCCAACCCGACATTCCCTGAAACAAAAGTCTTCAAGATCAAGTTCAAATATTCATGTTTTGCAGCTTGCCAACCATATAATTGTATCTTAAAGTTCATTTATTTTCTGCTTGTCTGTTTCTTACTCTATGATTTATCCAGTTTGAGCAGCTTTTTGGTGTTTTTTCCAGTTTTAAATTTTGCTCGAGCAAATCCATAAATATACTGAAAATAATTTTTGTTTTTTGAGATTTTTTTTTTTCGTAAAACTTACTTTGAAGAAATATGATTCAAGTAGGTCAAAAATTTTGCCGCCGAGTCTCCACAGTAGCTGAAATTTTCTTCGACAAAACACTTATCATAATCATGCATACTTCTGCAAATAACCATATTTTCGTATATTCTTTTTTGATAAATGATACTTACTTGCATAAACTTTCGAGACTTTCTTGGATACCTCTCGTGCCTGATTGTTGAAGTTGTTGAGTTTCAGATTGCAGAAATTTCGCAAGACTTTCACATCTTCCAGAAATCTCAACTCCAAAATCAGACCAACATGGGATGACAACATTACGGAATTCTTCAACATATCATTTTTTTTCTATTTTTTGTTGTTGTATTGTCAGATGCACTCACCAGTATCATTTTTATAATGTTCACATAGATTCATCCAAACATTTTGACCAGTTATCAGAATTTCTTTTGCTTTTCCATCTGGACACCTCTTCAAACACACATGATATTCATCATTTCTTCTGAAAAAATCAAAAAGTTAAACAAAAAATAATAATAAAACACTTCTGATCTGCTGTATAACTTTTTCACCTGCTGAAAACGTAGGCAAAAATTGTTATTTTAATTCCAACACCTTTTTATTTTTTTGTCTCTGGAGATAATAAAAATAAAATTAGATTTTGATATCTATTTCAAATCTACCAAAAAAACAATTTCAAAAAATTACCTGCAAGCTCTGTTAAGTCTATTTGAAATTTTTGCTCCAAATTTTAATAGACTTGTAATTGGAGTTATCATATCTGTCGACCATTCTTGCATATCACCCATATCATATTGCATACCATTCAGCTGAAAATGCATTGTTTAACAAATTCAAAGATCTCATAAAATGAAATGAGCATTTTTCATTTGTTTTCTGATGTTTTATCATTATTTTTGACTAATTCTCCAGAGTAATCAAGTGATTCATTTCCTCATTTCAATTATTATTATTACGTTAGAAATTATATTTCTTTTGGAAGATTATTCGATGACTTTGAATTTAGAAAAAAAAATATTATACATATTCTTTATCCAGATTATTCTAAAAAAAATTTCATTCGTGATCTACACTACTGGTTGAACAGCGTGTGTTCTTTGCTATATAATTTTTTTCAGATAAACATGTCCGAAGTTGAAGAATACGTTGTTCTATGCGTAGTTTGTCTTCAGAAAAATAAGATCGCTAACAGCAGAGTAAGTTCAATGAATATTTCATTTTGCAATCATCATTTTTCAGGGAATCTGTGTTGCTTGTAACACATTTTTCAGACGAGCTGTCATTGGCAGAAAAATATTTGATTCTTGTTCGAATATGAACAAATGTTATACATTCAACCCTTTGAGATTGAACTGTAAAAGGTGTAGATATCAAAAATGCTATGATTGTGAAATACCAGTCAATTTTGCATATTCTGCAGATGAACGAAATGCTGGACCAACTTCAAACAAACTTTTGAAACCGGTGAGAAAAAATAATTAAAACGATTAATTGTGTTTTACAGCTTCGTGATATGTTATCTTCGATTGAAGATGTGATACACGAAATGAAAAATGTCGAAATAGCGGTTGTCAAATCTCGATCGTCAACTTATAATCCTTTGATTTTCCCCAGTTTGGATGATATAGTTCAAGAACCGAGTAAATTGTATCAAGCATCACAGTGTCCAGTTCGTTTATTCAAAAATTTCATTCATTTTTTAATTATTCTGATTATGGATTTTCGAATCTTCTAGAAAAAAAGTATATGAGTACAACCCATAATTTTGTATCTTTTAGATTTTTTGAAATCAGAAATCAGTTTGATTTATGTTCATAAATTTGTGGCATATCATTTTGAATTTTCTAATTTTCAGCCAATGCCTGGATGGCCATTAACTCATCCTGAATTTATGATAAAACAAAAACAACTAACTGAACTAAAAGTGCGAGTCGATGAAGGAATGTCTTTTCTGCAAAACCAATTATGCTTCATTAACACGTAAGTTTTTTTTCATTTAAGATTAGAAAAATTCCGAATTTTCAGAAAAGAATGGCTACCATTTGATCTGATGATGGCTATGGAAAATGTGAAAGCTCAGAAGTTCTACAAATTTCTGACAAAACGGGAAGATCGCAGAATACTTCTCCATGGAACTTGTATTGTTGTGGCAACACTGACTTCAGCATATAATTCATACTTGAGCAAAAAAGAAGTGATACACACACCTGATGGAATTGGTATTGGACAAGAAAAAAGGACTGCAATTCTGGAGAGTATTCTAGGAATTGAAGAGTGAGTTATGCATTCATTTGGATATATCATTTCACAATCAAATTTTGCAGGAAAAAAATTCAAAATTTGAAAGATTCAAGTAATGTCATGGTGCCACTTATAAAAGATCAAATTAAACTAGAAGAATACATGTTTTTGAAAATGATTGCAATTTGTGATCCAGGTTTAATTGGACTATCAGATTATGCATCGTATCTTCTAACCCAACAACGTAATGAATACGGTAGATCACTTCTAAACTATTGCCTATTTCATCACGGAAGTAACTATGGACCATCCAGATATTTGAAACTTCTCGATTATCTTGGAGTTATGGAAAGACATCGTATAAAATTACAAAACTTTATGACAGTTGGAAATGTTTTGCAACCATCAATTTCAATGTCAGATTCAAGGAAAAAACTTCAAGAAGAAATTCTGATTAGTAAGGTAGATGAAGATGAATGGCTCAGAAATCATTGAATTTTTTGATACCTCGCTAAATTTTAAATTATATTTATTTCGCATTGTTTTTGTAATACTTTAACCATTCAATCATCATTATTTTATATATGAATTTGGAATTTTTTAACATTTCTTTGTTTTATTTCGAAATTACACACAATGCGAATCGTAAACACTATGAGTACAAAGTACACTTTATCAGGGATAATCTGATACTTATTTCTGAACCAAAATGCTTCTCAAATTTGTTGTTGAATGACTGGCGTGAAAATTTTGATCACGAAATATAATAATCCTAACAGCTTATGTTACATCAGAAATATATATATATATTTCTGCCCTAGTTCTGACATTAGTAACAAAACTAATTAAGAAGGCGTGGAACTTCAAGAACTAACAAGCAGTTGTTTATAATTGAAAAACTATTTTTGGCTTCAAGATTCAATTCGACTTATTAGAAAGATTATAGGTCCTGCAAATTTGCCACGTGCGCAAGAAACAAGCAAAAAACCTTACGTGTTGGCATCCAACATTTCTCATTTGTTTTTATTACTGAATTTTATTTTTTCTCTTGAGAAAAGACGTCCGACACTAAAAATAAGAATCCAAAAAACCAACTACTGAAATTCAAAAAAAAAATAAGAGTAGTATAATCGCGGATAATAAGGTTCTTATTTCTAAATAAATCTTTTAGTGTCAAATGACTAGAAGAGGAACTTTAAGAACGAGAAATCCCTGAATTCTTTCCCTTCAAAATCCTCAAAAATGTGGTGGATGTTCTATTTGAACCCAAATTGAAAAAATCCACTTCCCAATGAATAAATAATACATTCACTATACAATTATAGAACGGAAAGAAAAGTGCTCTTTTTCTAAATGAACTTACATAATTATCTTTACACTTGAGAAAGCATGGTTGTGGAAGTTGAGATTGAACATTGCATATTTTAGATAATAAAAACAATATAGAAAATAGTGGTTTCATTTCTGGAAAAAAACAGAAAATATTATGTGAGAATGTTATTATTTTTGAAACGGAACAAAGAGCAAAAAAAGAAAGGCGAGCAAAAAAAGAATACCACACAGACATGAAAAGTTAAAATAGAAAAAAACACACAAAACAAAAAAAACTTGTTCAACAAGAAAAATGTTCCGAAAAACCCGTCGAAAAAAGTTGTGAAAATTGAATCTGATGCTCAGGGGAGCAATTAGCGCAAAAAAGTTTCACTAGAAACAGAAGAAAAAACGAAGAAGGAGAAGGAATGAAGAAGAAGAAATCGGAAAAAACATGTGCACCCTGCAAAAAATGAGGTTAAGGGCGGATGGGGCGGAAAAAAATATTATTTATCGGCGGGTTCACTGCTTGTAAAACATCCTGAGAGATGAATAATTATACCATTGTGATTTGAGTTGAAGGCAAAAAAAAGTTAGTGAGAAATTTTTCTCAAAAAATTGGTCTTCCTTGAGAAAATGTGATGATTATTTTTTTGAAAAATATCTAGAAAATCATAAATTTAAAAAAAATGAAAAATATTATTGTTTTAGTGAAACATTATTTTTCAAATTTCAACTTTTAGACAAATTCTGATAATCTAGATAGATTCCAAAATTTTTGATGAATTCGGGAAAGTTCTGATAAGGTTCTGAATAAGAAACGTCAAAATAATCACCTCGAAAATGTTCAATAATTCAAGTTTTGATATAAACTTTCAAAATACTTATCCAATTCAGTTTAGTTTTCTTCGGACTACGGTAACTCTTCGTTTTTCTCACCACCAGAAAACATCAAGCCGAAACCACCCATATTTTTAAACATCCGGAGGGCACATAAATATAATTTATTGTTGGTTTCGCTGCTAGTAAAAATTGAAGCTGGCTTGAAGAAAATGAATTATTATACCATTGTGAGTTCAAGAAAAATGAAGAAAAAGAAGAATAACTAGGAAAAGTAAGAGCTTTCTCGCAAAATGCATTCCGTCGGCGCCGCCAAAAAATGAAAATAAAAAATGTCAACCAATTTAGGTTAGGTAAAAAAAAGAAGAAATAGAAAAAACACACATTTCATAGCATAACAGAAATTAGTTAGCATACTAAAAAATAAAATAAAATAAGATGGGCCGAAAACGGAATGTTGATTTGTTTCTGTCACTCACTCACTCTTGAATATTTAAATTAATTGTTCGTTTTAAACATTTCAAAAGTTATTTATGTACATATATAGATTTCGAATGGACACTGCCTATTTTCAACTATAAGAATTCTGAATCCGTAATAACAACAAAAAACTAGCAAAGAATGAAAATAAAATATAGAATCCAGAAAAACCAAGTCAAAATAAAAATAATAACAAGAAGACCTTGAAATAGTGCTTTTTGTTAGTAGTATTTTATTCTTTATGTCTGTTCTGAACATTTTGAAAGTCACAAAAACAGGAAGTCACAAATAAAAATCGTTTTTCTTTACTTTTTCAGAAAAAAATGTGGAGGTGACAATAAAAAAAGAGTTCAGTTAAGCTAGTTTTCATTGAGGTTTGGTTTGGAGGGCTATAAAATATTTTTGAATGTGCGAAGAGATTTTTGAAGAAGTTGGGAAAAATTAGAAGACTGATTCTTGTTGATAAAAATAGAACTGGTTACAGAAAATTCAGAAAAAAAGGACCATTCATTTTATATGCAAACATCATAGATAATTCAATCGGACCTGAACATCCCCCTCAAAGTCAATACAAACAAAAACCTAGAAAAATAAGGAAAAGTTTTCATTTCTCATTTATCCTTAATTTCAAAAAACCGATGCAAAATAGTTTGTGTCAACATTTTTGCTCCAAAACGTGAAATATTCCTTTTTTCAAACTCGATACATGTATTTTTGTAAACAACAATTTCAGTGTTTTATCAACTATTCTATTGTTTGCCATATGTTTTTTGAAACCAGAAAATTCCAAGAAAATCGTACATTTATCTCAATTTTTGGTTGCCATAAGTCTGGATTTTTTATAAAGAAAAAATGTATCTTTCCACTATAAAATTTCGATATTCTCGTGATTTTTTCTGAACGTCAGTTCATATACAAATGTGCGTAATCCATATATCCAAAATGTCAGGCAAAATAATATCAGAAGACCAAACTCGTGCTTTACTTTTTTCAAATTAAATTCCAAATCTTGGACAAAATCAACATTGTTTAATTTACAAAATGACGTCAAAATATTTTTATTTTTCACATTTTTTCTCACTTGTCGAAAATTCACACTCTCGTCAATTGTGATAACACATTTCCACGGATGTCTACAAAAATGTGTTATTTTCACCCCATATTAAAATTTTTCGAATGAGAAAACATCTTTCTAGAAAACATTAACTATAAATTCACAATAAGAAAAGTAAAAAATGACTTTGACTTATTATTTGTGAGATTTTGGTCAATAAACCTTTACATATTTTCAGTAATATTTCAATCGTGTTGTTTCTTTTTATAACCCTTTTATCTGCCGGCGTCATTCACACATTCGAGATTCCCATCGGCATGAAAAGTGTTATTTTTTCCTAAAGGTGCGAAAGGGTGGTGTGGTAAATAGGGGCGGAGATTGTTGTTGAGCTGACTAGTGAGTATATTCAAATATCATTTATTACCTTTTCTGTCTTGTTTATCTACTTGTTGCAATTTTGTCAATTTTTAGCTAAAATGTTCCGCAACTGTGCAATCGAATCTTCGTCTTCAATTAAGGTTGAAAATCAACAAGGACAAGAAGATGATCAAACAACTGAAGAAATGGTAGAAACAAGTGAGTTTTGCTTTGAGGAATTTATTTTCATCAATTATATATTTCTAATTTAGAAGTTATTATAACTTTTAAACTAAAATTAGAAAAATTCTTTTGATCTTCTTGGTTTTAATGAAAATCAAACCCAGAATAATGTTAAATAGTTTTTTTTACGAATAAAATTCACGTTATTTTTAGAGACAAAATTGGGATTTTATTCAATTCATTATTCAAAATTTTTTTTACAGATTCTCCGAACTTTGTTTATGTTCCTGAGAGAAGATTGGACCTTGAAAATTATTTCAACATTTATACAATCATCTCAACACACTTGCTCTTATCAATGCAAGATTTGATCAATTGGGGATTCCCATTTTTCCGCAAAGGGAGTAGAGTGGCAAATATTCGGCCAACTGTGTACAACAAGGACAAAAAGATTTGGCTCAAGAGAGAAGATAAAATGAGAAATTGCTGTAGATGTGACCTCGAATTCAAATTGAGCAAGAATGGAAAAAAATCACTTGGAGAATGTGTTCATCATCCATATCGTGCAATCTTTGATCTTAGTGAGTTTTTTTTCACTTTTTCTTAATCACAGCGAAAAATTGTGTTATTTTTTATTTTTGTGTGGTACGGTGAGAACGAAGTGTTTGCACACACACAGAAAAAAGAAAAAAGACGCAAACCTATTCCTTTTATTTTTTTCGATTTCCATATCTCCGTATCGTTTAAAATGGGGTGGTAGAAGTAGAAAATAACATTTTTTGACAAAATTTTTGATTCAACACATGTAAAAAAATTATATTTTTCCTATTTTTTGACATTTTTCATTGAAACGATTTCGCTAATTTTTTTTCATTTTTGTGATGAAAAAATATAGTTGTTTGTCAAAAAAACGTTTTATTATGTTTTTTATTTGAATCACCTCATAATATTTTTGTTGTTAAATCTAATTTTAATTTCTTTCCAGGAACATGTACACCAATCCACCCTTGTTGTGGAAAAAAATTTGGTGAAGCTGGATGCAAATCAGCCAAATTGCACGTTTTTGACCAATTGTTCTTGAATGAACTGGAAAAAATTGTTATGACACCATTTGAGAACGGATTATTCGACCCGAAATCGCTTTCAATTTTTGGAATTGACTGTGAAATGGTTTATACAATTGCCGGACCAGCAATTGGAAGAATGACAGTTGTCAATTGGTATGGAGAACTGGTTTTGGATGTGAGAGTCAATCCAAACGTAAAACTGTTGGATGCCAACACCCAGTTTTCTGGATTGACATCGGAAGATGTGAAATCAGCTCCGGACTGTCTGAAATCGGTTAGTTTTTAGTTAATAAAAAAAGTGTTTTTTTCAATCTTATTTTTTCAGTGTCGTCAAAAATTATTCAAATTAATCAATAGAAATTCGATTCTGGTTGGACATTCTTTGGAATGTGACTTGACGGCGCTTCGATTGTCGCATATTCGAGTTGTCGACACATCGATTTTATTTCAAACAACAAAACACAAACCATCACTGAAGAAATTGGCTCAAGAATATTTGGGAAAATCAATTCAATCGGACAATAAAAACAATATTGGACACGATTCGGAAGAAGATGCCAGAACATGCATCGAACTTCTTCAACATTATGTTAAGAATAATTTTTAATTTTGTATTTTTATCATTTTTCTCTAATTTCATGTTTCTATATTTCATAATAATGCCCTTGTCAACTTTTTATTTTCAATGTATTAGTCAATAATACGGTTTTCAACCGGGTGTTTCTCGAACATTCATTTTTATTATGTGTTTCGGGTTTCTAATTGTGAATAAATTTCTTTTTTTTTTCAAATTACGGTGCTCTATTAGAATTTTTCAGAAAAGTTTGTTCTAGTCAGCTTCAAACTACACACAACAACAAAAAAACCATACTCTAATAATCAAACTTCATATTATTCACACTTTCGTAGTTCCGTATAGCATTTCATAGCACCTCGAATATTCTCATATCACCAATGTGTTACTTATGGGCGGAAAAAAATTCTAAGGTGCGAAAATTAGCGGGGACTGATTGATGGATGAAGTGGTGAGCATCATACAATTTGAATGTTTTCTTCAAATTTAATAACTTTTTTGCATTTGAATCTTCAATTTGTGCTTTTTAACTCAAATATATATTTTGAAAAAATACAGTATATTATCAAAACTTTTAGTTCATATATTTCATTGCCACCTTCTGATTCTGATAAACTTGGGAGTTTTTTTTTAAAATTTGTGTCTATTTTTTTTTAGATTATTTGGCAATATTAATTTCAGGTTGAATTTCAGACTTCAGAGTGAGTTTCAAAAAGCTTACCCTCCAGACAATTCAAAATTTCGCATACAAAAAACAACGAGAATTTCTGGTCTCAAATGTCCAAATCCGTGCTCATAAGTATCAATTTCAAAACATGTTGCACAACAATTTCATAATCCCGCATGAGTAATCTGACCTTTTTGTGTTCTCACCGCAAATTTCGCATCAAATCCAATCCCAAAAAATCTATTTCAGGATGTATATGTATGTAAATAAACGTCAAAGGGTAGAATGTCTCAAATCTCATACAACAAATATATTTGTACATAATAAGAAGGAGAAGAAGAAGAAGAAGATGGCTGGCGGTGGTCAAAATCTTTTTGTGTGTCTATCCATCCTGGCTCGCTCCTGCTCACTCAATTTACAAGTGTTGCGCACTCACGATTATTCAATAATAGACATGACACAAAACAACAACAACCTGCTTCTCTCAATGAACAACCTGAACATTTTGCAATGTTCTGGAATTCTTGAGAAAAGCCGCCACTTACTTATTTTTTGCTCGTTGTAATGTAAATAAAATGAAGAAGAAGAAGTTTTTGAGAATGGTCAAGTATTGAGATTAGAAAAAAACATATGTAGATAACAAAGAGACTTTTTGAAGTGGTCATAATCTGGAAAACATGCGCTAAACATGATTTTGCCGGAATATCTGTTTTTTATTGTTGCCTGTTAATATTGCAAGTGCTCTTTTGCAAAAATGATTCTTTGGTCTATCAGTATGTAGAGGTGTAATACAGGTTTTGACAATTATTCTGAAGAGTTCATAATTTCAAGGACATATCATAAAATCCCAGTAGAACTTTGTACATATGAATGGAGCTTTGTGAAGATATTTCATAGAATATTTTCCACAGTGTAATGTTGCTGGTCTTTCGAGCAGGAATTGCGACGGTTTCAATATTGTTTGATTTAGAAAAACTCCCAAAGAAAAACTTGACATAGAATATTTTATAAAATATTCCGAATCTAAAAATGTGGGTTGAACTAATCATTTTATTTGTAACGCTAAGTTATGATGAGATAAAAAATAATAAAAGTTTGATATCAAGGCAATTTGGATGGACTCCTGTATTTTACAAAACAATAATCAAACGTTATTCAGAATGTAATACTTTTATGAAACAAAATTCTCAATCACTAAATTTCATTTCGAAATCTGAATTTTTTGAAATGATCAAAAAACTACTTGAATTCGGCATATCTTTTCATCGCTCTACATACATAGATTTATCCATTCTAGTACATATAAACATCAGAGGCCGACTCTTCTCTTTTTCGGCTGCTTTTTGTCATATTTGTGTGTCTTGCTCCAAAACCAAAGGGGTGGGATTTGTTGGAGAGCAAGTGGTCAGCCGAGGAGGAGATAAACGAATGAAGAAAATGAAGAACACAAACAACGGCTGACTGTTCACCACTATCTCGATTTGTCTTTATTTTATATTTTTTTCAGTTTTCATTTGTTTTTTATCAAGTTCTGAAAGTGTCAGTTTTATTCTTTGAATCATTCATTTTTTCAAAAATTGATATTTAGCCAAAAATTTTTCAAAAAAAGATCGACACTCATTTTTTAATTGTTTAACTTAATGATTCTGATTCGTGCGCAACTATGATTATAATCATTTTATATTATACCGTCTTAGCGCACCTTTTGTTTTTCAATCTTATTATAATCTGTCAATTTTCTCTCCAACTCGAAGCGTGAATCATTTTTCATTTTTCTTCATTTTAGAAATCTATTAAAGGTGTAGTGTGACATAAATTTTGATTTATTTGAATCAGTTTCAATTCAAAATTCCGCATCTTGTTGAAATAAGCCATTTGGCAGAGAAACACAGCTCCTAACTACTGGACATCTGGAGTTCCAGTTAAAATTTTTATACTGATGTTTGAGAAGCTTCCAGAAAAAAGCTCATTCAAATGAGCATAACTTATTTTTTTTGCTCAGACTCCACCTTCAAATTTTTATTGTTCCTAATTCTTAATGAACCTCAAGAATCTAATCTACCCAAAAGCCCTTCTTTATCCAAATGTGTCGATAATTTTGTGTATTTTATAAAGGTGCGTCAAGTACCTGCCATAAAAGTGAGAAGTTTGATTTATTTATAATATTTACTAGACCAAGCCAATCAACAAAAACAGATTCGATTACAAAAAAACCAACCTGATTCATTTCACACTTTTCATTCATTCCTCAAAATGCTATTTATGTACATATTCAGAGATTGTTTGCTGCTTGTTTTGTTGATTTTTTGTTGGTTGGAGAGGGTCAGGAAATGAACTTTTGAAATTTTGATGAATAAAGAAGAAAACAGGTGCAGGAAGGAGCCGGTTTTCATGATGTTTTGAGATAGATTGAAGTGAAAACACACAGGAATTCTGCATGTTTTGAAGTTAGGGAAGTATGAACTGAGAGTTTTCCAAAAAATTATGGTTCTGAAATTTTTATAGCATAATCGTCTACTCACATCAAATTGTTTTGAGAACATCAAAACTTTCAAAAACTGTTAATTATGAAAATTCAGTTTCTGAAAGACGTACCGCAGGTTTTTCTATAAAGCTCTACTATCTTGAAGTGTTTGTAGATCGGTTCTTCGGAATTTTCTCATAAGAATAGCTATGATAAGGCCAAAATGATCTGGTAAAGTGGCATACTTGTTTAAATTTTTATCACTAACAATACGAAAACAGACAAAGCTTTCTGAGGGTACAGTTCAGTTAATATTTCAAAACATCAGGCAGTCATTGAAAAATTTTCATATTTTCGAGCCAAAAACAACAGTATTTTGTTATAACCCAATTGCAGTAAATCTAACTGAAAATCTGTTTTGGAATGCTGCAATTTCAGAATTCCGAATTCTCTAACCCTTTTCGCAAAAAACAGTTTATTCAAACGAAACGATCTTACCGGAATTCCTAGAACACCACAATCAAAACAAGGCATTCTTCTATTGAATTCAAAAAACTACCGTACTATTCATTTCCTGAACACATTGTTTTTTGTTGTCTTCGATATTTCGCAAGTGAGATAATCCATAGTTGTTTACACACCCATGATGTGTCACCCACCCATTTTCACTCAAAAAAAAAACCCAACCATTTATGGAACATATGCACACACTCACAAATATTCGCGGGAGGTCTATCTTGTCATAACATCACGCCCCTGCTTCTCCTTCTTCATCTTCTTCTTCTTCTTCTTCTACTCAATGTCTCGTTGAGTCAACAAAAACTGACCACTGGATTGTCGGTGTTTTTTTTGTGGGTTTGCTTTTGAAAGTGAACTTTTTTGGCCGATGGTATTGATACCCGGATGAGTAGAATTGTCAATAGTATTCGTCTCATTGGTTTTCTACCAATTCCCGTTCACATTTTTGAGTTTTCACTTCCTTCATGAAATTTATCGGTAAATACTTGAACCCCCCCCCTCTCTTCCCATTTTCCACTTGTAAATTTGACCAAACATGACACTTCCGTATTCATTTTGTACTTCTTTGTCGTGATTTCGACTAAATGACTCTTTTTATGAGTTTTTACATAATATTTTGATTTCAGACTCGCCAACGACAGAAGATCTAGCGAGAACAATCAGCTTCACAATACACAAGATGCGAGTGTTTCTCGCTATATCAGTTATTTTATATGGAGCTATAGGTCAGTTTTAAATGTTGTTTTGGAAACTATCAGATATTTTAGATTGGGTTTTGTTGAGTTTCCCATCTAGGGAATAAGAAAGTTCCTATGTTATTCTTGTAATTATGAGGGTTAACTCAGATCTGAATAAACCTAATTTTTGAAAATACAAAATCAAATCGGTAGGCGAAGGTTAGAAATCCAAAGTTAAAATCGAATAGGTCTCAAAAATTAGTTCTATAATAGAACCAATAATAAAAAACCATCACCGTTCCAAATTTAGGGTAAAATTTGTGATCTAATTTCTGTGAAAAGTATCAAACATGTTTTAGAAAAGTTCTTGAAGATGGTCCACAAAATAAAATTCAAAACCAGCAAAGCAATGTCCAATGTATGTATAAAACTCTCTCCCTCTTCTATTGAATTCATTTTTTCAGCCCAAAAAATTGGAATAAATGTGCCATGCAATAAAGATTTAGATGGTTTATTAACAGCTGATCCAGATGGTGATGAACGTGCCTTTATGAGTTGTCAGAGTGTTGGAGTTGGGTAAGATACTTACAATTATATTCCATCTGATAATTTCTCCTATTTTTTTCTTACAGAAACATTGGTTTCTGGGAAAGAAAACTTTGCCCAAACAATATGGTTTTTGACTTCATAAACCAACAATGTAAAGATGTATCAAAGAAGGCGCGCAAACAGCAAACATTGAGTATTGGTTAGTTTTGAAGAGTCCAACTCTTTGAAGTTTTGGTAAATGTTCAAATTTCAGCAATCCTTAACAATTCATGTGCAAATGGTGAAACATGTATTGGTGGATCTGTTTGCGATTTGGATAGCTTGAAATGTATGTGTCCATATGGAACTGTTCCAAAACTTGACACACTTTCTTGCGAATCGGAATCACCTCCATTCGTATCAGCAACTGTTGATGGACCAAGTCAATTGTTCAACTCGTTTAGCAATTTCGGATCAAGTCAACCAGAATTCAAGCCAAATAATAATAATTTCAACAATAATCAAAATCAAAATCAAAACCAGAATCAAAACTTCAATTGGAATCCAAACTTTAGCTGGAAAGGAAATCAACAAATCGTCACAACTAATCAAAATACTAATAATAATAACAACAACAATAATGGTTGGTTTCATAATTCCCAATAAGAATTCAGATTCAATTTTAATAAAATTTAGAGTTCAACTCATTCCAACCAAATCCTAGTCAAGCCCAAAAGTTCGTCTTCAACTTCAATAAAAATTTGCCAACAAATCCACCAAGCGAACCACAACCAACATCACCAAAAGTTGCTACCCTCGGTTAGTTCAAGATTTTCAATGGTAACATTACTAATACAAACGTGGGTTTTCTTACACTCGGAACAGAAAACTTCAATTTTTGGGATTTGAATTTCAGATGAAAATATTGAAAATATTTTTTCAAATGTTTTTCAAGTAATCTGAAAAATGTTTTAGTAATGAAATCATACAGCTTATTTTTCAACGTCAAGTTTTTCAGTTTCTATTCACCATTTTTAAAATTTCAAAATCTAACATGGGTATCTTTCATCGAATCAGTAATGCGATGCCCAAAGTGAAAAATATAGCAAAAAAAACGAGAATATATCGTCAAAAGCTCGCCTTATACTCGAAATACAGAACAGAGAAACAGTGTGTATATTCGAGAGACGCAGATACGAAACAGAGAAACAGTTTGTATATTCGAGAGACGCAGACAGCTAGACTTTTGACGATATATTTTCGCATTTTTTGTTATATTTTTTACTTTGGACACTGCATTGTAACATTTCACAGCAAATATCATTTTCAAATGTATTCTTTCGTTCTCTAATTTTTGAAAAACATTAGAATTTCTCTTATTTGTTCAAAATTCTATCTCACAAAAATATTTCTTAAAAACTATATTGCACATTTTCGGTTCTTCTTTCATTTTTCTATTTTCATTCAGCTATCCCGGGAGCTTCTTGCAAATCAAACGAGATTTGTGTTGGTGGATCAATCTGTACACTTCCAATTGGAATTTGTCTTTGTCCAGGAGATTTGGAAGCTCGTGATGGAGAATGTGTTTTGCCAGCCGCCTCGACAATTTCTGTTCAAAAGGGTGCATTTTTGTTCTATTTTCGGGGGGGGCACTTTTGGGTTTTATATTTTTATTAGTTATCAATTTCATTTTTGCACTCATTTTTATATGCACGAATTTCATTTTATGTTGGTTTATTTTCAGTTGGTATTGGAGCCATTTGTTCGGATTTGGCTGAATGTGATCACGGAAGTTCTTGTGTTATGGGACGATGTACATGTGTCTCACCTTTAGTTCAGCACGATGGAAAATGTGTTCTCAAGCAACAACAAAAACTTGTTGGTGAGTTTGTAGAAATGAGAATGGTTGATTTTAGTGAGAGATATATGTAGAATTGTGTTTGCCTGAAATTTTACGGTTTTGGATTCCAAAAAAAAACATTTTAGGCTAAATTTTGAAGTAGTGAATTTTGAATCCTTGACAAAGATCAGCATGATTTCCGAGCTTCAGTTTTTTGAAAAAGCTTGACAAGCTTCTAAATCGCGAATAAATTGAAAATGTTTTTATCACCATTAAAAGTTACTATATCTCAAACAAGCTCTAGAATGCCTGTGTATTTTTGTGTGTTTGATTTTTGTTGTCCCCCAATGCATTTATCCACTAAATTCCTAACCCATTTTCACAGGTCCCGGCGAACTTTGCGACAATGGCGAAATTTGTGGAAAAGGAAGTGTGTGCGATGTAATGATTCCAGTTTGTGTGTGTCCAGCTCATACTGACCTCAATAACGGCGAATGTGTTGAAGTGACTGCGCCAAAAATCGTCACCCAACCTGGTTTGTTTTTAATTACAAGTTTTTATGATGGAATGTTTTGATGTTGTTGGTTTTCCTACTATTCATCGCATCGTTTTCAAATTCCACAAGAAAATATGATTGAAAGATAAGAGATGAGAAATTATAAAAAATCAATAGATCTAATTTGAACTTAAGAGATCCAAATTTTTAGCTTGATATACTTTCTCGTATCTCTTTTTTTTCATTTCTGAATTTCTGTAACCTTTATTCAGTGATGACACCGCCGCCAACTCTCCCACCAGTTCCAACGTTGCCACCACCAACAAGACCTCCACAACCGCCAGTCACACAACATCAAACCCATCAAACATATCAACAAGTTGTCTATCAAACCACACCAGCACCAATGCCAACTCTGGTTTATCAAACAATGCCGCCGCCAACCACTGTTAAACAACTTCCACCTCAACAACAAATCTATACCAGCCATCCAAAACCATCCGTCAAAATTAATCAAATGAAAATCGGTAAGAGAATTTTATTAATGTCAGAAATATTGAGATGATCATTTCGATATTTTTCAGGAGGAAGTAAGCAAGCTGGAGTTGGAGTCCGTTGCTCTTTGAATACTGATTGTATGATTGGAGCATACTGTAATGGAAATACCAACCCACCATCTTGTCAATGCCTCTCAACACACGTTAATATTGAAGGTCGATGTGAAAAAGGTTAGCGATTTTTTTATTTCTTCTATTTTTCGGAAATTATTCTGTATGCCAATATTTCTGTACGTGAATGTATGAAAAAATGGGTTAAACTTCTCCTTTTAGTCATCTATCCTGGACAAGTTGGTTGTCGAAGTGATTCTCAATGTAATGCCGCCTACACTGGAACTCATTGTATTGATCGAATTTGTGTTTGTCCTGATGGTCAGAAGGCTGTTGATCAAACTTGTGTTTCAGGTTACTTCTTTTTTTCCAATTTTATAATTTTTCAATTTTCCCTATTAGCTTGTAAACAAATCCCAACCCAATTGCAGAAACCTCCCTACCTAACAAACCATGTGGCTATTCGCCAACTAATCCTTGTTCCGCTGAAAGTGTGTGCTTTGAAAATGTTTGTGTGTGTCCTGATCGATTCCTTTTTAACGAAACCTCGCTTGCGTGTCAACCTAAAGCTTTTATTACCCCAAGTGAATATTGTGTTGCATGTGAACTTCCCCGTCTGTGTGTTAATGATGTTTGCGTTTGTCCGGATAATATTATTTGTGAGGTGAAAAATATGAGAAATAAGAGACAACAAGTTATAACTTGTGATAGTACAATGAGTTGTCCGGTTCATTATGTTTGTGATGGATCAATTTGTCAATGTGAATCAGAAGAATATGATATTGTAAGTTCTCTCCCATCTAAAAATATTAACATTTACCCCCTTAATTCTAGAATGGTAATTGTGTTCCTCCACTTTCTAGTGGCGCATTTAAAAACATCAACAATCAATGTAGTTCAAAAGATCGTTGTGCGGGAGGTTCGAAATGTAAAGATGATTTATGTCAATGTGTTGATGGAAGCGTTGAAGTCACTGGAAAGTGTAAACAATTTCCTGGCGGCCATTGTTCAAACGGTGAAATGTGCTCCGCGGGAAGCAAATGCTTTCTTGGAATCTGTCGATGTGATCAAACACGTAGTTTGGATAATCAAAGATGCGTTAAACGTAGTGTTCCGATTGGTTCAATTTGTCGACGTGGACAAGAATGTCTTAATGGTTCAAAATGTCGGTTTGGTATCTGTATGTGTGTGTCAAATAAAGTGGATGTTCTTGGGAGATGTGTTGATCTTGTTCCTAATCTTTCAACATCCCTTCCGATAACCACAACAACCACTATTATTTCTGAAGTTCCGGAATATAGTATTATTTCCGAAGCAAATGATACTGATACCATTAAACCTTCTATCGCAATGAAACCAGCAAAATTAACACCTGGTAGCCTTTGCCATACAACATCGGAATGCCCATTCCGAACTAAATGTGAAGATGGAGTATGTAGATGTAAAAAAGGAGAAACGATTATTGATTGGACTTGCAGAAGTGCAATTCATCAAGTATCGCCGGGATCAAAATGTGATCCTGCAAATGGATATGATTGTATCGGAGAGTCCATTTGTCAATATGGAGTTTGTAAATGTAAAAATCGATTAATCAGTGATGGACAAAAATGTGTATCCGTAGAGAAAAGTTCACGAGTGAAACCTGGAAAATCGTGTGCTAATGGTGAAAGTTGTGGAGGAGGATCAAATTGTGCTAAAGATTTTGTTTGTCGATGTTCAACTGATCAAGTTCCTGACGTTAATGGAAAATGCGTGAGAAAGACCCACGCGATTCCAGTTTTCAATAAAGTCAAACCACTATCAACAATTCTTCTAACTACATCAACAACAACAATGCCTCCAACTCCAATTCCAACAACTATTGATTATACAAACTTTGAGAAGAAATTGAATGAATTAGAACGAATGGAAATGGAATTCAAAAGTTTGATACCAGTTGAAACTGTAAAACCAAGCGCGTTACCAACAAAAGCTTTAGCTGGACACAAATGTCTCCAGAATTCTGAATGTCCAAGATTCTCATTCTGTTTTGCAAATATTTGTAACTGTATGGCTGGGTTCAGAGCTCAAAATGGAATCTGTGAATCAGCAATCGCTGTTGGAGACAGATGCATCAGCTCAAATCAATGTGCAGATAATGCACAATGTGTATTTGGAAAATGCGAATGTATCCCAGGAGATAATATAAAATGTAAAGGAACATCTATGGCACATCCAGGACAAGATTGCACTTCACCAAGGGTTATTTGCAGTTTCAACAGTTATTGTAGTTTGATGAGTGGAGTGTGTGAATGTCCATCAGGAATGAATACACAAGGAAAAAGCTGTGAAAACACTTTTGAAGCTATTGGTAAAGATTGTGTGACATCGAGAAATTGCCAGAAATCAAGTTATTGCGATAATGGATATTGTGTTTGTAAAGAAGGACATAAAATTAATAGTGATGCTTGTTTGACAGATATTGAAGACTCTACAATGAATACAAATGCAATCAAAAGTTTTAGCATTGTACCATCACAGAAAAACATGGGAGTTAATACGCCACTACAAAACAATATGAAATTTGAATTCAAAGAGCTTCAACAAATAGCTAACGATGGTTTATTTGAAACATCAACCCTTTGGCCTCAACACATATCGTTCACATTTACTCCACCGCCAGCTGCTCCAACATTTGTTTTTCCCCAAGTTTTCTCCAGTTTTCCAATCGCTTATGGTGCAAAGACTGTAGCTGAAGAAGAAAATAACAATCAAACAACCAAATTCAAAATGGCATTTCCTGGAGAATATTGTGGAACTGGAGAAGTTTGTCTAGGCAATTCGGTATGCAAAAATCAATTCTGTCGGTGTATTCAAGATGTGACTGCTGAAAATGGGATTTGTCCTCCACAAATTGATGATTTGAGTGTTTTGGGATTGCAACCACTCCCAAAAGATGTGCGGTTTCAATCACCATCAAATCGAGCAAAGAAAATTGAATTTCGCCGAGATATTGCAAATCCATTAGAAAACTGTCAGAATAATGAAACTTGCGTTAGTAATTCAAGTTGTCAGGAAGTTGGAGGACTTGGAAAAATTTGTCAATGCAATCAAAATCTATTTTATATGAAAGGAGAATGCGTTGAAATTGATGATTCAATAACTCTTGTACCAATTGATGAAACTTGCGATTCTGAATCAGTATGTACTTCTGGAAGTGAATGTATTGATAGTAAATGTAGTTGTGCTGAAGATAAACAACAAATTCTGGGAATATGTGTAACTACAGCAAGTCCTGGTGTATCTTGTGAACTTGGAGAAATTTGTATAAACGGTGCGATTTGTGGAGATAAAAATTGTGATTGTCCCGATGGAAGTATGAATGATAATGGAAATTGTGTAGCTCTTCAAGATGAAAATGAGATTAGCGGAGATGTTATAGATTTTGAAGAAATAACAAATGAAAAGCAGGAAATTGAAAATAATCAAATTGAAATGAATAATGAAGTTCTTGAAGACACAGATGATGAGAGAAAACTGGTTCGGAGAGAACTGGGAATCATAAAATGTACCTTCGATTCAGATTGTTATTCAAATTTCCGATGTGAAGATAGTATTTGTATCTGTGAAGATTCTCAAGAAGATTGTCTCGATACTGTTGCTCAAAATTCAAAAACTGTGAATCCAGGAAGTTACTGCGATGAAAAACAAAAATGTGCTCACGATGCAATTTGTTTCCGTAATTATTGTGTTTGTAGTTACGAAGATTTACCATTAGATGATCATTGTGTTGCACGTGATTGGCATTTAGATATTGGTTCTGCGTGTAGTTTGACATCAAGATGTCGAGAAAATCTTCAATGTCTTGCTGGTATTTGCATGTGTAAATTTGGTGATTTGACTTGCAATCGTGAGTGTTTTCCCCTTTCCTGCATGTTTTTTTGTTGTTATGATTTGAGTATTTCATATAGATCATAGTTATTTTTAAACAAAACATCTGATTTTTTAGCAAGCGAGCCAGTAACTTCTCCACCAGGAGGTTCTTGTTCAAACCTTCGTGAATGTACAGGAGGATCAGTTTGTAAAGAAGGATGGTGTATTTGTCCAGATGCATCGATGATTGTTAATCGTGGAGTTTGTATTCAATCTGGACCAAAACCAACTCTCCCACCAAAGGTACATTTAGAAAAATGTTGTTATAACAAAAATCTTTTACTCTTATTCTAACTTTGTCGATTTTTCAGCTTGTTATGCCAGTTCACGTTCCAACTGTTACAAAAGCCCAACTTTTCGTGACTGAAGCGCCACATGGAAAGAAAATTGCGCCAGGAGGAAAATGCGGTATAATTTTTTAAGAGACCATTTTTCTTAACATTTTTATTTAGGACCACTTGATTCGTGCGTCGGAGGTTCAAGTTGCTATGAAGGATTCTGTCTTTGCCCAGCAGGACAATATCCAAGTTCAAATGGTCGTTGTGAAAAAACAACAACCACAACAACATATGCAACTACACGAACCCCAGGTACCATTCCCACCACAAAAGCTACCACTGTCTTCACAACCACCACAACAACCGTCAAACCGTTTGAAATGTTGACACCCCGTCGACCACCGGCATCTATTGAGATACCAACGCATGAAACACTAACCACTCAATTTTTTGAACAGTTTTACCACTTTGGCACCATCTTCTTCCACTTCCTCTTCAATTTTTGATGAGAATGCAGCAGAATGTCATGCACTGGGATTAATTTGTAAGGGTAATACAATTTGTCGAAACAAATCGTGCCAATGTCCCGATGGTTATGTTCTTCATCACGATGGATGTGTTTCACCGGAAGAAGCAGCAAAACGTAAAGCTAAATCGAAAGCACGTCACGAAGGTTTGCTGTGAAATAAGAGAAATGTTTTTTAGAGAGTTTTGATTGCCTGAGCGTGTTTGAAAAATGTGTGAACCTCTGTGTGTTAACAAAATGGTTATCTTCCTATTTGGAATACTATTGATTGAAGACAAACTTTCATAAAAATGAGATCCGCTCTTAAAAATTTATTTATCTTGTTAAAATGAATTGAAATTTTGAAATTTCTTTCACAAATCGAGAATCTTTCATTTTCCGAATCAATAAATTCCGAAAAAAATTAACTATGAGTGATATGCAGTGTCCACAAAGAATTTCCCACCGAAATCACTTCACCAGATACACTTTTTTTGAAAAATGCATAGATTCACCGAACATCGTTCACCAAACTTTCAGATGTCATTTTTTTCCCAAAACCAATTTTTCCAGCTACTACTGCTCGAGTTTACTCGAAGCCAGGTGAAAGTTGTAGCTCGAACCAAACCTGTGTCGGAGGATCATCGTGCTCGTACAGAAATATTTGCGAGTGTCCACAAAACAAACCACAAATTGAAAATGGACAATGTGCTGAAGCACCAAAGAAAGTTGAAGTTGTGCCAGGAGCATCGTGTGATGCAAATAGCGTCTGTATCAGAGGAAGCTCGTGAGTTTTTTTTTAAATTATTTATTCAGTTATGATTGTGATTTGATTTTTAGATGTGAAAATGGACTTTGTCGCTGTCAACCTGGATACATTGCTGTTTCTGGTAATTGCATTCTTGTCCCGATGTCTACAACTCCAAAAATGAGTGTTATCGCAAAACCACTTGAATCTTGTGAAAATGGAGAAACTTGTGATGGTGGATCGAGTTGCGATATTGATACAGAGATCTGCATGTGTCCACCAGGTCAAATTGTTTTCAACACAAAATGTATGTTGCCACCAACTCAAGCTGCACCAACATTGCCAAATCGAGTTGCGACGGTTGCAGTCAAATCAACTTATACTACAAAGAAGCCATTGTTTGCAAGTATGTTTTATATGTGAAAAAATTATTTTCCAAAGTTTCTGCTTTTTTTGAAGTCATAGAAACAATAGAAAAACAATATTCTTTGACATATCAAAACAAAAATAATTTTTCAGCTGACTGTGAGCAAGATACTAATTGTTCGGAAAATAAGATTTGTGTATCTGGAAAATGCAAATGTAAACCAGGATTCGTTGACAACTCCGGTGTTTGTGAACCACTCGAAGGTAAATTTTACTACCCCCCAAAAAAAGTGTTTTTTTCTTGACGTGATCCCATGTGTGTAGTGTGATCCACCCTTTCGTGAGACTAACCAAAACTTGCAGACATCGACGCAATCGAAAGACCTATCCCCGTATCATATGCCAAACATAAAGTGGCAACACTTACCGAACGAATGTTACCCAAAGAAGAGATTGAGAGTGATGTGTCACCACCAAGAACAACTACCACTAACCAACCAATAATAACCCCATCAAGACAAGAAACACAAAAGCCTAGAATTGTTGGGCCACCAATTCGACGACCTAAACCAAAAAATAAGAGTGGAAGTGGAGGAAGTTCAGGAGGATCAGGTGGTCGAAGTTATAAAACTGGTGGAAGTGGAAATGGTAATTGTCCACCTGGAAATGAGCCAACACGAGATGCTGGAAGTGGAAATTTGATTATGTGTAATGGACTTGAACCAAATTGTCCGCCAAGATCATATTGTTATATCACTTCTGGTGGTTTTGCTACCGAAGAATATAATTGTTGTAAATCCTGGTAGATTGATTATCCAAGTATTTTTTGAAAGGTACACAAGATATATATTTTACAAATTCATGACCAATTAATTATTTCTTACCGAAAACATATTTCCCTTGTCTTTTTTTTATCTATTTCCCTCTTCCCCAACAAATTTCTGGTAATAGAAATTTGTTATGTTCCAAGAACAATCACTGGTGACTTTCTTTCATTCATTTTTCCTATATTTATACATATTTTTGAAGAAATATATATTTATTGATTGATATTTATTATCCATTACTAATTTCATTTACACGTGTGTTTTTTGTCAGTCAAACATAAATTATAATAATAATAAATGTGTGTAGTTTGATCCTGCGTGTTGATTTGTTGTTTTGTTTTGTGAAAAAAAAACCAGGTTTACGAAAAAACTCTATGTAAAATGAAAAATTTAATTGAAAAAAAAACAGAAAAACGTCAACGATTATTGAAATATGGACAAGCTTGCGATCGCTATCAAGACAAATGTACAAATGGAGCAAAATGTATCGATAAAATTTGCAAATGTGCTCAAGGATTTGCTCTCTCGGCAAACGGTTGGTGCGAAGGATTTTTATTAGAAAAAGTGAGTGAATTTGAAAAAAACAAAAAGTTATTCCGTTGCGGGGAATCGAACCCCGGCCTTATGGGTGAGAGCCATAAATCCTAACCACTAGACCACAACGGATGGTGAGAGAAGAGTGTTGTTTCTCAAAGACATGCTAGCAGAAACAGAGAAAAAAGAGAGAAATGAAAAAGAAGAATATTGCAAAAAGGAGGGGAAAAATGAAAAGAGAGTGAACATTTGAGAGAGTATTGGAAAAGAGTGAGAGATTATTATATTTGAGAGTGTATAGATAGTTAGAGAAGTTTTTGTCCCTGTGACGAAAAATTGTTCTTGCTTTCATTTAACGCATTTTCAGGCTATTGAAACGAATAAAAAGGGATCAACGCCAGTTCAAACAACTGCAGCACCAGTTACCAAATCAAGACCTGCTGTTATCATATCAACTGATGAAGAATCTGATATTCTTGAAGCTTTTCCAACTCCACCAAGTAGTATATTTGGATTTACTGAAAAACCAAAGCCACCAAAGGTTGTAGCTGTCGGCTCACATTGTGAACCATCTGATATTTGCCTTGGTGAGAGTTTCTGTGTGAAAGGAGTTTGTCAATGTGGAAAGAAGATGATTCTACAAAATGGACATTGTATTCCAAGTGAGTGTTTTTGTTGGGTAGAAGATATGTTTCTGGAATTCAATGAGAAGTCTTTTTAGATACATTTTTTCATTTCCAAGCAATTTTTCTTCAGTTCTGATTCAACGTTTTTTTTTCAGAGAACAGTAAAAACAAGATAGCTCGTGTTGGTCAATCTTGCCGTAATAATGAAATCTGTGCTGGCGGTTCGATTTGTGATTATGATATGAAAAAATGTATCTGTGCAGCTCAACATATTGCAATTAATGGTTTATGCAAACAGAAAAGTCAGTTTTTCCTAATATTTCTGAACACCAACAGAGAATATTTTCAGCCGCTCCCGCTTTTTCTGCTCCCGGGGATACTTGTAGCATGGGTGAGCAATGTGTTGGTGGCTCAACTTGTTTTGAAGGAATGTGTACTTGCGATGAACACCACTTCCCAGAAAATGGTTACTGTAGACCGTTGGAAGCTAGAAGCTCAAATGTTCAATTTATAAATGGTGCTGGGCTCCGATTCTCATCGAAAAATCCACCGAATCGCCAACGTGCAACACCTTGCAATCCTGTTGAATGTCAACTTCCAAATTGTTTCTGTAGTGAAGATGGAAGAAGTCCACCAGCTGGATTGAGACCTGAAGACACCCCACAATTTGTTGTTCTTACTTTTGATGACGCGGTTAATGGAAAGACTTTCCCTGATTATAAGTCGCTTTTTGAAAATGATGTTTTGAAGTGAGTTGTGACACCTGAAGTGGTTCTTTGACATCATTATAACATTTTAGAAATCCAAATGGCTGTGACGCAAAAGCAACCTTCTTTGTTTCACACGAATGGACTAATTACGATGCTGTTAATTGGCTCGTTCAAAAAGGAATGGAAGTTGCATCAAACTCCATCTCGTGAGTTTTATCTCAAGTATTTTTCTGAAAAAATGGGGTTTTTTTAGGCATGAAAACTTGGAACAAGCAACAACAAATCGATGGTTGAATGAAATGGATGGACAACGTAGAATTTTGGCAAAGTTTGGTGGAGCCGGGGAAGAAAATGTGGTTGGAATGAGAGCTCCACAACTTGCAGCTGGAAGTGATCGAATGTTTGAGGTATATTCATAGAACTTTTGCAATAAAATAACTCACTAATTTTCAGATGATGGTTGGAGCTGAGTTCCTTTACGATAACTCAATGTCAACAAATCCTGGAATTCACGGCGAACCATTCTGGCCACAAACTTTAGATTATCAAGTTTCCTGGGAATGCTGGGATGCGTCTTGCCCAAAAAGTTCATTCCCTGGAATCTGGACAGTTCCGTTGAACCAATTTTATGGATCATATATGCCACAGATTGACAGTTTCAGAAGATCAAGTATGATTCGAGCAGCTGTTGGTTTAAATGATACTGTCGACACATTGGTAAGAATTTATAATAAAGATAGATGGTTTTTGAAATTGACACGAATTGTTTTGTTTTCAGGAAGAGATCATAATGCGAAATTTCGAACGAAGTTACACAACGAACCGGGCACCATATATTCTATCACTCAATGCTGACTTTTTACAACTTGGTGGAAAAAATAAAGGAATGATCGCCTTGAAAAAGTAGGATTTTTTTGAAATATTTGTAGGAAACATCTGATTCAATCTCACAAATAGCTTTTCGAGTGTCTTCAATTCTTGAAAAAAAATTGTTTAATCTTTAAGAAAACGATCATATGAATTCCAGATTCTTGAACAAGATCACCCACAATAAAGATGTTTATATTGTGACAATCAAACAACTCATTGAATGGATGAAAAGACCAGTTCCAATCAGTCAAATGGCCAAGTCAAAAGCCGTCGGATGTCCAATTTCCCTTCAATTCAGTCGTAATCCATCAACATTAGCCTGTGATAAACCAAACAAATGCTTATACAGCACTCCAAATCTACCATCTCAAGAACATCAATTTTTAACCTGTTTACCTTGTCCAATTATGTATCCGTGGTTGGAAAATCCGGCCGGAACTATTGTCTAGTTTATTTATTTTCTATTTATTTTCATTTCAAATTTATTTCATCATATTTATTCAGTCTTTCATTTTTTTTTATTATTTCAAAAATATTTTATTGCCAAACGTGTATTTCGTATCAATATTCACTTGTATCATATTTCTACTTAAGAATAGTGTTTTCTTGTAATTGTTTTGAGTTCAAAATTCAACAATCATAAATAAATAATTCTTTATCATCTATCTCATCAACTCATACAAATTTGATCAAACTATATGGACTTTGCCCGCCAATCGTTCCATTCTTTTGTTTTTTGCCCGTTTCAAAAAGTAGGTGCAAAATAAATTAGGGAGAAAATAAGAAAGAGAGATAGCAAGTGCGCTCTATTGCAAAGGCGTTATTTCACAGGGACTGCCGCTCGTTCAAATTTCTTGTTTTTTTTTCTATAATTTCTCTCAATTCGCACTGGTTTTCTTCGAGAAATTAGTTCAATAAACCTGTTATTGCGAAAGTTATTGATTTTTTTTCAAAAACTGTTTGTTTACAAAACATATTTCCCCTGCCAAGTGAGTCACTTTTCTCAACTTTATGTAGTTATCTATAATTTATGTGGATCTCCTCTCCTAGTGAATGACATGATTTTTTTGCAACAAAAATATTTTTTGCTGATAACAACATTTTTCTGCTACAAGTTGTTAGAAAAATGCCGATATAAACAAAATATGGCGATTTTTGAAGAGAAAGGGCAGTTTATTTTATCAGTAGTAGTTCATATTTCATGTTGCGGTTTTTTTGCGATAATTCTTCTTTGCGGTCAATTAAACATTATGTGTAAAATAGCAATTCTCATTTAATTTAATTTTTTGTGTCTCTGCATCCATTTTTCAAGGAATGATTCTTCGCATTTGTTGTTTGCTTGGGAATACATTAAGTTTCCTCGATTTTTATGAGATGATTGATTTTTTTCTATAAATTATGGTTTTCTGCCCACGCTTTGTTTGTAGTTGTGAAATATTTCGTGAATAATACCCATATTTGATAAGTGATAACATAGTGAGCTTTTTTTGAATTCAGTTGTGATTCAAATCATAGCCCCAGGTTCTACAACATATAATTATCAGGCTCTGCTTAAAAAATTTTTTTACTTATCATAAATTCAAACATTCTCACCAAAAGTTTGATAAATTAATAAAACAAGAGGCTATTCCAAAAATCGGATACCAATTAATAATTGTGAGTCTTCAATTCTGTTTTTTAACGGATCCATCATAAACTTGGTTATAAATAACATCAAGATATTTTCCTTGTTCCAAGAAATGCTGACACCTGCACTTCTAATATCTCATTGATCAAATTTCGAAAGATTTTTCTCTTTCATAAGTCATCTCTCCAACGCATTTTTTTGTTTCTCTCTTTCTTTTCAATATTTATTTCCAGCAATTTTATATGTTGTTCCTGTTGTCAAAAACACACAGACTAACACAAAAAACATAAACACATACATATAATAATAAAAAATCACATACCCCACCCTCCTCCCAACAAAAAAATAGACCTTGACCAGTTGTTTCCATCGTCTCTCGTTTTCTATTTCAAAAACTTGCACGGATGAAAAGGGGAAATTTGGGGTGGCGTGATATGTTGTCAAATAAATTTTCTTTCTCACGCTTTCCACACACCGAACATTGTTTTGTTCTTATCAATTTACATTATTTTTAACATTTCTTAGACTACATTTTTGTTGGTGTTTTATTGGCTTGTGGTTGGTGATGGTGTTCTTATAGTCTAATGTTTACTCAAGAGAACATAAGTTTATTTTTCTTTTATTTTGTGCCCCTCTTCTCTTTTTTTCTGCTCGTTTTTCTCTTTTGCTGTTTTTTTTTCTGTCGTCTTTAAAAATAACCCACGTGATGTTTTCGATTAAAATTGTGATCAAAAACAATTTTTGCATAGTTTTGTTTTCAGAAATGCCTGGGATACACACATTTTATGATGGTTCGAGGGTTTTGGAACCAATCGCTAATAAATTGGGAATCGAATGTGATAGAGTAAGTTACTAATCTTTTTGAAAAATATTAGATATCAATAGAAACATTTTAAAATTTGCAGTTCAATTTTGTGCTCTCAATGTTCACAAGTCTTGGAATTGCCTACATCTACCGAAAAACTTGTGTTCCTGGAAAAGTGAATCGTCAAGTTCGTTTTGTGATTCCTCCTGTGGTTGGAATTGCACTTTTGTTCTTTTGTTTTGGTCGAGCTATCAAACATTTATTAGCAAATGCGTTGGGAAGTTATGCACTTATGTATTTTGCACCGCCAAGTCAAGTTCACAAGTGAGTACTTCAAAAAACGTTCAATATTTTTAAAGTTATGAAATTTATATCGTTCAGCTACGCTATGAGTGCTCTGAAAACTGATAATCACTGAAAAAATGTCATAAACCAAAAATATTTTTTTCCTGTGATTTTGTTTCAAATTGAAACCATTAAAATTAGAATCTGAAAAAAATGGTCATTAGAGTACTATAACAGAAATCATTGTTTCCAAATCGGCTGAAAAACTAATTAAATTTCATTATAGACAAAAAAATTACAGCAGAATCTATGAAAGCTCACTCAAGTTTCAGAATTGTTTAGATAAAGTAGCAATATTTTCAGGCTTGTCTTCATATTTTCAATGGGCTATCTATTTTTCATCCATTGCTATCGTTGGGCGATTTTGGATTCTTATAGTTTGGATATCACTGGTCCGATTATGGTCGCTGTTGAGAAGGTAAACATTTTATTGATTTTTTTTTCTAAAAAAAATAACTCTTGAAATTCAGGTGACAATGATGGCTTTCAATTTGAAAGATGGAAAAGAGAAAGATGACTCAAAATTGACTGCTGAACAAAAGAAAGAAGCGATTAAAGATATTCCATCACTTTTGGAGTTTATGTCATTCATGTTCAATTTCCAAACTGTTCTCACTGGTCCGGCAAATAGTTATTCGGATTATTTGAATTTTTTGGAAGGAACTCATGTGCAAAAGGATAAAAATGGAAAACTTCCAAGTCCATCAAAAACCGCGTTTAGAAAACTTGGACAAGCTATTGTGTTTTTGGTGATTGTTGCAACTCTTGGATCAAAATATAAGGTTGAAGATGTTGGAACTGAAGAATATTATAAACTTCCAATGTATCAATGGTTCTTCTGGTGGTTCTTTACTATCACTTTGGTCAGATGTACTTATTATTTTGCTTGGGTGTTTGGTAAGTTTCTTATCATATCGGAAGAAAAATATTTTTCTGAAATTTTTTACGATGCTAAACCAAAATTGTACTTTGATTTTTCTAAAATGATAAGGAAATTTTTCTGAAAGGCAATAATTGAATTGAAAATTTTCAGCTGATGCGGTCTGTAACATGTCTGGTTTCGGATTCAGCGGATATGATAAAAATGGTAATGCTGAATGGAAATTGTGCACAAATGTGCTTCCATATCAAGTAGAATCGGCTCAAAGTTTGAAGGAAATTCTTGACGGATGGAATATTCAAACGATGTATTGGTTGAGAAAAATTGCCTATGAAAGAGCACCAAAGAAATATTCAACAATTGCAACTTATTCATTGTCAGCAGTTTGGCACGGTGTTTCAATTGGTTATTACATGGCATTCTTCACTTGCGGATTGTTCACAGTTGCTGGAGCTACAGTGAGTTTGAGTTTAATATTCAAAATATTTTTAAAGAAATTTTAAATTAATTTAAATAATTCTGAAAATAGGGTTCCAACAACCGGCGCTTTGAAAAACTTTGAGAAGTTCATATTTTTTCTGGACACAAACTGATAATTCTCGAACTAGAGTTCTCGAGTTCTTGGGAAATATATCGGTGTCGTGGGAAAATTTATGATTTGAATAATGCACGGCTGTTCTTATCAGTTTTGCCACAATTTTTTAGTTATTGATGTTTTCAATTATGGACACCGTCAGGAACACGAACACTAGAAAACCAGAGTGTAACAAAAACTAATATTCCAATAAAGTTCAGACTGTCCTGTACGTAATGATAAAAGATCAGAAACTAATATGATCCAGAATTTATTTTGAATTGAGAGACACCAGCTTGAATTACTCGCTTGGATTTTAAGAGATGCTTTCCATCACTATTCCATTATTTGAATATATTCGACAATCTATCTCGACAGGAAACGCGTTTCACATAAAACCCCAAAATGAAATCTCATAAATTAGAAACCTCAGAAAAATTAAAAGCAATAATTCACCTTCTGAAAAATGTATTTTAACATATTCTAAAAACAAATTATGATTTTCAGTGGCGTCGTTGTATGCGTTGGCGTGCATTGTATAATCCAAATGTGAAATTGGTTTATGACATCTTCTCATTTATTATGGCCAAAATTGCTCTTCATTATGCAACTTTCTCATTTGTAACAATGAATTTGCATCCAGCTGTTGATGTGTTGGCGTGAGTTTGAAATTTTCAACAATAGGTTGTTGAGACTTGAGAAAAATACAATTTTCACATCTGATGTCATGCGAAATTGTAAACAATTTGATTTTCAATGTTTTTGGCTAGATTTGAAACTTCATCTATGATAAACTAAAAATTATCTATTTGAATTAAAAATCACCTATATTTATTGAGAAACAGAAAGTTGTTTGTCATATGAGTAACCAAAATAAAACTTATTTACTTTTTTGATTGATCAAAAATCACATTTTTCAGACGTGTATATTTCATTCCGCATTTTGTTGCATTTGCCATCTTATTTGGCCTCCCGAAATTCTTCAAGCCACTCAAAAAACCAGACACAACTTCAAAAAAATCTCCTGAAATTATCAACCCTGAAAAGCAAAAACTGTTGGAAAAACAAGAATAATAATAGTGTATTATATTTTTTAACAAAACCGGTAACAAAAAATCTTATTTTTGTGTTGTTTATTATTCCTTTATATATTGGGCACAATTGTATGTGTGTTTTTTGGTTATTTATAAATAAGTTATACTTTGGTTTTCTATATAAATCTCTTTCGTACTTTTTTTTTCATATAGAATATGAAAAAATATACATAGATATGGATGCTGATGTATATAATTTCCGATCGGCTGAGAATGTCATAAAAAATGATGTTTCCAAGGTTTCCGCTATGGCTTTTTTTTTCTCAAAAAGAAAAACAACAACATTTTAGAAAAATATGGAAAAAAGTGTCGTGGTGAAAAAAGAATTACGAAATTTCTAAAATGAGTCAGACATGTGTTTAGTTTTCAGTGAAAGCTTTTGTGAATATTTTCAAATATCAGAGCATTTTAAGAAATACTTTGAATTGAAAAATTGGATTTTTCAATTAATCTTGGTTTTTAGTGGGAATGCACAATTTACAGAGCTTTGAGATCCTTTAACAGATTATTTTGGTCCTGAAAAATTTTCTGGGTAAATTTCACCTTCCTAGGAGTTTTAGGCTTATTGGCCTTTTTAAATTATGATTTTTTTGTAAGAAGTGTGTTTCTTGGATATGAAATAACATCGAAATTTCATATTGCATAGTTCTTTTATAATCTGTAAATATTTTTTAATCCTGGCAACATTTCTCACCACAATAACCAACCTTTACCAATTAATCTTGTTCAATTTTTCAACAATAATTTGATGATTTTCTACAAAAAAGTAATAGACAAGAGTTCTTTGTGTCTTTTTTTGAATTCAAATATTTTATGTATGACCTTTATATCTATATATAGTGATTCATTGTGACGCTAATAAGAAGATTATTGACGGAAAATGGCCAGATGTATATTATTTACCTTCCCATTTATTATTTATATGTAGCGTGTCCATAAAGATATATTATACTTTAGTTTATTATTGTCACTATGTATGTATGGACATATACACATATACATTTCTAATTTTCTTATTTCATTTATATTTTTAGGTGATCACAATTAGTCAGCATTATTTGTTTTCCAAAACTTGTAGACAATATATTTGTTTGTAGTCTTAAAAAAACCAAATTTTCTCTCTTGCATTATTTGATATTCACTTGTATACACAATTTCGAAATTTTCTCCGCCCAAGTCCCGCCTTTTTTTGAAAGATGAGTCAATTGTGTGTGGTTTTTTTTTCATTTTCAGTCACTCCAGCTTCTTGTTTTTCTCGTTTTCAGAATTTTTCTTTTCCCTAACTGAAATGGGAGTGAGAGAGTGAAAAAACAAGAGAGAAAAAAGATAAAGAGATAGGAATAACTCGGTTAGATTGTATTGTTTTTGTTTTTGTTCGTTTCATGTGGCAATTTCCTAATTCCTTGGAGACCATACTGTTTATCTTTAGTATTATCAGAAACGTCAATAGGTTTGAGTGTCGAGGTTTTTTTTGAGTTTCCATTCATTGTCTAGGAACGAGTTAAGGTTTTTTTGTTATCTTAAGACACCCTATTATTATTCCCTTTCCTAAAAAACGTAAAAATTATTGGTTTTTTTTGTATAGTCGTTAAAAATTTATTCCTATATTCCGAAAAAAAATCAGAAGCACTTCTTTCTCATTGATTTTTGTTGTTGTTGTTGTTATTGTCTCTCCAAAACATCAAATATCAACTTTTTTGAAACAGAAAAAACCGGTCCTCTATTAAAACTAAATCATTTTTTTGTTTGAAAATAATAAATAAAATATTTGTGTTTTCAGATGGCTCTTACCTGTACTGACATTCCAAAATTCATCTGCGCTGTTCTTCTTCCAGTAAGTTTGTTTCTGTATACTCAAATTCAAATTAAAACACAATTATAAAATAATCTAAAAATTTTCAGCCAATCGGTGTCTTCTTGGAGAAAGGATGTGACTATCATTTGGCGATCTGTATTCTTCTAACAATTCTTGGCTACATTCCCGGAATTATCTATGCTTGCTACGTCATTTTGGCCTACTAAATCCACATTTAAAAAATCATAATTTTTTTTGATTGATCGCTTTTTATTTTTTTCTTGCCACTTTTTTTGAATTAAATAAAAATCGTCACTTCAAAGTTTTTTTTTATTTCCAATAGTAGAGAAAAGTCGGTAGTTCAAGTTTATTTGAACAGTAAATAATAAATGGCAGTTTGTTTGAAGAGTGACAACTGAAAAAATAACAAAAAAGTGTTTTTATTGGGGAATTGGGATTTTCAGGTCAACTGTGAACTTTTGTGAATTATTAGGTTTGGTTTGTGGAGCAAATTTTTGTTTCATTATCAAAAGCAGTCAAAAACCCTTGAAATGGAATTTTTAAAATATTATATTACAATATATGAGTCACTAATGTTAGTTGTGAAATAATACTTTATTGAAAAAAAACTGAAAAGACTTCAAGGGTTTCAAATTTATGATTCATCTAAACAAATTTTCTTTGAATATCATTGTTGAGTGTATCTTCTAGTGTCGTTCCCTATTAATAAAAAACTTTTATTCATTCACTTCTTGACAACAATACACACTTTTGCATCATACATTTATCGGGAATTTCTATTGCTTGAGGCATCACCGTCGATAGCTCAGTTGGTAGAGCGGAGGACTGTAGAGTCAGTGGGTATCCTTAGGTCGCTGGTTCGAATCCGGCTCGACGGAATGTTTTTTGTTTTTTTTTTGTTTTTTTTTTTTTGAAAAATGGTACTCGATGTGTTTATTCCTTTGGAAACAAAAAACCTTGCTTGCTGTCAATTTTTTATTCATCGGAACAAGTTTTCATTTGAGACGACCCGAGAAGGTTCATTGTTAACATGCTGAACAAACATTTACTGTGAAATGCATAGTTATTGGAAAAATTCTTTCCAGGTTTGTTCGTATTTTTGCTGTAAATCGAAAACACCGTTTTCAAAAAATGTATTTTTCAACCAAAAAAAAAGAAAACAATGTCATCATTTTTTGCGTCTGCTCTTCTCAAAATATTCTATCGACAACCAACAAAAAACTTGTTTTGGTATTTATTTTCCAACAATTTTTGGCAACATTATTTGAATCGAGAAAAAATATCAATAAACATGCAATTAATTGATGTATGAATTGAGTCGATTCGGACATAAATGAGATCAGTTTAAAACATTCATCATCACTTTTCGTTTCTTCTTTCTTTTACTTCTCATTTCTTCATCTTATATATTCATTTTCTCTTTCGTATCTATTGCACCGCCAGTTGTTTTGCTCCACACTCACATACATTTTGTTCACCCCCCCCCCTCCCCTACCTTCTTCCGTTTCTTCCCGGACTTCTTCTTGCCTTACCACCTCTAAACACTGTGCATGTCACTACTAGCCGATCTCAGGTTACTCGACCCGACGTTTTTTGTCTGTTTCGGTTCATCTTCTTCTTTCACAGCTTCTCTTTACTTTTCGCAAATGATAAGATAATGTTTTGTTTTTGTTTCATTGTTGATTTGTTGTTGGTCACAAGTTCCGCTGGCTCAAGCAGTTTTCTTGATTTATTATGATCTTTATCAGTCAATTTTTGACGGTTGCACAGAATAACGTACGGATATGGTAGATAAGTTAGGGTAGATCTTATACAATTGATAGTTTTGTTTCTTGATCCACAAAAAAATTTTTCCATTATGGTTATATCATTTTTTGCTTTTATTTTCAAATTCTGCAATAGGTTTTTCTGGCTATGATTATTCCTGTTTTTTACGAAGCACCAAAATCAGAGAAAATTTTGTCAGAATTCACATTTGGATAAATTTTCCTAATTTTTTTTCGCACATTTTTATTTTCCCCTAATTTCTCATACGTTACTTAACAATAAATCAATGCCAAAAAGCCTTTAAAATAGATTCTGTTCTTTTTTTGCAATAACACACTAATTATTAATTAATCCCTTATTTTGTTAACCTTTTCCCTCCACCCTTCACCCTTTTCCAATTTCCTTTTTTTGCCTCATTTCATGCTTTTTTGAACTATTTCCATTCCCCAAAAACAATTCTCAAAAAAAACAAATAAAATCTCACGTTTCTCTCTCATTTTATTATCTGTATTGGTCAAAAAGATAGTTACAACATGTTAAATTTTGCTGTAAATTTCACATCATAAAAATTTTCATCGTTTTTCTATCTTTTTTTTATCAACAAATCGCGTTTTGTTATCTTTTCTAATTGATTCAGCTCATTTTTTTTGCAATGTTTTTGATTTCAAATTTTTTTCATTTTTATTGTGAAGTAATCGCTTAGTTTGTGTAATAAAAGCTAGATTTTTGGAAAAAAATTTCACTGGGGGAGGGAGAAAATGAGGAACATACATGAAAAATCGATATTTTTGTCTAGGCTCTCTCTATATGTGTATGTGCCAAAAGAAAAACATGTTTTTTATTTATTTATAAAAAGAAGAAGCGTGAAAGCACGTGATTTGGTCCTGAAATGTAATGTGTTCTTATTTTATTTTTTATGGGGTAATTCATACATTTTCAATGTTTTTTCTCTGTTAATATTAATATCTTGTCTATTGACTATTAATTTTTAAACCGTGAGAAATTGTTATCCACTTCATTTATTTGCTTTTTTCAAAAAACATATTTTCTCAAATTACATTCAATTTTCTGACAAGTAAGTGTTATTTTTAATTTTGCTTTATCACACAATGATAAATTATCATCATCGTTTTCAAAAACATAAAAATTTGAGTTTTTGTAAGCCTAAAAAAGATTTGAAACAAATTAGTTCAAAGGGGTCCGGTTGAGATATTGTGGAAAAAAACTGATTGAAATAAAAAACTCAAAATTAAAAATTTTGAAAACAAAAATTAGTTACAATTGGTTGAAATATTGCAATAATCCTCTTTCCCTGTTCTGTTTTGTTTATTCATTTATTTTTCTTTTTCGAAAAAAAATTCAAAAATTGAACAAGCCCGAAAATTTTATGGGAAAATGCGAAATGATCGATTTTCTCTTTCTCTTTAAAAAATCTTCTGGAAAATATACATAATTTGTTGGGCGCTTCACAACAAAATGATTTATGAGAGAAACTTTTCCGGCCGAAAAAAAACATATTGGACATGTGTAAATTACACACACACCCGTTCATCTCACTACTCATTATTTTTTGTTATTGCTGCAGCTGCATGTACTTTATATAAATACTTATACTCAAAAATATCTAAATTCTCATTTCATTTCAAAATTTTGGTATAAGTCTTTCTGTAGAAAGAAAAAGAGGTAGTAAATAAGGTAGATGAGAAAAAAACAAGTTTTTGTATTATTTTATTCTCAAGTATACTAATGTTCACTTTCTTCTTCTTCTTTTTTGCATCTCTCAATTAATTCATCATTCATAATTTTTCAGAAAGAAAATATAGAAAATAATCGATATTCGATATCGATTGTTTTCCAATATTCCGGGTTGGGTTTTGAATCCCAAATATGATTCGACCGGATGATATATCAGCAGATGATGAGCTTGCCGCCCCATCTACCAGGTAATTAATTAATTAGAGATTGTTGATCTGGAAAATGTTTATTTTTCAGTCAATCAAATGGAGAACAACCAAAAAAGGGTATCTTGAAAAGACCTTCAATTGTGAATGAGGAAAAACGTGATAAGGTAAACAGAATTCGTTTTATGCGAGGCCCAAAGTAAAAAATATATGTAGCAAAAAATACGAGAATATATCGTCCAAAGCTCGCCTTATATTCGAAATACAGAACAGAGAAATAGTGTGTATATTCGAGAGACGCAGCCACGAAACAGAGAAATAGTGTAAATATTCGAGAGACGCAGACAGCTAGACTTTGGACGATATATGTTCGCATTTTTTGTTATATTTTTGCTTTGGACACCGCATTAACATATTCTCAAATATATCTGCTTTTCAGCTATTTCCACTGGCTGGGTTCCGATCTTCTCCTGATCGTTTTCCGGATAAGGGATCTACCAGGATCCCAAAATTACAAGTAACATGGTGGGAAAAGAATGCAGGTAACTTATTATTTTCAAAACAGAATTTTGAATTTAAAAATATCATAGCAAACAAAGTATTTCAGTGGCATTCATAAGTGAAACGAGCGATGAGGCAAATACAGATTCTGAACAAGTTTTACGAGATTTGGGAAATGGAAGGCGAACAGATCAAGGAATGAAAAGTTTACAAATCAGGCAGACAGCGATATTAGATTCGGATGATTCAGATATGAATGAGGCTCTGAAACAGGGTAAGAAATAAATAAAAATAATAATGGAACTTAATTGAGTCTTTGAAAAAATAGGACAAAAAAAACGAAAACGATCCTCTCAAATTTCAGAAAATCCCGATGTGAATTTTCAAACTCCTGACTTCGACGAAACTATGAGCGTAACTAGTTCGACTGGCAGTGCAACTTCAGCAGTTGTTGGGCGTTGGTGGACTGGAAAAGACACAAGGTGAGGTTTAATCAGGGGTTCTTGGTGTTCTGATTCACTTATTTTTCCGATTATCTGAATATGTTTATCTTAATTTTTTGAATTCTGTTTTACAGATACGTTCCACATTGCGTCAAAAAAGGCTGTAATCATGCAAACCATCCGCCACCTGGTGAATATGTAACACCAACGCAAAGAAGGAACAAAGAATTGGCGCAGTTGAAAAAGGTTTAATCTTTCCTTCCTCTTCCTCCATCAAACATTGATTAACTGTTCAGGAACTACGGCAAGCACTGACAGAACGTGACGAAAAAGAGAAACATTTGTCAGATCTACGGGATAAAGTAAAAGAGGTATCAAATACTCTCACATCCAACAAATTGTACTAATTTGCATTTTTTTTAGATTGAAGTCTTTAATGAAACCCAATCCACTCTTGTCGAAGGTCAAAAAATGATGAGAAAAGAGCAATTGGAACGAGAAGCATTAGAAAAAGAAAAGAAATTAATGGAAAAGAAGCATGCTGTTCGCGTGAATCAGCTAATTCAGGAGACGATGGCTGCAAGGTTTTTTGCCTCCATTTCTGTCTTTTCTTCATTTTTGTTTATTTTTTCAGAGAAGAAATTGTGAAGCTCACATCGAAAAATTCGTTTTTAGAAGAATTATTGGGAAAACCTAGATGCGAAGCTGAAACACAAACTGATATTGAGAGTGACTTCATGTTTCGTGGTAATCCGCCAGATCCGACTTCTGATTCTATGAATCAAAGCCAACATCAAAACCAGATACAAGTTCAAAATCTTAGTAAGCATCTTATAAAGAAGTTCAGAAAATGGATAGTTTTTTTCAGTTTCACAAACAATTCAAGCTGATACTCCAATCTCACCAATGATGACACTAGAAAGGGTGAGTCTCAATAAAAATCTGTGAAAATCATTTATGTTTTTCAGGTCTCAAGTCCTGCCGCAATGAGCCCAAGTCCAATTATGATTCCACTCACATCCCCTGGCGATTCAAAAGGTCAAACTATGTATTGCAGTCAAGAAGCACTAAATCATATACAGGTAAGACAACTATGAAAATAGAAAAAAGGTTGAGCACCCCCGAATTAAAAAATTGTTGTGTTTGAACAAATTTTTTTCATAATTTGAAATATTTCTAGGCGTGTCAAAATGAAGCGTTCATCTGGCGAAATAAAGCAGCACAACTAGAAATAGTTGCGAAAGAGCAGATTTTGAAAATTGGACAGCTGGAAGAAGAAATTGAAAAATCAAAAAATAAACCAAGAAGTGAGAATCATGCGATAACTGTGACTCAAAACGCATTCATTGTTGAAGATATGTCCAATCAAGCTATAAATACACCAGTTGAAAGTGTGAGTAAAAATAAAATCTTCCCATTAAAATGTATTTATTTTCAGCAACACGAACCAATTCTGATAACTGATTGTCATTTTGAAGCATGTATTGAATCGAAAAATGTTATGAAACATGAAATCGAACATCTTCGACAAGTTTTTGATGATGGCAAAAAACGAATTCGAGAACTTGAAGAAGATGTGAATCAATTCAGAAAAGAGCTTGATAATCTTGATGATGAAAAAGTTCGACTAGAAGAATCACTTGTTCAAGCAAATTTGGATATTGAATCGAAATCAGCAGAAATTGTTGCATCTTTGAATACTGCGAATCGATTACAACAAGAAAAAGATAATATGCATCGAGCAATTGATTATATGGAAGAACGAATGCAAGTTTATCGAAATACCCTGCAAGAAAACGATTTGGTTGTGACTGATGAAAATAGTTCGGATTGGAGAAGAACTATGAGTGATCCCAGATTTAATGTGATGAATTCGAAAATAGTTCAAACTACTTTGACTTCACAACAACTTTCTGACCATGAATCTGATTTTTTGAGCACCCAACAAACTTTGCATGTTAGTTTTATTTCTCAAAACATTTTATGATTTTGTTTTTTTCTAGGAACTTCAAAAAGAATTCAATGCTAAAAATTCTAACATTTCTGACAAGTTCAAAGAAGTTGAAGATATTTTATTAACGAAAACCGAGTTAGTTGAAACTTTGACTAAACAACTCGAAGAAATCAGGAAAAATCAGACAAAAGATCTTGACCATCATCAATCTGAACGAGATCAATATAAAAAATCGTTAGAAGAAGTCACTCTTGTAGCAGAAAAGGTTCCCATCCTCGAAGCAAAAATATCTAATTTGTCAAAAGAGAAAAATGAAATTGAAGCGGAATTGAAAAAACATATGGAGAGCTTCGAAGATGAATTGTCGCAGGTTTTGGAGGAGTCACTCGCAAAAAATAGATTGCAAAGTGACTATTGGGATGAAAAAATAAAAGCGAGTGAAATACAAATCACAAAACTTCGAAATGAAAATGCTGGTTTATTGAAAGATTTGGAAGATCAAAAAATGCAGGCACATCTGCAAAAGGCAGAATTACAAAAGAAATTAATAAGCAGTATTGAACATGTTGAAGAATTGCAAGGAAAATGTAATAAACATCAACGAGATGTCGAATGTCAAGCAATTCCAAGACAAATCAATAAATATGTTGGTTGTAAGCCAAATGTGAAAACAAAAGAAACACAAATTGAGAAAGGTTCACTTTTTGATGAAAATGAAGAGCGTTTGAGGATATGCAAAGCTGAACTTGAAACAACACGTCGACAAGTTACCGTACTTCAACAAAAATTGGTTACTGTGATACAACAGCAGGGTTCATTGAGAAACAAAAGAAAGAATACAATTGTTGAGGAACCTTCAAAAATTGATGTGAAAGAAGTTGAAAATAACAATAAAAAACAAACTCAGAACTCAGAAGATATTGAGACAAAAGTTCGAGAATTAGAATTAAGAAATACGGAATTAATGGAGAGGGTGAGTTATAAAATTCATCAAATGTTCTTCATAACCTGTTAATGTTTCAGATAAACACCATGGAAGCTGAAAAGTTTGTTGCGTCTTCTATGGAGAAAACTCGAATTCAGAATCTTGTAAATGAGTTCGATAACTTGCGAACAAAACTTGACAATGATATGAGTAACTACAGTAAAGAAAAACAATGGCTTCAATGGAGGATATCAAATTTAGAACGAGATAACTCAGATCTTCAAAAATTCGCAAATCGCAGAACTACTGATTCTACAGAAAATGATGAAGACAATCCACAAAATATCACATTCCGAAAAGCAATGTCAGAACCTGATTTTGGAGATGAAAGTGAAGAAGGAAGTCAGCTAAATGTTGATCTTGACAATTCTGCTGAACTTGTAACATTGCCTCCAATTGTTAATCAACAACCATTTTCCCAACTTGCTGATGTTTTGAACTTGGTTAGAAGTGATTTGGAACAAGTTTTGACTGAATTCGAAGAACCTGAGGTCAAGGCTAATATTTCAAAAACACAATCACAAATTTCTTTGGATGAATCTACGGTAAGATTCTGTGTAGTTTCTATAGAAATCATATTATGAAATCAATCATTATTATCTGGTAAATTGATTTTTCCAGAAGTAGAATTCATTCAATTTAAATAAAATAGTAAGTAAATTTCGCGCATGTTTATAACATTTTTCTTACTTCAACATGCTGTGTCTTTTTCGGTTCGGGTGACATATAGTATTCAGAGAGCAACAACAATAATAATAATACAGTGTTCTTGTTAGATGCTTTAAAATAGAAAACAATAATTTCAGGATATTCTAAAAGACGTGTTGAATGAATGGGCAGAAGATGAAAGAAAACAGTTAGAACGACAATTAAAAAGATCAAAAGAAGAAAGAAATTCACTCAAAAATACCAATGATCGTTTATCAAAAGATTTGCAAACTGCAATGGCTGAATTGAATATTTATCGATTGGAAAAACCACAAAAGGATTCTATGGAAGAGAAAAGTTGTATACAAAGAAGTTCGAGTTTTACAAATTTCTGCGAAGATGGAGTCTCGAAAGACGTTTTAATGTGGAAAGCAAGATCTGGAACATTATTCCGAGAAGTTAATCGAATTCGACAAGATTTATCGGAAGCTTTGAAATCCAATAATGATTTGCGTTATCAGTTAACGATTGCCAGAGGTGAACGAGAATTATCGAGTTGTTTCGAGAAGTGAGTTGAGATATTTTGAAATATGACATTTTTAGTAACCACGTAGAGAATTTGACGTTTTTTTAAACACATTTTACATTTTTGTTGAAAATATTGAACATACGAAATAAATGTTAAAATTTTTCAGTCATCCATTATCTCCATCGCTGAGTTTCCATACCGCACGGGATGTTCCGATCACCAAAGAGTGAGTTTTAAAACAACCACATCATTAGTTCATCTTCTCACACATACTTTTCAGTCAAAATGAGGTGATTGTTCATGAACCTTCTGAACCTTTCCAACTTGGATCTTCAAAAGCCAGTCTCTCAGCAAGTATAATGATTCGAAGTCAAAGTTTGGATCGTAAACACAGTGTTAGTCAAGGTCGTGGTCGAAGTCGAAGTGCTAACAGAAAACCGCCAATATCGAAAGATGAATTGGAAAAAAGAGAAAAAAGGAGAGAATTGAGACTTCCAAAAAATGTTTCAAGATCTTCTTCTGTTACTTCATTATATGTGACAGCAAAAGAGCAAAAAACACCAATTATGTCAGCATCTTGGCACGAGAAAGCATTTGATAATAATGAGTTATTTGATTGTGATACTGATTATGATCGAAGAAATTGTCGAGTTGTTTCATTACGCGAAAAAGTTGGAAAATTGACAAGAGAAAATCGAGAACTTAATGATAAATTGAGGCAAACATCTGATATTTCAAGAGTTATTGAGTTGGAAAAAGAAACTGATGAACTGAAATCAACTGTTAAAGAACTTTTGAACAAAATGTCTATGGTACGCAACTACAGAAAACATTGCAATCATTTTTTTTCTGACTTTCAGAGCACACCGGGTCTCGACAAAGAAATCAAGTTTTTGCGTGATGAACTGGAAATAAGACGAAAAGAAAGTTCAATGTATGAGAAAAAGTTAGCCGAAGTTGAAGAAGAAAGGTAATTTTCAGAATATGATACATGTATGACTGTGATAAACTTTGAGTACCTTTTCAAAATTTATACCCATTTCTGAAAAAAATGTAATTTTATAATCTATCAAGCTACCTCTTCAGATTAACATTTCACGTGTTTTGTGTGCATTTTCTCCCCAATCTGATTTCAGAAAAGAAATGTACCTGCTGATGTTCAAAAAAGGTCAACAAGCAGCAAGTATGGAATTAAAAGACGATAGAATAATGGACTCGATGACAGAAGATCGAATTACTCTAAAATTTCTGCATGATGCGTTTTATTATTATCTTTTGAATCGAGGTGATTCACAAGAGCATTTATCGGTAAGTCTTATTAAAATTAATATTGTGGTTTTCTGCATACTAACTTTATCTCTGCTTCGATGATTTTCATAAGAAATATTTCAAAATTTGTTTTTTTTCAGGTGATGATGACGATTCTTGGTTTCACATCAGATCAAAAATCCGAAGTTGCAAATCGTAAACGAGGTCGTTCAAACTGAATATTATCATTTATATTTTCTCTCTATCCATGTTTCATTCCATTTTGAGCTTTATATTCGTTTCCTTTGTTTTGTTTAATTTTATATACTCTCTATTTTGCCTTTCATTTTCGGGTACTTTTTGGTCATTTTTTTACATGATGAACAATTAAAATAACACAAAACTCTAGTTTTATGAGTTGATCTTTTGTCATTTCATCTGCGAAAAAATCGGAGAAAAAATAGAATCAAGTTTCAAAAGAGGTTTGTAGATCAAACTACAGCAGAATCCAGGAGGAACAGAAAAAAAAGAAACACTGAGACTGTTATCAAGATTTGAAGGTCCCTTGACACAAACAATGTTGACAGGCAAAAATTCCTCCATCAAATTCATAACTTTCACTTTGGATCTTCTTTTTGGATAAAAGAGAGTTAGGTTAAATGAATTTTGTCCCGAAATGAAGGCGATAAAATATTCCGGATTTGTCGGAGAAGAAAAAGAAGACAAAAAGTGAATGGACACTTTTTGATGGTTATCTTGAGCCTCTGGAAATATTTCGCCGTTTTGCCCTCGTTTCTCCTTTCTAATCTTTTTTCTTCGTTCTCTTCCAATGGAAAACGGACGGTTTTAATGTCACTCGTCGTTATTCTCGCTTTCATCTTTTGCACGAAAAGTGCAAGTTTTCGATCTGATATGGTACACAATGAAATTATGAAATGAGGGAAATTGAAATTTGGATAAAACGACAATGAAAAATCAGAGATGACAAGCCAAATACAATGAAATAGTTGATAGACTAGAAAAACCAAAACACGATTTTTGTCACGAGTTCTGACATAAATATTTCAAGTTTTTATTTTAATGTTATCTTCTTGTTTATCTGAGCAATCATGAATTTCGGACAGACTTGTTTCTGGAATGCAGAACAAAGAAAAAAGGTGCGAATAATTATCTGATAGAAATTATTGGCATTTTTCTGTGTTTTGCTTGGCAATTTTATTCTTTGAATCACTCTAAAGTTAAAAATAAAATAAAACAAGGAAAATTGTCATAAAATTTGTAGAAACTAAATTAAATAGTTAAAAACTTTATTATAATTGTTGTCGAATATTTTTTTGTTTAAAAAATCTTTTTCAAATCTCATTCGAAAAGTTGATTTTTCCTTGATGAAAATCCAAAATTTGAAACTCACATCAGAGTTTTGAATGATCCATCAAAATTTTAATTTGAAAATACAATATCTCTTGAAAACTATAGAAGCATGAAAAAAACTGAATCATTTGGAAAATATAACCAAAGAAACAAAATTTGAGTGCAAAGAATTGCAAATGTATTAAGATGTTCATCAATGGATTTAATTGACTGGAAATGAGTTGATCTTGATGCTTTGAAATCGGATCGAAATGATCAATTGAATTGAGAGTTTAAAAATTTGTCAGCAATTTCTATGCGTCATTCTTGAAATAATAATATTTCCAGCATCTGGGAAGGGAGCCAAGATTCATTAGTCCTATACCGATTTGATGATTAACCCTCTGATTTTTCGATGCTCCATGTTGATAAATGTTAACACTTGCATCTTTTAATTCTCCATACAAATAGAAGCTTGAATCAGTAGTGAAATGCAACAAGTCTATTAAAATGCAGTCTTACTCCTAATAAGTTATTGTGAATGCGTGTTCCTCTCGAATTCCTTGGATTCAAGATTTTACGGATTAGCACAAAGCATTCTGATTGAAATATGCGCTTATTGTCGAGCCTAGAAATTCTTCCATTTCAAAAAAGCAGATTTTTAAAACATCTCTTCCAAAATTGTATCATCCAATCAATCTTAAATCCATCCGAATCAAATAAGATGTACCCTAGAAAATTTTTGCAGAAATCGTATTCAAGTTTGTAGACTACATGCAAATGTTCAAAATATTTTCGCCCTTCAACATTCCAATATTCCAGGTTTTTCCGATCGGCAGCAGACACAACAAGGACAACTGTAGAAGATCTCCTTCCGATATCACGAAAAAACATCCAAAAGAAACAAGAAAAGGAAGCAGCGAAAAGAGTGGGCGGAGCAAGTGCCGATGAAAATGAATTGAATTGAAATGGATTGGATTGGATGGATGGATGAAATCGAAAAGGGGAGGAGTGAAAAGTGGGAGGAGGAGAGGCAATGAAAATGAGGAGGTGGCGACACAAGTTTCCAAACAATGTCTCAGTGTTCGGATTCAGACATCCAACCAACTTGGGAGCTTCCTCATTTTCCTTTTTTCAATTTAATTTTTGTTCATTGTCTTTCACTCTTCTACTTTTTCTTTTTTTTCATATTGAATTATAATTTTCATATTGAACTCTCTCTTTTTTTGTTTTCAAAATGTATTCAAAATCTTTTCAGTAGGTTTGTCCTCAACAGTGACTGTGTGGGTAGTGTGCTTTTGCGACTTCATGTTCTCCGAATTGAAGCGCTTTCCGGTTTTAGTCCTCTACACTTGCGCTCTTTTCTTCTCCGTCCCACTTTCATTGTTCGTTTGGTTCGTTCGTCGTGAGCTTATCAAAGAAACTTCTGTTGCTGGAGAAGCAGAGGTAAGAATGAAAAATCTGTATGATTTTTTCATTATAATAATATTTTCTAGCTCCTCGGTGGTCTTAAAGACAGAAAGAAGCTCCTTTCGCAATCCGATTCATCTTCGTGTCCAGATGTCCAGCTCCGTATTGAATAATAATTCATTGACCAACACCACCAGAAAGGTAGGTAATATCCCATTCTGCTTTCTCGAAATCAAAAGAAAAAAAAACACTTTCATCTATTTTCGCCATCTTCTATGTTCTAAATTGCATGCACTCTGATTCTAATCAGCAAAAATGAAAAACAATTCAAATTCACTTTCATTTTCAGATGCACGTCGTAATTGTTCATCCAGAACAATGGAACGGTGGTTCCGATCGGTGTACAGTTGCGTTGATTCGACATTTTGTATCACAAGGTCATCGAGTTACGTGGCTCACAACAATGATTGATGAATATTGGAAAGATCATGAATTCGAAGGTGTTGAAATCCGTGAAGTTGGACTGAAACTTCATCCAGGAGATTGGTGGAGTCAAAATGTTGCATTGGGTTGGCATATGGTTTTCAGTAATTTGAATCCCGATGTTGCAATCATTGATCATTCAGCAAGTTGTGTGCCAATGATAAAATGGCGTTTCCCAGAATGCAAAATCTTGTTTTATTGTCATTTTCCACAACAATTAGTTACACCATCAAGATTGTTTTTGTATAGATGGTATGCAAAATTGATTGGTTTGGTTGAAGAAGAACTTTTTGGACATATTGATCAAATTTTTGTCAATAGTCATTTCACAGCAAGTCAATTTATTAAAGTTATGCCAAATATTGAGAAAAACAAAGTTCGAGTAGTTTATCCACCGTGCGATATTGACGCAATTGTCACATCGGTTAGCTATTTTCAATTTTTAGAGTCGAATTCAAAAATAACAATTTCAGAGTGATATGCCTGTCAGTCGTCAAAAACGTGCTCAAAATGCCGTTTACACATTTTTATCTATGAACAGATTTTGGCCTGAAAAACGTCTTGATATCATATTGGAAGCGGCTGCAATTCTGAAGCGAAAAGGTTATCCACTTCATGTTCAACTCGCGGGTTCTGTTATGCCACATATACCAGAAAGTCGAATTTATTATGAGCTTTTGCAAAAAATGACTGAAGTAAGTTTATTGATATCGAGAAAAGTTGAAATTTTGGAATTTTTAGGATCTCGATGTTACTGATGTTGTCACTTTCATTCCATCGCCAACTGATAAGGCAAAATTCCAATTGTATAAACAGTGTGATTCTGCACTTTATACACCACCAAATGAACATTTTGGAATTGTGCCAATTGAAGCTTTAGATCAAAGAAGACCAGTTATTGTTTGTGATAGTGGTGGTCCAGCTGAAACTGTTTTAGAAAATATTACTGGCACAAAGGTGAGATTATGTTCGATTTCCCTTTTTCACTTTTTAAATGTTCGCTGACCTAAAAAGAAACTGTTTTCCTCTTTTGCGTCGAGGAAAAAACTGGATTGCACCAAAAAGATAGAAAGTTTCATTCTCAAAAAGATGTCGATTACAGATTGCCAAACCATGCGGCGAATTGTTGGCCGAGGCTATGCTTCATCATATGAACAAACTCGAATGGCCCGAACTGGATACTGACGAAGGATATGCAAAACAGGTTTGTACAGATTTACATCTTTTTCCCTTCCCTTCCGAATTTTTTTCAAGATTTGAATCTTGAATCGAATTCTTAATAATATTTTCAAGGGTTTATTGATCTTTGAAAACAACTTTGCAAAAAATAAATGAAAGTTGTTCAGCAAAAGAACAATAATTAAATTTCAGAGAAGACGCCTGGAAGCTGAGTTTTCAACTCGTGGTTTCTGTGGTAACATTGATCGCGCAATCGCTGAAATGTTTGGTGATTTGGAAATTCAACCATCAAGTTCTCCAGTTGTCACTCAACCTACACCAATGGCTGCAATTCCAACACCAACCCAAACTGAAATTTATATGAAACCCCAAAACATGGCTACAAACGGTAGACGTAGAGTTGGATAGTTATTTAAAATCACAAATTTCAAGATTTTTATTTCCATATAATAATTTATTCATGATTATTTGATCATTGTTTTCTTTTTTGCTTTTCATTCCGAAATGTTGTTTTCACGGGACAACTCTTTTTCGAAAACTGTTATGTTTTTTGCGCTTTCAATCATTTTGATATCTTATATCCAGTTGTCATTTCACAAATTTTTCTGTAATTTCAAGCAATATTTTTTATCGATAACCTTTTTGTGTTCAATTTGATCATTTTGTGTCTTCTCATTATTTATTTTTTCTTTTGCTTTCCTTTTTCTTTTCTTTTTTTATTTTTTATATTGATTATGAATGAAATTTTTGAAAAATGTAAAAAAGCTTGCTCCCGGTGAGGCTCGAACTCACGACCTTCAGATTATGAGACTGACGCGCTGCCTACTGCGCTACGGAAGCAGACATTCAAACATACTGTGATACCCAACACATACTTGTTCCTCTTCTTATTCTCTTTTTCACTCTGCATCTTTTTCCCTACTAGCAATATTTTTTGTGTTATGTGCAGTGAGAGAAAGTGTTTTCTCTTTTTTTTCATTTTTTTGAACAAATAAACAAAGAAAAACTATGAAGACGAAAATAATATAAAATAAATAGTAGTTAACCTATTTTTAATTATGAAGCTCAGCTAAAACCCGTTTGGTAAAGCATAATGAAATTGTACAAAATCATAATAAAACATTTTGATTATAAATTCTAGAAGATATGGTGAACTCATGAGTCGAGAATAATAGAATCTTCGAGCGGTTGTTGAAATTGTTGCGTGATTTGGGCGGCGGAAAAGAAGCTGTCTATGAATGAATTGTCGCGATGCCAGTGGAACCTGAAAAATTACATAAATTAACAAATATTTGACCAAAAAAGTTGATAAAAAGTAGTACATTCTTAAAACAGTACTCAAAAGATTCTCAACAAATGAATTCCAAATAATTAAAGACTGAAATCATGAAATTTGGCTCGAAAATCATGGTAAACCTGGAAGATCTCCCCAATTAAATATTCGACAATATAAACTTCTCACCTTCTGTCTCTCCATTAAATCATCAAATTGAGGAATTAACAAATCTTCAGCGTTTGTTGAATATTTCAAAAATTCGAAATATTCCAACTCTGTATGTAAATCACAATGCCATAATTGCGGAAAGAAATGTGCATCTTCCATTGTTCTTCGAACTTTTCCCCGATTTGAAATTTCCATCATTCTTTTATATTCGGTTTCCACAAAGCACGTCAAATTCCATCGACACCCATTACATTGAATAGTTCCATTCGGCTGACGAATTCTGAATAAGAAATTTCGAATATTTGTAAGTTTTTTTTTCACAGGTGAATCTACCTGATACATCTGTCAACATATCCCGAGACAAATCGATCAATCGGATCGCGAGTAATCATTGAAAAACTCCAGTCGTTCCCAACTAGCGATATATTATACATACTCCTCACTGTTGCTACATCAAAATATTCATTCTTGTCTCGACAAAACCTTTAAAATTATATTCGGCTTATTTTTAAAAAATTATTTTCAGAAGTTGTCTAGCCTACCTTGTTTGAAGTTCATCATCAAAATCTCTTCCAGAATTAATAAATCCTTCTTCATCATATAAATAACACATTGTTCCACTTATCATTGTAGACATTGATTTTTGTACAACACAACTGACCATTTTATATTTTGGTGATACTCGAAGTTGTGTCTGATATTGTCGATTTCTTGGAGTGCACATGTTTTTCATACTACATAGATCTCTTGCTGATTTGTTAGATGTTCGAGGTGGAAGTTCCTGTAACACACTTGTTTTTTTGTTGCTTTTTTTTCAAACATAATTTTTTGGGTACATTTGTTATTGGATGGATAATACCGATTTGCGAGACCAGTGAGAGACCATCAAAACACAAAACCTGATCGATACTTTTGAGATTCTTCGAACTTTTCTCATTATTTTTAACTCGAAAAGAAAAATAATAATAAACTTACATGCGAATTTTGTCTGACCATCTCATTCAACGCATTCATTCTCATTTTCTCTGCATCTAAATCACGACTTCCTGATGATTTCAAAGCAATTGGTGTATTTGTAGGTATTATTGGTGCAGTACTAAACCAAACGATAAAATATAAAGAAATAAATATTATTGAGACGGCAAATATTTTCGCTAAATTTTCAACGATATTCATTGCAACTTTTTGACAAAACTAAAGTGAACAAAATCTCACAAATGAATGTGGGATTGAATGCAGTATTTTTAATCCCGTGTGACGTTGAAAATTGGTTAAATGAAACAGTTTTATTTTCGCGGAGAAATGTATTGTTCACAAAATTATTTCAGATACATTCATCAATTAAATGACGCATTATTGCCGAATATGTAACAATATTTCTGTAATAAATTTTGTAATACTGATCTATCTTTGTTTTTTGAAAAACTTCTCTCACATATTTTGATTGAATCATACGACTTTTTTCGTCGCATTTGAAAGCTTGTTGAAAACCAGATGACTGAACCATTTGTGCATTGGATCTCTCATAAGAACTATGATAATTGTTGCTCGGTAATAATGTTTTTGTTTTGAACTGAAAATGTTTACAGACGTTTTTGTTAAAAACACTTATTAAATATAACTAACTTGACATCCAAGAGATGTGGCGGAATAATAGAACATTTGCTGATTAGTTAAATTATATTTCGAGTTTTCAATAATATCCTACAAACAGTTACAATGTTAGTTAATGATACAAGATATTCACTTACTTGTAAATTATTCTCGTATTTTTTTGCAAAAATTTGATAAGCTAAATGAATACCAAAAATATCAGCAGCGTCTTCATCATATTTCATTTTATCAATAGAGCAATTTTTCTGGAAAAAAATATACCTTTTTATTAAATCATATTCTTATAAATTCTAAAGTTATCAAAACTGACCTTCATGAAAAATTCACAAGTCTTTCTAAACTGCTGTTTGATACAATTTTCGATTTCTGATGGAAAATAGGGGACCAACATGTAGTTTGGTGTTGATTTGATAAAACTATGTCCAAGTTCGTGTGCCATCATAACACCCGTATATCCATACTATAAAAGATATTGTCTTTAAAACTAGAAACTCAACAATTACATACTTTGAACGGAGCAATTTGTTCTTTGGATAAAATAGACAACAACGGATTGAACATTAGGATTTCCCCGTTACTATTTAACGCATGGAAACTGTTTTGATCTAAGAATTCTGGGGAAGACACGAGAAGGTAACAAAAAAATCGTATTTCGTTTGGAACCCTGAAAAACTATTGTGATTCAATGAACAACTGTGACTGACTTTGACAAACTTTCGAAAACAATTAAGAATAACGTTTCGAGTTTCTTCAGCATTTTGTTGATAAGAAGTATCGGCATATGTGTTCAAATATGACATATTGATCATTTTATTCATTGCTGGCAAGCTATTTGAAGATAATATCCACGGAGTTATCTTTTGAAAATGTTTTTTATTATATCAAGTAAAATATCAAACCTTGTTCATTTCTAATAACTCATGTTTCATTTTTTCCAACAATTCCAAATGACGCTGGAAGGCTTGTTTGTTCTTGTTCAACCAATAAAACGCACACGTATTGCTAAGTATGTTTTTGAGATATATATCATTTTTGCGTCTTTCCTGAAAAAAGTAACTGTATTTTTAAAGCTTGCGCTAACTAAAGCAACACTAACTTTTCTCAATTCCAACCATGTTCTCTGAACTATGTTTTTCAAGTTTGTCGCTGCTCGTGAACAGTTTTTATCAAATCGTAGGTGATTATAATAATTGAACTTTGTAGAATTTTTATTATGATTCAAAACGTTTCCCATCACCGCCAGAATAGAACGATAATCTTCATCTTGTTTTTCACAGCTGAAATTTGGATTGAAAGTAAGAAAAAAGAATCTACAAAACCTTTTCTCAAATTTTACGATCAAACGTTCAATAGCATGTTTTTGATTCAAATTGTTGAACATATCATGAAAATTCGGATCTAACGAATAGTTCTGTGAATAGGATTATATGATTCATCGTTGAAAAACAAGAATAGAAACTAACACAAACATATTTCACATCATCAGGCATTTCCATGACATCTATCTCCTTTTGATACGCTTCTAGAAGTACATCGTTCAGGCTTTTTTGAGGTTCTCCACATACATGTCTATAAAAGTCGTCACAAGGATCAATGTCAAAATCGATTCTTCTAAAAAACAGTTTAAATATTTTCCCAATTTTTCTTCAAATTTCAGAATTCACCTCTCAATTTCATACAGAAAATCAATATCTAATGATAAAACAGTGTTAAGAACTAATATAAACGTGAACTTGCAAAAGTTCATTTCAAAAACTGAACATTTTCTGGAACATATTTCAGAGCTTTGAGAACAGTTGTTCAACGCAAAGATAAAAATTGATTTTCTCAAACTTGCAATAGTTAAGCTAACATTTTGCTGCTTTATTTATAGAAATGTTTTCTGAAAACTTGAAATTCTAGAAAATATTGAATAAACAATTTGTGGTCTATAAAATCTTGTCAGAAATGTTAGGATAGTTTTTTATAAACTCTTTTCATAATTCTCACGGATCTCATACGTTTCTATTATAATTTTGAGATACAAATTTTCATTCTTACATTCGATTAAATTTTGAATATATTATCTATTTCAGTGTGTTTAAAAACAAAACTTCGGAAAAAAATGAAAATATCGTAAATCCACATTTTAGTTATAATATAAACTGATAACATTATTTTATTCATATTTCCAAAATTTCTCAACAATCAATCTGTTGTATTCTGATTTTTTGGTTCTCACACAAATGTGGGTGGACCATAAGTTTCAGTCATGCGACCAGCTGTTGAAAAATCTTCAATTCACATCTAACATTCTGCAAAACCAACCTCAATGATTCTCAAATACTTTATCCTATGTTTGTTTGTCACGTATGTATTCCCTGTTCATATAGTTCGTAAGTGACTGAACAATAAATACATTTCAATTAATGAACAATTTTGTTTATAGGTATTCCAGAATTTCCCCCAAAACGACTTTTAGAACAGTATTATGGACCTGGCAACAGTAAAACAGTGATTTCTCCTGCAATCACAGGTGAGTATTGATTTGAAAATTTATGAATAAATAAAATTTTGCAGATAGACAAAAACACGAAGTTCATACACCTCCAGCTACACGGGAAGCGTGTCAAAATTTGAAAACTTCCCTAATAATCCTTTCATTCATCAGATTATTTGTATAAAATTAAAATTTATTTAAATGAGTATGTAAATTAAAGCTCGCTGTCATAATGATTTCAAGACATTCATTCTTGTCTTTAAATTCGCTTCATTCATCAATTATTCTTTTCTCATATATTTTGAGTAATTCTTTTATTTTTATGTATATTCGTTTATTTGGTTTTTTTCAAAAATAAAAAAAATTCACAAATTGATATATTTTATTCACTTTGAACCGTAAAATATTAACATGACACTTTTGCAAATCCTCTTGGAATTCAAAATTCTTAAAATCCAGGCGGAAATGAATATCCCAGAATAACGAAATCATGGTAGAACATTCTGACGACATATTCCATCAAAAAAGGATTTTCGCGAAGTCTGTAAAATTATGTAAATTGCTTTCTGGTCACATGAAAGTGCATCAAACGGAAGGAAAAGAAAAAGTTTCTTCATTTTTCTTGCGCGCGACAAATTTGATTCTCACCTTTTTTCATAAAATTCTCGCGCTGGTGAATAGGCTGTTGTATGTGATGTTTTGCGATTTCTGGTCAACTCTTGTTCAATATATTCCAATTCACTTTTCGGCACCTGCAAAAGTTCACAAAGTTGAGCAACATTTTCCTACTTCTACTAACATTAAGAAATGTTTCGAGATTTGTTCAAGTAAGTTATGATAAATTCAGGATATTTTCCAAAACAATCTAATGTTTTCCACTAAAGATGTACAAATTGAACCCGGAATTTTTTTCACTTTTCACTCGAAATTGTTCCAAAGAGAAAAAAACAACAAAAAACAAATAAATATCTAATTATCCTTCCCTCCAAAAAAAGAAATTTGCTCTCAAGTGTTGTTTTTTTGGAACTTGTTCTATATATTTTCAATTCATCTTACAATTTCTTGTTTTCTTTTTTTAAACTTACTCCTTGCCTTTGAGCAATTTTGAATAAATCAGTCATCAGTTCTTTTGTTGGATCACTTGAATATCGAATGAACTCGTACTGATCTCGCATTCTATTAAGGCCGCAGCGCCTGAAATTCAACATTTTTCAAATATGATTTCTAAAATGTTCTGAAAGTACACAACGTACATATGTTCAAGAAGATATAACTTTTATGCAGTTTCATGCTTCACTTGAAATTGTTTTTCATTTTTTTATTAGATCATTTTTAGTCAGTCTGCTCTATTTTCCTCATTCTTCTATTTCAACTTTCAAATTTTGATAAATCATGACATCAGAGGTAAGAAAACTTACCAATTTTGCGGATAAAAATGTCGATCTTCAAAAGTGTTCACCAATTTCTTTTTCATTGTTTGTTTCATAAACCGCTCATATTCTGACAAAACAAAACAAGTCAAATTCTTATCGCATCCGTTGCAAGGAGCCGGACCTTCCGCAACCCTAAAATATTTCCCTTGAGATTTCATTGTTTTTTTTTTCGCTGGGTGGTCTTTTTGCGCCCACCTTATGCATCTATCCACATATCCAGATATGAATCTGTCAACTGGATCACGAGTTATCATTGAGAGACTCCAGTTTTTGAAATCATTTGATTTTACACGTCTTTGAAGTTGACGAATTGTTTGAACACCATTCTCACTTCGACATAACCTAAAGAAACAAAGTGTGAAATACTCGAAACAAACTTTTATTAAGATAAATAGAAAGTAGTCGCATTGTGAAGTATTATTTATTCTAACGTTTCAGCGTTTCAGCCCCCTATAAAATAGTGACTAGAAACTATAGAAAAAAGAATACGTGCTAAGATAAATGAAGTACGAATTTAAAAACACTGTGTCGTACACGGTGCGCATTTTTTTACAAGAGCACCCAGGGAGAAAAAAAAGAATAAGAAATAGAGTCAAAAAGGAGAAGAAGTGAGAGACAGAGAGGAAGGGCCTCGACGCACAATAATTTGTACAGGGGCCGGACGCAATTTTGTTCAGGCGACGTAAAGAAATGCGCACCGTGCGTAGTTTAGGGCTTTTTTTTTAATTTTTAATTAAATAAATTCTGTTTATTTTTGATGTAAGTTTCATTAGTTTCTGATCTCTTTTTTATAATATTGTGTTTAAACTAATTTTATATGTTTCAACTGTCGTCATTATTATATAATTTGGCTCAAAGCAAATTAACATCAATTCAAATAATTAATTAGGATAATTTTGTCAAAGATTTTTGTGAGTCAAAAACGTACAAATTTATTAATTAGATAGAAATCACTCGAGTCACAAACTCTCTGAAAATAATTTCCAAACAAATCTTTTTGAATTTCCAGAACTTTTCAGTTTATTATTTTACAAGTTTCCCAAGTAAAACTAACGATGCTTTTTCCCATTCCGTCATATTTATCTGTGAATCAACAGATACAAAACGTTTTCGATTAAATAAATAACACATGAGTCCAGTAATCACAGTTGACATTGATTTATGAACAACACAATTTATCATATGATAATCAGGTGCTATCTGAAAGAATCCTTTGCTTCATAATTTTAAGTTTTTGATTTTTGATTTACCTTGAATCTTGTCTCGTGATGAAAAAACGGTGGGATACATTGAGTTGTATTCTGACACATTTGATGTGCGGTCAGATTATTGTTGCGGGGTTTAATCTTCTAAATGAATCATTTTGATTGGGATACATATTATATGTAGTGTATTTATTTTTTAATCAAACATTTTTTTGGACAAAGACCATCAAATATAACAACTTACATCACTATTTTGTTTCTTCAAGGCATCATTATTTGTATATAAACTGAAGAAATTCTTAATTTTGCTTCCCCCAGTTGGCATTTCTACAGTAACAACAGGATTATTTGTGCCATTGAAATATTGATCATATTTTAGACACATTTCAGAAATAAATGTTAGAGCAGTAATACATACAAATATACAACCTAGTACTTTTGGAACAATATGTGTCATTTTGGAATATTTCAAAAAATAAAAATAAATTGGTTTTTGTGTTTTAAAAACACAAACCAAAAAAGGCGGGATATCGGATAGACAATACAACATACTTTTGAAAATCAGATCAGTTCAAATCGCGCCCACTCAAATCGGATTTGTCGTTTGTGAATGTGTGCTGATTTGTGTGAGATCAGTATCATTTTATGTGTCAATTATGTGTTTGAAACCGATCTTTTGAGTTTTTTTTTCAATTTTTGTTTGGAGGGAAGTGGAAAACTAGTTTACAAAAAAATTATTAATTTCAAGATTTTTATTGACAGTTTCTAAAATAAAAAAAGATCAAATTACACTTTCAAATTGTCATAAAAATGTAAATCAAGCAGGATTTCTGCAGGAATAATGAACAAAACTCAAAAAACCCCTATCATATGAAAACACAACTAGAATAAAGTTTTGCGAATATAGTTTTGTTTCATTTCTCGCAAATCTCATTACTGACAAAAAGTATAGTTTTCTAATAAGAACTTTTATATATTTTATTGGGAGTTTTCTTGTATAGTACCGCATTTGATTGTTTTTTGAAGTGCACCAAATTTCAATAGGAATTGGGTTCACATACCATTAGGTCCAATTTTGGAGAAAAAGTCCACAAATTTCAAATTCCTCTGGTCCGCTTTGAAATTCCCCCAACACTCTTTTAGATTTTTCTATTGAAGAAAACACCTTTTTCTAGCTGTTTTTTCTCATGGTTTGAAAATCCCCAAAGGTCTATTGCAACATCGTCTTGTCATCCACCAATCTTAATCGTTCTTATTCTTTGCCCAAAGTTTTGTCTTTGAAGTCTTCGGAATGTAACCTTAGAAAACAGAATTGATGGAATTAACATGTTAATTCAATCTCTCTAATCTCCGATTCAGTAAAAAAGCCTGAAGCGTTCGCCGAAGCTTCATCTTCATGAGAAAAAAAAAACAATCTATTTCTGTTCACTTTTTGTTGCACTGACTGCTCTGTTCCTTTTTTCCAGTTATCTTTAAACATTTTTTTCTAGGATGTGTGACAGCTAGATTCAAATCTTTGACTTTTTCTAAGTGCTCGTTTTTCCATCCTTTCCTAACCCTCCCCGGGGACAATTTTATCACCTACTTTCGGTCACTCCATCCATCCATATATATATTCTCTTTCTTCGCTCTGCCACTCACTTATTTCTTCATAAATCTCGTCTTTTTCTCACTTCCGCACTTCTGCTCATTCCAATGCAAAATACTATGATTCGCAAAAAATTGAACACGTAAGATTTTCTTGATCAAAAATTATTCTTATTATTCATGAATTATTGATATCGGTTGATGAAAAATAATATGTTTATTTTTCTGAAAGCAAAAAAAAAAAGTTTTTGGATCTTGTTTTTTTCGTTTTTCTGTCAAATGAAAGACAGAAGGCGACCTTTCCTGGTGTGCTAAAATTCAATTATTGTTTTTTCTCGCAGACAAAAACATTTTGAAAAAAATGTTTCTACACTTCCGTATCTTCTTTCAAAATACCTAGTTTTATTGATCATGTTCAACTATTTTCCAGATGAACATATGAACTTTTATGTTATTTTTTCTTCGTGTAAGATCTAAGTTACTGGTATTTTTTATCTTAAAAAAGAAAAATGAAATCAAGTTCAGTTATTTTTAGAAAGTTACAATTCTGAACAGATGAAAAATTCTTTGCAAATTAATCACCTCAATTTGCTAAATTATTGATGAGTAGCATTCGGAAAATATCTTCATTCATTCGATTTTTTTGTTTGAGATCTATAGAGATATGCACCACCTGATGATGAATTCGATCGAAACAAAACAGATGACACTTGAACCACCACCCCAGACAAAAAAACTTTGATTTCTCTAAAATCAGTGACCTCATTTCATTTTAGTTTATCTATTATTTTTCGCTTTATCACTATTTTAAAATGTGAATCTAAATGTCATCCATTTTTCTTGATTTATGACTCAATTTTGGACCCCCTCGTGATACGAAAAACTGCTTGCAAAAATGTCACAAATTCTTTTCTAGTAACCCATTGGGACCGAACACACAAACAATTCTGATTTTGACAAGTCGGCAACCTTTTCAAGGTTCACAAAGCATTTTTTGTGTTTTGTATAAGAGATATTTTAAGAATTGTAAGATTCTTGTATATACAAAAATTATGTCCTTCCAGACAAAATCTACAAAAAAAATGACAACATAGAAAAACATTTTTTGTTAATCCTGTTATTTGTGCGTATATGTGTGATCTGATATTTTTGGTGGCTGTGTATATGTGTGTGTGTGTGTGTGTGTGTAGAAACAGAAACATATTACATTATCTGGATGTTCAATTTGTGAAGCTCTATGTTTTTCTGCTATTTATTAGCTGCTTTTTACCAACCAAAAAAACCCATGAACCACTAATGGAACCTCTTATTCACACCACATTCTAATGTGTTTTTACTTACTTCGATTTTACATAAGTTGTATTTTTATTACAAAACCCACACACATTCATTTTTTTTTTGAAAAAAAAATGATGTTTGATTTTTTACGTTTTTTCTGAAAGGGACCGTTTTTTGTTTTCTGAAAAATTTGTAATTTGACTCTTTCACCTTTCTTTTCTTGCCTCACCTGATTTTCTCATTGTGAAAATAAAACATACGAAAGTCCAAAAAAATCACCAAAGAAACAGAAAACAATTCATCACTAGCATTTCATAGAACAACAGATGCGTTTTGATAGGACATTTCAAAGTGTTGACATTTTTTCAAGTGTGAAAATTTTGAAAAATTCAGATTTCCAACTTTGTTCTTCTTTCATCTTTTGAAAATCAGCCCATTTTTTTTTGCAAAAAAAAAGAAGAAACAGAACGTGTCAAAAGACTTGAACGTTTAACTGACTGAAACTTGAAATATTATAGTGTGATAGGAGATTTCTTTTGTTGATACGTATGCAAAAAATCTTTGCTCTTTTGACTGAAATTTTGAACTGGAACTCACTCATTTTTAACGATCGAGAAGGTTTTAATGATTTTTTCGGTTAGGCTCACTCACATTAAAAAAAATTTCGGAGTCATTATCGAGATCTTTCAATTTCAAAAAAAAAATAATGTGTATTTACTTTGGTGTTAGTTAGTTTTTTTATTGGGAGAAACACTCTATTTTCAATGCATTTTTTCTTTTGAAAAACCATACCGTAAACCTTATTTTTAACACACATTCTCAATATTTTTTGAGAGTCTTTTTAAAGATGTTAACTAGATTTCAAAAATCGAAGTACATATACTCGAATACCAACCAAGTTAAAACAATATAATAGCATAATTAAATTTTTTCATTTCTCTTTTTCCGTTTTTTCTCTGTGCTCTTTTAATTTCTCTACTCTGAAAATCGACAGAAATTCATTGTTTTTTCTCTCCATTCAAGTTCAGTTAATAATTTCGATTGTTATTTTCTTTCGTGAGAGAAAATGAATGGCAGAAAAGCAAGCAAAAACACGAGCAGCATTTCTCTTACATATATTTTTTAGTGGTTCTTTAGTGGTTCAAGTTGACCCACCCAGACCTTCATTTTAAGGAAAGCCTAGCTATTTTTTTCCAATATATTCTGTCTTTTGTTGTATTATTCTCAAAGCTTTGTGATGTCGAATAAAAATTGGCAGAAATCAGCATCTGTGATACGGCGAGCAAGATTTGATGACGTCAATTGCGTGATGTATGTCAATGGAACTGCTCAATTTCCAGTTACTGAATTATCCAGTGATAAAAATGAAGAATTGTTAGGAAATTCTCGACATGATTATAATCAACCAAATATTGATCATACAAATGAAACTGCGATTCGAAGATTGAGAAAAGAAAATCATAACTTGAAGAAAACACTTTCAAGAAGATGGAGTTCCAGAAGCAGGTTTGATGTTTTCATTTTGCTTTTTTTCTAAATTTAATGTTCGTGTTATGTTGTTTGATCCCGAAACCGCAGAAAAAAATATTTTTTCAATCCCATGAAACTTTCAATAATAAAAATCAGAAGGGTGGTTCTTCATTAAAGTCATATATTTCTTTTAAAATTAGGCAGCTTCGATTTATTAGTTATTCTATCGTAATTCAGAGGACAAATATCATTTTTTCCAATCAATAAGCTGACTAAATGTAAGTCGGTGCTTTTTGCAGTTATTGTAAATTTCATGAGCTTTTTTCCTATGTATTAGAAAACATGTTATACCAGATGAAGATTTTCGCTCATTGGAATATGGAAAAGCTTCTTCCTAATGAAAAACTCATTAGAATACTGTAATGATTGAAATTTCAACCCACACAATATGTTTTTTTGAAAAGGGTGACCTAAAAAGCTTTTAGAATTTTCTAATAAAATAAATTTTCATTTGAACTTTTTCAGTATTCATTTCAAAAACAAGTCCACCAAAAAGGGTTTTCTAAGATAAAATTTTGAAACTAATTACATAATTGTCTCTCTTTCTATCCATCAAAAAATACCCAGAATTCATTATATTTGATGTGAGAACACTTTTCTGCAACATCATATGAAAAAAAAATATTTTAATGAAATCCGTTCTATGCACTTTTTTCTCATTTGTTTTTCATTTATTTTTTTGTGGTCCTAGATATTTTCAAAATTAAAATCAGAAGAGCACTTGATATATGGGGAGGTTTCCGTTATCTATCTATTGAAACAATAAAAAAAAAGAAAAATGTTATGACATAAATGAAAACACATGTTCAAGAAAACAAATCATTCAATCAAATTATTATTATTTACCAGAAAAAAAAGTATTTTCACCACATCATACTTTTGAAGATTTATTGGATTTTACAATCTGTCAATATTTCTTCTTCTTAAAAATGCGATAAAAATAAATTATTTGATTTTTTTTCAGAAGCTCTATGGTTTCTCACATGTTAACAACAGATGATGAAGAACAAGATGATGCAGATGATAGTTTGTATTTATTGAGGGTGAGAAATTCAGAGTTTTTGTGAAATTCATATATGAAACTCTTATAGGAAACATCAACGCTTCATGGGTTACGAGATGTTTTGCTGAGTTCTTCGGGAAGATTGCGATCAATTTGGGTGATAATTGTGATCTTGGCTATTGTTTTAACTTTACATGGTTGCTATCAAATTATTCTGGAGTTTTCAAATGAGAGAATTGTTGTTTCTTATTTCATCAAAGAAGCGCGTAAGTTGTTCAAACATGATTTATTGTTTCAAAAAATGGTTGAATTGCAGCGGGTTTGGAACTTCCGGATATCGTTGTTTGTCCATATAATCGATTTAACTCCACTTTTCTTCGAGAACATGGATTTGATTTCAAGTTAGCACAATATATTGAAGCATCATATCCATCAAATTTGCCAACAATCGGATCATTAAAAGAAAGATGGCATGAAGATATTTTAGCTGATGTCGATCAGCTTGATGCTCAACTTGAATTTGTTCTTGAACAACTTGGCAATATTTCATATGTCGAATTTCTTCATAAAGCTTCACTTCGCTGTGAAGCTTTTTTTGACGAACATCTCTGTGAAAATATTAGTGTTGTTCTAACATCAGCCGGAGCTTGTTACCGCGTTCAAATGGATAATCAGGTTAATAGTTGTTCAAAAACTATAGAGGAAAATATTGCTAGTTGTTAGAACAATCTGACTCTCATTCAAAAGTCTCAATGTCAGAAGTAAAAAATACGTCTGTTTTTTTTCCTTAAAAATTGAAAAACATTATAAAGCTGATGGGACGTTTTTCATTTTTTTGCATGTAAATCTTTATTTTTTCACGAAATGTAAAGAATTTGTATTACAGAAAGTCGCTGGATATGGAAACGGCGGAAGTCTTGTGATCACTTTACCCGAAGATGAATATAATCCAGGTCTGAACAATTTCCCAAATGAAGGAGTTATTATTAAATTGGCGGAAAAAAATAAAGGAATTGATAATGATTTGACATTTGTTCCATCTGGTGTTCATGCGATTATGCCTCTTCAAGGAACGGAATACGATTTTATGAATTCACCGCCAAAATATGAATGCAACGAAGATCTTTATTCCAATTACAGTCGTGTTTGGTGTTTCGAAACCTGTCTTATTGAAGAATATGAAGATATCTGTAAATGTTCACCCGCGCCTTCTCAACAGCCAAAATATCCCAAAAACATTTGCACTGCAAAACAACTTTACGGGTGTTTTTTGAAGGAACATAATGGTACGACGTGGAATGTTGAAAAATGCACAAAAAAGTGTAGAGCCCCGTGCAAATCGTGGACATATGGTCAGAAACTCAGTTATTCACCTTTCACTCGCAAAAAAAACGTGAGGTTTTCCAAAAAAATTAAGTTCATATGATTTTCTTTTCAGTGGGGAGAATTATTTGGAAACGAAGAAGAATTCAAGAGACTTCAAAGAACCATCATACTTGATGTTTATTATTCAACTCTCGATTTCACGTGCATCAAACATGTGGTTGCTATGCCACTTCAAAGTTTGATTGCGCAAATTGGAGGTGAGATCCAGGAAAATGAAACTAGAAATAAAAAATGTTGTTTTCAGGTCAATTCTCATTGTGGGCGGGTGGAAGTCTGATATCTCTTTGTCAGATTGTAATTTACTTAACAAGATTTTTCCTATCAAAGTGAGTTCTTTTTCAATGAAAATTTAAATACTTATAGTGAACTTTGATATGTTCTATTTATATAAAAACTAGAAGGGCTTCGCTGGCTAACGCCATCTACAGTAGTTTGGCTTACTTTTTCTGATTAATTTTCCGGTTAGGGAAAGAGAAACATTGAGAAATGGCTAAAAATTGTTGACTTTTTCAGAGAATAGAACGATCAGATAAGAAACGTGTCCTTTAATTTTTTTTGGAATGAAAACGTGATCATTCTTTTTTACATGAAAAAAGTTTTGATTTTTCACGTTAAAACTCGCGCATTTTTTGAAAAATTGAATATTAGCGCATCGATGGGAAAAAATTTGGGATCGAATGGTGAAGGTCCCATCAAAAATGGCCTTCTGGAAATTGAGAAAAGTCGAGCGACACATTTTAAAACCGAAAAATACATTGGAGTTTTCAAACTTTTCACTCTCCGCGCACCCACATACATTTTGAGGGAGAATTTTTGAAACGCGCATCATTGTTCCACCATTTAGAAACTTTTTCTTTTTTTGATCATCAATTTTTATGCGCACAGTTTTGAGAACGGATCGCGGACAGACTCTTGCCAAAAAAATTTTCCCAATTAGTATATAGTAGATATGATATGTTTTTTTTCCTTTTTGATACCTAAATTAGGTATAATAATACCACATTACATTAACTTGAGAAATTGTCCTTCTACTTGACAAATCCGCCTTTTTCAAATAACTTTGAGCAATATTGATGTTTATTAAAAGTACCACTAGCCTCTTTGCAAAACTTCATATTTTTTTTTGCAGATGTGAGGGTCGAAAAGCGCATAATCCAAAAAACAAGAAAAAATCAACATCTTCGAACAATGGAACAAACGAAACAACAAATCCAAAAAGAAATGGTAAATTAATGAATGTCGAAGTTGTGAGAAGAGGTGGTGGTCAACCAGTAACAACAACAAAACAAAATGATCGACACCAAGACAAACAATTACCGCCATTATGACATGAAAGCTGGAGTTGTGTGGAAGCTACCATTTAAAGATTGATTGATAAGAATTCTTATTTATATGGGTAAACCATCCCATATCAATTGGAAAAAAAACTAACAAAAACTGTATTGTTTGATGGGTAATTCCATATGGCTCCAGCGTTTTTCTCATTTTTTTCGTTTTCTTTTCCATTTTTATTTGTAATTTATGTAATACACGTGTACAATTTGATTTATATTTTTCCTTATTACAGTAGTTAATTCTTTTTTGTCGCCAGCCCATTTTTGCTTACGGTTTTTCATTGTTATTTTTCCAGTTTTCTTCTATTCATTCTTTATATGCTGTTTAGTTTTCTTCCCTTTTCCTATCCATAACTTTTTTACGGTTTTATATGTTCATTTTTTCCTTCCAGCAAACAGTGAATATGTAAAATGCAATATGATGTTCAATTTTTTCACACACATATACAAATCATGAAAAACGCAAATTGTTATCAGTTTTTGAAAAGGAGAAACAGTTTATTTTTTTCTCGCAGAATCAAAGTTTTTTGCCATTCCACATTAAGCAAGCACATTAATGATATCATCCATTTACGATTTTATTTGGGAAAATGATGAAAATTTCCGAAAAATATGCAAATTTCTAAATTTCATTTTCCATAAGACATTTCTGTTTTTTTGTTGAAAACCTGCCGTCAAAAAAAAATGAAAAATACTATTTTATTAGAGTTTGAAAACGTCATTAAAAAATAAATAAAAAATAATAGTTTTTTATTATTTTGATTGTGCTATTAAACAATTTTTTGAATTTTTGTTCATATTTCCGCCAAAAAATGTGTTGTTTATTTCTTCACTCCTAATCTGTTAGGGAAAAGTGTACAAAAATGTATACAATCACTATTTTCTCATTTTTGCTTGATGCGTGGCAAAAACTCTTTTTTCATTCGTTGCTGATATGATAAAAAATAATCGATTTCAAAATCAGTTATCGGTGCTCGATCTTTTGTCGTGCGACCATTTCATGGTGCTCCTAACCATAACTAAAGAAAATGCACTTATTTAAAAAACGTTCATATGAATCAACGTTTTATTGCAGTTTCCTCTCTTTTTTTTTTCTGATTTTTGTTGTATGAATAATATTGAACAAATAATATTGTTGATGATGGTTTTTCAAATTTTGACTTTATTTGATTATAGACCTGAAAATGTCACGCGTTGGCTCGGTCAGTATTAACTTGGATGATGTTTTTGGCGCATTGCCAACTTTGACAACAACAACAAATGTGAAGGCTTCCCCAGTTCCATCCGAATATCATAGTAGCCGAAAATCAAGTGTTTCAACAATCAAAGAAAAACCTGTAAGTTTAATGTTTGAAAATAAAATCATCTAGAAGTTTTGAATTATTCATCAATTATGAATTTTGAATAAACGATTAGGTAAAGCACAAAAATATTCCATAATTTAAGACAAAAGTTTATAATTTGAATTAATTTAAAAACATAACAAATATAATTTCGAAAATCTCTGATTTGTTTCCAAGCTCAATTTCTTTAAAAATAGTTTTGAAAAGTTATCATACATTTCTTTGAAACCTATAGTTAAAAGTTTATAATTGTGAAAAACTGTATCGCAAATGACATTTTGGAAGAAAGTCTTAACCAATCGGACTCTATCTATTTGAAAACTTGAAACTTTGTTGAAAAGTTCAACCGGAAACTTGCTGAAATCTTTCTTTGTAAGAAAATGCTTCACATTTTTGTGTTTTCCAAATTATCAGCATATTGAACATTTCAATTTTTGTGCATGAAACACCTTTTTAAAATGTCTTTTTTTGATAAGAAGGATTATGTGTTTGAGCATTACAAATATTTATACATATTAACAAAAAAATGAAAATGTTTAAATCGTTTTCCAGGCACCTCGAAGTGTTGTATCAAGTCATATCACAACAACAACTGTATCGAGAACCGTAACTGCTCCACCTCCACAACCACCACAAGATCATCATTATACCAATATTCCAGCATCAAATGATCCACTTCTTGATTCAATCTTTTCAGCTGTGTCCCTTCCAGTTGTTCAAAACCATACTCATCACGATGATGTGATTCGACAAATTGATGATGTTCTTCAAGATTTTGATCAAGAATCGATTGCTGATGAGCCAAGTTATCGAGCTCCATCAACTCATGTTAGCTCACATATCAGCTCCCATCATCAATATGTTAGTGCTGCTCATCCACAAAACACCGGAAGTGTTGTTTCAAACGGAACTGCAAAGGTGAGTTCTAAATGTGGGAATGAAAAATGCACGATAAATGTGAAGCATGTGTGTTATTTTTAGATTAATAAATGTATTTTTAAAATTTTGAATAATTAAGAATTTTTTATAACTTGAAAATAACTTGGGTTTTTGTTGGAAGCTTTGAGATGACCTCTAAATATATATTATTGTATGAAAAAATAAAACAAACACTGCGATGTTATAACTAACAAAAATTCAAAACATAGTGAATTTTTACATTTTCAAATTGTCTGTCATTTACTTGGGTTCTACTTTCTTTTATTTCTCTTGGGTTCTACTATCTGGTAATCAAGAACAAATATTTTTAGAGAGCCGCCAGTATCACAGCCAATGAGATAACTAACAATATATTCAATCAAATCAATACTGTAAGCAACAACGAAAAAACCATTTCAAAATTAAATTTCCAGCATTACAATGCCTACGAAAACACTCCAAATCCGGATTACGATGATGAAAGAAGCGATGCGTTCGACAGCAACCATCAATATCCTCAAAAACAAAGTTTGTTTTTCTTTTTCATTTCATTCAATTTCAATTCATATATTGATCAATCAACAAAAAATAAGACTATGACTCATTGCATATTTGTTATATTTACAATGTGTGAAAAAAGTTGTATTTCTTTCTGTTTATTTTTTTTCTTTATCATAATTTAATATAAGGAAGAGAAAGAAGGAAAGGAAACGAGAAAAATAATATTTTTTGATTATTTTATTTTCCATTTCTTGTGCCCGTTCTATTAGTAAACATATTGCATTCTAAACATGCTAGTCCATCGATTTTGTGACCAATGTTGGACAAATTGTTAGTTTCTATCAAAATTCCAAAAAAATGATCATCCAAATCAATAAGATAATTATTTCAATTTATTTTAGATCACGCTTCAATCATTCGTGATAGATCAAACACCATCGATAGTTCTGCTTCATACGCTGAAAGTCGATTTGGTCAATTCGATGTTCACGATGATAATGATCGTTATACTGCTGAGCAAATCAATCTGAACCACAATGAAGTTGCCTACCGACGTGTTGAACCAGTTAGCGTAAGTCAATTTTTGGAAACTTACAAAGAAACAAGTCGATATTATGTTCAAAAACTTTCGATGACAATTTTAAAAATGCGCAAAGTTTTTGACTATTTAATTTCTTTCAAACTTTATTAACTATCCAGCTGAATCAAGAAGTGCAATGATGTGATCATATATGAATTCTAAAATTATATTTTCAATGGCAGAAAAAAAGATTCAAACCCCTTGAAAATGGAAAAATTTCAAATCATTATTTTCCAGCTCCCTGGAAGTGTCATCTCTGGACATTCTCACCGTAGCTTCCACACTGGTGGAACCCAAAAACTTCGCAATATTCAACGCGAAGTCGACGACGCACGCAACAAACGCGCTCAATTATCTCATCAAGTCGATAGACAACGTTACGACAATGATCGTCTCAAACAATCAAACTTGGCGAGAGAAGCTTCATTGAGAGTTAATCAAGGAACCAAGCCAGGAGCATATGTCATCAAGAGCTATAACGATTTGCCAAGACCAGTATCGCAACACTCTTCTCGTATGTTTTCACATGCTTTTTTCCAGAAAAATTATCATTTTCAATTTATTTTCAGATAGCAATGAGTCGTGGAGCATTTATGAGGAAGAAGAAGTCAAGGTTAGCAAATTGGCTGCCAGACAAAAAGCTTCTGGAACTTTGCTTTCAAACAGTGGAAAATACGAACTTTATGTTCCACAATATTATATTGTTGATAATTTTTCAAGAAATGAGAGAATCAACAAAGTTGTTATTGGTGGAGAAGCCGAACCAACTGATGAAGATAAGGTGAGAACGTTTTGAGTTTGGTAAATCAAGTTTTCAACATACGCGTCTTACTCTCAAAGCTCTTCCAATAAATTTCTAATGTAAATATTTTCAGACTCTCCTTTTGTTTGGCCCAGTTTCATCTGGAAAAACATCGGTTGTCACAAGCATGATGAATTATTTGTACGACGTCAAAAAAGAGAATGAATTCCGATTTGTTATCGATGAACATATTACTCCAACCACTGGATTGACTGCCTATGTTTTCAACAATACAATTCTTCCATTTAATGTTACTATTGTTGATACTCCAGGAATTGTCAATCAACATGGAAATAAAACTGTTTCAAAATTGATCAAGGAATGGTTTGAGAAAGAACTCATCGAAGAAGGAGCTTTCCGCCTTGATGCTATTTCAATTGTCCTCCGCCACGATCAAAATACTCTTGATTGGCCATTCATATATGAACTTGCTGATGTTAAGAGAATGTTTGGAGATGATCTTAAAACCAATGTTCTTCCAATTATCACAAATGCTGATGTTCTTCCACAACCACTTGCAATTAAAAGTTTGACTCAAGCAAATATCGCATTCTTGGAATATTATAAAGTCAACAATGCTGGATTTGCTAGTGACACTCACGGTGTTTCAAAACTTCAACATAACTTGTACTGGACCCATGGTGTTGCCTCTCTTGAAAACTTGTTCAATGTGAGTTTTTCTGATCTGTGATTCGTTAAAACAAAAAACCTAATTTTTGAAGGACCTCCAAGAACAAATCCATCCACTTGTCGCAATTCTCCGACACAAAAAAGGAAAACCAGTCGAACCATCAAAAACACTTGCCAACAAAACATTGTATTAATTTAACCTGGATAGCTCTCTCCAAACATTTCGAATTCTTATTCTTTGTGATATTTATTTTCATTTCTGTATTCAATTTCTGCTAATAAACATATATTCGACAAATTTATGTTATGTTAGTATAAAAATATGAGAAAATAGAATTAGTATCTTGCCGCCTTGCAAACTTTGTCATAAACATCAGGGAAAGCCTTACGGCAGTTATATTTTGCACGAAGCCAGTCATAAATTGATGAATCAAACATTTCCCAGAATTCAGCGCGTGTCATATAAGTATCAGCATATAACATTTGGAATCTGAAAAAATGAAAATTTAAAAACATTTCATGAAAACTACATTCTAGTTACTGGAGAAAATAGTGTTACTTACCCTTTAACAGATCTAACAAATGCTTCAAGTCGTCGAGTAGTTTCTTGTGGGTGATAATCTTTTTTCAATGTCACACCATATGCACCAACATCAACAAACATTTGACTGGCACCAGATCTTTGGCGAAGCATTCCTGGACACGATGGAAGTCGGAATGGGCAAACCCAAACTGGGTAAATCTGAAAAAATTGCCTTTTGTGGGAAAATGATAGAATGAGGATAAATTTACCTCAACTTCTTCGTGGAAAACTTCAATTGTTTTTGTGAGTTGGTCCATTGGAACAAGCATATCTTGAAGAACATGTTGACGATCATATAATTTGCGAAGTGTTGGTGGAGTTGTGGCCTATAAAACTTGATTTTATTTGAAATGTAGGGCATTGTGAACAATCATTATTTTTTGCTATAGATTTTAAATTTGATATTCACATCAGAAATATAGTACCTTAAGAAGTGAGATTTTTGGTGGACACATCCATCCGCAGAACCAACGGAAAAGTACGTTATTTCCAAAAGGAACAATTTCCTTCAACTCCCAGAAAATACTTTTTGAGTGTCGATGATAATAATCTCTCAATGGAATAAATTGTGTCACCACTTTTCCATCATCAACAATATCTTCAACCTGTGTATAGAACCATTTTGTGTACCATCTACCAATTCGATTAATGACTCCAGTTTTATCAAGTGGTCCATCAGAGAATCTACCGCGCATCACACAACCTTTATCTTTGTTGAACATCAACGCTTCAACAAATTCATTCTCTTTGTTTTCCGCTTCGGCATTCAATCTCAATTTCATTTCATCCAAAGTGTTGGTTGGATAATAGACTAATTTGACAAATGGTCGACAACGAATTATACGAATTGTAGCTGCTGTTAATAATCCAATTGTTCCATGACTCCATGGAATACCAAAGAATAATGTGTGCATTTCAGATTCTTCTTGATTTACTGGTTTACCCTTTAAAATATTTTTTGAGATTGAGATTTCCTCGGAGTTTCAAACCTCAATTTTCTTGGCAGTTACAAGTGATCCATCGGCTAAAACCAATTCATAAGATTGACAAATATGTTGAAACATTCCATATTTTTTGCCAGATGCTTCAACTCCACAACCATTGATCATTCCACCTACAGTAAGATCATCGAGTTCCGGGACGATTGGAAGGGTAAAACCGCGAGGAATAAGGAACCGAGTGATTTGACCCATTGTTACCATCGGTTCTACTCGAACTGTCATTGCTTCCTCATCAATCTGAATACATTTTTTTGTTCACTCTGTGGAGTTCGGGAAGACGGGGTTTCAAAATAAAACAATTTTCAGTATTAGTATAATTGTTATCAATTTCTGCTCAAAAAAATTGAGCTATTCTAAATGGATATTTTATTCGTGAGCCTGTTTTAAAACTCAATATGAAAATTGATCTTCACTATAAAAAATGAGCTTGTGAGATTCAAAATTAATACAACAAAATCATAATTAAAAACCTTTAGGATTGTGAAATTACTAATTTTTTTCGAACTTCAAGAATTTCAGCAGGCATAATTAATTTCACATTTCCAGAAGGAAATATTTCCAGTTTTCTGATTCATCTAAAAACTATTTTTCCAGTTTCAAAATAAAGAGTCGACGGAGTTTTGAAAATTAATAATCTACTCCAGGAGAGAGCTCCAAAATAATAAATCTAATGTTTTCTTGAAAGTTGTCTTGAAGGTTTTGTAATTATAACGTTAATAATACCGTATCCAATGACACCATCAGTTCTGTTTTATTTTCAAGGTTAACTTGTCATAAAAAATTTTATATTCTAGATTAATCACCCCTGATTATTCGAAATTGGACACGCATTCAAGTCCAAATCACAGTTTTTTTCGTTGAAGTATTCAACGCAGTGATGTCTGCTACTCATAACACAAACTATTAAATTGCCGCTGAGCAAGCCTTGCTGATAAGGATGCTGGTTAGTTATAACAAACAACATACCTCTAAAATATCAATCAAAGTGTCTGTTCGAATCTGCGTCATGCTTTGCTTGTACAATGGAAATCTGAAGCTCATAGTAAGCCAGCCGGATCTAGCTGTGCACATTTTGGTTTTTTGTCCAGATTCATTCCATCTTCTCACTTGTGCTTGAACTCGTTGCACTTTTCTGTCATGAGCCTTTGGTGCCGAGTTGATATTGAATACAAACCAATTTCTCAATTCGAAAAACCAATTGTAAACAACTCCAAGCGGTAGAAGAAATGGGACGACAAACAAGAATCGGAAGCGATGCATAATAAATTCCACAACTTTTTCATATTTTGATAGCTCCGGTTGAGAATATGCCACTTTTCCATTCGCATACCCATTTGCCGCACCCATTTTTGTAGATGGTTTGAAATCTGCAAAAAAGATAACTATAGACATATGACAAGTATATTAATAGAAACGTAAATGCGTAACAAGTAAGTAATAACAATAATATAAATAAGAGATTGGGAAAAAAAACAAAAAGAGATGAGATGAAGATAACGCGGCGAGAGACAGGTCAGTGAACAAAAAAGCAACACATAAAAAAAGGAGAAAGACACACAAAAAAATAAAAATGTTGCGAAAAAATGGAAAAGGTGATTAGATAGTTAGTTTGGGTTATCAGTGGAGTTTTGAATGTAGTTTTGCAATTATTATTGCGTCTATTGCTCCAAATAAAAATCTAGGGTCAATTGTTCAAAAATTAAAATTTAAACCATTCGTTGGAACACAGTGAGATGAGCTATAAGAGATGATTGTTTTGTTAAATTCGTGAACAATTTTTCGGATCAGGATATTAAGATTAACTTTCCCCGTTTATTAATTTTCCTAACTAAATAAAATTTTCCTAAAATTTTCTGAAGTTATACTAAAAAATAGGATAATTTCAGTGATTTTCTTTTTTTTGGAAAACGAAAAATTGGAAAAATAGTATTCGTATAGTTAAAGTTATAAAAATGAAATATAGAATTTCTCCAAAATACCTGCAAGAAATGTTCTCACAACAATCAGACATTGGATGCTAACTTGATTAATGTGAGAAATATTTTTTCAAAAACAACTTTTTACTCTGGAAAAAGTTTTTTTCTAATATTTAAGGGTTTTTAGAAAACCAACTCACTGTTTGAAAAAGTCACACATAAATACCGTTTGACCTTAACAAACTGTTTAACTACATACATTGTTTGTGTTTCTATTTGTGTTCTTCTTTCAATATGTCCCCAAAAATCAAAATTATTTTGTAGTCAGCAGCCTTGTACCCTTTGAGTAAACAAATCGAATCGAGAAAATGTTCTCGAAAGGTAGTTATTAACAAGGAAAGACAAAAAATGGTGAATAATTGATAGTTTATTAGACTCGGCTCAGATTTCTCCTCTCATTTCTTCGTGTTCTTAAAGTTCAGACAAAATATAGTAGTCGTATTTGTGAAATGCGCACATCTAATTAAGCAACCAGCAATTATTTTCATTTCTACTACTATTTTATTAAAACAAAAATATTTCGCTTCATTCTCGCGTTTCTTTCTGAAATGGACAAAGTTGGACAAGCTTCGAATTCTGTTACTTCGCCATTTATTCCAGCGACACAGGTATTTATTCAAAAAAAAATAAAGTTTTGCGACAAAAAAAATTCGGAAAAAAATGTTTAACAGGGCAAAAAGTGGTTCTGTTTTTGTATGTTAAAAATTCGAATTGATAAGAATTGTTTTCAAATATGGGAAAACGTTTGTTTTGTTTTGTTCTAAAGAATAGTCTAGAATAAAAAACAAAGCGTTTTTTTACATCAGCGAAAAATTATCAGAAATTACCAATTTATCAAATTATTTTTAGATTTGTTTTTCATTTTTCAGAAAAAATGATATAAATTATATTTTGGATAGATCGTAGTGTAGTGCAAATGGTTTACCAATAATATTGGTTTGCCGTGTAAAAGCATATTAAAGGTTCAGTCTAACATGAAAAAAATTAGACTGACTTGAAAAATTATGAGCTAATTAGTTTCTCAATTTAGAATTGTTTGAGAAGCATAAAGTTTCATTATTTTTTGGAATCGATACAGATTCTTTATGAAACTTCGGAAGTCTTACATTAAATTTTCAAACATATATGATTTTTTCCCTGTAAAAATGTATTATCTTCAATTCACAAATGCTGTCTTGGAGTTCAGAGCATTTTCAGTGAAATCAAAGCACACATCGTTTTTATGCATGACGTTTCTGATTCAACAAAAATTATTTCGCAATTCCAATTTTCTAAAAAATTAATTAGTGTACTAATTTACTTTATCCTCTCGAAAATGTGCAAATAATTTTTCAAATAAGAATTTTGAAGCAAATTCAAGTTCAAAATCGAAACTCTTTTACGTCACATCCTCTCCGGAAATAAGAAGTAAGTTGGAAATTTTTGAAAAAAAAAATCACGTGAGAAGATATCCACATAAATCGATAAAATTTGGAAAACAATAAAATAAAATTCCCTTTTCATGAAAACAAATTGGATAAAAAATCTGAAGAACACTTGAAAATAAATGCGTGACGTAATTTTTCCAGGGTCGCTATTTGACTGTTCCCAGTCTTCTTGAGATTCCACGTCCGCCGGTCAATCGTCGTCCAACTACAACTAGCATCTGGTAAATCTACTACGCTTTTATATAATCGTAACATAGTTTTTTAGTCTCAAGATCTGCACTTGCTGTGGAATTATTTTCCTTCTAACAGTTTTCATCGTCTTTGGCTATGCTGTTTTCATTTCGAAACCTTCATACACCACTCGACGTTCAGCTGCAGAACCAATTTGAAATGATATGATAACAATAAAACCAACTAACCAATCCAAAAAAATGCATAGTTAACAACAAAAACTTCATGTAGATAACAATTTTCAATATAACACAATCTATATAATTATCTATTTTTTTTCAATATTTTTCATATCGCAAAAAGACCCTGGTTATTAGAGATCATTTCATGTTAAGTTAAATTGAATAAATCTGTACTGACAATCATTATAATATGGGCGTGTTCTTTCGAAACATTGAATTGGGGACAAGTTAGTCTCATATTTGAAACTTGACAATTTGATCCACCAAGACCCATGAAACATTTTATGCTCGCAATTCGTTCTTCTAAAGCATTCGTCACGAATCCATCTACAGTTGTTGAATCTTTAACTGCAGTCGACAAATCTTCTCTCACAAAAACATCGGAAAATCTTGCCGTAGCTACATTGTTGTCAACAAAATCTCGATTTATAAAGTTTGGACTCAAAATTCCGGACAAATGAACTCCCGCTATCTGTAATCAAGATTTTCGAACTATTTTCCTTAAAAAAATATAGTAAAGGCTTACAGATGAAACATTTCCAGCTGTTCCGAACTCGTGAACACCGATTGATAAACTCAAATGTCTTTCGAAAACTACATGGGTCACATATTCACGATGTTGTTTCCGGCGAACCTGAAATTTAAAGAATTTGTTAATAAAAACTGACAAGTTTTACGACTTATTAATCTGAAATATTTACATACCTTATCCACGATTGTATTGAGCCGCAGTCTTGTTTTTCCACCGGATGAATTGTCATCTTGTTTCAGATTCAAAACTTTGAGTGTCAGATTAGATTGGAAAACACCAGAAGATTTGAATTTAATAGCATCTCTCACAGTTCCCCATGAGAATCTTCTAGCATCACTTTGTCGTTGAAGTGAAGAAAATGATAAAACATTTGATATTGAAGGAGATGACGTGTCACTTTTCTGAAAAGTAAATATTTTTGAAGTCTATCAAAATTCTCTAAACTCACACTTATCACATTGAGCCTTATTAAAACACCAGTCATTGTACAAACCAAGGAATCATCACAAATTGCACAAGTTACTTCTAAAGCGAAAATTGCATTTCCAGAGGAGTTCACTGTTTTTGCTTCATTCATCAAATTTCCAAGAAGTTCGTGATCGGAATATGGAAGAGCCTGAATAAACGTTTTGAAATCTATGGAAAACATTATCAGAAACAAACTCACATTAGCGATATCATTAGCATAATCTGTGACTTCATTTGGATCACTTGGAATCTTTTTGCATACGGATACTTGCACAAAATTTCTTGGTCCAATATAATATTGTGGAGGTGGGCAAAACTGGGTAGATAACATAAATTCCGGAACGTGTCCTTGTTTACAATATGCACATGGTATTATTTTTGTCGCTTGAACAAACATATTTTCGTCTTCTGGAGAATGGTATTGCATACATCGAAATGATCTTGGTGTAGAATCCGATCGTTTTTCTCGTCCTTCACCAATCGCAAACTTGAATAACGGTTTCTTTTCTTTGACTTCTTTTTCTTTTTCTCGTTCGTCTTTTAGTATTACTGGACTGTTTCTTGAACTACCATTATTGAAAATCACTTGTATTGTTGGAGTTTCAGTCCCATCAGAAAATAAAACTGCAGTTCCAACACAGGTCAATAGTGCTACTCCTTCATTTACAGTCATACTTTCTTTGTAACCAATTACCAAATTACAACCAACTGTTTTCGCTTGTTGATAAAGTTCTGCTCTCAACGCATTCCAATAAGCACTTCTCACAGTTTCTGGATTTTCATCTTCATCAAGAAAATGTACTGCTCTTGCTAAAACCAATGATCCCATCGCCAATTGTCTATCCTCCGGCACTTTATCAATTGTCAAAACTGGTTTTACCAAACCGGAATATGGTAAAATATTCACATTCTTATCAATAAGCTTCACAGCTGTTCCAAACACTCTACAAGTCAATAAATCTGATGTTGATCCCTCCATATCAACAAATTCGCTGAAGCCAAGAATGACATTTCCACCAAGCTTTGCTGTTTTTTGTGCTAATCCGATTATTGCATCGCGCAGAGTTGAACGAATAGCACTTTGTCTGGCATCATTTGTTCGACGAGGTGTGCGAATTCTATAGAAAATGTATGTCATTAGGAGAAGCCATATATTTTAAGAAGAAATAAAACTCACTTATCAAGCCATTCATAATCTGGATCTTTTTCACATCGAATATTATCAACAAGCCCAATGAGTTCACAAACTTTTTTGTCTTTTGGAATATTAGGTCCTGCATAAATTTGAACATAATTCAAAGGATTGTAAATCATTAAAAGTTGAAGTTTTATTTGAAAAGTAAGATCTCCTCGAAGTCCGTGAATTGTATCATAAACTTTCATGGTTAAAGTCTCTTCAAGGGTGTCGATTCCAGTATTTCTCATTCTTTCTAACAAAATATTGCAATCAACGTTAACTCTACCAATCGCATCATTTGCAGAATATGTGTCATAGTCCATGACTCTGAAAAAACGACAAAATTTGAAAAATTGTCCTTAATTATAGGCACTTACCGAAACTGCAGCCATTCTTCACTGATTTCTTTTTCATCTGTGTCAAACACGAATGGCTCATTTGTCCATGCTGGATTCAAACTTGTAACAACATCTGTTTTCTCAACTGTTTCTAGAAAACGAACCTCAACGAAGGCATCACACGAGTTATTACTCTGAAAAAAAACAAATTTTAAAATTAAAAAAAAACTCAATAAATAAACAAACCTTATTCATCACAGGTAAATTTTTAGCATTCTCGACTAGGATTTCTAATCGAACCGGTAAACTATCACTGGTAACCGGTATTAACATTGCAATTTATTAATTTATTAGAAAAAAACGCTAAAAGCCAATAAACTTATATGAAAAAAGGGATGTAACAGCAAAATAGCAGAGAAAAAGTGGAGAGTGCGGGGAAGAAAAATGTGCAATAGAGCAAGCATTATTTTGTCCCTGTGAGTTGAAGGAAGAAAAATAGGGAAGCAAAAATAATAAGAAACATGTTTGACGAAATAAAAAACATTTTTCAGCGAATGTTTTCATTCTGACACGACAATATAATATAAAAATGAGAATTCCAATTATCATAAAAAATGCAATCAAAATGTATGATTATATTGATTTATGCTGTTGTATTCATAAATTGCACAAAAATTGACGCGAGAATATCTATAAAATGCAATAATTCTCACGGAAGTTTGGCGCAGGTTTTTCTGATGGAGAAGGATTTTTCAGGAAGTTGGTTTACATTTAGGTCTGGTTGGAAAACTTTTGAGATGTGGGAAGTCTAAACATCACCTTCAAGATCTATGAATTATTGGGTTTTTAATTTTAATTTTTTTTCAAGATCGGAGATTAGCCATATTCCGATATGTTCATTCAGACATGGAATAAAATTCATAAACTTTTTTTTCAGCACGTCTAGAATGGCTGGATGAAGATGACACTTTGGATTATGGAACATATGATTTCACAAAACTACCTCGTCAATTTTTATTTCTCTCAGGATCTGACATCGAAGCTCTTGGGCTCTTTCCATACATCTACGTTTGGCATGACTGTGGAAAAGTTTGAAATTATTTTGAAATCCCTAAAGTTCCAAAATTTTCCAGGGTTTTGAGTGGAAAGGAACAACAGTAACTTTGGATCATTCAGTGCGATTGGATAAATTATATCATGTAACAATTGATTTAGACACTAATGATGCTTCATTCACTTCAAAAACATTAATATTCAATCGACCGATTAATTAAAAGAACAAAATAAAACAATAAAGGCAAGGCAACCTGTGAAAACCAGTGTTAATAAAGGCATATTCAACAAAATTGTACTTTTGTTTACATTCAAATGTATTCCTGAGACGAAAAATTATTAAAGAGACATGGGGAAAAACGAGAGTCCCTGGGTTATCATTATTAAAGTTCGACGCAAATAATACAATAAGAAAAGTTACGGGATATATTCACCATCCTCATCAATAAATGGAATTTCCAAAGTGTTGAAGGGTGGGCTCGGAAGACCATGTTGAAATGGAACATCTTTTTCGAGTCCAACACATTGGATACTCTCCGCAAACGCTTCAATGTTATGAACTGATAGACCAGCTCGGATTGTAGAATCATCCTCCAAAACTATGCTATAGCACCGGTTTCCTTTTTCAGTTCTGTTAAGATGGCTAGCCCACCAAACATCATTTCGACACATTCCCCAACTTTTCACAATTTGAGGATCTTGGCATTCTTCCCCGCCCGCGTAATAAACCTTGGTAATATTTCGAACATCTACCACGCGATTCAATCGACGCTGAAAATTGATTTTTCAAAGAATTTGGCGAGATTTTGGAATTAAACTAACCATTTGTGGTGAATGTACATCTTCCATATGGAATTCGATTCTAGCATTGAATGCATAATAATATTTGATATGGATAAAACCATCAGCAGATACAGCGACAAATGGATCTTCATAAACAGAAGGAGCGTGGGAAACCAAGATGAATGAGGTGGATGCACCATCACTTGCTGAAAAATAATTGAAAAATTTAGAATCAGTAAAAAAATGAGAGTTTTATACCTGAACTACTGGATAAAGCATGATTGACAGTGTCAAGGGAAATATCCAAATCTTCAGTCGAGTTCTCTGAAAAAAAATGAATATTATAATACTGATAAAGTTCAGAGCTTCAAATCCCGGGTTTTCTATCACCCAGAAATTTTTCGAAAGTCCAGCATTGAACATTTATGGTAAAAAAGGAAATTTATCTGGTGGAAGTTTGTCAATATGACCCTCTCAAAAATTGATGCTAGAAATTTCCCCGTGGTCCCAACAAACAATTCGACTTTTTAAACCCCAAAACTCACTTTGTCTCCGATCCTTGGCTCCAAAACTGAGCGCGCGACGAATGAAATTCATAATATTCTTGCAACGTGTGCCTACTCCAGCTGCGTTTTTCACATCTAACCCTAGTTCCATTTCATCATATGTGCTTCTTTCTGTCTACAATTACGCCGTTCTTTTTTTTGTTTCGCCGTTGGTTCAGGACAAAAACGAATAAAATATGTACTTATCAAAAGTGCATTCAGTTACAAAGCGAGGGTGAAAAACGGCAGAAACAAAAAAGAGAAGAAAACCGCGCAAAAAAATGAGAAATATATACAGTTAGAAACTGAGAAAAAGAAAAAGAAGAAAAAAGAAAAAGAATTGACAGCTTGTCAAAAAATGTTGCCATTCATTAATTTCACCTTGGGCGCTTATGTAAACATGTGCACCCAAACAAAAAGAAAAAATGAAACATTAGAAAAAACGGAGATTTTTTTTTGGATAGATATCAAAAGGTCAGTGTTCAGATATTATCTATTTGGAAAAAAAAGTGTTTTTATGATGAATGTTATGAAAAAAAATGTTTATATTAGCTTTTTTGATTGGAATTTTTGGGGTGCAGGAATTTGTTTATAATTGACTGATTCATTGATGAAAAAAAAGAGTCTCATTCAATTTTATTTGAACAGGAAGTGGGCTCGACGAATTCATTCAATGAATAACAAATTGAATCATTGAAAAACCAGATATTGTGTCTGTGTGTTTTGATTCATTAATCAAAAACCTAATTAATTACCAAAATCAAAAAGTGTAACAATCATGAAAAGTTTCTCTCAAGATCTCGGAAAAAAAAAACAAACAAAATGCGCGAAGAAAAAAATGGTTATGGTGAGAAAAAGGGAAGTTTGTTGTCACATGGTTTTATTGATTGATTTTCTCAAACAAAACATAACAACAGCACAGCAAAAAAAAAGAAGGGTGACAGTGCGCCATAAGAAGAAAAAAAGAAAAAAAGAAGTGTTTGAAGGACTTTGCGCAATTCTTGTGAGATAGAAAAGAGTGTATTTTGTATGTGTTTGTATGTGTGTGTGTATGTGTGTGCCTGATGTGTACGCAGTGTCGATCAAAAAATACTACTACCACCACCATCACCCAACTTTCTAACTCTAATATTTGCTCTCTTCATTTTTTCAAGTGTATAAATAAAAAATTTCAAGGAAGAAAACATTTTTGCGATTTTCGTGTGGAAATGTGGAATTCAAGAAGAACAACACAAAAAACGAAACGATAATTAGGATTATTATTATTAGTTGAAATTTGTTGTCGTTGTGTGCATATTTTTCCGAGCCGACAGAAAATCGACAATCATACGTTGCAGATTTATCGATTGCGATTTTGAAATGCTTGATAACACAGTGAAATCCATTTTCAGCTGAAAACAAACACCATTTTTTAACAATAAAAATAACATTGCGAATATTCATTTTCAATGTGAGTAATTTTGAATCACTAGGGAAATCATTTTTCTTTGTTTTTGTCAATAACAATTTTCCTGTGGAGCTCATAACAAATATCATGAGTTTTTCATAACCGTAAACTAGAAAATTAACCAAATTAACCAGATCACGCGAGAACAAATATAAAATGATCTCATTGAACTATGATGTTACTTTGAAAAATTGTGAAAATCAAATATTTGCTATTGAAATCCTGAATTTTTAAAAATAAATTTTCACATTTAATAGACACGGAATGTATTTTGATCGGGGTTGTACTAAATTAAAACATGCTTCCAAGAAAATCAAATTGCTTTCAAGAAAATCAAATTCTAATTACTGAAAAAAAAAGTTTTGGAATTAACTTCGTTCTCAATAAACCTTGCTTTCACAATTTCTACATACTAACCGGTATTTGGAAAGGTTCAATGGAGCCAGGATTCATGTTATTCATTCTAAAAGCCACAGTTTTTCCACTGATTCGATATCTGTTTCCCCGAATATCAAAATATGGCCCAAAATCCTCAACCAAGATAGATTCTGGATGATAATTCAAGTTCACAGAAGACATATCACATTTTACAGATGATTTGGTGCACGATGTTCTGATCTGAAAATGGGTTAACTAATTATTATATTTCAAATTTAAAAAAAAAATGCTTACCGCTTCTAGCACATCATCTTTTGCATTTTCAAATGAGTTATCCGGATCGACAGCTTGGTCACCGACTCCACAAATAGGATCACAATATGTCCAATGAACGGGGGGAGAAATTGTCAAGTTCATGGTGATTTTATCAATTTTCTATAATTTGAAATAAGTATAAACACAGGAAAACCCAACATTATATCTCTAACCTCTACTTTTGGTGCGACTGTTGATAGTTGTAGTGGTCTGAAGAGATCGAAAAGAGAGTACGATAGTTTAGATTTTTCCGCAATCGGTACAATAGTATCTCTGAAACAATTTTTTCCGTGTTTGAAAATCCCCAAGTTTATTTCGCTTGAGTAAGATGACTAAACTATACAAAATGTGTCAATGTATTATATATTCTTTGTGCATAAAATATGTGTAGCCTTTATGTTTTCCCGCCAGGGCAAACGTGCGACTTGCAATATTTTTGCAAACGTTTTTATTTTTAAAATTCTCATACTTTTGAATCGTCATTTCAGTGTCCGCATAATCTGCATTGCTTGGCGTATCCAAGGAAAATAATACTGGTGGCAAAATTGGTGAGGGGATTGGCGCTGGAGCAAAGATTGAGGGTGATGTTAGAACTGGAGCACAATTTTCAACGATTTTCAATATTGGACACAATATTAGGAATACTCGCATGTTATTTGATAAAAATGATAAAATGATTTTCCCAAAATGTTCAAATATTTTACAATTGTTTGATAATTGTATAACCTTTTCTCAGGCAATATCAAAGTTTTAGTAATAGTAATAATCATAATAATAATCATAATAGACGAAATAAAAATACAAATGAATCACATAAAATTGTGTGAACAAGCATTCCATTTTTGATGATTGATCAGCGGTAGAAAAAGAAGCAAAAAGAGGAAAACGAAAAATACTGTCATAAAAAAGAACACATTAAAATACACTGTGGCGTTTTAATCGACTGCGCAAATCGTAAGGCATTTTTGACTTGTGTTGTAGCGTAAATAAGATTTTTTCCGTTTTTTTTTGCAAGATAGTAATGGAAACAATTGTTGTGGTATTTGTAGAGTTCTGGCAAAATTTTGTTACTCATTTCTGGAAATTTTAGGGTTTCATAAATTTAAATATGAACTTAAAGATAATTTATTGAGTTTTTATACCATTTTGTTGCACTAATTTTCAAAATAACAAGCAATTGTATCCCAATGACCTCCACTTCTTACTTAACAATCATCAAGTTCAAGATGTCTAGACCAATATTTCATAGAATTTGCCAATCTGAATACAAATAATGATGTTAATCTCTAATGCTTCTATATATTTTACGTCCAGAATTCGGAAATTGGTTCAAAATGCATGCATAAAATTCTAATTGCAAAGCTTTGTACATCTCTACGGAGACCACCCATAATGTTTCCTTTTTACTGGAACATATGTTGTTCTCGTTCAAAACTTTTTTATACAAATATTTTTTTATAATCAAAAATAATTCTTTTGTTTTTTCTAAAATCATAATGTTCCAGGAGGAAAATTGTGATATTTGAACAGCTTCTTCTTTTTCATAGATGCAAAAAACAAATGTCTATCATTTGTAACAAAAAATCACTCCATTTGGAACTCGTAGTATATAAAAGAACCCATACAATTTTATGTGTTTGTTTTGGATTCTGGACCTTTATACAAATTGCTCCAGTTTTCTTCTCTTTATGTACATATGTTCGTATTTATGTTGCTTGTTGCCTGAAATAGAAAGACACCTGAATTTCTTTTGTTTTCAAATTCTCCATGACACCACTTTCTTCTATTTTATTCTATTCAATGCTTATGTTTTTTTTTTCTTGAAAAAAAAGACTCGCACTTTTGGACCCGATAAGCTATTGATTTTGTTTATCAAATTCGCTTTCTGTTTCCTTTGTTGGTGATAGTTTTTTCCCATTTTTTCTCGCTAACAAAATATAGTATAGCGATTGTTTTCCAGAAAAAAATTGCTTTCGAAAATTTTTATATTTTTTCAAGATTTTGGCATACCCTAAAAAGTTCGTTTATAAATATAAGAGAAATAGAAATTATTTCCAAAATATACTTTTGAAGTAATATTGTGCATTGGAACCTCTTGATTTATTCAATATCATTCAAAAAAATCATTACAAAAAATTATCTCAAAAATTTTCGTAAGTATTTTCCTTATAGTTTCTGAATTATTTTTCCCAGAGATTGTTTCATCAAAAGTTCCCCGCAAAATAGAATTCCCGTGGATTATCTTACCTGATAAAAATTGTGTCAGATTAATTGTGGGTTCACCCGACTGTTAACAAACTGTTTTTTCAAAGAAGTTATTATCAAAAATTGACTGAAAAATCGAAAATGTTGCCTGTTGTTTACAAATTATTTTGTTGTCAAAAGTTCAAATTTGTTCTCTTCCCTCACCCCAAAAATATATCCCATTTAATCCTTTCAGTTAATTCTATTCTCTATTCGAAAATTGAATTCTCATCAAAAAATGTTGGTTTTCTTTCTCTTTTTTGAAAATCTTCAGACCGCCGCAAGTACAGACGGAAAGAACAAAAAAATGAAATTCCAGTTTTTCTTCTTTTTTTTTCTAATTTTCTTCTCTCCATTCACGTCCTTGTACTTTTTTTGGGGTGAACAATTATCGATTCGATCGATGTTTATTGTTATTATTTTTTTATGATATTTAAAATTTTGTTCTTCTTTTATTCCTAGCTATTTTATTATAATGTACAATTATAAAATTCCATAAGAAATATCATAGATTTTTCGCGTGCTTTGTGTTTCATTGATATGATAAGTGTACACACATGTAAACAGTTCTCTTTTTTTTTTTGAATTGACACGAGAGAGAAAAAAAACAAATTGTTTTTCTCTTTAAAAAGACAGATTGAAATTGTTATCTGAGTTTCTCATCTTTTCTAGACCGCCATGAAACTTATTCTTAATCAATGAAAAATTTGTCTACTTTTTCCAACATTTCTATAAGAAAAGTAGAACCTGTTAGAAAATAAAAATTATTTCTCATTCACTTGTTATTGTGATCAGTAGATCATTTCCTTTTTATCATCAAATTGATTGTTTGATCTTTTTCAATTAACTAAATCGTTTTCAAAACAATTTTTTAACCTAAAGTTTTTTTCCAACAAAAAAAGTTCCCATGATTTATTGCACCATAAACAGTTGGTTTGATATATGTCTCACTTTTTTTGGGTGATTGTAAGATCACTTTATTTGAAACAAAAAATTAGATTTTTTCCAACAACGTATCACTCCGACTGAAAGTTAAAAAGATCAACATTTTTGAAAGTCTAGGGTTTTGAAATATTGAAATACGGTTTCCTGATGAACTGGATATTTCGAAACTGTTAAAGTTAGGTTATACGACGTTATAGTATACATTTTCTAAACTTTCAGACTCATAAATATTTTTTTGTTTCAACTGTTTCGGTAGGTCAAGCTTTTGTGTCATTTTTGTTTCGGAGTAAAACGCTGTGTTGTATTCCCAAAAATTGAAACTTTTTTTCGAGAAATGTTTATGTCAACATTTTAGTATCACATGTTTAATTAACTCACAATCAAACAGCTGCCTCGATCGACTGGCAGCAGTAAAACGAGGTGAAAAATCAGTTATTCAATGAAAATGAACAAAGTCGATTGATTTGACCTCTTTTCTTTTTCTCTCTCCATTTTCTCTCTTCATTTTCTCTCTGCGTCTCGTTTTTGCACTTTGACAAACACACAAAAATTATTGTAACCTCTCTCGCTATGGTATTATTCTTTGCTCAAATGTACAATGTTTTTATTTCTCATTTTCTCTAACACTCTCTCTCTTTTTCCTCACTAATACAATTTTTTTGGGTTTCGTGATGCACTTCAAAGACAATCTTTTTCATCGATGTTTTTTATTTGAACAAAATGTTTCAGATCATAAATAACAAGTTGTTTTGTTTTTCAGGTTAATAGTCGTGTATTGTTTTTTTTCGAAAATATTCATGGAAAATGCCAAATAATAGTGAGTTTTTTTATGATTTGTGTTCAAATTTTCAAATTTGTAAATTTGAAAAAAAAGCGAAAATACGGGGGAAGTACATTTTATTACCTCCAAAATGTAACCTTGGTTTTTTCATGTCCGTTTTTTTATCATTTCAGTTTTTGAGATAATTGAATTGACTTATTCATTAATTTTGATGAACGATTATTAGAAATTCAGTTTTATTGCGATAGGATCTGTCTTTTTTTGAAACAATAAACATCTTTTGACGTTATTTGGCTGTTGTCCAAACTTGAGAAATCACGTAGAACACAACTCGCCGTGTCAACAATTGGAGCTTGTGTTAGACTTGGCTTGAAAGAAAAAAAGAACATCGCCAGTTGTGAAAATAGATGAAACTTTGCACTTCTTTCTCTTTTTTCTCGTTTTTTCCTCATCTCGACTAACCGAAAACCACTCATTTTGTGACGAAAAAGAATCGATCGATTTGCAAACTCTTCTCTATTTATTTTTTTCTTTGAAAGTTTCTTGTTTGTTTGCTCGAATTGTGAAACAAAATGTTTTTTGAACTTCGCGGTAGTTCTTTTCGCCTTTTTTCACTTCTCACTTTTTCAATTTCCTATATTTTTCCTGTTACCGCAATTAGTGAACGTGAATGATTTTTCTTCCGCCTTCATCAACTTTTCTCAAACTAATTATCTTCTCATTTCTATTAATATAATTTATTGTAAAACGTGAAGTAGTTATACTTTGCTCTTTTTTTCTGCAAAAAATGAAATATATTTCTAGAGAAAACGGATGTCTGTTTCTGACTGACTTATTTGATTTTCCTTGTTCGCCTTGTTTTTTCTTTTTCTTTCAGCTGTTAACGTCATGAACAAGCTTGTTTATAGTTTGATCTACATTTCTTGTAGTTTGTGTTAGTTATAAAAATTAGACAACACGAAGGGTTTTAGGGTGAGCAATAAAACAGCCTTTTAGAAAATTGAATTATTTCAAATTTCTTTAAAAACTGAATCAGTTTTTCCCTATTTTCAAAACATAGTGAATAATTTGAAATCATATTGCAAACAAAATATTGAGCTGAGACCATTTTACATCATCAGATTATCTTTAGCTCAATTTTCCCCCTCTTTTCCTCCTTCTTCCTTCCTATTTCCAAAAATTAGTCATTCATTCTTTTGCAGATATTTTCAGTTTTTTCTCTTCTAATTATTTTTCCAAATTTTTCACCTTTTCTAAGAAACTTTGAAATGACACCTTTTCTAAATAACGAACTTTTATTCATACCAAAACACAATACACAAGGTCAATTTGGTCAAGGTTTCTGCAAAACAATGAAGATTGTTCTTTTTTGATTTTAGAGGAACGCAATGGGATTTTCTTGAAATTACTTTGAAAAAAGATTAGCTAATCCAATTACTATATTTTTGACGTAACTTTTTTTTCATTCATTGATACCAGGTGAAAAACATTGTAGTCTGATATTTATTTTCTTTTTCTGTCTATTCTATTCTCACAAAAAAAGTGATCTCAAAAACATGAGTTTTTTTTATTTCCAGCCAACTCACATAAAAATACATAATGAAATGATATCCCGGAAATTATTTTTATTTTTCTATTCAATGTTGCATGATGTATATTGGATAAATAAAATTATTAAAGTCTGGCTTCCCTTTCATGAAACCAGGAACGCATTTTGTTGAGGCTTCTTTTTTTCGAAAATTTTGAAAAGCTTTTGATGAAAAATCAAATACTTGTAGGTTTTAACTTTCCAAACAATAGTAAAAACAGAATCTTGGAACCGCCACTGGACAAAAATCATTAGGTTCAGCTCATTCATATCGATAGATAAAGATACATATATACTATAAGTCTGAAAACTCAGAAAAAGTTTTAAAAATTCATGATTTTCAACCAAACTTGATTTCATAAACTTACTTGAACTTATGTCATTTCTAGGCTCTCAAAAATATTGATCTAGACGATGTATCTGGTATGTAAAATAGCTTCCTTTTTACTCTTGTTATAAGTTATTTTTGCACAACTCCGAGCTCTGTCACTAAATTTAGAATTTTCAGAAGTAAAGTTTAAAAAAAATACAGTTAAAATTTTTCATACAATTGTGACAAAAAAATTTTTGTTCTGTACAAAAAAACATAAGAAAAACTATTATTCTGTGTGCCTTCTCTTTTTTTCACGAATTGCTAATTGTAAAAATTTTATATTCGAATCTTTCTCTTTTTATGCATAAGAAAATATATTTTACATTTTAAATCAAAACTTTGTTATTAAAACTCTCTTTTTTCTTGAAAGTTGAACTTTTTTGACGACCAAACCAAATTAATTCCGATTCATCAAATGTTTCCAGTGAAGTGAAAAATCCAGAAGACTACTTCCCGGTTAGATTTTTCCTAAATGATCATTTCGAAAATCAAACCAAACGTTTTTGAAAAAAATTGATGAACAGTTTCAGAGAGAAAACAATGATAAAACAGGCTGATCAGCAAGTTAGGGATCACTTTCAAACTGTGTTTCCAGTTGAACAAATTTCTGAAACGTTTTTTTCGTTTGGTGTCAATGTTTGACACGTAATTAGGAGTATAAAAATGGAACGTTTGAAACTAACAGTCATTAGAAACATATTCTATATTTCTGAAAATGTTAGAGAACAGTTTCGAGAAATTGTCGTTAGATGGTGAGTTTTTTTAATGAAAAGTTTTTTTTAAAATAGAAGTTCATTGAGCTCACATAATCACAATCAAAAAGCTATGTTAATTTGACATTCAATTAATTGATTATCAAATGTGTGGGCTAGGAAAAAATAACCCTTCAAAGTCATTTATTTTTAAGATCAGAAGCAGTTGTAATTTTTCTCTCCAAAAGCTCATTGGGTTCAAAAATCAAATTTCTGTTCAGAATGTTTCGGTCATTAATTTTGAAAATAAATAGCCAAGCTTTGCATCGAAAATGTTCCTAATGTATTGAAAATGTTCCTATGAACTTCAAGGAAATCCGATAACTTTCTCAAAATCAAGTTTTCTTTCACATCAATTGAAGCTACACAATTAATTTTTAGCTCTCCATCTTTTCACAAAAAAAACGACTCGAAATCCAGCATTTTTCCAGTCAGTCAGTCAGTCAGTCAGTAAAAAGGACTCATGAGCTCCGCCTTCTCTTTCTGTCTCTCTCTCTCTCTCTTTCCGAATTTCTTTTTCTTTTATTCTGAATGAAGGAAAAAGAAAAAGAAAAAGAAAAAAGAGGAAGAGGAAGGCTGTGCTCTCGCATTTCTTCTTCTTCTTCTTCTTCTTGCTCCAAAAATGCATGTTTTTTCTCCTCTTCTGATCTTCACTCTTTTTTTCTTCTTTCTGAGGAAGAGAGTTTTTCACTGCTTCGTCTTCTTTCTTTTTTTTGCTACATACATTTGTTCCGTTTGTGCACTTTTTGAAAGTCGTGAAAGAAAAAAAAAACTTTTTTACAGTTTTTTAAAATTATGATTGTTCCACCGGTTTCGATGGTTCTTTATCATGAACTATCTTCGATTAAAAATAAAAGTGAGTTTAAAAACAACCTTTTTATATTGTAGATATAATTAGTTTTGAGAATTATATTGCCCTATTTGACCTATAAAGTATTGATAAATCATAGCTAAATATAAATAAAATTCATTTAAGGGGATTCCGAACTAAAAAAAGATATACAACACGGAAGTGTCAAATTGTAATGAGAATACCACCTCCATAAATAAATATAACTTTTTTCCAGAACGGGAAAAAATTCCCGAAGGCACATTATGCGTTGTATGCGGTGATTTGGCGAGTGGTATACATTATTCGGTTGCCAGTTGTAACGGGTGTAAAACATTTTTTCGACGAGCTCTTGTCAATAAACAGACTTTCACGTGCCAATTTGCTGGCGATTGTGTTGTGGGAAAATGTAAGTCGACTTTTTTTCGCATTCTCTTCCTTTCCTTTTTGGAACAAAATTGGATGCTGACTGAAGAACATCTTGGAGAAATAAGATAACTTGAACTTTTTTTTGCTTTGTTTTGAAAAATAGATATGCGGAAATTTGATAGCCATTTTTTTACACTTTAAACCAAAAAACACTATCCTATCCAGTCAATTTACATTCCGATTAAAATGTGATAATCCTTTTACTAAACGGAAGATTTGTATATTTCGTGATCTTCATTCTTATTAAAACGATAATATCTTGCAGCTGTTCGATGTGTTTGCCGAAGTTGTCGACTGAAAAAATGTTTCGATATGGGAATGGATCCCAAGGGTATGTGTTTTTCTTTCCTTCCTTCTCATAATTCTCTCTCGTTTGATTAGCATCTAAAAAGTTTCGCAAATTTTTTATTTCGCACATATATCCCTAGTGTAATTGAATTTCCCATCATTTTGGGAGCGAGGGAGAAAAGAGTAATTTGGAAGTTGGGGATAGAAAGAGTGCAATAAAACTAGAGACTTTCAGCAATTCAACACGATCGAGACAAAATTCGATATACAAAAGCTTTGAAGAAAAAACGTGATGAAGAGAAACGGATTAAGGAAACTGTGATCAAGGAAGATATTGGAAGTCCACAAAGTATAACATCTGATACATATATTAACACATCTACACCATCTTCAAGCACAATGGTAACAATGATGGAACCTGAAACATCGCATTTTGATTCAGAGGCGCAGGTTTGTTAATTAGCTTATTTATTCTGATTCTCATTCTCATTCTAAATTGAACTAATTACAGCACGATGTTCGAACAATGATCGATAACCTAATATCCATTGAAAATAAACTGATAGCAGTTCGAAATTCATATATGTTTGAACCTCATCCAACAGCAGCTTTTTCAATGTGTCAGAGGTAAATCAATACCGTATTTTCATTACGCAAGTGGAATATTTCCACCTGTCTTCTGGGAGAGAAAAAAAAACAATTTAGTTTTTCAGTGAGAGAGAGAGAAAAACGTTTTCCAAAAAATATGTCATTTACACATGTCTCTCATCCATCAAAATAAAACTTTGCACTTTTGTATTGAACAGGGAAAGCAAAATGGAAAAATATGAAAGGCTGACAAATTATAGGCTTTGGGGATTTCGGAAAAATAACATTCATAGAATTGTCTATATTTATTTTTAGCCAAGCTAGCATTTCAATCATAATTGAATTTTCAAGATGACTATCAAATTTGGAAAAAAAATCAATTCTTTTGCAGTAGTCTATTCAAAGATGAGAATTGGCTGGCTGAAAACACAATAACTCGAATACCAAATAAGCCAACAGTTTGCTCATTGGAAAATATGCGCGATTGGTTTGTTCGAGATTTATCCCTAATGCTCGATTGGGGTAAATGTCTACCCATTGTAGACGGATTATTGCTTAATGACAAGGTGAGTAGACTGAAATATATATATATATATATAGACTAATATTAATTATTATTTTTGCAGCTGGCATTAATGAAAGCATTCGCGCCGATATTCCCTCTAATTCAGTTAGCATTCTATACACGCTGTCAAGAAAATGAGAATGAGGAAATAGATTGTAGTGGTGTCGTAATTAGTAAGTTTGTTTTTTTTGTACAAAAAAACTGAAAACAAAGTTGTTTTTTGTTTAGAATTGGAACCTGATTGCACACCTCCACCTCCAAAAGTTCCTGTTGTTCGATTAACTTATCCAGATGGAACATTCATTGAGAAACATGATGATACGGCTGAAACATCACAGTTAGTTTTCAGCTTTTTCTTTTTTTCCAAACTGACAGTTTCATTAATGCCAGATGTATTTCAGTGAGCAAATGAATCATATGCTAATCGATGGATGTTATAAACTGATGAGACAGCTGCAAGTCACAGATTCGACCTTTGTGTTATATAAAATGCTACTGTTTCATAATCCAGGTGAGTTTTTGGGGTTTCGTCAGGATTAGAATATTTTTAAATTACGTCGAAAAATGTTTGGGATCGTAGAATGAATCTATTCATTTGAAAAGAGATCTTTGAAAAATTAATGATTTTACAACATTTTCAAGTATTCTTTTTCGTGAAATTACTTTTCCGAAAAACTATGAAAACTTAATCAACATTTGTGTTTTAGAAGAGTTACTTTCAATGCATTTCAAGATTCTGAAAAAATGAATTTTTGAATTTTTTCCACCTATCTTAATTCCTATAAATGAGTTTTGAGTTCTACGCTTGAAAAAGTCCCCGATAAAAATTGATCTTCTTGGTGAATCTTCACGTTTTTTCAAACGATTATTGAATCAAATTATTATATTTTTCCCCACTACATGGACTAAAAAATCAACAATTTATTTCAGATGCTGAAGGTCTATCTGTACTTGGAAAACGAACAATCGAAACCGAAAGAATGAGATTATTAACACAAATGTACTTCTATCTATCAAATGAGCGAGGACGAGAAGCACAGACAATGTTCTCAAATCTTCTGATGATGTCAGCAACGCTCAGTGTAAGTTTTTTTTGGAGAAAAAAACAAATTTGATAATATCTTTATAGCATGTAGTTATTGCACTTTTATAAGCGTATTTATGGAAAAAGCGGAAGTGACTCGAAAGATTTTCTGTTTGTAATACTTTGGGATTATACTTTTTGAGAACAACAAATAACAAAATGCAACAAAAATTTGAATTTTGAAATTAGCATAGCATTAAAAATTCCCTGGAGCCAAATTATTGTGATTTACTATATTTGTTTTTTTTTTTCAGAAAACAGCATCTTTCATAAAACGTGTATTCGACATCAATCATATTTTCAATCGAACGAATGATTTAATTGATCAACTCATTATTGTTGGAATTTAATTTGTTGCCTTTCTCCCCTCATTTTTCAACAATTTCAGTTTCAACGAAAAATGATCTCATATAGGTTTTTCTCATCAGTTAACCCTCTTTTTATTGTCATTTCATTTATAATCAGCAATTAGTTTTTCATTAGCGGAAAAAATGGATAATACGATTTGATTTCGGGTATTTCTCTTTCTTGTTAGTTTTTTCCTTATGTTTTCTTCGATTCTAGTAAATGTAATTTAGCAGATTTCTATTGTGTAACAACATGCACTTTTTCATATTTTATTACATTATTTTCAAGATATATATTATATTATTAAGACTTGCCATAAATTCCTATTTCTTTGAAAATTTGTTTATTGTATTGCGTCGAGGGAAATATTATGATGTTGATTAGCTTTTTCTAGCTTTTCTGATTTGATTTGGCAGAAAATGAAAATGTTGCCCAAAGTGGGGAAAGCGAAATAGTAAAAACTTAGGAAATCTAACCTTTCAAAAATCGACACGCAAAAAAAACATAACACAAATGAAAAATTATATCAATACTTTATTCCAAGTATGAATTTGTAATGCTACAATAAAACTTATCTGAAACTCAAGCTTTTCAAATAGTTTTTTTTTTATTTTTCATTCGATTGAATACATAATCTTTTTTTGATTTCATCATTTTGAAACTTCTCCCAACAATTCTTCATTCTCTCAATTTCATTGACAATTCCAAAGTTCAGCGGTTTTTGATAATCCTGATAACATTTTTCAGCCAAAGTTACATTAGCGTATGTTGCAAGACACTTTTTCGCCATCTGCATTTGAACAGAAGCTTTGTAACTTTCGAAAATTTCAGAAATTTTAGGTAGTTTTTTGTGGATCTGTTCCCTGTAATAGAAATTTGAAAACAAAATTAGGAACACAGATTTTTTGAAAAAACTTACATTGAATAAGGTTTGAGGATTATTTTCATAACTGATAAATATTTATTAGTTTCGCTTCTGGAAATTCAATCATCAAAAAAACGAAACTTTTTTCAATATAGTTTTTTTTCATTAGAAACAATGTTTCCTTCGCTTTTTAAAAAACTCACACTTCAGAATTACTAAAAACACAACACGTCACAAACTGAAAACAATCGTAACCAATATGAAAATATTCAAAAAAACTCACACTAATAAATTCGGAATGATATGGGAGACATTCTCGAGCTCTGTCAATTTGACTACCGTGTATGTTTATTAGGGATTCACCAGAATCAAGATGATAATGCCATGTTCCACAAAATGCGAGAGGAATGAATATTGATGTGAAAATAAACATTTTGAGACGAATTCAACAAATAATCAAATGGCATACAGTTTTATACAGGGTGCGCGCGAAATATGTGTGCATGAACTTTTGGCCATAATAAAGCCAGTACGTGTCTGATCACGCTGAGATTTGGTCTCAAATTAGCCAAACTAATGACAATACAAAATCCGAAGCCGATTTTGTATACCTAGACCAAGTCACATAATTTCCTTTGGGGTATCGTTTTTGAATGAGTGTGGTATGAACGCGGCTATTTTCAAGTTCACAAGACTGTTTCAAAGTCTTAATTTTGACTATTAATTGAAGTGATCAGCAAAAAACCTTTATTTTACCTTCCCTAATAGTGTTCATAACAGAAATCCATATCTGGTTCCACAAAACTTTCTGAAAATGGTGTTTAGTGCAACCTACAAAAGCGAAGTTTTCAAAAAAAAATTTCCCAAAAAGAGACAAAAATCAATTATTGTCGAAAGTAATGTTTGTATAACTAATATTTCTATCAAACTGCAGTAATATGAACATATTATCATAAGTCAGTCATAATCACGATGAATTATTGACTTTTAAGTGCTCTAGAGCATGTTTCTCAGATTGAATTCAGATTTCGCCGATTCCTCGAGAGGAATTTTGTTGTAGGCCTGCTCGTTCTTAAAACGATATAATGAACTCTATGAATTTAAATAAAATAAGCCAATGATGTCTAAAGACATCCTACAAAATCATATTTAAATAACTTTTACGAAACTCGAGTTCTAATTGGTCAAAATCATTATCCGAAAAATAGGAAGAGTCGCGTTCTTATTTTCTCATTTTCACAAATTCTCTTCTGACTTCATACAAACCGGATTCTATTTTAAGTGAAGAGATTGACTTGAATTCTTGTAAATGGTGTTTCTCGGATACTTGTGACTTGTTTTGAACAATCCATACTCAAATTTACTACGTGTGCCAATATTACTAACACTGTATGTGAAATTTTCGCATGCACACATATTTCGCGCGCACCCTGTATGAATGAAATGTCTAGACTCATTCAGAAATAGAAACGCCTCACATTCAGGAAAATAATTTTTTGTTGGAAAATGCAAACGTGGAAATGAGATTCAGTTCAAAAACATAAAAAAAATACTTATCAGAAATTTTATTATCGAAAAAGTTACAGACAACGGAATCAGATTCGGAATACAAAAAAGATCACATTTGAAATTCATGTGTCAAATCCGAGTGGAATTGGTGTTCTGAAACAAATACAACAAACATTTTTAAAATATGCCATAAACTCACCTTTCCTTGACCATTTTTTGGTTTGAAAACGATGAGCACAAACATGTTTTCGTCAAAAGTTTGAAATAAACTCACATATGTTAGAAAAAACAAAGTTGAGCTTATTTTATAGCTTTATGCATGTGTTTTTGAAAACCAAACAATAATTGATTAGGACAAATGAGGGTAGACTTGAAATAATCAATTATAGTTTTTGAGATCAAACACTTTCATAAAATTCGATGGAAATACTTACAATTTAGTAAAATTGTTTGTTTTCCCATTTAAAAACCAACATTTTAGAAACATGTTTCCAGTTTAAACACTTTTTTTACATAGCATGGTTTATTGGAACACAATTTTAAGTATAAAAAAAACAGTTTTCAATGAAAAATTGGAAACAATATCTAACAAGCAGAACTTCTAGCTCTTAGTTTCTAATCAAATTTGCCAGGGTAACTTTTGGATATGGGCGATAGCATTGATCTTCAAGAAAGTTGATACTGAATTGCTGATTTACTGGATTTCGAACAAATCTGAGATAACCGAACATTTGAAGATTCTGATTTTGAATTGGATTACGACTGGAGAATTGATAATTGACAATAAACGAATTTTCATTTTCAATAAAGATATTCTGTGGGAAAACATCCAAATTTTGAGTAATCAATGTTTTCTTGTAATCAGCTAAAAGTTAATATCTATTATACAAAAACTCATATGTTGATCTTACCTGGTGTCATCAATATTCCACATTTACTTATTCTCGCCAAAGGTTCAAAACTTTCAAGAATATTGAAAAAAGCAGGATATCTGATTGCATTGATCCATTTCGCAGCAACTACTTTTTGCACTTCTTCTGTATTGATACATGCTCCAATGGCAATCAAAAAGAATAAGTAGAAAATTGAAGACATTTTGATTTCGAATGACTTTTGACATTTCCCACAACATTTATACTCTTCGAAACACAAAAGAATAATAAATGTTTTCATAATAAGTAATCATGACCTTTTTCAATAACCTTTTGAAAAATATTCTAAATTAAAAATTTCTATATTTATCAAACCTTTTTTGAAAATTAAATGTATTTTTTTTCTTTTCATCAACAACGCAGCGCGCGCATAAAAAAAAACAGGCAGCCATCATAAATATGCAATTAGAACAAGGGTGAGCAGGGAGTCCTGTAGTCTAATGGCTAAGCTGATTGATCTCTGCCCGCAAGGCCCGGAGTTCAATCCCTGCCCTGGGCTTCATCTCCCCAGGGAGGATTAGTACTCAGGGCTCTCTTTTGCTTTTTTGCTTGTTGGATTTAAAAATGTTTTCAGACTTTTTTGTCTATAATATTCACATTTTTGTATTTCTAAAATTGTTTTTTATTTAGGAAAATTATATGATAGTAAAATTTTTTCAGTGTAACATAGCACCTTTTTTATTCAAAATTTGTAAAACTGGAAAGTTTTCCAAAGTTTTCCAGTTTTACAAATCATTCTTTTTCGAGCCAAAATTCATGATACCCGTCTAATCAAGAAATCTGAATGTATTCAACTGATGTCTCTATTAAACTAGCAGAACACAGGGAATATTGCAAAATAAATAGTCACGCAGAAAAAAACAACTGGCCATCATAAATATTTAATTAGAACAATGGTGAGCAGGGAGTCCTGTGGTCTAGTGGCTAAGCTGATTGATCTCTGCCCGCAAGGCCCGGAGTTCAATCCCGGCCCTGGGAATGAACTCCCCAGGGAGGATTAGTACCCGGGGCTCTCTTTTGCTTCTTTGGTTGTAGGTTTTGTATATTTTTTAATCGTTTTCGAAACCCTTTTTGAGTTTATGTTTCACTTTTAAAAACATTTTCTTCTTTTAATTAAAAGTTAATTGATCAAGAAATCTGAATGTATTCTTTGTATGTTTTGAAAACTTCTCTGTTCTGTGGAACTCTCAGAATCAGTGGGTTAGAATACCATTTCACATTTTCGAATTTATTAGATATTCTTTGTTTTTCTAGAAAAGTGTGAAAAGTGTGTGACAAAATCAAGTTCGTTAAAATCAACGAATGTTTTCAAGTTCGTGCGATAAAATCATGCATTACGCACTGTAAACAAGGTTTCTGTAGAAAAAGTTTTTAGACTCTGCAATCTGGCATTCAATCAAAGACACCTAACCCAATTCTCTTTCTTAATAAATTTCGGAAGCTTCTTTTTCAGGATGAAGATTAAAATCAAATGACCTGTATTCGAAATTTTTCCCTCTCAACAGGTGAGATAACAACCGTACGAATCCTATTTTGAGGTGAAAAAAAAAGAAAATGAAAGAGAAAATGAAGAAGATTTTTATCGGATTTGACAAACAAGATCCGCCCATTTTCTATTCCATCGTCCTGAAAACGATATTTATTTATTCGGTCTACCGTTCAAATCGGATTAGTTTTCCAATTTATTTTCAATTTTTATTCAAAAATGCTTCAATCTCCATCTTTGGTTCAAATTATCAACAAATCGATTGCTTATAAAAACCTTGGAGATGCTCTTCTTCCAGTCAACAATAATGCTGAATTCATGAGCTCTTCAAATGCTGTAACAGTTACAGTTTGTGGACAAAATGATGATGAACCAGTTGCTTTTGGATCAATCGTAAGATGCAGTGAAAGACAAGCATACGTCATGTTGGGTGAAGTTGCTGAAGAATATGCTGACAAATCAGTTTGGGTTGAGAAAGTTGAGAATGGAGAAAAATTGCACCATGTTTTCAAGGTAAGATTCTCAAATTAAAATTCTTCCCCCCAGGTAAATATTTTTTTCTAGATCACAAAATCCGTCCCACTCATCGATTATTCTGGAGAAACTCACTTCGAACAAACTTTCGGAAACAGAGATGAAAAGTAACTTAAAATCAAAAACTGAATATGAAAATTGAAATTTTAAAATTTTTCAGACCAGTTCATCTTCACGTTCTTGACAGTTTGATTGACAACACAGTTGGATTGGAATCCTTAGATGTTATGAAGAATGTTACTGTTGATTTTGAAAAGTTAGTTTTTTATATCACTATGACAAGAGCTTTCCAGGAAACTTATTCATAAACAAATTTTTTTAGCAACTCGAACCTTGATTCATGGAGAGATACTGTTGGATTTGTTGTCAGCGACAAGTTCTGCTATGAAAAAATAACTGTAAACCGCTTTGAACTGTTATCCTTGGCTGATTCAGAGAGCAATGTAGCAGTTGAAAATGTCGAAAAACTTGAGACAATTCTTGATTATGATGGTGAAGTTTCAATGTTCCAACGTGATGAATTTTTGACAACTTTGTACTCAACAAGCGGGGTAAGAAATTGAATTTTTTCCAAAATTGAGACCGATTTTCAGGAAAAAAAGTTTTTTTTCAGATCTCTTGCAAAGTTGCTAGAATTGAAGGAAATGTGGTTGGTTATATTGCCAATACTTCAAGCAATATTCTCCAATGTTATGGAGAAACTGAAGAAGTTCAAAGAGCTCTTTTTGCCGCCGCAGCTGAAACTATGAATCCACAAGTCACCCTCTATGTTAGAAAAAATGCCAACGCAACAATCGAAAAGCTCTCGGAAAATGCATTGACTCATTCAAACATCACTCGTCTGAACACTCGTGTCGTAGTCAACACAATTAAATGGCCAAAAATCGGAGCTTTGAACATGGGACTTCATATGTTCTAAGAAATACTATTTTTTGAATGTCAACATTTTATTTTTCATTTTGTATTGAATCTCGTTTTACTTTTCGTACACCAAATTATGTATTCGAATAATAAATATATACTTCTCAAAAATGATTACATCTCGGGAAAAATCCCGCAAGTGCCGGCAAGAATTGCAGTAGAGCCGCAATGGCTGCGGGTGAAGCCGCCGTTGTTGCGGGGGAAAGACAAGGGAAGTGTGAGAGAGCACAGGCAGACAGACAAAAAGTAGCGAGCGTCTGCGCTCTCTCACATTCCCCTTGTCTTTCCCCCGCAACAACGGCGGCTTCACCCGCAGCCATTGCGGCTCTACTGCAATTCTTGCCGGCACTTGCGGGATTTTTCCCGAGATTGTTTGAAAAAGTACTATAATTATGTGTATATTATGGGTTAGATATTCATACTTGCATAGCAACAAGACCATTTAAATTGCTCCGTTATATGTGAAATGTTTTTATTTTTTGTTTTTTGCTCCTCTAGTGCTCTATGAGTGGTTTCAGTTGTTTTTTTTTTCAGAAAGTGCAACTTTTCCCGGCTGGGGTATAACTGAAAAAATACAACTATATATTTGAAAAAGAGAAAGAGAAAAAGCAAAATTTTTTGTGCATAGCAACCATATTGTGCCTAGAAACATAACATAACAAGAATAAGAGAAAAAGAAGAAGAAGAAGAAGCCCTATTGCTCTATTTTCGGCTAACCACTGGACACTTTTCTGACGACTACTACAATGGGTGAGTTTTTGTACATACATTTATTTACAAATTTTATAGTCTGATTTCTTTTGATTTCTAGATGCTCCATCTGAACCAGTTTTTCCATGCAGTGTTTGTGGGCGCAAATTTATCAAATCAAGTTTGGAGAAACATGTTTCGGCGTGTAAAAAATTGGCCAGTTTGCATCGCAAACCTTTTGATTCGGGAAAACAAAGAGCAAATGGAAGTGATATCACTTATGCAGATGTCAAAAAAGCGCAAAAAGAGAAAACAAAGGTGAGAAAATCACAGTTGATAAACTCACAGTTGATAAAATTGATAAACCCATTTCTCGAAAATTCCATGCATACATAAATGAGATTTCAGACTGATTACGTGAACAAAAAAAAAACAACATTTTCTGTGTGAAAAATAGGTTTGGTTTCAGTGAACTCTTAGTTAACAAGAAATAATTTTAACATTGGGAATTAGACAATTTTAATTATTTTTTATTTGTGCATTGTGTTTTTATGAGTAACAAAAAACAAGAAATCATTTTATATTGCGGAATTATTTTAAGAATAATGAAATAGCAGGTTTTTATGAATTCTGAAAATTGAGAGAAACATTTTTAGGTCTTTATTTTTAGATTTTGAGGTTGTTTTCTCATAGTATCAATAGTAGTGGCTTTCACAAGTTTTACGATATATCAATATCAATTTGCAAGAACTCTAATATGTTGTTTTAAAAAGCCGTAAAGCTTTCTCCAAACTGAGAAGTTCACTACAACATTTATAGGATTTTCAATTTTTAAAAAATTAGTGAATTTTCAGTAAATTCCCAAACGCATTATTCCACAAAATCGATTTTCAGAACGGCGGTGTATTTCCTCGTCCACAAACAAATTGGCGTGAGAGACACGGAAACTTCATCGACGCCGTTTCCTCGTCAAAACGCGTCGATTACGCGTTGAAAACAGGTGCACCGTTGCCACCACCGCCAAGAACGGCTGTTCCAAGTGGTAAGTTATTAAAATCATTCATGCGTAGAGAAAAATAAAAGAAACTGTGAAAGATTTATTGAAACAATAACAAAGAAAATTACTTTGGTATAATTTTTGTTGGTTGGCCGTATTTATCAAAGAAGTTTTGCCAAATGAAATCTCCGGTGTAACAATTCTTAGTTGTTTGGAAAATTTGTTTGTTTCTCGTGTCGGAAATTCCGAGTGATGCGCATTGAATTTTTGCATAACTTCCCAAAGGAGCACCAGGACGTTCACTGGAAAATTGTATTTTTTTGAAATTGTTTGTAACATCAAATTCAAAACTCACTATCGTGCTATACAATATTCTTGATTAGCTTCGTGAATGTGCATAAAAACTACATCTTCACCATATAACCAAGATTCCTGTGTTTCGTCAACAACGAATTTTCTAAATCTACCAAGCAGTGGTGTGAAGTCCAAATAGTCCAAATCATCGAAAACCTCGCAAGTTTTTGTTTTTTTACAAAGTCCATAATTATCTCTTTCTTCACACAACGATCGTCCATTTGTTGAACTTGCTCCATTTCCATTTGTTGATTGACTTGTCGGTGCATTGCCAGTTCCAGTAGGGACAGTTCCTCCAGTTGGGGATACTTCTGTGTTACTACCATTCGGATCTGGATTTTTAGTTGGGAACAACGGTTCGGTTTCAGTGGTTCCTGGAAGTGTTCTTGCAAATGTGAAACTAATATAAATTAGAAAACAATAAACACCAAAACGAATTGAATTCATTTTCAGCATTGTATGTGATTTGTTTTGAACTGGCCCATTTTATATTGACAATGTATCGCCTCCCGCGAGCATTAATAATCGAAACGAAAATGCGAAAACATATTTGAAAACATGCGAAAATTCGTATAGAACAACATAATTCGAATTAAATTTATATGTGATTTTTTTGTTTGCAGACTATGTTCAATGCGAATATTGTGGAAGGAATTTCAATTCGCAGGCAGCTGAAAGACATATACCATTTTGTCGAGAACAAGCATCACGAAAAGGAAATCCAAAAACTCCAGTGCCAAAAAGTGTTTCAGGCAGTTTCAGAAATCTTCCAAGCAAACACGAGGTTTCGTAATGATTGACCCAGGGAAAAAATACAAAAACAATTTTCAGACTCGTGATTCTTCGGCTAGCAGAATGCAAACACGTGGAAGAGATGGAAGCCTATCACGAAATAAAAGTGAATCTAATTCTGATATGAATGCCAGAAGAAAGTCTTTGGAAACACGTTCAAATTTGACAAGCTCTCAAATAGCGTCGCGAAACACTTCTCTTTCAGCTGGCCAACGGCAAAGTGGGACTTTACCACCTCCAAGCAGGTACATTGTTTTCTCAATGAAAGATAGATTGTGCGCGTTATAGATGTTATGTTTTTTGAAATCAACAAATTATTGAAAAATTTTTGCGGGGCGGAATGAAAATCGATCAATTTTTTGATCGAATTGTGCAATCATGGGAAATTTTTTATGAAAGTTTAGCGCGAATTTTTTGATAATCTAAACTTCCCAGAAAAAACAATGAGAAATTGCATGTTTGATTCCAATTAGCTCATCACAGTCGCCTTCTCAGTTTTCACCTTAAGAAATAAGTGATGGTGTGAAAACTGATAGCAGCAACGCAACAGGCTACAGATGAATTTTGTAGAAAAGTTAGAGAAAAAATTTTTTTTTACGTAGAATTTTGAAAAGTTTAGTTTTTTTCACTTTTATAAACATAAATTGACTGAACAATACCAACAAACCATATATATGTAGGTCAAAAATTAGCTCGTGTTCAACTAGAGTGTTTAGACGTAGTACATCGGCTTCTCGAAATGCTCCACCAACTGCATCAGCGTCTGCATCTTCGACAACAACACATCGCCTAAAAACACCGTGGGTTTCAAAACTGATTTGATTTAATTTTGCAAAACGTGTTCCCTGCATGAGTTTTGTATTTCAGAACCTCTTTGGCTAGCCGAATGTCAAAAATGAGTGTCAATCAATGATTTATTTGGTTTTGCTTTCTGTTCATTAATGTCTTACCCTCTTTTCCCCATGTGATTTTTATACGTATAATTTTCCAAATGTGTGTTATTTTTAAAATTATTCATTTGATTGATTCAAAGGTTGTTCTCTTCTTCATTGACATTTTTGAGAAATTTTCGTTTTTCAGAGCTCCTCCTCAAACTCGAAGTTCTTCTCGAAGTTCGTCAAAAAATCGAGATGAAGGTAGACTGTCACAGGCAAGAAATAACAGTCGAAACGCAACAAGATCTCGCATTTTCTAAATTATTTTTCCGATTTATTTCTTTTTTTTTTAATTTCTTCGGATCATTTTCAAATAGGAAAAATAAACATTTTCATTTTTCAAATTGTTTTTTTTTGTGAAATAAAAAAAACCCATTGATGATTCATCAACAACATTTTTCATATGACCCATTTCCACGACAAAATCTGGGTCTCTAATATACAAATAATATTTTCTCGGATTATGAAATATATCGTTTTTTAATTTTTCAGAAATGGGGTGTGGTTCGAATTTCGTAAAATCTGAAATTTATATGATTGGAAAACATCAATATCTTCATTTTCAAATATTTTGTTTCTCAATACTTCTCTTGTCTCCACATTTTTACATTTTTTAACTAATCATCAGACGTAAGTAAAAAAATTCAAGACATTTTCAGAAAGATGATCAAATCAATGCTAAATGCTGAAAATGAGAAACAAGAAGACGAGGAAGACGAAGAGAAAAATTGCCAACCTTGCAAAAATGCTGAAGTCTGTAAAACAAAGAATTGAGTAAATGTCCAAATTTTACAATTATTCAGAAAACGAATACCTCTGCCAATCGAGAAGACAGAACTCGATCCTCGTCGCGCGTTTCAAACCCTCAGTGCCGTGCAGATACTGGATCAAACCGCTTGAGCTACAAAAGCAGATTTGGAAAAGTAGGATGGGCAGCCATTGAACATGAAATCAACAATATCGACCAACCAATACTCCCAATTTTACGTTATGGATCTAGAGCCTGGTCGCTGACAAATAGAACATACAAGTTGTCAAAGGAATGATAAAATCAGTGACAGATTATTAATAAAAAAAAACCTGGAAAGTTAATTTGCAACTATTTTTTCAAACATGTAGTTCATCCAAATCATTTTTTATTCCAGACTTATATTTTCACCCATGCATGTTTTTTATCAAATTTGATTATTCTCCCTTTTCACCCTATCTGTTTCCTAACATTTTTTTCTGACAATGAATTGAGCTTCAGCTCAAGAAACGAACACGTTTTTCCCGATCCTCTTTTTCCATTTATTTGTTTCTTATATTGAACTTATATATTCTTATATCGATCCACACTTTATCGAATTTTGTGTTTCATGATTTCCACATAAAATATTGAAAAATGTCACGTTTTGCTCAACGAACTGAAATGATGAACTTGACGTTAGTAAATTTATAAATAAAAAAACAATTAAAAATGATGGAAAAATCAACAATTGGTCATTGTTTTCGCAATTTATCACATAAGGCACATATAGATTCCAAAAGAAAATGATAAGGTAGATCAAGTTGATTATAATTCCGTCTTGTTGATGTCTTCTGTTGGCAAAGTATTTTGAGTAGATGATGTGGTATTTGTTTCTTCATTAGCAATGATTGGCTCAAGGAGGAACATTGCATCAGGAAGATAATAAGCAGACTAAAAATAAAACAATGAAAAATTATTTTTCATTACAAAATCGAATTGTAACTCACATGATTCATATCTCCTTCGCATAAATATGGTAATCTTGTCCATTTTACAACTCGGAATTTGGCGGGTTCAAATTCATTTGTTATCATATAATGAACATGATCAGCATATGTTTTTCCTTGAACTTTCAAAAATTGATCCGGTCGAGTACTTTTGCCATTTGGATTGAATTCGACATAATGATTGACTGGAAGAACAAGTGAAATGATAACACGGCATTTTGAGCGGCTTGATACTCTCCATAAATCGTTGAGAAGTTTTTGTGGAGAATAATGGCGATCGAGAAGATTGAATGCGGTGATAAGATCAAATTGAATATCTGTTTGATCCCAAGTCAAAGCGTCGAGAACTTTATAGCCCTTTGAAGATAGTCTCTTCCGCATTCTCTGAAAACATAATTTTTTTTAGAAATTTATCAATTTCAAGTTTTGTTCAAAATTTGTATCAACATATATTTTTTAATCAGTTATCTCTACCTTGCTTCTTATGACAAAAAACACTCACTGATGATAATTCAGTTGCATAAATATCACTATAAAACGCTTCCAAATGTCTCGTAATATCACCATTTCCAGCTCCCAAATCCAATACTTTTTTGCCAACCGGGCTCCAATTTGATCTGTCAATATCTAACAATTTAGCCATTTGATTTTCACTGAACAAAAACATATTTCCAAATCCAGTAATTCCATTGATATCTGTTTTCGAATATATTGAAGAGAGAAACATAACTCCCAAATTTCTTATTGTTTGCCAGAAATAATTATCAGATAATTCCGCTGATTTGTCGAGAAAATGTTGTGTTGTTTCATCAGGATTTGATTTGAAAAACAGTTGCCGCGCCAAATCCGTTAGTTCGTTCTAAAAACAATCAAATTTGTAATCAAAACAATTAATTAAGTTTTGCTAATACCTCAGGTTGGTACCAATTTGTCGGATTCAATCCGTGAACACGCTCCAAGTTATAACTCATTCTAAAATTTAAATAATAAAAACTGACGCATCCTATAGAGAAAAATGAAGAAATATTGTAAAAAAGGTGACTAGACCTTCTCAAATAAATAAATAAGTAAATAAGGACAGTACAAAATGGATTTATTGATTTTTCCCAAAGGCAAACAGGTGCAATAATTGTAACACAATCCAAAACTTTTTAGGATGATTGTAACACAATCCAAAACTTTTTATGCTCATTTGCCGTCGTGTGTTCATGTGTCGTTGGCCTATAAAAAGTATTAGGTGACAAAAATAAGTATACTTCGAAGTGATACTTTTGACTCTGTGTCTTCTGGTGTATTGTCAAAAAATGGATGATTGACACAAATCAACAATATATGATTTCGCACGTTGGTGATTTTTTAATATCTTTGTTAATACAAAATGTTTACGTTGGTCTTTTGTGCTACTTCAAAACACTGCAATGTTTCGCAACATTGCTAATATTTCTCTCACTGTGACTCATGTTTCAAAAAAGTCACACAATATATCAATTTTTCCCTAGATTCTACATTTTCTGGAGTTCTGTTTTGAAATCAAATTTGTGAAAATGATGTTAAAAGTATGTGAAAAAATCAAGAAATTTTCAAGTTTTTCTGTTCAAAGGCTGAACACAATTCAATTATGTTTCCTTGTTCTTTCAGAACACGCAGAATTTTTCATGAAAAAATCAGATTTTTTTTGTTTTGCACTTGCACTTTGAATATATTTTTCAATCACTGAAAATTCTGCTGAAAAGACAATTTTATTATAATTTTGTTTCTATTCTCACGTTGATTTGGCCAATTTGAAAATCTGATTCCCTCAGTTTAATTTTCAGTAAACATTGCTATTTGAATTTCTAACCCTATTTCTCTCTCTAAACCTCATATAAATTTATTGATCTAAAACTAAATACCTACTAACCTTTTAATTATATTTTGTCATCATCACAAGAGAGCTCTCTCACCTGCCATTTCTCTAATTATCCACATACCTTTGGGAATAGACGCTACTTTTTTGCTGCAAGCTCCGCCTATTGTAATAATAATGATCTACGCCGCCCATCACTTGACACAATCGTTTTTAGCTATATCATTGTTGTTGTTTTTTTTGCTGCTATTATTTTGGCCGCAGTCGCTTGTTGTTTTTTCTTTTTATTCCGGGCTTCTTTTTTTGTTGCCGTTATAGTTTCTCTGAAATGTTTTTTTTTGATTTCTTGGAAAATGTGTGTAGTTTCTTTTGAAAAAAACCTATATATCATTAGTTGATAAGATATTTTAAGAAACAATTTATTTCCTTATTTTTTTCGTTTTACGTTCAATAAAAATTTTTGGAGGATTTCTTTCTCAAATTGTAGTTTTGAACTTTCATAGAAATTGTCAGAGACTCAGATTTCACCATGTATCAAATTCATTCGATTAGTTTTTTGTTGTTTTTTGAGAATTCAAAAATAAATAGTTTCATCAATGGAACATTAAATATTTCATAGAAAATATTTTGGAGCTATTGTTAAAGATAGATTTTTCATTTTAATAAACTCAACAATCAATTCATTTTTATATAGTCTCATTTTATAGTATCAAAAATATGATTTCGTCTGGTAAATGTTTTTAAATCTAAAAACGCAATATATTTGCACTAAACCAACGCCTCTTATATTTCCCCCATTTTAAATATAATAGACTCACCATTCGCAGCATCACAATTCACATAATAACCACATTCTGACTATAAAAACCAGAAAACTTTCCCAAAACTATAAAATGAAGAAATAAAAAATAGTTGTTCATTGTTAGAAGTGCGCTCTAATGCAAACACGCCTCGCCTACCGCTTGATCCCTGCCTCTTGTTTTCCCGTTTACTCTCCTTCTCTACCCCACTTTTTTTTCTTCATTACTATTTTTCCTTCTTTTTATCATGAAAACTGAAAATCTTGAAAATAGTCCAAAAGTTTTACGGTAAAATTTATCTTCCTTCGGTAGCTACAAACATTTCCTTTCAAATAAAACAGGATTTATTGTATAACTTTCAGTGTGAACGATGAGCTACGATGAAATGCAAGGTACTTCTGAAGGTGCTGGTCCCAGTTCACCTTTGAATGGATATCATCGATCATATGATAAGAAGTGAGTTTGAAATATAAGCTTTCAAGATAAATTGGCCTTGAAAAATTTTCAAAATCTAGTCGATTTAGCTTCAAAACTAAATTTTGAAGTTCACGTACCTTTACGTCATTTCAATGAGAATTGAAAATCTTATGGGCCAATTTTGATTTTATCGTGTTTTTCGATATTTGATTACCTATTTTTAAAAGTTTTACACAAAATTAACAACTTTTAATGGTATAATCTCATCAGTTTTTAACTGGGTTTTGAAGAAATATGCAAAATAAAAGTTTTCGAGAAAAAATTCTAAATTATTGATATAAATATATTTTATATAGTCCAATTAGTTCACATTTGGGAATCAATTCAGATTAATTATAAATTCAATACAATGTATTGACAAACAACTTGATAGAACTTAAATGAAAAACTCGAAATTTTTCATAAGGTAACTTGATATGTCGGAAAACTTCTGGAAACTAGAAATATTTTAACTTTTTTTTTCAGATACTTGGCTAATCTACCTCCGACTCCAAAAAAACAAGGAGGAGGAAGGCCAAAATCTCGGGAAGAACCAATGATGATGCCAATTCCAGAAGATCTTATCAGTGATGAAGATATGGTGCGATTAAAAAGAGATACAAAACACTTATCGTTTCCATTGGTTCTGGAAATTTTACACGATCGGGCGTATAATGTTGATGATACCATTAACTATTGCAAGGATAAAGTTGTTCCAAATATGGTTTGCCCCATTTCTGAACAATTAATTGCTGCAAGTTCTTATGGATTGAAAAGAAAGAAAATGAGCACAGTTATCAACCACAATCCATTATATCATCGGTTTTTCTTGAAAAAATTTGTAAGTTATCAAAACTTTTTATAATCCTTCTAATATAAATTTGACTTGTTTCAGTTCAAAGAAGAAACCAATCATTTGGTGGAATTTTATCAAAATAACAAGAAAAAACTACCGGTTTTGATTGGACCACAACATACAAAATACGCCGATCCAGATCAAGTGGAGTATTTGAGAGTTCAAAATGCACAATATATAATTGATTGTGCCGACCAAAGGAAGAAAAACCGAGAAGTGAATCGAATTGCAAGATTGGAAGCGTTGGCAAAGAAACAAAGAGATGGTATATTACCAAAATTACCAAAGAAGAAAAACGTGTTTGCAACACCAATCGATCGACCGAGAAGATGCAAACCCAAAGTTGATTTCTATTCCCCGGAACCAGTTATAACAAAACATGGAAATGCAATTTTAACCAAAACACCTCCGAAGCAACCACCAATTATAATGCCCAAGGCACGAGTAGTTTTGCCACCAACTCAACCAACTCTACCCCCTCCAAAGCAATCATTCATGAAACCCAAGCCACAAGATGTGTTGCCTTCAAATCCACCAACTCCACTACCTCGAAAGCAACCAGTCATAGTGCCCAAGCCACGAACTGTTTTGCCAACAGTTCCACCATCAGCAAAACCAAAAATTGTTGTTCAACCCTCATCTTCACTTCAAGCTCGACGTAAAAAAATACTCACTCCACCGGCTGAACCAAACAATCAAAGTGTGATGCCTGCAATGTCGGAACAAAAAATTTCAACTCGGAACAATTCAGTTGTGGAACACACATTTAATGTCACAAAAAATGATTATCAATTTGAAACAACTAGTACATCAATTGCTTTTACTCCATTCTTGACTGTTAGAAAATCAATTGGATCTAAAGAAAACAATGTTCCATCTACCTCAACACCCACAAATGATATGACCAAAGAAAATGAATCGGCCAGAGAATCTACAAGGGCATCTTCAACAGCATCTTCAACATCGTCATCGACCAAAAGAGTTACACGATCTAGCAATTCTGATGATTTGTTCACCACAGGACTCGATGTGTAAGTCTACATATTTTGAGAAAAAAAGTAAACATGTATTTTCAGAATGAAAAGAAAGAAACGAGATTACGAAAGGACGTTTAATGGAATGTTTTGGAAAAAGGGAGCGTAAGTTGAACATTTTATCCTAATTAATTTAATTCAAATACATTCTTATTTCCAGGCCTCCACCTACTCTTCCTGCTAAAAAGCGGAAAATAAACAAACCGGAAAAGAAAACTGAAGACAAAAAAGATGGAAAAGTTAAGAAGCGGAAGGCTAGAAAACGAATTTTCGGAACTCATAAACATCAATATGAAAAGAGAAGAGCTTTTCTTTATATGAAACAGATGAAAGAGTAAGTCATAAACATTTCTTTACCGAATAATAAAAGTTGAAAAACACATATTATTTCAGGGAAGGCATTCCCACAGTGTCCGGCGCACTTATTCCTGTCATCGATCTTGCCAATCAACCATCAACTTCATCAAAGCCAAAAACTAGATCGGTTAGAGTCAACCCTACACCAGTCAAGCAACGCCCTCGTATAAATTCGCCTTCGCCAACGCCTTCACCACCGTCTCCTCTACCAAGACGACCGCCTTCACCATCGCCAGACCGAGATCCAAACGAACCACGAAGAGTTCCAACACCAGAAGGTCACTTAGGAAATAAATATGTTCATTTTGGAATAGATTTGGAAGATGAATTTGGTAATCGGATGGCACGAACGTAAGTTGTATTAGATTTTTTTTCAATTCATAATGAAATGTTTTGCAGTCCAACTCCAACGCCTCCTCCACCGTCACCACCTCCACTATTCCAAGAAGGTCGACCACGAAGAATCATTCAACCAAAAATTTTCTTTGGCATGAGAGTTGAAAAACGTACACAAAGTTACGTCTAATTTGTATAACTTTCATAGTTTTTTTTCCAATTTTATTTTTTTTTGTCCAAATTACAAAATCTTAAAAATTAACCCGGGCATTGCAAAAAACACACGGACCTCTCGCTTTGTCTATTAACTCTATCTCAGTTCCCTTTATTTACGTTGTATTATTTTGTTTTCCATTTTTTCAATTGTCTCATTATTTCACCCAAAAAATCAAAAAAAAATTCTCTGACTAGTTTATTTCCTTGTTTATTTTTATTTGTATTTTTTTTTATTTTCTTGTAACTTTTTGAAGTCTCGCTGAATAAAATTGAAAACCAAAATTGTTCCATTTCCTAAAAAAAACACCAATGATAAATTTTTGAGTGATAATTGTGCTCAATTGTGGTTGTTACCTAAAACAAATAAAACAAAAATTTATTGATTTTTTTGCGTAAGCAACGAATTAAAAGAAAACCTGATTCATCAAAAAGAAATGTGTGTTCATAATTTCGTGTGCAAAACTTGAAGAGCAGAATGAATGTTTTTTTTAATCTTCGTAAAAGTTTTTATTTTTGTTCTCTAAAAATTCAATAAGATTTTCTCAAAAAAAAAATCAAAAAGGTTTGATCAAAAAGATCAATTGAATTGGAAAAGAAAAAAACTAGTTTTTGGTCATGTTTAGTCATTCAAATTTCAACAAAAAATTATATAGAAATAACCAATGGATAAATTTTCAATTAAAAATCGATAACTCAAATGTAGACTATGACATTGAAGAGAGTTGGCATGAATAACACGACGAATTTCAAATGGAAGGCCATTTCCCAAAAAAAATAAGTAAAAACCCGGAATGATTTTTTTGGAATTCAACAAAAAGAGAGGGTTTCAAAAGTTTAGATATTTTTTTCTGGAGTTCCAGACAACTATTTTCTCATTCATAGTATCTCAAAAGTTGTTTTCTCATTTCACGTTATTGTTTCCCACCCTTCTTTTGAAACTGTTTTTTTAAAAACACAGTGATTTGTTAACTCAATTTTCGTCAAATGATGTACGAGACATATTTTAACTTAACAACCCCGTTAAGATGTTTGATTCCCCCTTCAGATACATTCTGGAAAAAGCAAAAGTCATCAATTTCTATGAAGATGTACTAACGTTTTCAGCCTGATTGATGTGTTGCAAGCATACCGATTAATCTTGCACCTTTTCCAGTAGACAAATAGCAGCTGTGAAACATCAGTTTTCCTGGAAAATGGTTTTTTGAACATTTAAATATAACGAACACATTGTATCGGAAAACTTCAACCTTTAAACCTGAAAAAGTTATTTTTTCAAATGAAACAATGAAACAGAATTTATGATAGAGAATTCAAAAAAAATTGTAATTGAAAACTAATGTCGGTGAGAAATCAAAAAAGGAGAGGAAACAAATAAAAATATCTCTAGGGAAATATGAAAAGTTGTAAATGTGAAAAAAAAAACGAAATTTATCATCATTTGAAAGACAAGAAGATGAAAAACACTTTTCATATTCAGTGATTTAAAAAAATGTATTCTTTAAATAGGGATTATTGCGGTAAGTTTTTCTGTATGGCTTTTCTTACATTTTAAAATCAAGCATTATCTTCGCATAAATTTGTTACTCTTTTCAAGTCCGATAACACCTTCCAGATCATTTTCTAAGTTCGAATTGTTCTAATTTCAGTGTTGAGAATTAAAGCACAATTCAAGAATAAAGTTTAAAAAATAGTTAAAATTTTCAGTGGCGTGCGATGTTTTATTTTACAGCCTTACTATTTTTTGCCCAAAACTATACAATATAAAAAACTATCATTTGTTAATTTTTCTTATTTTTTCTTTTTCTTCATTTCCCATCCATTTTCTCTCTTTCATCTTAAAAGTTCCAAGTTCAATAAATAAATTAATTAGTGACAAAAATCAGTTTGACACATTGGTGACTAAACATAAATGTGTCTAAAGAATAATCGGTGTCTACTCGGCGTTTTTGATGATGGAGTGAGCGACACAAAAAAAAGACGACCGAATGTGTAATAAATTGTGTGTGTGTGTGTGTCTTGAGTGTGAGGATAGATTGGAGCTATGATGGGGTGGACCCTTTCTATATATCCACTTGACTTTTTTTTCTTTCTTGATTCACACCTCATTTGTCGTGTTCTATTTATATTATTTGAATGACGCCTTTGATATTTATAGTCTGGATTGTTGGATTTATTGCTGAAGCTAGTTTTTTGGATGCGTAAGTTTTCTCTTATCTCTCAAAAATATAAAAAAAATTGAAGAACAACTTTTTTTCAGGCAACATAATGTGATATTAATCTTGACTGATGATCAAGATATTGAACTTGGCTCAATGAACTTTATGCCAAAAACGATCAAACTGATGAAGGAAAAGGGTGTAGAGTTCAGTTCAGGGTAAGTATTTCAAATTTACAATTAAGAGATAGATAAATTATACACAAAATATATTTTTGTTGTTACCAGAATTTACAAGGTTCTCGGAAGTTTAGGTAATTATACAAAAGATTTTCATATATCACACGGTACCTCAAAATATCAGAACATTCCAAAAGTGTCAAAAAACGGTAAAATAATTCTTCAAAAACATTCAGCCCTTATTTCTGAACAAGCAATTCGTGATCTGAAATGTTCAAAAATATTTCCTTTAATAAATCTCAATGATATTCTAGTTATGTAACGACTCCGATCTGCTGTCCAAGTAGATCTTCAATATTAACAGGATTATATGTTCATAATCATCATGTACATACGAATAATCAAAATTGCACCGGAATTGAGTGGAGGTAAGCCTTTATCTCTTTGTATTGTTCAAAAAAAAAATCATCCTCAAGATTTTATTTCTAGAAAAGTGCACGAGAAAAAAACAATTGGCACTTATTTACAAGACGCAGGTTATCGAACTTCATATATAGGAAAATACTTGAACGAGTATGATGGGTAAGAATATTTCATATCACAAAAACATGAAAATTTCGAAATTTTTAGATCATATATCCCGCCTGGTTGGGACGATTGGCATGCAATTGTTAAAAATTCAAAATTTTATAACTACACTATGAATTCAAATGGAGAACGTGAAAAATTCGGGTTCGATTACCAGAAAGATTATTTCACTGACTTGGTTACAAATAGATCTTTGAATTTTATTGAACATCATATCAAAACTCGAGCTTGGCAGCCTTTCGCGTTGGTTATTTCCTATCCAGCTCCTCATGGACCCGAGGATCCAGCTCCCCAATATTCAAATCTTTTCGAAAATGAGCATAGTCACAGGTTTTTTTTGTTTTTAAATATAATTTGAAATTTTTGAAAAATAACTTTTCTAGAACAATAAACTGGAACTTGGCGCCAAATCCTGATAAGCAATGGCTTTTACAAAGAACTGGAAAAATGACACCCGTTCATAAAACTTTTACTGATATTTTACACCGTCGCAGACTTCAAACACTTCAAAGTGTTGATGAAGGGGTTCATAGACTCTTCACTCTGTTACGAGACTTGAACCAGCTTTGGAATACTTATGCAATCTATACATCTGATCATGGCTATCATCTTGGTCAATATGGTTTGGTAAAAGGCAAAAATATGCCATACGAATTTGATATTCGAGTGCCATTCTTTATGAGAGGTCCAGGAATTCCAAGAAATGCTATTTTTACTGAAATTGTTTCAAATATTGATATTGCACCAACTATGTTGAACATTGCTGGAGTTGAAAAATCGGTCAGAATGAATGGGAGAAGTTTGTTAGATTTAGTTGCAATCAAGAAAAATAACAAAAGATCAAAAAGTATGAAACCATGGAGAGATACTATTTTAATAGAACGAGGGTAAGAATTTTGACTAGAAAAACTTTTTCATTGTTCCTAACGTGTTTCAGAAAAATGCCAAAACTCAAAAAAATCCGCGATCGCTATATAAAGCAAAAGAATAAATTCAAAAAAGAAAACCGACTTGCAAAAGAATGCCGACGACGAAAATGGCAAACTGATTGTGTTTTTGGACAGGTAACAAATTGCTGATATAAAATTGTAAAAAAAAACTAGTTTGTTATAGATGTGGAAATGTTATTTCACTGATGAGGGACGATGGAGAATTTATAAATGTCGAGATAACTGGAGTTCACAATGTTCGTGTAGAGAGAAAAGAGAGATACTGAATTCAGAATCAGATATTGATGAGTTTCTAGAAATAGCGGATGAAGAAAATTGGCGACAGGGTGATTTCAGTTCGATATCAGAGACACATAACAGGAATCGAAGAGATGTTTGTGAATGCAGTGGAAAAAATATAACACATCCAATGTGAGTTGAAATATATTCCGAAAAGGATTAGTGGTGGCTTTTGTTAATCAATTCAAGTTTTTCAGGAAACTTCGAGAAATGAAGGATCTAAAGAAAAAAGAGTTATCCAAGAAATACAACAACCCAGTCGAATCGAAAAATAATCGAAACTGTTCTCTCCCACAAATGAACTGTTTTTCACATTCTTCAAGTCATTGGAAAACCCCGCCACTTTGGCCTGAATCACTAGGAGAATTTTGTTTTTGTCAAAATTGTAACAAGTGAGTTTTTTTTCTGCAGAATAGTTCCCTACAAAGTTTAAAATTTATTTTAGCAATACATATTGGTGTCTTCGTACTAAAAATGAAACGCACAACTTTTTGTATTGTGAATTTGTTACCGAGTTTATCAGTTATTATGATTTCAATGCGGATCCACATCAGGTAATTTGAATCAATTGAAAAATGAAACATAAATAAGTTTTTTCAGCTCATAAATTCTGTTTACACTTTGGAAATACCAATCCTTGAGCAATTATCTGAACAACTGAAAAATCTTCGAAAATGCAAAAATCGACAATGTGAAATCTGGACTGCTCCAAGAAATTTTGTTGTGAAAAATAACGAAAAAACCATAGAAAACCATTTATAATCAATTATTTGTGACATTTATTTAGTATTACGGGTTAGCCTAACTCCAAGAACATTCCAACATGTTTCATTTCCGAAAATAAATAGATATGACAATTTTATTGTGTTTGTAGTTTGCTCATGAGAAATATAAACAACATAACAAAATGGCTCAATCAAATTTCCAATCATATTTCTTATTGATACGTGCTAATTTGATATTGGCTGAAATTGTTGTGCAAGTGGCAAATATTAGGAAAAAAATGGAAAACGTGATTTTGGTGAACTAGTGTCTGAAAAACACAAAAGAAAGATGGAGTATTGTATTTTGAAGTTCTAATCGGAAAAACATTATTGTTTTTTTACACCATATTTGATTTTTTTTACATTATCGTAAACAAAATTTTCGTAGAAAAAATATTTATTTATTTCATTGTTTTGAAATGAATTCAAAAGCCAAAAAGCAGTTTATCATTAAAAGCGAAATTGTTAATTTAGATTCTCTTGTAGAAGCGACGTCCTTCAACTCCATCAAATGTCATACGCTGAAAAAATTGAATATTATTTAATATTCCGATTTTCTATGTTATTATAACTCACAACAAGCAAAAAGTCTCCTTGGAAAAGATATTCATAGGTTTCTTCCTTGGCATCTCCTCCTTCCAATGGTTTTTGATGTTCGAAAAGATGTCCGTCTTTCAAGGTGAATGTGATCTGAAAAATTCAGATTTCATTTATTTCTCATATTTTGGGCCAAAACTTACTTGTTGTTTGGTGCTGTCCAATCCTTCTCCTTCAAAAGGTTTTCCAAGTTCAACATTTTTGTAGTGAACATCTTTCTTTGAAGTCAAGTTGGAGAAATCGAATTTGGTTTTGTCGGAAGTTTTAGCGAAAACCTTCTTGAAAGTGGCAAAGTTGACAATCTTTCTGGTGAACCAACTGTATCCCTTAGCCGTCAAGTATTCATCGAAGTTCTCCGAGTGATCCAAGTCAAAAGTTCCGTAGAATTGCTCTGGCAAAACATTGGATGCAGGTGGAGCAGCAGCCAAAGTGGCTGAGATTGTGGCAAAAAGGCAGAAATAGGTGAGTGGAGACATTGCTGTTGAATGAGCTCGGATGATTGTCTTTTATAGTGTGTTCGTCGTCTCTAGGAGACAACTCCGCCCATTTGAAATGGAATTGAGCCATGTGTTGATGGCGAAAAAAGAGAGAAATGAGCACGTGTTGTTGTTTTCAATTCAATAGGTCAATTACCACATTGCGTTGAAAAAGTTCAAGTTTAGAAAGATCGAATTGTCATCAGATAAAGGATAAAGTTGTTGACTATTAGAAGAACAACAGTCCTGAAAAAAAAAAATATTTTCAGACATATTGTACCTGTTTTTTGTGAACTTATGTGGATATCAAAATGTTCTTATTATTATTCAAAACAAATTGGATATTTTTTCATTTCTTTATGAGAGTACTCCAAATTTCGAAATCGTTAACATTCAAGTCCAAAAAAGCGCAGTCTGAAGCCTTCTCTTGAAAACATCGAAAACATTATGAAAATTAGTCAAATTTTTTCGAATTCTATTTTCAAAAACATCGAGACTGAAGTTGACTTTTTTTCTGAATGTGATTCAATATGTTCAAAATCTCTTTCACGAAGGAACATCTTCCAGTTTCAAAATTGCTATATTTAATGTTTGTAGTTTGAACTTTGTACATTTAACAACAGCTAATTCAAAACTATGTATATGACACAGTTTTCTGACCTACAATTCATGCAAAATATAAATATTAACGATGTAGATTTTCGGAAATCATATCAAATCTGTAGAATCTTATGAAAATTCAAAAAAATGCTCATTTCCTTTCATTCGGACATCCTATAAATAACCTCTTTGAGTTCTCCAAAATCTCATCAATCTTTTAGTTTTTTTTTGTTTCAGGTGCCATTCTCAAAGAGAGCACAAAGTCACATACTTTGTACTCTAATCTATCAATTTGCATCATATCCGACATGAGAAGCTACATTTATCTGAAAAATCAAAGTAATTCCTAGAAAACTTTCGATGAACATTGAACATTCATATGTTCCACCTGCTCTCAAATTGGCTCCAGATGTTTTTTTTTCTTATTTTCAATTTTCGCCGCCAAAAAACCACATGTTTTTCATAACTATCAGGAAATAAATAAATAAATAAACATTAACACAAAAAAGTTTATTAGATGAAATTGGATATTGTTTATTTGAAATAGGACTTTTTCGGAATAGACAAAATGTGGGTCAAATGTTTAGAGCATGTGGTACATGGCATGTTTTGACTGAGCATGGAAAAATGTTTTGTACATGTAGTGTGTTATACATGGACAATGTACTGTGCATGGAATATTGTTTTAAGCATGTAAGATGTTTTAAGCATGGAAAAATGTTTTAAGCATGGAAAAATGTTTTAAGCATGGAAAAATGTTTTAGGCATGGAAAAATGTTTTAAGCATGGAAAAATGTTTTAGGCATGGAAAAATGTTTTAAGCATGGAATAATGTTTTAAGCATGGAATAATGTTTTAAGCATGGAAAAATGTTTTAGGCATGGAAAAATGTTTTAAGAATGGAAATATGTTTTAAGCATGGAAAAATGGTTTAGGCATGGAAATATGTTTTAGGCATGGAATAATGCGTTATGTATATAAAAATGTACTGTGAATGGGAATTTTGAGGGAATAACCAATTTTAGAGAGAATGAAGCGGTTAAACAATTAAAAACAATTGGTAAAAAAAATAGCATTTTCTTTGGAGAATACTCAATAGATGCTTACTAAATGAATCTTTTAAACAAATGTAATTTTGTCGTCTTACCCCCCCCCCCCCATTTTTTAAAGTTTTAGATATAGTTATTTTTTGACCAATTGTTTTTATTAAAACCGCTTCTTTTTCTCTAAAATTGGTTATTCCCTCAAAATTCCCATTCACAGTACATTTTTACATACATAACGCATTTTTCCATGCCTAAAACATTTTTCCATGCTTAAAACATTTTTCCATGCTTAAAACATTTTCCATGCTTAAAACATTTTTCCATGCTTAAAACATTTTTCCATGCTTAAAACATCTTACATGCTTAAAACAATATTCCATGCACAGTACATTGTCCATGTATAACACACTACATGTACAAAACATTTTTCCATGCTCAGTCAAAAACATGCCATGTACCACATGCTTTAAACATTTGACCCAAAATGTGACAGAAATATTTATTTTCAAAAAAAACTACCAAAAAAATGAATGTTTATTTCTTTGCCTGTGATCTCTTGAACCAACGTCGGCAAGTGATTCCATTGTTCACCATTTTCTGGAAAAAGGGAAAATGAGATAAAATTAAAATAATTTGTATAGATTACCATAACAAGTTGATCATTTTCAATTGTATAATGATAAGTTTCAGCACTGGTGTCTGGCTCATTAAGTCTAATGTGATGCTCGGTAAGAGTTCCATCTTTGAAGTTAAATGTGATTTTGTGTTGCTCTCCATCCAAACCTTCAGCTTGGAATGTTTTTCCGAGTTCCCAACCTTCGTATTTTGTGTTTTTCTTAGATGTCAAGTTTTCCAAGTTGTACCTAAAAATTAAAATTCAAAATTTTTTTCAAGATTTCTGTGAAAAACTCACTTTCCACCAACGGAATTCTTTTCCAAAACCTTGGTGACACTTGCCAATTTGATCATTTGTCTGACGAACCAACTGACACCTTTAGCCGCCAAGAATTCATCGAAGTTTTCCGATTTATCCAAAGTGAAACGTCCGAAGAATTTTTCCGGGATTTCTGATGCCATTTGTCCAACTACAAAACAGCTCAAAAATACAGCAAATACAATTGAAGTTTTCATATTTTCAGAGAATGTGCAATATCAAAGATATTGGAATAGATGGACGAATGAAATGATAAGATCGTTTTATGGGGCCAAAAGATGATAGGCTAGATAGATAATGGATGATATTTGGAAAATTGAGAAAGGGACAACTGTGGCTCGCTTTGTTTGATTTATTGTTTTAACTTAACCTTTTTGTGCAAAGGTGTTTTGCGAAAACTTTTGTTCATCAATAAAACAAATTGATGGAAGATTTTCATTTTTCGAAATACATTTGATAAATATGTGATATTTTCAATTTGAATTTTTTTTCCTGAATTCAGTTTGGTTTATGTGTTTGATCATCATACCAAGGTGATTATTTCTGTCTGGATGGAACTTATTTTAATTAGTCACTGAAAGAAAATATTGGTCAGGGCAGTTGTTCAAAGTGGTCTGATTTAGAAACAAAAGGGTTCTCATTCAATCATCACAAGTATCGGTTAAGAAACATAACGAAAATTTTCCCTAAACATAACAGTTTCTTTTAAAATGCAATTTTAAATGTATCTTACACAACCAGAAGCTATTGTTTTGTTGAGACCTACAAAAATATGAGAACACTCAACATTGTTTTAAAAGAATCGAATTGTAAGCTTATTCAAAACGTTACTTCAGCTTCAGAAAATTTTGATTCAAAATCTCATTTCGTGTTGAGAATTATGAAACATCACTTACTGCTTCGAGCAATATTGTTTCGAATTTCATAAAGATTAGAACCATTTTCCATGCAAAGAACAAAACAGAACATTATGAGAACAAATTAAAATCAAATACAAAGTTTGAAATAGAAAAACCGCATTTAACTTATTTGATCAGCTTTTCAGGATCATTTGGATTGAAAAAATCCAACCTACTTTTTTTTCAAATATGTGTAAAACACCAACAGAACGTAGCCTAAATAAGCGATACAAAATAAATTGAGTTGATAACAAGTTGTATGCGTTTGTTCATTCTTATCAGTTGCATTATATGACGATTATCGATATTAAGCGAAAAATAATACATAAATAATTATTTCATTACAAATTAGTTTTTTTTTGCAATACAGTAGTTCTAATAATTACTATAATGATCATCATCATCAGCTGGACAACCTCCAGCATCAACTCCAACTTCTTCATAATCTTTTTCCAATGCTGCCAAATCTTCACGTGCTTCACTAAACTCTCCTTCTTCCATTCCTTCTCCGACATACCTAGAAAAATGAAAAATTCAATTTTAAAATGTGCTCAGAAAATGAAAAGTCTTACCAATGAACAAATGCTCGTTTAGCATACATCAAATCAAATTTATGATCAAGTCTAGCCCAAGCTTCAGCAATGGCTGTGGTGTTAGATAACATACAAACAGCTCGTTGAAGTTTTGCCAAATCTGCGCCAGGTACAACAGTTGGTGGTTGGTAATTTATTCCGACCTGTAAATGAGTATTTTGGATAAAGATCAACATTTTATCTAAATAACGAAGATTAATTAGTGGAAGATTTTTGAAAATTGAAAAAAAGTTATCCCTAGCTATCGGTTTAACAAAACCCAAAGTTAATTACCTTGAACCCGGTTGGACACCAATCTACGAATTGAATTGATCTCTTGGTTTTGACAGAAGCAATTGCAGCATTAACATCTTTTGGAACAACATCTCCACGGAAAAGAAGACAGCAAGCCTGGAAATTTTTATTTCATAGAACCCACCCACGACTCCTCTTCATTTTTTTGTTGTCCGTGAGAACTTTTCTATATGTTTTTTTTCTTAATTATCAGCACAACCAACTCACCATATATTTTCCACGCCTTGGATCACATTTCACCATTTGTGCCCCTGGTTCAAAACATTGTTGGGTGATTTCAGAAACTGTCATCTGTTCGTGATACGCTTTTTCAGCACTAATGATTGGTGCATAAGTAGTGAGTGGGAAGTGAATTCTTGGATATGGAACTAAATTCGTTTGAAATTCAGTAAGATCAACATTCAGAGCTCCATCAAATCTTAAAGATGCTGTTACAGAGCTGATAACTTGTGCAATCAATCGATTGAGATTTGTATAAGTTGGACGAGCAAGATCAAGATTTCGACGACAGATATCATAGATTGCTTCATTGTCCACCATAAATGAACAATCAGAATGTTCCAATGTTGTATGTGTTGTTAAAATTGAATTATATGGTTCAACCATTGATGTTGAAACCTGTGGAGCTGGATAAACACAGAACTCAAGTTTACTCTTTTTCCCATAATCAACAGACAATCTTTCCATGAGCAATGCAGTAAATCCACTTCCAGTTCCCCCACCAAATGAATGAAAAACAAGAAAACCTTGAAGTCCCCGACAATTTTCAACAAGTCTTCGAACTCGATCCATAACAACATCAATAATTTCTTTACCAATTGTATAGTGTCCACGAGCATAATTATTTGCGGCGTCTTCTTTGCCAGTTAGCAATTGCTCAGGATGGAAAAGAGTTTTGTATGTTCCGGTGCGTATTTCATCTGTAAATAAAATGTAAAATGATCCGTATCCTGTTAGTCTGCATTTAATTGTTTGGAAAAAAAGATGAAGAGTGTGGTGTACCTATTGGTGTCGGCTCTAAATCGACCATAATTGCACGTGGCACATGTTTTCCGGCCATTGTCTCGGAGAAAAATGTGTTGAACGAATCATCTTCAACACCTGAAAAAATATATATTTGTAGTCGTATAGCTGGGTAGAGAAGGATGTTTTTTATCTAATGAGTACAAATTCGAATCGGATGTACCTCATAATCCAAAACCATGGTAACGATATTTTTGATGGATGAAGATTAATTATGACGATAAGAATTTGAAAAAAATCTATATTTTAAAATAGACGAACACGAGACGATTTTTACACTTTTCAAGTTTTCAGATTAGATTTTATCAAGATTCAACAAAAGTTTCAGTTTCAGTTCTGATGTGTATTTTGGAATTACATACTTGAAGGTCGAAAAATACTTTTTTTACCTAAACTGTCGTCTTCGGACATCATTCCATCTGGTTGAATCCCATGTTCCAAACAATACAACTCCCAACAAGCATTTCCCATTTGAACTCCAGCTTGACCCACATGGATTGATATTACCTCACGCTACAAATTTCACTCACAATAAAATCAAATTAAATCCCAACTTTATTTCTCACTCACCGAACGATTATTAACCATATTTTCTTTCAAAAAATATAGAAGTAGAAAGAGAAGAAAAAATGGAGTGAATAAGTAAAAATAAAAGGGCGGAGTTGAGGTAAATTGCTCTCGTTTTCCTTTTTTTGCTCGGAGAAAAAGGGGAAGAGGAACATTATAAATGTTGTGTCACGCAAACAAAAAATATATGTATGACCTGATTTTTGAATCGAGAAAAAAATAGTTGGTGGTTGATGGGTAGATTTGGTGGGACAAGAAAAGTGTATTCAGAGAAGACGGAGAAAATATTCAAATTATCATTTTAAAATAATATATTGTTAAAATTTTAAAAAAAACCATGACAGATTTTGAATTCTCAACATTGTTCTCGCTTTATAGTTTGATCTATGTAACCCAAATTTTTCAGAGAAAAATCAACACATCATTGATAAAGATTTATCATCACTGTCTATCTTCATATTTCACACCCATTTATTTATAATAAATTTTTCCAATCGTAAGTTTTTCAGCAAATAAAAAACACTACAATTAACATTCAATCAACGTTGTACGTACTTTCCACTTAATTTTCCTATTTTCCCGTTAAAATTTATTAATTAATACAAACTAGACTCAATTTTCATCTCATTTCTTCAATTAGTACAAAAAACAATGTCTAAAAGTATTTCTTGTCCTTTTTAGTGTAATTCAACATGTCGCGCGACTTTTTTTCAAATGCCGGTTTTTTTCGTTAGGTAACAAGATTTATTTGTCTTTTTTTCAAAATTCTAGACTATGTTTTATGACTAGGTCATCTCAAGATCATTATTCGACAGTAAAAAAGTTTCAAATTTCAAAATCGTGAATCACTGTATTGTTTTCATTAAAAGTTAGTCAAATATATGTTCGTTACGTGAAAACAATTAACCAATAATTGTAAAAACCTTGAAATGATGAGTATAAGAAAGGCAAAAAATTTCCTTGTCTTGTAAATGTGTTTTCGTTTATATTTGACCCTATCAAGTTTGTCGAACAGTCGTCTCCTCGCTGCTTTTTTTCGTCTCCTCCATTTTCACTTACCTACTTACTTAAAATTATTTTTCATTTCAGTTCAATCTGCAACCAGTTTGTAGATGAATGAGCGTATTTTACCAATTGTCTATTTTTTTATTATTTGTTAATTTTTCAAATATCAATGCTCAAGATGATTTCAATGATATTGTTCAACAAAAAACACGTGGAAATCAGATTCAGCAATGTCCTTGTGTAATTCATCCTGAATCCAGACAATGTGTCTCCTATGATTCTAGATATGTAGCTGTGAATGCTGAAGAAGCTATTTTATCATTTTTGGACTTATCAAAACATCATAGTGGACCAGCACAATTAATTGTAAGTTTTGGTTCTGAGGTTTGAATGCGGGTTTGAAAAAATAATTCATCAATGATAAAAATTTTAAATATTTCCCAAAATTGTTCTCGAATTTCCTTTAAAAAGTAACCATAAACAATAAAAAATGTTTTTCATTTACCATGTGCAATTTCAAGAAACCTTGAATAATCCTGCGCACCAATTTTGCATATATTTCTGTTTTAAACTACGTACATTTTTTCAAATTTTCAATTTCATATAAATTCAAACTATTCTCCATGTCGTTCAAAAGATGAAATGTGAACATTCGATTTTTCGTTTTGATGAAATATCGGAACATTAACTTTCGATTTTTCTGTAATTGAAGTTTGAATGACCATAGTTCGCCTTAACAACTGTTGTTTGTTATTTTGCTGAAACAAAACACAATTTTGACCTTCTGTAAACATCCATTCCAATTTATCTTCAAATGATTCTTGCCTGTGTCTGGGTTGTTTTATTGAAGTGATAATTGACCGATATTAGAAACATCATGTCTAACAAGAAACGGGTTGAACTTTGATTTTTGATGAATTTGGGAGATTACATATCTTATTGTAAAAAACAGTAAAAATTAGTTTTGAACTCAATTAGCAAAAAAAAAACAAAATAAAAACATCTTCAGACATCTTTTCCAGAATTCAAACACATTCAACTGCGTGACTGACGAATGTCGTGCTTGTTATTCTCTTTTATATCACAAACTTACCGACATTGGTTTTGTTGCACAATCATATCAATCTGCAATTGATCTTTTACCAATAAATCGTATTCGAGCTGGTTTATGTAGACGCTTTAATTTTCCCTTATCTCTACCAATTCTTCCTCCACCTTCTGTTATTCCAACATATCTTCGAAGTTTGATCAGTGCTGGTCGACAATTTAGACAATCTCGTAGTTCGATTATTGCGGCTCGCCGAAATAATATTAGAAATGGTATTAGTCAAATGAGATCAAATTTTGGCGGTGGACGAAATCGTATGAATCAAAATCAGAATCAAAACTCTAATAACTTCAACAATAATCCAATCACAAATTCAAATCGGAATCAGAACCAAAACCAGAACCAGAACCAATTTCAAAATCAGCAAACGAGATTTCCACGACCAATTCAGCGTTTTCAACAAGCAGTTCAATCCCGCTTTCAGCAGCCACCACAAGGTAAAATTTTCTGAAAATGTGAAATATTGAATTTCATAATATTTTCAGTTTGGCAACAACCACAGTGGCATCAGCCTCAACAATGGTCTCAACAGCAACAACCACAGCAACAATTTCAGCCCCAACCAGCTTGGGGTGCATCTGCTGGTGCAAGTGGACTTGGGGGATTTGGAAGTCCATTCGGTGGAAATGCAGGCTTTGGCGGAGGATTTGGTGGAGGTGGATGGGGTGGAAATAACCAGCAGCAAGGAGGATTTTTTGGTGGATTTAGAGGGCGTCGAGGAAAAAGAGCAGCCGATGATGTGATTGGAAAACGATTTTATATTAGTTGCACAGATCGAGGAGAGTCTGAAGACGATATGTTGGCATTGTGTGGAAGTTGTTGGACATGGCGAAAATTGCCTGATAACTATTTTCCAAAAATTATCAATGAATTGAGCTGCAAAGAGGATGATTTTTGTCTGTCTGGTAGGTGGAACACTGTTTTTAACTTGAGTTATAAATGCATTATAAATGCCAAATAAATCATAGCGATTGAGATCTTCTGAATCACTTGAAATTTGATATTTTTCACGCATTTTCAAACGTCCCGAGATCCACAGGCCTGAAATACTTATGGTTTGTAACAAACTGGTTTAGTCTGTTCATTTATTCTTGTGATTGAATGATTAACCAACAAAAAAGTTGAAATATCAAATTATAATCACAAACAAACCTTTTACATTTTTCAGGTTGGGGTGAATGTGTTCAACAATACCGCAACGTCGATGTTTTACGAAAAGAAGGCGGTCGTTGGATTCCAACAGTTATCACAACAGCAACATGTTGTGATTGTCGTGTTCGAGCGGGTACCGAAATTCATTCTTTAATTATTGGTGACAAAAAATAAACTAATTGTTCTCTTTAAAACAATTTTAATGTTTTCCTTTTTTAATTTACATTTAATTGTGACAGTAATCATAATAATGATATAATAAAAAGTTTCAACTTTTTACTCAAAAATTAACTGGTCAGTGTTGGTGAAGGAGAGGAAAACAAAATAAAATGAATACTGTATGAAAGAAAAATGGGGAACATTTTTGAGTAAAAAACAAATTAAAATTGAGATCAGACACACTACGTTACGTTAATCATGCTAACTTGGATTCGGGTGTCATTCTTCTTTGGTGGCGTCAACTACCATAAATAGTTTTTGGGTAAACAAAGTGATGCTCTCTGAAAAATATGTTTGAAATTTTGTGGAAAAAAAATAGATTAAATCGAATAATTGTGAAAACTCACTAGTGAATGATGCAATAAACTTTGGTTTTCCCTTCCAGGCAATGAATAATAAATAAACTGGAACACCGGAAAGCATAATAAGAAGACCGATTGCTGTATCTTTTGGAGCTCCAATAACTGGAACAAATACCAAAGCCATACAACCAATGAAGAAAATAATCGGGAAAACTAATGGGACTTTAACAGCTCTTGGAGCATCTGGCATAGTTCTTCGGAAATAAAATAATGCAGCAATAGCTCCACCAATTGCCAACCAATAACTGACTTGAATATAGTTGATCAATGAATAAATATTGTTTGATAACAAAAGATAGAACAATGAAAGAAGTCCCTGAAAATCCAAACTTTTTTTTGTTAATTTTTTGGCTGCGAAACAACTCACGGTAAGAAGAACGGCTGGGATTGGAGTTTTGGTTTGTTTGTTAACCATTGTCAAAACTTCTGGCATTTGTCCTTCTCTCGCACCACAATAGAATAGGCGAGAACTGGTGAGAATAACACCATTGGCTGATCCGATGGTTGAGCAAGCAACAAAGAATGGCATACAAATGGCAAAATATCCATAGTTTTTCTCCGCGAAGAGCTGAAAATTTGAATGGGATGAAAAACAATCTGTCCGCTTGACCTACTTTTGTGCCCTAGATTTGAATTTAAAAATTTTACATGAATAGTTTTGCTGAATAGTTTTTTTTATATTTTTGAAAACGTTCAAAATGCCGCCCTTATTTTATCAACGTTTTTTTATGAAATCTAGCGAATAATGTGAGTTTTTTTTGACTGCCTCCAAACCAAAATTTCGGTTTGGAGGCAGTCATGTTTTGATGATGATGATGATTGAGGGTAGAAGTGACCTAAGATTTTAGGCTTAAAATGATTAAAATTCATTAAGTGAGCATTTATTGAATACTCTCTGCAGAAAATGTTATTTTTTTGATCAACTTTTTTTTTGTTTAAAAATTTGTAAATCTGGAAGGTCTTCCAGTTTTACAAATGCATCATTATCAAGCCAAATTTCAAGATTTTAGGCTTAAAATGATTGAAATTCATTGGTTGAGCATTTATTGATTACTGCCTAAAGAAAATGTTATTTTTTTGATCAACTTTTTTTTCGTTCAAAAATTTGTAAATCTGGAAGGTCTTCCAGTTTTACAAATGCATCATTATCAAGCCAAATTTCAAGATTTTAGGCTTAAAATGATTGAAATTCATTAGTTGAGCATTTATTGATTACTGCCTAAAGAAAAATGTTATTTTTTTGATCAACTTTTTTTCGTTCAAAAATTTGTAAATCTGGAAGGTCTTCCAGTTTTACAAATGCATCATTATCAAGCCGTGCTCCATATTTTTACTCTTCTTTTTTTGCAGCAACTAGATTTTCAATTTTCCCCGGAAATACTTTTATATCAATCATGTTCCATGTGACTACTTAAACCCCTCTTTCCTGCTTTTTCCTCTTTTTTTCTCTTTCCAAAAAAGCACGTCACCAAACAAAGCAATAAAAAACTAAAACTCACAACTGCAACAGCTGGACTTGCCAACATCTCATCTGGCGAAATTGATGTATAAAGTGCAATATTGGTCAAAGTGTAGATAACTGTACATAATGAACAGGAAATTGCAATAGCCCATGGGAGATTACGTTTTGGGTTTTGAAGTTCTTCAACGATGAAGTTAAGATAATTCCAACCTTGGTAGGCAAAAAGTCCAGAATAGAAGGCAAGTGAAGCTGTTTTGAAATCCTTTGCGGTGTTTTCAAAAATGTTTTCGAATGAGTCCCAATATTGCGGGCGGCCTGCAATAAAATTAATTAATCATCTTGGTTTATGAAAATGAAAAATTTAAGCTCACCAGATAATAAGTGCCACAATCCTGTGCAAATAATCAAAATCAACGCCAAAACTTTGGCAACAAAGAAAAAATCTTGAACTTTAGTTGCCAATTTAACAGACCAACAATTGATGGCGGTCAGAAGGATCAGAAGAATAGCAGCGAGAAGTTCGGTACTTCCCGGTGGTGGATCACAATCCGGGAAAACTGGTTTCAACATATAAAGAGCAAATGTCAATGCAACAATTGTGGCCGTACACGGACGAACAACAATACTTTCAATCCAAAGTCGAATAAACGCCCAGAATGGTCCGAAAGCTTCCATAATATATGCGTAATCACCACCAGATTTTCTGATAAGTGTTCCAAGTTCAGCATAACAATATGCACCAATTGCAGCAAAAACACCAGATAACACCCAAACAATCAACGACAAACCAACCGATCCAGCTTCTGAACAAAAAGTATTATGAAAATATTTGTAATTCATGAAATTTGAGTTTTTTTGACAACATATAGCCTGAACACATGCATAATCTTGTCAAATTCTGTTTCAGAATATATGGTTTGACTGATACGTGGTTTTGAATATTTTTGAGAAAGGCCGTGAAAAAATTAATTCATAAAGTCAAAAAAGCACCCAATTCCAGTATTTTTCCAATTTCTGTATTCCTATAAAATCGATTAAAACCGAAAATAAGTGACAAGTATTGTTAATAACGATTTTGTATAAGTGAAGTGACCCCATAAATCTTCATAATTGCGCAATGTTTATTCAAATATTAAGATGGATATCTTCATTTTTCCCCTGCTTTCCTTCAATTTTTACTCACGTGCTTGAATTCCAGTGGGACTGATGAAAATTCCTGATCCAATAATGCATCCAACAATAATTGAAACACCATTAAAAAGTGTCATTGTTTTTTCCAATCCTTTATCACCGCCTTCTTCATCATGAGCTCCAGCTTCCGGTTGATTTAACGGTTCAGCTTGTTCTTTTCGGCTACCCATTTTCCAAGATCTGCAATGAGAATCAATGAAGTGAAATAGATATGTTGTTTTTTTTGTCGAAAAAAGTAAAATAACAAGTAAAGCAGATAACAAAACACCTGCTAATCTATACAAAAAACAATGATATGAAAAATGAATTTTTAGGTTTTTTGTCATGTTAACATTAGAAAAACTATGTTCGAAAATCAGAACACAAAATCCTTGGGAAACGAATGACGTAGGGACCGGAAATGTCAAAAAGTTCACCGCAACAACAAAAAAAACCTAATAATAATTATAATATATAAAAGTAAAAAACGGGGGGTTAGATCAGAGAAATGAGAGAGAGGGAAAGGACAAACAGATGTGTAAGGTCAGCAGAAACAGCGACAACCTAAAGAAAAAAGTGAGTAAATGGGCGGGAAAAGAAGTGGACAGATATATGTATGGGATGAATTCTCAAGGCGGGACCATCAAATAAAACTTTGATACTTTAGATGGGTACATAAATAAATAAACGAATCATATCGGATTTGGAGGGGATTTTTTTGTTTTTATGTGAGTCAAGTACATATAATATAATTATAGGGGAATGAATCGGAAAGGACGGCAATTTGTGGAGATTTTTATCCTTTCGCTGACAAAAACATATATTTTTGGAGAAACAGAAAGGAAAGGAAGTGAAGTAGAGAAATATTAGAAAATTCGCAATTAAAAAGTAATGTTGGGAAAGTAGTTATTCTTAAAATTTATTACCAAGCTCAATTCTTGAAATACTGCAGTGGTAAATGAAATGGTGCAATGTACCATTTAGAAATCCCGAAATAAAAACATTAAAAAATATTTAAAACTCTATTTTTCAATCTTAATTTTTTGTATATAGATTTCAAAAGTTTGATAGAATGGTCGATTTTCAGAAAGTAATCCAAAAACAAATTCAAAAATTTATGAAAATGTTTTCTTCCAATTTTTCGATAGCTTTAGCAGAAAAGTCAAACAATGACCTATTGAAATCAGATATCACGGAACACTTTTTTATCAAACAAAAAATGTTGGTTAGTGTAAAATAGAATGGTTTTATGATTCTTGTAGATTGTCATGTTCAATTTTCAGAGAAAACTGAAAAATTGAATTCCGAGTTTCACTCCCTCAATTCTACTAGTTTTCTATTCATCATTTTCTCACGTCAAAATTTATTAATCCTAATTCTCAAATTTCAATATTATTACCCGTTCCCATGGAAATCAGCCTAATTCGATTGTATTTTCATCATAGTCTAGAAAATAGAATAATATATTCAACTATTCTTTTATACGAATAAATTAGGAGTTAACATGAACGGAAAAATCTTCGTTATTTTTTCGGCATCAAAAACTAACTGCAGGAAAACAACCACAGAGGAAAGGTTTCGAATTTCAAAATTGTGGAAAAAAAACCAAACTAAACCAAAATAGGAGAAAAAAGTGTACATAAAATAAATATTTGAATTCATTCAACATCAATGAGAAAAAAAAAGATGAAAAGGAGAATAAACTTTTTTTCGAACAATTTTAACCCCAACAACAATTTTTTTCTGCAAAAAAAGAAGAGATGAAGAGAAAATAAATACCTCTTAAAATCATCCACTATTTTTTTGTGTTTCATGGGAAAGTGACAGTTTTTCTGTGTTTTTTGTAACGCAAAAAAAAATGAACTCTCTAGTTTTTTTTGTTTTTTTTTCGAGATGCTCAAAAGGGGGAACGAAAAACAGCAAAAAAATAAAACATAAAAATAAGGGGGAAAATCGATGAGGGAAAAAAAGAAGAGAAAAGAAAAAGGAGTAGCGAGCCAGTGTGTAAGAAAATGAATGAATTGTGGATTATTATAGTGGCCCTCACAACGAACGTTTTTTTCAATTTTTCTTTCTTCTAGCTTTTTTCATTGTTTTCATTTGAACTAATGGGTTGACGAGTGGGTGGATGATATTTTTCTCATTCCTAAAGAGATAAATTATGTGTGTATCTCTTTCAAGATACATAATGTTGCAAACTTAATCCCATTTACATAAACTTATCTGAAAATAGAAAAAATGTAGTTTCTGTGAGTATTATTAACTAAAAACCACGTTTAGATGAACTAAACCACAATTCAAAGCAGAAAGAAAATAATTATAGCTTTGAATATTTTGAATAATCATTCGTTGGCTGCACATGGCGTTGTTTATACGTTTTCATTTAAAAAATTGATTTGTTGAAAAAAGTTGTACTAAAAAAAAATGCCTTTCCAATAATAGATATTTCAAAAGCAATTAAGCATTATGTCTCACTCTTTTTTTTTAGAAAATTGGATTTTCCGAAATTCTTTGAAACTACTATGTTAATAATCATGGCGCACTCAAAATTTGTAACCGCTGAAACATTGCCTAGTCTTGATAAAAATCCTGACATATATTTTTAAACGTTTAGTTTATTCACGGTAAACTTGAACAAACATAAAAGTGTGATAGAATTTCTGAAGGAAATTAAAACTTCTTTTTCTTCAGTAGAAATTGCTTAAAAACACCATAGTATTTTTCTGTTCAAATTTCCGAATGTTCTGCTCCGTAAAAAACGAAAAACTATAAAGAGAACGTAAACATGCATTTCGGTTTTAATTAAAAATTCCTCCAAAAAGAGTCCTGTGGCAGATGTTAGGGTAAGCTGGAGATTACCCCTTTCAAAATCTTGCTATTCATTTGTGATCCAACAATTCCAAAAATTAAATTTATATATTTCGCAACTCCTCGTTATTATTTGATTGATATATTTTTACAATTTCAAATAAAAAAATCGTTGCACTGTTTATTTGATCAATACAAAAAACAACAAACGATTTCTTTTCTCACTTTTCGTCATATTAAACTCTCATCATTTCTTATTTTACAGGAAATAACTGCTATACGATTTCTAATGGAGCTTTTTGATTATTTCACACTTGGAATATGTTTATTCGGCATAAGTGCATTTGGATTCTACAAATCAAGAAAAAAAGCTGAAGAAGAACAAAGTGCACATGCAACAATGGTTGGATCGGGGTGAGCTAACAAATTTATGTGGTTTTTATGTTGGATAAAAACCACATTTCAATTTCCTTTCTTCTTTTAGGGTGTCAGTTTGGTCAGTGACCTTGTCAGTTTGCTCAGGATTTATTTCTTCAATCTCTTTGTTAGGATTTCCTGCTGAGGTTGGTTGGAAAAATTAAACAACAAAAAAAATCTTTGAAACGTTTGAGGCCGATAGTTTTGAAATGCTAAATAACACACTGTGCAAAATTCACAGTTTTTGTTTAGAACAAAAACAATGACGAAGCCGGATTTTCCAAAAATAACAAAAGCCACTGTTTCAATAAAACAATACAATACAAACATAACATGTATCACAAATTGAATTCAAAAAAAGAACGATAAAAGTTTGTGAACAAGAGATTCTCATTAAACATTTAACGACATTTCCACACAACAAAATTTTTTGACCTCGCAAAAAACACGCAACAACACAAAAAACATTACTGACATTTACACGATAGCCCCCTCCTTCTTCGACAAAAATTTAATTTGCTCAAATTAGTGTGCCTTTCCTTTTTTACACACACGTGTTTGGTTAATGACATCTGCTGAATGTGCTATTAGCCAATCTGATGCTAGATAAACATAGAAATAGGTTGTAGGAAAAAACCGAATAGGAAAAATGTGAATTTTCAATGTTAGTTTTTTTGACAAACAAACAGTAAAACTTGTTGATGATCTTCGGAAAATAGTTAATAAAATTATTCACAAAAAATATGGATGAGAATGTTCCCCAAAAAAAGGTTTTGAATTTTCGAGCAGAGCTCCATATTTTGGAAATCTAAATATATATTGGTTAAGGGAAATAATCAATTGTTTTTACATGTTTCAGGTCTACTTCCAAGGTGGTATGATGCTTTGGTTTATCCCAATGTATTTCATCTCCTTTCCAATTGTCGCATATGTATTTCTACCGGTGCTGTATAATTTGAAATTAACAACTATCTATGAGGTATTTCTCCCATTTCCAAAGTGATCCAAAATCAAAATTTTCCAGTATTTTGAGCGTCGTTTCAACTACAGTTGCCGAATTGTAACAACAAGTCTTTTCTGTGTCCAGGTATATTTTCCAACCCCTTTGATCTTCTTGATGATGTGTTTTTATTTCAAATCGCATCAAAACAAACATAAGAAGACCTTGATTCGATGAGAAGATCAAAAAATATTCCGAGAATATCCGAAAAATAAATCAAAAACAAGAGTGAGATAATTTTTTGGTCTTTTTACAGATGATACTGTATAATTCGGTGGCTCTCTATGCTCCATCGTTAGCCATTGCAACAATCACACAAATTCCAATTGCTTTGTCAATTTTGATCACTTCGACACTTTCAGCAGTTTATATTAGCATAGTAAATATAAGTTTTCAAAATATTTCAATAACAATTTCTCTAGGGTGGAGCAAAAGCTGGTATCTACACTTCTGCACTCCAAATGGCATTGATATTTTTAACATTATCATTTATGATAACAATTTCACTCCAACAAACATCAATTTCCCAGGTCTATCAAGATATTGTCGCAGGAAACAGATTAATCCTTGATGAGTGAGTGAGCAAATAATGTTTTCCCAGAAAGCAAAAATAATTTCAAAAAAACAAAATCTTCAGCTTCCGATTGACACCAACAATTCGTCATTCAGTATGGTCATTAGTTATTGGTGGAACAGGAAATATTCTGAGTCTTTTTGCTGCAAATCAGCTTAGTATCCAGAGGTATATGGCATTGGATTCACTTGGAAAAGCGCAAAGGTAAAAATAGAATGAAAGAAAAATGCGGGGGAAAATAAAAAAAAGTCATAAATTCATATTGACGTGCGAGATGAGACTATAAGCTTTTTGAGTATTTTTATGATTGATGTTTTACTATTTGCTTTCACAAAAATAGAATATCTAGAAAAATATGGATTGAAGATATGATATAGATCAATGAGTTTCTGAAAAATTGAACCACAGTAAACATTTGCTTCAAAATATTATATTTGCAGAATTGATAATGAAAGTTAGGTTTCCAGCTATTCAATTTTTTTCAAACACTTGTGTCAATTTTTCAAATTCTACCATTTCCCGTTTTTCAGAGTGGTTCTTCTAAATATCATCTGCAACACATTAATCCTACTTTGCTACGTTTTTGTGGGTTTTATTATTTACTCACACTACAAAGATTGTCATCCACAACTGAAAAATAGCAATGAATTGTTGCCACAATTTGTAATGGATGTGATATCATCTTACAAAGGATCTGTTGGTCTTTTTGCCGCTGCTGTTTATAGTGCAGGAATTAGGTAAAGAATTATAATATCTGAAAAAACAAATAACAATTATTTTAATATTTTAGCACTTTGTCAGCTTCTTTCACCGCTGTCTCGTCAATTGTGATCAATGATATTTTGAAAATCTACCGTAATCATAAAAATCAGCCACCATTGACTCAAAAACAAATTGAAAATGCGATGAGGATTCTTCGTAAGATTATTTGACAACTAAATTATATATTTTTCCAACTTTTCAGCTTTGATTCTGGCGTTTTTCTCGGTCTTCATCGCATTTTTATGCAGTCAGATGCAAAGCATCATTCTACAGGTATAATATGAACATCCTCAAAAATTAATAAAGCAAGGTTTAATATTAATTTTCAGGTTTCTTTCATTGTTTTTGGAGCGGGAGGTGGCCCTGTCTTGGGATCATTCATTGTTGGATTCTTTATGCCAAAAGTCAAAGGACATGCTGCGTTAACAGGCTTAATTTCATCAATTATAATTTGTTTCTCAATATCAATTGGATCAGTTATTCTCAAGGTTGGCTTTTTGAACATAACATATTTACTAATATTATTTTTTTCTGCAGGTGAAACCAATTACACTCGAATTAGGCAGCCAATGTATTGAAAACAACAGCAGCGTCATAAATATGAGTAAAAATCAATTTTATGATGAATCACTTATTGGACAAGTCACATCTACTCAATTGTAATTTTTTTCTTCTTCTTGATTAATCATATATCAAAACAAAAACCATTATTTCTTAATATTTCAGGGATTACGATATTGATAGAATATTTGCTGTCTCGTATCAATATTATAGTGTGATAGCTGTGTTGTCGAATGTAGCGGTTTCATATATCACTCAAAAATGCATGGGTAAGTATTAATTCCACCTGTTTTTTTTCGAGAAGAGGTGGAGCTATTTTTTCTTCTTTTTTCAGATGTCTTATCGAAAACAAACGAAAATGCGAAGGTGGAAATTGAATTGATCTCGCCGTTATTGAGAAATGCATAATTTTTTGTTGAGATACTATGTTTGTTTTACTACATGTAACATTTGATGAGCTTTGTCATTTGTCATTTTTCAGTTTTTCTTCTGCTAATCTCATCCATCTAGAGAGCTTCTTCTTTTTCTTTTTTTTTTTGGTTTTCTGATGTTCATTTATTATTTATTTATATTTTCTTTTTTTTTCTGATGTTTTTCTATTTTATAGTAAGCAGTCATTTTTTTGGAAATAAGGAAATACAGGGAATTTATTTTGTGATTATCTTGTTCTTTTATTTTGTTTCATTTAAGTCTGATTCTGATTCAAAGTAAGTTGTTTTTTTTTGGGTCATTGATCTTCTAATTATTTACAACGTGAACATGTGTAAAATGTTTCTTTTTTTCTGATTTTTGAAAGTTAAAACCTTTCTCTTCCTTTTATTTTTGAGCCCATTGATAAATTATTTTTGTGATTCATGAAATTTTCTGATGTGAACGTTTGAAATAATCAAAGTTCAATTTTTCAATAAAAATTTAGAATATATAATTTTCGAAGAAAAAACGTAGATTGACATTTTTCTTTGATCTAGATTATTGTTCTCCTGATCAATTTGATATTCCTGATAAGATTATAAATTCGTAGAACAAACATATTTTTATACATAATGATTTTCAATTTCTTAAAGCTTACCTGTTAAATGTTCGGAAATTGTGAACCATTTCAAGGCGAAATTTGCATAGCACAATATGTTTTTATAAGGGGATTTTTTTCAAATAGGTCTATCCAATGAAAGTACATGGTCTTAATTTTTATGATCATCAAATCTTTTTCAACTTTTTATGAAAAATATTATTGAAAAGTGTATTGTGATAATCTCAATTCTTGTATAAAATCAACGCACTTCTCCTATCTGAACATTTGATAAAAATTCGAGCTTTTCCACGTGCGAGCTCTCAGCTTCAATTCAATTATTTGTTATTCAATAACCTATGAACATTCAAATTGGTATACTTGCAGACATATCACAAACGTTTTGCTTTATTCCTTTTCAAGATCTTACAAAACATTTCTATATAGAAAACAATAATATAAATTTAGAATATTTCCACATTTTTTTCAACTTATTTGGTATGCAAAAATTTCAGCTGGGAATATTATAATTTACAAATACCTTAGCAGTTATTTTCAAGATGGAACATATTTTAACAACAATAATTCTTACATTTAGAACTTCCTGACTTTGGATATTATTCATATACATATATATTTTTGATTTCGCTTTAACATGAGAAGAGTAGTTGTACTTACAGATAAATTAATTTCCTGATATATTCCTTCCGCTCTCATTCTCAGTATATACAAGTGCAATTATTTTTAGCCATTTTGCAGAATTCACACTGTAATCTCTTTTTTTACTAGTTCCACCCACTGAATTCAAAGCTTGTTTTTTTCTCATAATCCATTTCCTTACAAATTGAAAAATATTTTTATTGAATAACTTTGCTGAAGTTTGTATTTAGTACAAACTACAATTTTTTTCGTTTTCTTTTTTCCCGTAGTTCTGAACTTTTGCCTCACAAGATATTGAGAGATTTAGAGAAATATGAATCAAGCGCAACATAAACATACACGAACTTGGATCTTTTTCTTGCCATGAAAAATTTTTGAACACGAAAAAGATTAATAATACATGTTGAGCTAGAAGTGATTAATGTTCGTGAATGGAGTTATGAATTTCAGATACTTTGACTTTACTTTTCCAGTTTTCCGGATATTTCTTCCTTATTTCTTTCTGTTAGCAAAAAAAAGAACGAGGAGAAAATGAAAAACGGAATTTTTTAATCCTCTTTTCTCCCACTTTTTCTGATTCAAGAAAATAGTTAATTGAGGCAAAATGATTGAAGTGAATGTTTATTTGAGCCGGAATGCAATTATCAACTTTTTGTGTTTCTTATCTAATTTTTGGTTGCAGTATACATCTTGACCCAAAATCATTTTTGTTTTCTGTTAATTTTTATTTCGTTGTATTCTTTTGTTTTTCTCTTCTTCATTCATTTTTATATATAGAATATACACATCTAAATATAAAAATGAATGTATATGCAAAGACCAAAGAAATTTGAAATAACATACATAGATATCTGTTTTTAATAATTCAAAGATATACCCATATTTTGTGAGCTGTCTGTATATATTAATTTGATTAGTATCTTCTTTTCAATCCTCCCTCATTTTTTCTAGATACATCCATCTTTTTTTCAGCTCATTTTGCTCAAAAAAAAGAAGACAAAGTGGCACAGATGGTTGAACTGGATCATAACCAAAAACCAACAACATCTCAATTTACACAGGATATTTCTTCGAATATTTTTAGATCGAATGACGAAATTATGAGATTGAAGAGATTGAGAAGATTCAAACGTCAATTCTCAATTTATGTTCAAACCGATGATGTGAGTCCAATTTATTTTCCATTCACTTGATTGTTTCTATTTAATTTTTCATTGTTTGAAACAGAACACGACCAGAAATAAAATTAATCTTTATAAAACTTAGCGTTCTCTTGGGCTAACAAATTTTCTCTCTTTTTCCTTTTTTTCAAAATGTTTTTCATTGAACTCAAAATAGGCAGAGTCTAGACAAGATAATCTTTCAGTACATATTTCATGACAATATTCCGAGAAAATAAGATCATAAAGATCCACGAATTGTTTTCTTGATTTTACAAACATCTTCAAAATCTATATTAATTGAGCAAAAACCAAGTCATAGAAAATAGATCAAGTTAAACATAGAACCATTTTTTCATCACATGCTAACCCTTATAATGACGATAGTCAAAGTTCTTATCAACAAATCAAGAAACATATTTTACAGATTGATAAAAACGATGGTAAAGATGATGATCAACTTTTCAAATACCCTGGTGATTTGAGAGGAATTAAAAGAAAACGAATTATCGTGAAAAAGTTAGTTGAAATTTAATACAATTCAATACCGAAATTCCAAATTTCCAGACCTATCAATGAAAAACGCAAAACATTTTCACATCAACAATCAATACAACAAAAAGATGATCCCTCTGATGGAGATGAGAAAATCGAAATTGAATCTGGAAAAAATGAAAACTGTGAAGCGGAGAATAAAGCAACATGTGAAAATTCTGGTAGTTTGAAAATCGATAATTAATATTTTTGAAATCGTTTAAGTGTAAATAATCAAATTGAATGCTGATATAATTTGTGCTGGTGTTTTCAAGTCTTGTAAAAAAAATACATGTCGTTTAGTTTTCTAAATGGTGTTTATATTCTTCGAATATGTTCAATAAACATTTGAAAATTCAGTGTTGAATTTATTTATGATTGAAAGATTATAAAAAGTGAGATTCAGAATAACATTAAGGAATTCGAGATACAATTAACAAGGAAACCTTTTTTACTTAACACTTCAAATCATGATGAAATTTGGTCCATGGACAGCTTTTGGGGTCATAAGAACGCCCTAAAAATTTTAGTCTCCCAATGGACCTCTGAGCCAAGTTCTGGGCTCTCAAAAGTTCGAAAATTCACAAATTTGGCTCATAAAACACATCATAACTCAATTCTCGATCAATTTTATCAAAAACTGAGTAGCAGATGATGATCAGCGTGGTCGTTTTACCCAAAAAGCATAAATAAATCGAATTTTCAGAAAAATTTCTGATTTTGAAAAAAAGAATGAGCAGGGGCACATATGAATTTTCAGCCCAAAAATAAAAAACTTCAAAATTTTTCGAAATAAAGTTTTTTATTGATGTACCTTTAGTAAATCGACTATGCTGATCAATATCTGAAACTTCATTTCCACCGAAAAAAATTTTGAAATGGAGCTATGATGACTTTTATGACCATTTTTAGGCCTTTTTGAGTTTTTGAGAGCCCAGAACTTGGCTCAGAGGTCCATTGGGAGACTAAAATTTTTAGGGTGTTCTTATGGTCCCAAAAGCTGTCCATGGACCAAATTTCATCATGATTTGAAGTGTTGAGTAAAAAAGGTTCCCTTGTAAGGAAATTCGAGATACAGCGTTTGGATACAAATCACGATTTTAAATATTTGTGATATTATGAAGGAAATATCATCTGTTTTTGTACAAACAGAATATTGAGGAGTGAAAAAACTTCATGATACTTTCTTCTCATTTATGGATGTGGATGGAATACGAAAATGTTCAACTGGAACAAAATGTTTCAAAAACCACACGCTCTCAAACAGCAAGTGACAGTTTCTAATTTTTTCAAAGCTCTTGAAACAAATAATAGTTTTCTCACCGCAGATCGTTCTGTTTTTTTTCATCGTAGCTCTTGAACCAAAAATTCTCTAGATTTTCACTCCCAATTTTTTGTTAAATATGCCTATTTCGCAATCCTTTTCTTACTTTCTTAAACAACACACCACCTGATGACTCTGCTCTAAATCTTTTTCTCATCGTCTCTCAATTTCTTTTTATCTCAATTCTAGGTCCCTGCCAGCAAAATTTTTATCTTTTCTTCTCTCAAAAATGCATTCTCTCTATCGAGCTTATTTTCAGTATGATGCTTATATGCTTATGATGAACAATAAATCAAAGAAGGTTATGAAAAAATACGTGACTGGAAACAAATTTTGAGAATTGAAAATTGCGAAAAGAGTAGTCGATCCTTACAACTTCGGAAAATAAGCATAGACTGTACAAAATACAGTTTGAAAAACAAACACAAGAAATTGTTAACTTCAGGTAACTGATCTGAACAATGCAGTGAAATCAGGATTATGAAAAATGCGGCCTCCGAAGTTAAGTACAGTACTCGAACGTTAGGATTTTAGGCAATAAAGACTGTTTTTGCTACATAACGACTATAATTATGGAATATTGTGCACCCTTTAATTTTGCGAGAATTATCTCTTGGCATGTATGTATATCAAAGTTACAGAAAAAATTATTTGGTGCGTTCTTGAACTTCAATTGTGAATGAAATCTCTACATAACGTTTTCTAAATGAGTTTTGAAAACTTTTTTATCAAATAGGAAATTTCGATGGGATTAATAATAAATCTAATAATAAAAACACCTCCCACGTTTTTTTTTTCCAATTGTTTTCGCATAATTTTCAGACAACTAAAATTTATCCGTTATTTTTTGTATTATAGGGTAGGTATGCAGTACAAATTTGTCATTTTTTAGTTGCTAGGTGATAAGTAGTCGTTTTTCTCTTTTTATTCACTAATCAATTTTCACAAACATCCAGTGCACTTTTCTTTCAAAATATACGTATAATGATTGAAATAACGACATTTAAAAACTATCCACTTCGCTTCAATAATCCAGCTCGATTAATCAAAGAACAAAAAGCATCCGATGTGTTTTATGTTCAGAAAGGAGATATTATGTGGTTAGCTTGCTTTTTTTTTCAAAAACTTGTATTTATATTTTTAAAATTTAGGAGATTCCGATTGATTAATATCAAAGGAGTGCTTTACTTCAAAATATTGATTCAAATTGGAGATGAAAAAGCTTGGGCTTCACAAATAAAAGGCGAAATAAAATGGAAAGACAAAACTTTGAAGTTGACAAAAGCAGATATTTATACGAACCTTGAACCTGGTTATCAAGTAAGAGGTCAGATTCCTGAAGTTCTCCCAATTTGGGCAAAGCAAGAAACTGAATTGATCTTGTTTTTGAATCTCGAAACAGTCTGCTGGACGTATTATAAGAAAAAGAATTATATGTCTGAAATGAAAATTCGTGGTGTCAGCTTCTTTTACGATCCAGAGGTATTTCAAAAATATTTATCAAAACTTTTACGATTTTCTTTAGGATTATGAAGAGATTGGAAAAACGATTGCAAGATATCCACTTGGACCAAATGAAGTTTATTCCACTGATGAAATCGAAGTTTTAGATGTCGTTATGTATCTTTCATGTTGTTTACCAGAACATAATGCCCATATGAATTGTAAGAGAGAATTAGATGATAAATTCTATAACAACCTTATTTTCCAGCTGTGAATTTAAAAGGCATTCTTAGCGTTGCGTGCCATTTTGAAGAACCTCTTCTCATCGAATGTTGCGTGAATATTATAAAAGAAGGGACGATGATGAGTTGGCAAGATCAAGTTGAATTGGCTAGTGATTTATCTTTGGAAGAATTGCTTGTACGTTTTTTGCAGATTATCTTGTTTTCGAAGTTATATTGTTTTCAGAGACATTGCTGTTTTAACTTTAACAACTTTAAAAGTTTGGTTATTTATTTGAACAGAGATGATATTGGTATATCACAATGGGCACGAGAAATAATGATGGATGAAGGAAAAACTATTTTTGCAGAAAATATTCCGATTCCAGATGATGACATGATGATGAGCTAATCTATTTTTGAGTAAATCATTTTCTGTTGTTTTTGAATGAGTTCAACAAATAAGATAATTTTTTTTGAAATTTTATGTAAATGAACTTGAAATGAACATTTTATTTAAAAAATAATGTTATTTTGATAGTATTATTAATAGTTCACAGTGACACAATGCTTTATTCAAAAATTCTAGTTGCTTAAGTTAACATAAAACATTTAACACAAATAGACTAATAATGTCGAAATTTCACTAAACAGTTATTCAGGCTTTATACTAATTTCTATAAAACACTTGCATCCAATTCATGCTGAATTAGAAAAACATTGAAAACTTCAAAATTTAAACCAAGGTCGCAGTTCAAAAAACAATTTTATTAATATATTTTTCAATATTTTTCAAGTGCAACATATTATCTAGAAAAAGAAATACGTAGGCGGAAAAGATATGAAAAATAGAAAAAAAACAAAACATGTGTGAACCATCAAAAAACAAGTTTATTGCAATCTCACGTGACCAATTTCCAAACCGAACCCATTTAAATTTACAAGCAGCAAAAATTGTAATGTATTTGTTTTATTTATTCTTCCTCCTCTTCTTCTTCCTCTCCAGCTTCTTCTCCTTCTTCTTCTGAAAATCATAGTGAAATGGAGAAATCAATCAAAAATAAATAGAAACATACCAGCTTCTGGTTCAGCCGCATCTGGTTGTTCAACTTCAATTTCACGCTCTGGTTCTGGTTCAGCTACCTTCTCCTTGTTTTTCTTGGACCATTCTGGCTTGTCGTCCTTCTTCTTCTGAAAGAAACAATTTTGAAATTGTTTAGAAAACACACTCGGAGAAATTAAAAGGAAAAAAAAACTAACAACATTGGTGATTTCTTCCATGACGTCTTTCTTAACGATCTTAAGATTGGCACGGAAATCACCTCCAGATTTGGCTTCTCCGCTCTTCTTGAATTTGTTGTCATATTTCGACACCTTCTTCAATGATGGTTTCACGCTAAAAATTTTGAGTTAAGGAAATTCAAACAAAAAATTCGTTTTGATAAACTTACAATTTACCGCGAAGATCATTGACTTGAATGGTCAATGAGTTGATTTCGGATTCAGTGTTGGTGACAAACGCGTTGATATCATATTTCTCTTCTTCGAGTTGACACAAACGATCAAACAACTCTCCGTAGATCTTGGAAAGTTGATCTGAAATTTGATATGTGTGATATATTTTTAGAAGATCTTAAAATACCGTGATTATCAATGGAATCAACATTTGGCAATGGGACGGTTCTATCAGCAAGAGCCTTTTGACGTTCTTGTTCTTTCAATAATTGTTGACGCTTAAGATCTTCAGCGGCTTTTACCATGAGAAGCTTCTGAAAACAAATAAATTGTCTAAAAGAGTTTCAATTCAAAATCACTCACTCTAAGCTTCTTCTTTCTTTCTGGTGTCAAGAAACCTTTCTTGGCCTTCTTCTTGTTACCGGCTTCTTCAAGTCGTTTGCGAACTTCGGCCTTCTTGCGCTCGCGCTCCTCAGCTTTGCGCTGAGCATCATCTCCAGCTTCGTCAGCCATCTGAAAATATTTCTGTATGATAAGAAGAACAATCATTGTTTTTATTAAATAAAAACAGATCGGGAAAATGAAGGAAGAGAAGGGCAAAATGAGGATAAAAATAAAAGAAAAGAAAGGATAGAATGAGGGAGGAAACAACACAGATCCGCCCATTGATTTGCGAAACTTTGATGCTCTTCTCTTCTTCAATAGTGTAATGTGGTTTGGCTATCTGTTTTTGATGCCAGCCTACCAATGTACTTCGTCATCATATGTTTGTAATATTTTGAATGAAAACGAAACATTTTTCATAACTAATCAAAACAAAACTGGAAAATTTTAAAGAACATCAATGTTAAAGAAAACTTACAGCTTTATCTACAGTGTTACTCAATTCATCAACACGATCACTTTTCTGCAATTGAGACATGTCTGAAATTTTTTATTCGAATTTGAATCTAATTTTAAAATTATAGAAAAATCAGAAAATGAAATGAAAACACAATTTCAAAGTACGCGTCATATGTTTACGTTTCAGAGAAAAGATGAGAAAAAAGTGGGTTGGATTTCAAAATGCATGTGTCACAAATACTATGAGCTGTTTTTGAGAGGGACTTCACATGTTTTATGCACTTGACCGCTTTAAAAGTCTGACAAGACGAAAATTTTTGAGCATCGAAACTATTTTGAATAGTTTCAAGGTGAACTCTCGGGACCAGTTTATAGAGCTTCAAAGGTTTTGATGAATCTCGTGTACAACTAAAAATGAGTACCAGGATCCATTTACTGTACCCAATTTTTCTGAACCCCATCTGCGTTTTGTTTCTCCTTAATTGTGAAAAAATTTTCACAAATAAGCTAATGACATTCAAATTTTTGAAATAATTATTTCAGCCATTTCTTTACACTTATCTCATATAATATTTTTCTTACATTGACGAATTTTTCAAAAATTCCAAATTTCCAGAACATGTATTTTTTTCTCAAAAAGCATTCAAGATTTATTTTATATGTTTATCTCTTTATTTTTTTCATTCAATTCTATCTATTCGCCCTCGTCGGCTCGAAATATTTTACACTGTTTCAATCGAGAGAAACAATAAAATTGAAGATACGCAGAAAAACAATGGATAGAGGAGGCGTTTGTCAAGTCCACCAATGAGTTCCATCTGTCACCTTTTTTTATAAAAATATATATGTATGTTGAAAGCAAAAAAACATTGATTATATTAAATTTTTGGAAGATACTGGAAATCGTTAGATCAATCAACGTTAATTTCGAAAATAATTCGACACAGAATCCTAGGAAATACAAGAATGAAACTTTTTTTAGAAACATCTGATTTATATTATTGTTCATAATAAACTTCAATTTTCTGATCTTTGATGGAAGATCGGATGTTATTTTAATCAATCAATTATTATATTTTGAAATAAATTACTTTACGAATAAATGAGAAACATATAGACTCACTTCAACATATAATTAGTCTTGGTTTTGTAATTTATGACCAGACTGATGAAAAATCCACGCATTTGTTTTTTTCTAAATTTATTCGATTTTTTGAAGTTTTGATGAGACCACAAAAATTATATTCGAAATGTAAATAAAATTCAATGTTAGAATAACATTTTGGAAAATAAATCATTCTCAGATCTAAAACAATATGTTTAAAAAAGTTTATGAGCAAGTTCACGAATAAGCCGTTTTATTTTTGGAGGAAAACTTGTAATTCATATATACACACGCACAAATAATAAAATTGAGATTAGAACTTTAAAATTGAGCAACATTGAGTTATGTAGAGCAGATAAACATCTTCAGAATGATAATTATGTGACAGTGATATGTATATATATGTATATACATAATGCACAGTGAAACCCGGTTCTTAATACACATTGCAGTTGCGAAACTGATCGAATGTTTGGTTTTCAATTATTTTCTTCCATTTGTTGATTGTTTTTGTTGCTTTAATTTGCATTACCTGAAAATATTCAAATTGGTTAATTTCTAGTAACTGTAATTTGGACATTTCAAATTTCTAGTTTCTTAGTTTTTGTGAAAAAAATTATCTGATTTTTTTGTTAAAATAATTTTGAATATCAAATCTTATATATGTCCAAATTTGTGTTATAAGTTCTTCTTACAATTAAAAAACAGAATATTACTATGATCATATTGTTTGCTAAATTGAGACATTCCAGAAATAGATAAGCGCTAACATTTTTTTCAAACGGGGCCATTATTATTTTCGGTTTTTTTCTACTTCATAGAAACATTGTTTATGAAGTAACAATAACTATCTAACATCGATGTGTGATGTTTCAAAATTATTCTATGAATATAAATATAAAATAAAGAACTTACATCATATTGCCAAACGGTGCAAATATCAATCAACTCTTGTTTGAACTTAAGAACATTGGAATGCATTTGTGAATACTGATCTCTTCTTCCATCCAACCATTTGATTACGTAGTTCACATCTTCCAACCAACGATCAACTCTTTTCTGAAAAAATATTCATTCAAAGTCAACTTCATTATCATATTGCATGTGAGAAAAACTTACTTGTTCTTTATCATTTAATGGGAACTCCATAACTTCGAGCAAAAAAAAGGTGTGGCTTAACCCTGAAATAATTGAAAATTGAAAAATTAGACAACGGTATATTAAAAAATAATAGCACAAAAAAAGAAACGTCTTTGAAAAAAAAAATGAACATTATAGTAACGGAAGAGAGAAAGGTCAAAATGAAGAGACGCAGAGGAGACATATATTGTTTTTTTAATGAGACAGCTAAGTTTATAAAAACATTGTGCACTATGTTTTTTTGTTTATCGTTGTTTTTTCTTGTAATTTAATAAGTTTGACACTTTGTATTACACTAAAATGTATCAAGATTCTAACTATGGGTTACTAACAAAATATTCAAAACTAGACAAATTTGAGGATTTTGAATAAATAAACAATTTTTTGTTATGAATTTGAAGTTATATTTGATGTTGTGTTAAAAGCAAAATAGTGTGAATCTTGAAAATTCTTTAAGATATCCGAGGTTCAACCAATCCCATACTCATTCAGATTGAATGATTAATTTAGGTAACTATTCAGAACGAATATATTATTAGATAACTGAAAATTCTTTGAATCTTCATCTAAAAATTATAACAAGGAGCTAAAAATGTTTTTGTGCTTTTCTGAAGCCTAAATGTAAATTCAAAACTTTACTAAAAATCAAAATAACATGACATCAAAAAGACAATTATTTATCCCGAATGAATTTCGTGATCATTTGATACACTTCCTGTGGATGTGTTATAATTGGAGAATGTCCAGCTCCTCGAATAGTTATAAATTTCATATAATTGTAGTCTGTTTGATATCCAGCTAAATAACCATTAAACTTCCATCCAGTTTTCTCATCTTCAGCCTGAAAATTATTTCTGAAATGAATTGTAGATAATAATCAAACTAACTCTCGAGTTAAGTTTTGCTGCAAATTTCTGACCCATCATAAAAATATTAATCATATCTTCATCTCCATAATATAATAAAGTTTTGATTCCTTTTCCAGCAACTTTTTTGAACTCATGTTCAATGTCAACATTAGGTTTTGATTCAATATTGAGTGATTCACAAGGTTTCCATTCCGATATCATGGATGATCTTAGAATGAGCGCTTTCTGAACGTCCAATTTGTTCAAATACATATAAATGTTCTCATGCACATCATAACAAAACTTCGAATTTCCATAACTATTATTGTTACTAAAATAAGGATTTGGTTGACCAAGAATATGCTTCATCCATGAATTATCTTCACATTGTTTTGTTATATCATATGCTGTGACTGCTTCATATTTTGGTTTTTTCAAAAGATTGACTATCTTCTCACATTCTGAATTGTTTTTTTTATAAAAATCACACTCATTCAATATTCCCTTGCAACATCCATCAACCATTTCAATAAATTCATCTTCATCTAAAAATCCACGTGCATATGCATACATCAATCCTGTTTCTATATATAATTGAGTCCCAAAAAATCCGTTACCAATCAACAATCCCTAAATATGCTGTTTCAGTTGAATTAAGAAAAGAAAGAAACAAACCTTTATGTTCAATTTTACATCTCCAGTTGTCAAATGATTTGCAACAACAGGTAACTGTAATGCTGCCAAAGATTTTCCAGCCAAGTATATTTCACGTTTAGCAAATCCAGGGTTTAACTGAATTTGAGTGATTGTGAATTTCAAATGCATAAATAAGGGACAATTTACCTCAAAAAATTTTCTGATAGCACTTGCATATTTTTCTTCTATAGATTTGTTATTGTATTTACCATACGGAAAATGTTCAATGTAGACAACAGAACTAAATTTATTCCACGAAAATTTATTTTCTCGCAAAGTATGGCCATCATTGTTCAGCAGAAATGGACCATTTTCTTCTAAAATTGCTAGGAATGATGAACATTCTCCGCCAAACCAAAATATTACAGGATCATGTGGTACAATGTGTTGAGATTCGAATAACCTGTAATTACTGCTCTTATGTAAATAAGGTTATCATTTTAAAAATTATAAATTTACCAGAAAAATGTTGAATCATCTAAATAACCAGAATGGTGATTAAACTTCAAATAAAAATCTAAACCAGGAAGATAATCAATTCGAATTTCATTCGGAATGAAATTCGAATATATTATAGCTGGCAGAATAAAATATAATAGCAAGTTCATTTTTTCGAAAATGAAAAGATATGAACCTTGGAGGATACATATATATGTGCAATTTATCACGATCAAACAATGAAAAAACAATGAAGATGCACTTCAAGAAGAATAAATCATGTTTTCAGAATACAAATTGTTTAGATGTTACAACTTTTTAAACGCTTCTAGCATTTTTCTTCAGAGACACTCTCTCTCTCCAGGTTTTTTTTCTTCAAAATTTTGGAGATTTTTTTTCATTTTTTTCAAATTCATCAAGTTAGTTAGATTTTTTCTGTCATGAAAAATGATTGAGTTTACAATATTCAAATGAGTATTTATAGTTTGTTTGTTTCTAAATCACTTGTTTAATATTCTGAAGATATGGCGAACTCTGATTTTGCATAAATTTTTCTGAAAAGTTTCCAAACATTGATTGTGTGTTCAGCAAATCTAAAAATCCGTTTCATATAGAAATAACCCTTGAAAAAACTCTAAATTACCCTATGAGTGTTCTAATTTATCACTTAAATATCTTCTTTGTCGATTCCGTAGATCTTTTTTTCCACTATCTATTTTTTTTCCGAAATTTATACCTCTTCCTCCAGCTTGACCATTTTGGCCTCAAGCAATCAAAAAGAATTCATTAAAGCTGTATACACAAATAGAAATAAAATCGAGAAAAACACACACTAAATAAGCAGGAAAATGAGTAAAGTTTCGAAATGAAAAAATACCAGCGTTTAGAGATCACAGAAATAAGAAAAAAGAAAATATGAAGGATGAAGGATGAAAAATGGAGAAGGAAAAAGGAAGAATATAAATTAGTCGAAAATCAGAATCAGAACAAGAATACGAGAAAAGACAAAAAAGCAAGAAAAACGTGATATGAGTTACTGTAACTAGCAATATAAAAGAAACAAAGAAAACGTATAGAGTGATATAATCCAAAAATGAAAAATAATAGTGTTAAAGAATAAGGAACAAAATTAGATTTCTTCATTGTCAACCAGTGGCTCTTTGAGTTCATTTTCGTTGACAATGTTGATGGCAAGGTTTTCGTCAGAATTGTAGAGGAACATGGCTCCTGTTTCGATATCTTCGACTTTGATTGGGATGTTGCAGAAAACTTTTCCGTCTTTTCTGAAAAAAGGGATTTGATAGAGTAAGAGAGTGTGAGAATATGAAAGAATTTTAATGGGAATAGTTCATTTCTATGCTATCAATTAGTATCAAAAAGTGTTTCTCAAAAATTCGTGATCCCTTCATTTAATCGATTAATTGAAGAATTTTTACCTAAAATTCGAACTTACTTGGTAATCAAGCTCTCAATTTGCGTTGCCTTTTTCTTCGCCTCTCTTTCCGCATTTTCCGACTCTATTCGCCGTCTGAAACAATTATCTTCATATATATTTTTGAAATAAATATTCATTTTGGGTTATTTTGTTTTTTTTCAGAATTTCATCATATTTTGAAAAATTCACAATATCGTGTGAACCCGGATTTTTTGTTTGTTTTGTGTTTTTTTTCAAAAAAAAAATACTATGACGAATTTTCAATATTCTCCTAATAGAAAAATATTGTTGATAGGATCAAAAATCATTTATAATCGTTTCTAGTAAAAACTTACCTATAATTAAGCTGTAATACTCGAAGCCAAGCAACCAGTGCAAACAACGAGAAAATAATCGCCGGAAGAACGAAACATAAAACGACTAACCACATATCTGCAAAAATATATATATATACAAGTATTTTTTTGGAATCTATGTACATAGATGTATGTATCTAATTTCGATTTTTTTGAGAAAATAACAAACAATAAAAAAGTGCTAAATCTCTTACCACCACTTTTTAAAAGCACCATTGCTTTGTTTTTATTTGATGGTAGAAACGAGAAGAAGGAGAAAAAACGAGGTCTCATTCAATTAAGATTACTCGGTTTTATTTTGAGAAGAAGCACAGCGAAAAAACAAAAACGAAACAAGAAATTAGCACTCTCTTCTTCTTTTTTTTTTTTGTCTTTGTCTGGGGTTTGCAGAAAGTTTAATTTTGGCAGCAAAAATAAATAGAATTCTAGAGACAATTGAAATAGGAAATTGGATTCAAAAAGAGCAACATTCGGGATGAAAAAATGAGCATTTGAATATTTATTGAAACATTATGCAATTGTACTTTGCGGTCACACAATTCAGAATTTTTTTTTTCAAAAATGGTTACAATTACAAAAATTATTATGACTCAAACTAGATTTTTATGAAGATGTTTTAGAGGCTATTAAAGTTTTGAAAAATTGTGAAAAATTTCAAAACAAAAATCAAGATTTTTCACCTGGTCGAACCTAGAACATGTAGCAAAAGTCAAACACCTTGAGCTTGCAAAAGTATCATATGACCTTTTTTCACAATCACGCTATTTTTCTAATTTTCTATTTGGTTTTGAATAACAAAAACATTTTTCACGTTATTTTTCAGAAAAAACAACAACCTTTAGTTCCGTTTTTTTTTCAAAAAAAAATCATAAACACTTTTCATGTGTATGTAGAAAGTGCAAAATTTTCAAGTCATGCGAAAATTGTTGAAAAAAGTTTTTGGAAAAAAGTTCCGGTTTCCGAAAAATAATAACTCAGAAACGGGAAAAAGAAAAGAACACGTTGATTTTCAGCCTTTGAAGTATACATATTCAGGTGAATTATTAGTCGTCCACTTTATAAAAATGCGATCGGCTGACTTTCAGATCAAATTTCATTTCTCATTTTTTTTTCTTTCATAAATGTTTGTATTGTTTTTTTTTCTTCACATAAAGAAGTTTACAATTAGAGACATGTTTTCTTATAAATTGCTCAGATTAGAACAAAAACGAGTAAGTGAGCGCATAGTTTCTATGTATGTACATACATAAATCAAACAAGGGTTTAGAAACATCAAAAATTGTCTTGATTTTTGACGTTAAACATTTCCTGACTATTGAAACAAGTATATATGTACAATTTGGAGATTGGAACATTTTCTAATAAAACAATAATTTTAGTTATGGTTTTTATGATGAAACATAAATTTTTACAACATAGTGCATGTTGCATCCCATTCCACAAATTCTTGAGAGTTGAGTAAAATTCAAGAAAAACCTACATTTCAACGACAATTTGAGCATTTTTAGAATAATCAAGCAGGTGAGAAGCACTATGTGCAAAATGAAAGAAATTATTTTTCAGAAAATTATAGAGAAAAATAATTAGTGGTTTTATAAAGTTCATAATTATGGAGAAATTTTATGTAGGTTTTCTCAAATAATTAAAGAAAAGAATAATTGGTAATTAATAAATTTTTTAGTTTCAAAATTTCTAACTAAAAAAGGGATCTAAATCAGAATAAAGTTATTTTACACATTTTTCACACGGTCAGAAAAAAACAACAGAAATTTAGCAAGCCAAAAAAAGAGGAGGATATATTCCACCAAAAAAGGCACGAAAAAGACTCCCGATTTTTTTCTTCCTTTTGCATTTATCCATTGTTGTGTTGTAAGAAAAAAGCAAATTTTTGGCGCCAGAAAAAAAGAAGAATGAGCTTTGTGTTTGAATTTGATTCTGCTGAAAAAGGGAACTTTCCCATTTTCTTAGACCGGAAGATCTTTTTTTTCTTTTTCATTTTTTTTGTTGTGAAAAAAATGGTGGTGGTAGTTAGAGAAAAGAATTGTGTGGTGTGAAGTTCAATCAGATCAAATTACTTTTTTTGAGAGGAAAAAATCAACTAAAAAAGGAATAAAAAATAATGTAGACAGATAATTTGCCAAATTATAATATTTTCACACGCTGAATTGCAGTTGATTTTCGAACTTCTAAAAATATATCAATGTTTCTGAGTATGAATATTAGGAGCGCTCTAGAAACATTCTAACTATTTTTTAATACCTAAAATGAGCCTGGGAAAAGATGCCTCACCCCAGCAGGTCTACTGTAGCTAATCATAAATGAGTAACAAAATCATATATTCTTCTAATAATGCAAAAAGGAGTGCATTACAATAATTAGGAGCTCATCTATATTTCACTATTTTTTTCACGTGGTTATCTAACCTTAATATTGCAACACAGAAATACTATGTTTTTATGTATATTATAAAAAAGACAAGGGAGGAATGAAAAAAGGAAGAAAGAAAAAAAAAGAGGGGCGGGACATGCATACTTGAAAGAAAGCCATATTCTATGATGCTGCTTATTGAAAATGAGCAATGAGAAAAATGAAAAAAAAAAAGAAGGAAGACATTTTCATATGGTTCTCATATAACAGTTCAGCCTTTTTGCCCTGGTTTTTTGAAGCAATTTGACGGATATTTTATTTTATTGCTGCTGTGAGTCGCCGATGTTCTTAGAATTTTCAGGACATACAAATTGATTATAATTTGTGAGAGAATAATGATTTTTTGAAGAATTGAAAATATAACTAGCAAAATTTCAAGAAACCAAAAGTTGAGAACAAAAAACAACACATAAAACAACGATTATGGATATTTTTCGAATAATGAGACAGATTGAGAGTGAGACCAAGCATTTTTCAGAATACTTTCATAATAAAATCGAGAAATGTTTCTTGGAAATTCAAAATTACATAGGAAAAAATAAAAAGACACACGGGTTCCAAAAAGGTGTTTTTATATTTTTTGGCGTTCAAATTTATTTAAGGACCATTTTTATATACTGTAATATCGCAAAATGCTTTCTGCAAAATAAAACAATTGAAATTCCAAAAAAGCTGAACCTACAACCCATCTAATAAAAAATCTCACCCAAAAACCAATATGAAAAAGAATAAATTTTGGGTGGAGTCGTATTTTCCAAAGCAATTTGATGGAAACAAAGAAATTGAAAATCGTTTTCTTCACAACAAAAATTTCTCAAAATTGCGTCTTCTGAACAAAGACTCATGTTTTAGCGGAAGCTCATACAAAGCATTCTACATCACATTTCGGAATTTGAATAACAATTGAAAATTTCACAAACAAAGAAAAATCCCGGAAGTCCAAGATCACGTGTTCATTCCTACAAAGATCAGAATAACATTTCAATCAGAAGTTGAAAAAAACCAAAACAAAAAAAAAAGTTGGATGTGTCGAGGAACGGAAAAATATTTAAATAATTTATACGGTAAATTAGGCAAAAGCTGAATAATAAGTGTTGTGTTGTGAAAAAATAATAGAACATGAAAATAAAAATAAAAACACTTTGATGTTCAAAAATCCCAAAACGGCAAGAAGTGGGTTGACATACATACAAGTTTTGAAATGTAATTGACATGCTTGTTTTTTTTCTAGAAAGAAAAAGAAAAACGAAGAAAAAAAAACAAATATCTTTAGATCAAAGCAGAACAGAAAAGCAACAAAAAGTTAAAAGGAAGTGATTAATCTTTGAAATATAATAAGTTCCGTTTTATTTACTTTTCAAATATTGACTTTTTCAAGAATAATTATCATTTTTCCACTCTCATCCATTTCAATCTTTCAAAGCAACCGAAAAAAAAAACAAAAGTAAATAAACACGTGCTAAATTGTTTTTTTTGTTCACTAATTTATTTTTATTTTGGTCTTGAGAATCAAAAAAGGTTTTTCTTGTCTTTTTACTAGCGAAAAATAAACACGAATAGAAAACACATGTGTCAAATAACCACATACGCTGTTTCAAAAGACGCGTAAAAATAAACAAAGCCCAAAAAATGTTTCAAAAAAGTAGAGTGCCATGAAGACCTATGGTGATTTATCATTTCGAAAGAAAAATTTTTGGAAGCAAAAAAATTCTGGAAAAGAAACGAATGCTTCAAAGCTCGTGATAGACTTCAAAAAAGTTGAACATGGAAACAAAGAAAAAAAGACAAGTCTCTGGTGAATAATAAAGATCATAGATGTTTTTGATCATCCAAATTTTTCAAAATTGTTTCTCTCATTTTCACGAGGGAACTTTTATTTGAAGCTGGAAACTCGGACTTAGATCAGATAGGTAACAATTTCTAACTTTGATGTGTGATCATAAATTAGAAATACACATTTTCAATATACAGTTCATTGAAAAATACAAGGTTTTTCTTTACCTGCAACATTGTGCTCAAAACGTTAAACGTGAAAAAAAAATCTTGGAACATTCATAGAAAAAGTTCCCGAAAAATCAGCTTTCTTCTATGAATGTTTGATATTTTCCTAATAAATATTCAGAAGTCGTCATTTTCATTTATTTGTCGGAATAAAAACGAACATCAAAAATAGTGTCTCACATTTACATTAGATAAAAGTATCATCTTACGTAAATATGTGATTTTTGAGACCATCAAAAATTCAAAACAGAATATATAACGAACGTTCTTTTTTCACTTTCTTACATATTTTCTCACCGGGAAAAAAATAACAACAAATTTGTTGTTGAATAGATACAGTACATACTTATATTAGCTACAATCTTTTGTATGTACACATAATATAAACATGGAAAATTGAATATAACATATAAATTGTCACGTTTGTTGCTCTTTAGATACACAAACACAAAAACCACACCGAACCACTTGAAAATACAAGAAGAATTTTTTTGGAAAAAATGACGCAAAAACAGCGAATTTTTTTTTGACCGACCCGAAAACAAATAAATAAAACACACCTTTTGTCGCTTGTGCTTTATATTCAGATAAATCAACTACTGCTACAAAACGATTTCCATGTCCTAGCATATCCTAATACTAGCTAGCTACATAGATGTGCAAAAAAACGAAATCTGATTTTTTTCTTTTTCAACTTGTGAAAAAGTGCGAGATAGAACAAAAAAAAATGAAGCAAATGATGAAATTTGATGTTTGAAGTGTTACTTTTTTTGTGTACAAAAACGTTTAAATTTGATTTGATTGCTTGGTGAGTTCATCGTTCATTTCTCATTTTAAAGTATCTCTGGAAAAAAAGGAAAAACAGAATGAGGTCATATAGTTAGGATGTCTAAAAGTTCATGGCGTATTTTTTAATTTCCTTCTCAAACTCTTGATGAGTTTTTTTTCTTCCGTACGGAGGATACAATCATTTTTGATGAAATTTTGATTTTTTGTCTTGGAAAATGGAAAATGTCACGCGTCATACTTTTTTCCTCCTCCAAATTGAAGAGGCGTTTAGGAATGTGGAATAAACATTCTGATTGAAAGGGACCAAAATATATTAGCTGGAAAAATTTTTCAACTGGAAAATCAAATATTTATTGAAAATGAATATTTAGGCAATGTTTTGATAACAAAACACAAATTTGAGGTTATGGAACTATTATTAAACAATTAAACTGAGAAGACATGATTTAGTAATTTATGTTAACAATGTTTGATATTGTGAAATAATTTCAATTTCTTTGAATCATTGAAAACTTTGATGAAAAGTTCTAAAATTCTGTAACTTATTCAATCAAAAAACTCCTCGAATTCCGAGTATATTGCCTGTAGAGATGGTTTTGATACTTCATGAATCAGGCTTCTAGAAAATGTAATAGTTATATGAGAAACAATACCAATTTCTTCCAAATTTTAATAAATTTCAAACTTCGTACCTATCTAACACTATAAGAAATTCAGATCTCGGATCGTATTCCCTATGTTGATTGATTTCAACAGGATTGTTTGATGAAGTTCACAATTTGTTAAAAAAAGAATCATTTCAATTTTTTGCGGTTGATCATGTTTTTCAGCACAATAAAACTTGAAGTTGTAGTTGTTTCTTCAGTTTCCAAATCATGATCACACGTCGAATATTCCTACTGATTGCTATCGGAATTGTAAATCTTTAAATAATTGTTCCCTGACTTTTATTGTGACAAAATTCAATTTTATGTGTGATATTGAAGAAACACAATTGAGACAGGTGCCACAGATGTCATTGACTCTTTTTAGAAAAAAAAAGTAAAAAATATTTCCGTTTATAAGACATGTCCTTGAATTACGGTGGACTCTTTTATCAAACAATTACAAAATTTGAATTTTTCTCATTAGCATGAGGAACTCTGCCATCTGACTATCACGAGTTATTTCACAAAACCTCATTAAGGATTTCTTTATTATTCAAGGACATATATGAGGAGTAACTTATTGGATTCTGTATGATATGTAAACTTGCTGATGAATCATGAGTAAATATAAGATTCTATGGGAACAAAAGTGTTTTAATTAGGAACCAAATGAGAAACGTAACATTTGAATGTTTGCAACTTTTGTGCTTAACTGAACCTTTTGGCTTTTCGAATTTACAGCGATTTAATGAAAAAAATCCAATCAAAAACTTTACGAAAAATGACGATTCGAGGAAAATCTTGTGATTGAAAAACCAACAACAAGGAAAAAACAGAAATAAACTTTTTGATGAGAAGGGATGTCGAGGGAAAATGGAACTATGGGTTTGTGATCATACCTTTATTTTTTCATCTGGAAGTTTTCAGGTCCTTTTTCTTGGGAAAATTCAGAGTTGCCATCATTTGGAGTTTGTTAACACAACGTAGGCGATTTTTGTGCAATATTAGTTCGGTATCGTAATCGTGATTTTTTTCCAGTTCACAAAGAAGCACAAGTCTTTGAAAAATGTTTTAATCACATTGTCAGATTTCCTTTGCATTTTCACAAAACATACATTTTATTATAAATCAAAATAAGTTCACTCAAAAACTTACAATTCAAAAAAAAAAAGACAAAAAAACATGAAATCATAGTAAAGACAAGAATAAACACTCAATCGGGTTTCAATAAATTCAAGAATACGCGGGTAAAACTTCTGACTAGTCTACAATGAAAAAAAAAGTGTTTCACCAAAAAAACACAAAAGATATAATATGTACCGTGTAATGTGATTCGGAGAGAGGGAAAAAGGTTTTGACAAAAATGAAAATGATGATACAAGATTTTGATATGATGAAACAAACAACTGAATCTTGGAATTTGAAAAAAATATAGATGAATGATTGACCAAAAAATAAACAATTCCAAGTTGCCACAATAAAAGAGCAAGAAAAAAACAAAAAATATGAAAAAAAATACTGAGATGCCAAATTGGAAAGTTTTCTGTGAGAGAGAGAATTTCAAAAAATGGGGTGGCTTATTAGAAAAATTAATTGGGATCGGGATAAAGTTAAGTATAAATGCATGATATAATACATTCTTGGGAAGAAGGAGAACATTATGCACCACAGAGAAAGAGCATTTGGTCCAATTAATTGGGTGAGCAGGGAAAAAAAAGTTTCAGAAAAAAAATAAAACACAAACAATTTTGGGGACGGGTCGAAATGAGGTGATAATTGTCATTTTTGCTCACGTTTTGTTGACAAAAAAGGTGGAAAGTAAAGCTTTTCAAATGAGACAGGAAAAATATAGAGCCAAGTATACAAAAATCTGATTTTCAAATAATTTCACATTGAAAATTATTCAGCAGTTTGCAGAAGATGCGATTGATGATGATGTGATAAATCAGAAAGAAGGGCTACATTTGATAATCCGCTAAGGTCAAGCTGGAAATTATATTAGATTTGAATTGGTTTTGCAGATTTAGTGATTAAACAAACCTGAGGGCTTGTAAATGAGCCATCATCATTCCATGGTGCTCCATCTTTTTTCGTTTTCATTATTGTTTTATATTCATTTATTCTCACTTTTTTGCCATCAACTAAGCAAGTTCGTTTTGGTCGTGGTCTGAAATTTGTTTTGATTTTTTTATTATTAATAATTTGTTTATTGTAGATCAGTTTTTTTGAAAATCTAGGAAAACAACAAACCGATAACGATAATCCGGATGTTGTTCCATATGTAATTTGCTTAGCCTTGATTGCTCTTCATAATATGGTTGCTTTTCCGAATTGCTCATTTGCTTCCATTTTGAACCAAGAATCTTTGAAATATTACTATTATGCATATCCGGGAACGCTTTCAATATTTTTCGACGTTCATCTCTTGCCCAAACCATAAACGCATTCATTGGCCTTTTGATATGATTTGGCGATTTTGCTTGTGGTCGTGGCGTGTTGACTTCAGATGTTACTGATACGTTTCCTGGTGTGCTTTTCCCACTTGATGCTGGTGAAATATTATTGAGCAAGGAAGAGTCGGCTCCAAAACTTTGTGGGAAGTTATACGGTAGTCGGAATCCAGCGAGTGGCGATGGTGGAATTCCAGTTGGTGATGGTGTATCCTTTGATAAATTCAAAGGTGACTCAATTTTCTCGCCAAGTGGTTTCACCAAAGATCGGAGAGGATTCTGAAGTTGTCCAACCATCGCAGCAGCCGAACCGTTTAACAAAGTGTCATAGCCAAATCCTGAAAAATATTTCATAAAACTCACTGAAAATGAATTTAAAAAGCAAACCTGGGAACAAAAATGGGAATTGTGGATTATTGAACATTTGTGCCAACAGTCTTGCTTGATGTTGCTGCTGCTGTTGTTGTTGAATCATTTCTTGTTGTCGAAGAAGATTTTCTGAATCTAATGCTGGTGGATGAATCATTTCGTCAGATTCCTCGTCTTCTTCGTCCTCCTCAACTTCTTCTTCCTCTTCTTCTTCGCCTTTCAAATCGTTATCTTTTTGTATAATATCGTCACTTGATAGACGTTCTTTCAAAGATGTAAGCTGTCGAATAACGTCAGAAAGCAGATCTTGTTTACCGTTTTGTGTTACTACTGATGAGATGATTTCTCTGGAAATAATATGAACTTTTAATATTTTGAAGGCGGAAGATGATATCATTGCACTATTTTCAAAAAGTCGACTTTTGGATAATACGATAGTTATAATAGAAACTGTGTGGGTTTTTTTTATTTAGAAGTTGTCTTAAGTTTTGATCTATCCGTTCCTCATCAATTCTTAGTTCATATTCCAACATACCTCAAATGATTCCCGTCAATCAAAACAGCGCAACCTTGATCAGTTTGTGCCAGAATGTCAGGATAATCCGAAACGCCTGTAGTCGCAGATGTGCTGAAAATAAATATTTGGTTTGAGCATCGTGCCCTATAAAAAATGAACGACCATTATAAAAATGAAAAAAATGGAACATGTTGCTATTTATTTTATCTTATCATCAACAACCTCAAAAACACTTAAAATATGCATGTAATATTTTTTACAATGACAGGCGCAGATGAAAATAGGCAGTTTAATTTTAATGGTTTTTTTCTCAAAATTTCCTACTGTAGAGTTGATAAAAAGAAAAGAATGATGAATGAATAACAAATATTTTCAAAATAATGTTCATAAAAATAAAAAAGAGAAAGAAAAATAATAATGATCCCCATTCATCAAGCTTTGTCTTTTCAGTCGCGCATCACCTAATTTTTTCGAAATGTTATCCAACTCGTGTCACTCATTTTCATTCTTCTTCTTTATTTATTATTGCATTTTTGTCTCTTCTCTTTTCAATTTCAGATGTCAAATCAACTCTAATAGGCTTTACAAAAAGTTGTTCTCTTCTTCTTTCAGTTTCATTATTCTTCTTAATTAGATTTGGCTCTCAAAAAAAGATGCCGACAACTATTGAACGATTCTAATTCATATTGTTCGCTAAACGATTGAGCAACTAATTGAGGGAATAATAGATCAATTGAAAAACTGTTAATTCAATTAAGAAGTTTAGAAAATCATAATATTAATTGGATGAATAGAAATTTTAATTGGAAACATCAAATGAAAAATTATACTAATTTGATTATAAATTAATTGACTCAAAAACTGTGTGAAAAACCAAATAAGTCAGTTTTTTCCCAGAATAAAATTAAAAATAAGAAAGACGACTTCGTTGAGAAAACCGCAAACAATGAGGAATACATTTTGAAATAAACAACGGTAATTCGGAAAACAGCGGACATGTTCATCCAAAAACAAAGAGACTGGATGGAGACATTTTGAAATGTGAGTGATTTATTGATTTCGTCTCTTCCTAATGTTCTTTTTTTCCTTTGGGACACAACAAAGGCTACTAACGCTAAGGTGCAACAAAGAAACGTATATCCCAAATGAACATATTTTACTTTTGGCTGCTCTTTCCTACAGTAACCTTCCCCCTGTTCTATTATATGTTGTAACAAAACCAAATTATTATATATTTTTGATAAAGGAAATGTTTTTTTTTTCTGAAAAAAAGAATGCTTGTTGTTAAACACAATTGATATAGGCTGGGGTACTGTAGATAACAAATATTTGGGAAAAAAATCACTGATGAAAAAAATTTTGGAATCAAGTCAATTCTGATTATCTAATTAGAGAGCTGTCAAAAAAGTTGTAAAAAATACGTGTTCACTAAAAAGTCAACAAAAAATACTCCATTCTGAAAGTTTATCACACTTGACCTTCGTTGATTACTGATAAAAAATTCCTATCAGTTTTGAACTCGCTTTCTAAAAAAGAATTCTATTAAATGTCAAACATACCTTGTATGATCGGAGATTGTAGAGGAACTCGATTTGATTGATGCTGAATGTGGTGAGATTGCTGGATTTGGTGTGTCGTCCATCTGCAAAATTTCAGAGATTGTGTTATGCACAATAAGATTTTTCAAGAATCGTGCTGACAAGTGGAGAAGATTAATGAAGAAGAAGAAGAAACAAAAATTTTAATGATGACACGAAAAATGAGGAGAATAATACTAATAATAATAATAAGGGGAAGCAAGGATAATGAAGGAGGAAAATAATAAGAAGAAGACGATGATGTTGAAGGAAAGAGCCTCTGAAGAAGGAAGATTTGAGAATAAGAAGTAGAGAAAGAAGTGTAGGAATTTGAGACAAAAGCTCGGAATATATAGAACAACTAATTGTCAACTAGATATTGGGTGGATAAACAACGGCTTATGAAAATTTTGAAAATTCTGTGCACTTTGAGATAATCTATGAAAATTGTTTTTGAAATTGTTTACTACCCATGTGGAGTTGACTTTTATAACGTGCAGAAAATTTCAAAATTTTGAATCTTCAGAGTCAGAATCAGGTAAGTTCAAGATTATATTCAAAAAATATGAAGATTTTCATAATCCAGATTTAACCCGTATAGGTTTTACTCACAAATTTCGTAATATATTTTTAAAGCTTGAAGGATTTTGAAGCTAGAAAATCGGAATAATTTCTCAAAAAAATTTTTTCGCTTATAATTATTAGGCCTACGAAAAAAGTATTAGTTCTTCAAAGAAATTCATAAACAGATGTTTTTTCACCTAGAAGTTTTTTTGACCAGCTAGTGTTCTTTGAAAAAGCACAAAAAATAGAGATGGGCAAAGTCGTCCTCACACCGGTGAATATAAATTTGTGTATATATTCTTTCAGACTCCGCCCATCTCATTTCCAACTGGCTGCTTACATCTGAATAGGCGGGACACGCACACACTCTTGACAAGCAAGGTGTGCGTGTATATGCGCGAGAATCGCTTTGTCTCCTCTAATGATGACGAGGATGGTAGGAAAAGAGTTAATGGGATTATTAAATATATACATATAAGAATATAATGTGGCTGCCTGAGAAAAATGATGGCCTACTGTAGGTTTTATGCATTTTTATTCAAAAGCTCATGATGGATGTTAGGCAGAAAATTCACAAAGGGTTTGATCAAATTTCGAAACTTATCATGTGAGAAAATATGTGGGGATCTTTTTTGTGTAAATTTTGACGAATTTTTTGATCTGATATAAAACCTCCAAAGTTTTTGTTTCAAAAAAGGAAAGCTCCAACCAAAGTTATCCAACATCTTGTCAGAATAGTAAGCTCAGAACTCAAATTTGAATTATTACTTACTTGAACTTATCTCAAATCTCAAAAATTGTTTTTATACAGATCAAGACAGATCAATTATCATACAACAAAATGAATGTGTGTTATTGGCAACTAAAAATTTAGAAAATTCTAGGCTCAAAAATTCTTCAAGTTATGGAAGGAAACCTGGAATAATTACATGGTTTGCAGAATTTAAGTCAATAGAATTTGTATTACTGATTAGAAATTTCACCAGATTACCTGGCACAAATTTGGTAAAATGCTTTGTTTTCAGTGGAAAAAAGTGACTAAAAACCAAAACTGATTTACTCATAAATTGTATTCTACATACCTCTGAAATGTTTTTAAACAGACAATAATCGAGCGGTCGACAAAAAAGAATCACAAAAAAATAATTGGCTTGCCGCAACTTTCGAGCGAACCAAAACATATTGCTATCAATTTGTTTGTTCTCAACGAAAAAACATATCAATGTTACACCTATATATCAATGTTTTTTGTCCTATTACTCATATTAGAAGCTCAAAAGAAAAAGGCACAGCACGCGGGTATACAAAAAAGGGTGCGATTACATAAGATGCGGTAAACGATGTGTCTAATTATAGGAGAAAAAATGTATCTAATTATGCATTAGAGAAAGCTGGTGTGATGGGTCAAGAAAAAAACATGCACATGGCAAAAAAAAACAACACAAAAAACTCACTGTTTCTGTGACCGGGATGAGTAAATTTGATTGATGCATTGGTGTTGGTGACAATGATGGAGACGAGGAAGACTCTTGGTAGAAAATTTCGGTTTCTTCGATGAATTTTGTTGGGTTTGCTTTTCTTCTACGGCTCATACTGCAAACATGATTAGTTTTTTTCAAACACTCGTTTTGTTTTTTCGGGAAATCAACATAAAAATGTTCAAGTTGTATTGTCACATCAATCCAGATTAGTAGATCAAAACAAAAAAAACCATTTTTTGAAACTACCCCTTATAGAATCTTGGAAAAGGAAACATTTAGTTGCCAATAATACACATTCTTTTTGTATAATAATTAGTCTATCTTGAGTACATGATGAGGTGAATAATATTCATAATCATGTAAAACAAGAAGAAAGCGAAGAGAATGCATCGAAAAATGAATAAGAAAAAAAGGAGAAGAAGAGCTTCTTCTTCTTTTTTCATTTTCATTTTCATTTCTCACACCTGACTCCGGATATCGAATAAATGGAATATAAAAAAAGGAAATGTTGTTTTTGTTAACACATCAAAATATAGATGGATTCATTATTATTATTAGCATTAGGCAGCTTTATTATTATTATTACTATTATTTAGTAGTGATGATTATTACTCTTAAATCAGAGTGACCGGATATTTGAGCACTTAGGCTAAATCAGGATGAGGAAGATGGATGGGGAAAGGTGTCTGGATGTAAACAGTTGGATTAAAGGATGATGTAGAAACATGGAAAGAGTTACAAGAAATCAAAAGAGCATAGATATTTTGTGAGGTAAGGAGAGGGTTCTTGAATATTTGCAAAGTTGAAATAATTGTTGATAGTTTTTGATGTTAAGAAAAAAGTAGGAAAAAAAACAAGCAAGAAATGTTATATCAAAAGCAATTATTGTTTTAATATATTTTTGAAAAGCATTGACCTTTAAAAAAATGTCTCCGAAAACTATTTCTGACCGTAAACCTGTGGTCACTTTGTTTTCAAAATATTTTCAAGCTCTTCACTTTATATAAACTATACGAAAAAACTGTCATTAGCGTCGAAAACCGAGGTTTCTGGTTACTGTAACATATAACAAACAATAAATATTTGTTTCTGACAACTTGAGCCGAAACAACCACAGAAAAATTGAAAATGACTCATTATAAATATTAGTATCAAAATTAATTGCTATGTACCTTGCAATATATTAAAAATTCATAACGAAATTATTATATGTTGATGCTACTATTTTCCAAATTACCTTAACTCATTTTAAATTCTCGTCTCGCACACACAACACACACCACCATATGTTATCTAAACTTCATACCTAAATCAAAAATAACCAACACATATGTCATTCTACTATTATTTTTATTATGACAACCAACCTCATCCTGCCTACCGTATACCTTTCGGCTCTTCTTCTCTTTTCTTCCGTTTTTTATTCATGAGCTTTATACACGCAACCTGTCTATATTAATATGAAATAAAAGATATATCTTTATACAAGTGTGTACGTGTTATAAATTTCAGAATAATAGATTTTTATTTCTTTATTATTCATTCAACATATTTTTGTAACTTTTTATCCAGGTAGGGGGTCATTTATTCATATAATGAGAAAAGAGTTGGACACGACTCTATTATTCATGTTTTATGATAATAAAATAATCATGACTAATGCACCTAATGGGAAAATGATTGTTGTTGTTACTATTTGATAGTTTCTCTATTAATTCCGGCGGGAATCGAATAGAATAGAACATTACACTTTTATATTCAAAACTTGTATATCGGATATCTGATATTCAAAAGGAAGGATTCAATTGCATCTATCATTGTTAGGGCTGTTCTTTGGATTTTTGGAAAATTAAAAATGAAACTTTGTCAGAAAAAATGAGGTGGGATGGATTATGGATCATCCTAGAATATCTACCAGTGTTTTTTTTGATAAAAACTTTTATAATATTCTTAAATAAGCTAAAAATAATTTTCAGAATAACAAACTGGTATATTTTTGAGAAAAATGAAAAATCAACTAAAACTTGTGGGGACCTTTTTAATAACTCAAGAAGTAAGATGTTATTCCAAAATTTGAACGAATTAAAAACTGTTGGAACTGTTGAGTGAAAAATTTGAATTTTAGACAGAGAATTGCGAAACAGTTTTGAGAAATCACATAAACAATGAAAAATAAAGGTCTGAATCATTCCCATTATTGAAAAAAAAACAAAATTTGTCGCTTATTTTTTGGATACATTTTCCAACAACTCCACATGGAGAGAAAACTAACAAGAAAATTGATATAATACATCAGCTCAGAAAAATTTCGGAGAAAAAATATGTACTCGGTTTTGAACAATTGAAACTATAATTTTAGAGTTTTTCTAGAATGACGCAACTTCGAAGTGCGCATTTTACCACAAAATGTGACGAGGTAATGTGACATAATGGAACGATGTAATTTTGTATTCTTGTTTATGAATAAGATCGAAAAACAAACAAATTTTTAGAATCAAATTGATAAAAGTTATATAGGAAAAATAGGGGTTATTGAAGCAAGAGTTCAGTTTTGAAATTTGAAAAACAGTTCTTTTCTGAATTTCTCCACCGAATAGGTTGGTTCTCAATTGAAATAGTACTGTGATTGCGGTAGTAAACCTAAACTACTTTGAATTTGTTAACTTTACAGGAGAAGGTCTGTGTTAACGAAGTTTTTGGGAATTCTGATTTTTTTTCAAGAAGTCATAACAGTGTTTGAAAACTCTCCGAAATGATTTTCAGAAACTCTCTATGAATACAATTATTCTGGAATAGCTCTCTGCATTCATATCAGGTCAAAAATAATCACAATTATTGAAAAGTTAACATTAATGATCCAATTAATTATTTTGGGACATCTAAACAATTTTTGGGACCGATTGACTATTTAGAGATCATATACAAAATGTTCGTTTGGTTAATCTATAATACAATTTTGACCAACCCAATAGAATTGATTGTAATTACACTTGCGGTACCTAGAGCGAATCATCGAAAATTCCCACACAGTCATCACAATAAACCACACACATACAAAAGAGCAAAACCCAATCACCGACAAGAAAAGCATTATTCACTAACTTACCATTGAAATACAATGACAATAATAATAGCAAAAAAATGAATCACAAAGAAATTGCTGATGGGAATTCTCAAGAATAAAAGATGAAGAAGGAAAAAAAACTGACAATTGACTCAGTCAGAAGATAACAACAGATAAATGATTGCGACAAAAAAGAACGGGCGAAAAAAATGAACAGCAGTACGCAACATGAATTGTTTCATTCATTCATTCATTCGATCAAGCCAGACATAACTCTTGAAATAAAACACACACATACACACACAAGAAAAAAGTGGGAGCTCTCAACAACTGACCTCTGGCAGCATCGCAACTTGCTTGACACCACCACCGTTCCAAACCTTTATTTTTTCTTGTCTATTTTTCTTGCGTTCTTTTTTTATTTTTTTTTTGAAAATGCTGAACAGATATATATTTTTTTGTGGATGTGTCAGTGTGTTTACAATGTTGCACTTTTACTTTTGAAAGACAACAATATGTTGCCAATTGATTGCTTCTTATTTGTGATAAGCTTAAAAATATGTGGACACGGATGGAGAATTCGTGAATGACAGTTATTACTAGCTGAAACTAATTCTGGTCAGTGATGGACTTATGGAGTTCTGTGGAAAGAGTTCAAAATAGGAACAAATCAGAATCTCTAACAAAAACAGTGTTTGAGTCTTGAAATTAAATTGGTGGTGCTCAAATATAAAGTAACTTTTTCATTTTGACAAGTTTCATAAAAAGTTATTTTGGAACCTAAAACACTTCTCTTATGAGGAGTTATTTTCCGAAAATCAGCCATATTGAATTTTAAAACTTCTAGAAAAAAATGTTTTGTTTTGGCTCTCCCAGTCACATGATAAATTAAGCATAAAAAATGTTAACCTATATTTAACCTGACAATGATAATTAAGCCCTATAATTAGTTTGGTCGCTCATTAGGAAGAAACCAGCGATAAAAAATAATATAATAAACACTAAAAAATAAGAATTGAAATTCACAAAAATCTATTAAAAACGGTTCGAATATACCAGAAAAATAAAGACACCTGTTCCAAACAGAAGGATGTCTACAAGATTCAGAAAAAAAAATATGCAAAAAAAGTCCAACTGTACCAAAAAAATATGGAGAACAGATGTACTTCTCCAGGATCGAAATATTATGAAACAAAAATATTGGTAAAATCGAAAAAAAGATGATCTCTCGAAAAACAAGAAGACAACTCACTATTCGGGGGTCCTATTCAACGACTTTTTGCTCATTCATCATTCGTCTCATTATATTAATTATTTTCACTATTATTTTTATTTTTATTATTCTAAACCCTACAGTAATAATAAATTTGATAGGTTTGGTTGTGTCAATCTACTACAACAACATAAATAAAGATATTATTATAATAATAAATATGGATTCTGTTTAGTAGTTTACAGAAAAAAAAGAATAAGAATTGTTATTTTCATCAGCTAAAATACGCAAGCTCTTATTTAAGAGGATTGGTGTTGGATGATGTATTCAGCAATAAGTATTATTATCATTTTTATTATTATTAATATTTGGGTTCCATATATTTTGATTAACTATAAAGAAATGATAGGAAATATTTTTTAAAAAGAAAATAGATGGGCACTTTATTGGGAATATAGTTTTATCACTATTATTAAAACGCTTTTGTTTTTTTTGTCAAAGTGAAAGTGTTCATCATCAATTTTGAAGGAACCAAGAGGATTGTACATATATTTGAAAATTTTGAAAATAGTTTCACGAACAGAAAGATTCAGAGTTTTCTAACAGAAAATTTTGAAAATGATCTATAAACCGTGTGAAAATCTTAAAGATTAGAAGGACACAGAAATTGCAAAATGTTGATATGAGATTTGAAAAAGTTTGAACTCACCACTAGAAAACCATCCACCAAGAATTGTTTTTCTCTTTGAGATTGAATTTTTCCCACTTTTTGTCCTGAAATCAAAATCTATACTATGAAACAAAAAAAAAAGAAAAAAGAAGAATAAGATGAAA